CGTTATAGCCAACACAACCCTCCTAGCCACCGCCCATGTCGAAAACTCCGAAATTAACCCATGCACCCTGCTCGCGCTGGGTCCCGTCAAACCCTTCAACTACCCCATTACCATCATGGTATCATCCAGCCGTGCCCCGATACCTACCTCAACCATGATCGACAACGGGGCCCTGTCCTGCTCCATCGACAGAGACTTTGCCCGCAAACACCGCATCCCCCTAGTCCCGCATCAGCGTCCCCTGACGATCGAGCTTGTTGACGGTCAACCCAGCTCTGCTGGGCCAATCACCCATCACACCCAACCAGTAGGCATGCGGGTCGACGACCACTTCGAAGAACTCGTCTTCCATGTCACAAAATCACCCCATGCTCCAATCCTCCTTGGTCTCCCCTGGCTCCGCCTCCACGACATTAACCTTGACTTCAAGAACCTTTCGTTCGGTTTCCGTTGCGACTGTCTGTACCATGAATTCGCGAATTGGGACAACTCTCCAGCACCCCCGAGCCCAGCACCCGCCAGAACCCCCGAGCCCTTGATCCGCATCCCCCAGGATGAAGTCCCCGTCGACGAAACATAGTCGATTCCAGTACCCAAGGTATCTCGCTCCAGCACCCCAGAACCGGCTCCCACGCCGCTCCGAGTCTCGTTCATCTCCGCCCCAGCCTTCCGGGTCGCAGCAAGGCATGACCAGGTCTTTGTTGCCTACGCCAACCCTGCGAAACCCGATCTCCCGGCCTCGCCTAGCCCCAGTAAACCCCCGACACCCGAGAAAGACGTCAAAGACTTCCTGCCCCCCGAGTATCGAGACTTCGCCGACGTTTTCGAAAAGAGAAATGCTGACACTCTCCCCAAGCACCGGCCCTACGACTGTCCAATCGATCTGGAAGAAGGCAAGCAGCCACCTTTCGGCCCGCTCTACAGCCTCAGCGAACCAGAAACGAAGGCACTCTGCAAATACCTCGAAGAAAACCTCGCCAAAGGATTCATCAAACCCTCAAAGTCCCCTGCCGGTGCGCCAGTCTCATTCGTGAAGAAAAAGGACGGTTCTCTCCGCCTCTGCGTCGATTATCGAGGCCTGAACAGCATCACGGTAAAGAATCACTACCCCCTGCCCCTGATCAACGGTATCATGGATTGTTTGCGCGGCGCCCGCCGTCTCACCAAGATCGACCTCCGCGGCGCTTATAACCTCTTACGCATGCGCCCGGGCGATGAATGGAAGACCGCCTTCCGCTGCCGCTACGGCCTATTCGAATACAATGTCATGCCCTTTGGACTCAGCAATGCTCCTGGCGTCTCCCAGTACCTGATGAACGACATCTTCCGCGACATTCTCGATGTGTTTGTTGTCGTCTACCTCGACGATATCCTGATATTCTCCAAGAACCCCGAAGATCACCCCAAACATGTCCGCGAAGTCTTGTCCCGCCTCCGACACCATGGGTTGTACGCCAAACCAGAGAAGTGCAAATTCAACCGCAAATCCGTTGAGTTCCTAGGCTTCATCATCTCCAAGAAAGGCATCCAGATGGACCCCAAGAAAATCGCTGCCATCACGGATTGAGAGCCCCCCAAGAATGTCAAAGGCGTCCAGCATTTCCTCGGCTTTGCCAACTTCTATCGCCGATTCCTCCAAGGTTATTCCAAGATTGCTACCCCGCTCACAGCCCTGACCCGGAAAGACATCCCGTACGCCTGGACACCCGCCGCAAACACCGCCTTCGAGAACCTGAAGAAAGCATTCACCACCGCCCCCATCCTTGCTCACCCTGACCCAGAGAAGCCCTTCGTCGTCGAAACTGACGCCTCCGACTTCGCTCTTGGCGCAGTTCTCCTCCAACCTGACCAGGACAATCAGCTCCACCCCGTGGCCTTCCACTCTCGCAAGTTCACGGCCGAAGAGATCAACTACGAGATCTACGACAAGGAACTTCTGGCCATCCAAGACTCCTTTGCCCAGTGGCGACACCATCTCATTGGCGCCCATCACAAGATCACCGTTTACTCCGACCAGAAAAACCTTCAGTACTTCATGACCACCCGCACCCTGAACCGCCGCCAAGCCCGCTGGTCGATATTCTTCTCGGATTTTGACTTTGTCATTACCTATCGCCCCGGTTCCCAGCAGCACCAAGCCGATGCCCTCTCCCGACGCTCCAAACATGAGCTAAAAAAGGGGGAAGCAGCGTTCCGCTCCCAGGCAACCACAATTTTGACTCCCGAACGCCTTCGACTCGCGGCTGCCTACCTCACACCCATGGATACTACGCTGCTTGACAAGATTAAGGCCGCCCAGGCCTCTGATCCCCTCGCTAAGACCATCCGCAAAGAGCTCAAGATACCCCGCGCCCAACGGACCGAGGAAACCCAAGATCGTATCAAGCGGTTCTCCAATGAAGATGGGATCCTGCTGCACGACAACCTTGTCTATGTCCCCACCAATGAGCTCTGAGCTGAATTCTGCCACAACATGCACGATACACCCCTAGCCGGCCACTTTGGGATGTCCAAGACGCTCGAACTCACCTCCCGCAACGACTGGTGGCCCAGCCAGTGGCGCTTCATCAAGGCCTACGTCAAGTCCTGCGATATCTGTAGCCAAGCGAAATCCAGTCGACACAAACCGTACGGCCTACTCCAGCCCAACGGTATCCCTACCCGCCCTTGGGGATCTTGGTCCCTGGACTTTATCACTGGTCTGCCTCCCGTTGATGGGTACGACTCCATCCTGAACGTCAACTGTCGCCTCACCAAGATGTCCCACTTCATCGCCTGCAGCGAGTCAGAATCCGCCGAATCCACCGCCGACCTAGTCTTCCACAATATCATCCGTCTCCACGGCCTCCCCAACGACATCATCTCTGACCAAGGACCCCACTTCAAGTCCCGGTTCTGGCGTCGACTTCTCGAACTCCTTGGGGCGAAAGGCAACCTCTCCTCGGCCTTCCACCCCCAGAGCGACGGCCAGACGGAAAGCACCAACCAGATCCTGGAGCATTATCTGCGATGCTTTTGGAACCACCAACAGCCCATCCTGGGCTTCCTTGAGCTCAAGGGCGAGCTGTTCATGGACTTCCCTGATTTGGTTAGCGCAGGCTTCAGCGGCGGGGTTGACGCATTCGGAGGTAGCAGAGGCAGCGAAACTGAAGCAGGAGTAAGGACAATGGAGACCCTTGTTGGCGTAGAAGGGGGTGGTCTGGGAGGCGGACTGGTGGGTGTTGTTGTAGGCGAACTCGGCGGACGACCGAAGCTGTTTCCAGTTGTCCTGTTGGTGGTTGCAAACGCATCGCAGATACTGCTCCAGGATCTGGTTGGTGCGTTCCGTCTGGCCGTCGCTCTGGGGGTGGAAGGCCAAGGAGAGGTTAACTTTCGCCCCAAGGAGTTTGAGGAGTCGATGCCAGAACCGGGACTTGAACTGGGGTCCTCGGTCGGAGATGATGTCGTCGGGGAGGCCGTGTAGACGGATGATTTTGTGGAAGACCAGGTCGGCGGTGGACTCGGCGGATTCCGACTCGCTGCAGGCGATGAAGTGGGCCATCTTGGTGAGGCGACAGTTGACATTCGGGATGGAGTTGTACCCATCAATGGGAGGCAGACCGGTGATAAACTCCAGGGACCAAGATCCCCAAGGGCGGGTAGGGATACTGTTGGGCTGGAGTAGGCCGTACGGTTTGTGTCGACTGGATTTCGCTTGGCTACAGGTATCGCAGGACTTGACGTAGGCCTTGACGAAGCGCCACTGGCTGGGCCACCAGTAGTTGCGGGAGGCAAGTTTGAGCGTCTTGAACATCCCAAAGTGGCCGGCTAGGGGTGTATCGTGCATGTCGTGGCAGACTTCAGCTTGGAGCTCATTGGTGGGGACATAGACAAGGTTATCGTGCACTTGTGGGGGGATTGGCGAAATGAGAGGAGAGAGGAGGAGTGGCGATATTGCAGGAGGATTGGCGAAATGAGAGGAGAGAGGGGGAGTGGCATTGACATTGACATTGACACTGACATTGCCACTGACATTGACATTGACATTGGCGTTTGACATTGGCGGTTGACTTTGGCGGCTGTCAGTAGGTAAGCTTATGGTATGGGCGCGTCGTCCATAACATCGTCGGACCCTCATCAGACTGCTCGTCCTCAAAATCACCCGCCAACGGGTTTTCGGCGGGGGCAGACCGCTTTTCCTTGAGGCCTTCGCGGTACGCCAGGTTGTCAGGGCACTTCGGGCTCTGAATACTCCTACGAGCGATGACCTCCGATGCTGATGTGGGTTTGGCCGATGCTGATCGCCCAGCTTTAATGCAAGCTTGGCAAGTGAAGTCCGGAGTCGACTGCGACTTGGTCATGGTGGTTGAATTGGCGCGGTTAGAAACTCTGCGTATGAGGTTGAGACACAGAGTGAATGGTTTTGGTGTGGACCGCGACTCTGCGTATGAGGTTGAGACACAGAGTTCCTGGCATGCCCCCAAGGGCCTCTTCAGACCCTGCTTATATACTCCGCTTGTATTTTGATAATTTCAGTGCGACACAGAGTCGGTCTCGGTGCGGCACAGAGTCAGGATTCATATGTTTTGACACTTTTTGACACTTCCTGACGCGGAGACGTTGTCTTCCCCTCAATCAAGCCCCTTGGTGACTCACTCAGTCGGATTGGGCGCAAGGAGAGTAGTGAGAGATTGGGGTTCTTCAGTTCGCAATCTTTGCCACTGTTTCGCCCCTCTTTGAACCCTATTCAGACGTCCACCCACTGAGACTTTGGCGCGTTTCTGGGACCATATCCTGCTTATTGGACCGAGCCCGTGGCTTTGGATCTGGAACGGCTTTGTTGCGTTTCTGGGGGCTTTATTCTGCTTATTGGAGCGATTCCGGAAGTCTTGGGTCGGTACATTTTGAAGCGATTTTGGGTCTGTTTCGAGGGTAAATGACTGTTTCTGAAAAGTGTGGTTATCTGGTGGCCAATATACTGACGTGTCACGGACTTGGTCACTTTGGCCCTGTTTGGCCGACTTCGTCACCTTCCCAAAAAACAGACAAAGCAGACAAATGGCGTGCTAAATAAAGCGGTTCACATTGCAGACATCTGTTGCTCACTTTGCCTGATATCTCTGTAAACCAGCAGCCGGGTTCTTTTTTGGGCTCAAGGGGTCTTCAGGCCTTATTCCAAGTTCTGAAGGGTGCCGAGGACCATCCTTTGAGGCATCTTACCGGCTGTAAATGGCCTCTAGCTCAAGGGTCCCGTCTCCAAGTCCTTCAACCAGATCAAATGCGCCTCTTCTGGGACGGCGAGGAAGTGTAGACACCTTGGGAACAATGTCTGGCTTGCACACTCCAGAAGTAGATCCTGATGCCGATGAACGGGAAGACTTGTTGGCAGCCGCGGCGGCTGCTGGACTGAGTATGCCTAACCGGCCGGGGGCTAGCTCCGTTCGCGAAGCCGAGGAAGGTGCAGGGTATGTGTGCACCAATGACACGCTAGCATCTCGACAAGTTGAACAAGACTGATAGAAAGACGTCCAGAAACGCGGAACCGTTCACTTTCAAAAGGAAAGGGCCATCGAGACGAAACTCGACTTTTATCAGAAACGGGAGCATTCTCGGTGGACTAGCGGCGTCATGGCGCTCATCGAAGAGTTCTTTAATGGGATCTATTGCTCCGGCAAGTTTGAGAAGCCCGACGGCCGGAGTATACTATGGGCCCTCTGCCGCCGACAAGGTATGCTGTGATGCCTTGAGGTGGGATGTCAGCGATGAGGCGGCTGATAGGCTGTTGGCTATCTGTAGGTGGATAGTTATGACCCCAAGTCGGCGGAATGGGCAATGGAAGGAACGGGACGACGTGTAGCGTATGACGACTTCACGACAATTGACTGGATACACGACTTTTCGAAAGGTGGGCAGCTGAGTCGACGAATATGCCAACGATTGTGGGTACTGATGGCACTTTCATCTACGCTGCTGTCAGAACGCGTGAGGATAAGAAAGATGCGTCAACATACGGGGATCCGCGGGAATATCAGAAAGGCCTTTGATGCATGCCAGGCCTGGATCTTGGTCTTCCTCGTGGGAGCAGTGACAGGGTTGCTTGCAGCATATATCGATCTTGTGTCGGAATGGGCCGGTGACATCAGAGAGGGGCATTGCAAGGAGGGTTTCTACTTGAATCGGAAGTTCTGCTGTTGGCATGTGGATGGAGACGACGTTTGCGACACATGGGCAGCCTGGGGTGGTGGAGGCGACGGAGCAGCGCATTGGGCCACAGAGTACTTCTCGTACATGCTTTTTGGAACGGGATTGGCTGTTACGAGTGCTGTGCTGGTGAAAGTTTACGCTCCGTAAGTCGGACATCTCTTGGCTGATGTGGTGCGGGAAATGTGCTGATGCACGGTCACTTTGTCACTCAGATATGCCGCTGGTTCTGGAATACCGGAGATCAAGACCATTCTGGGTGGCTTTGTGATCCGGAAGTTCTTGGGTGGATGGACGTTACTGGTACGATATCCAATTGTCAAGAATGGTCACCTGTTTGCCCAAGGCTAACACCCGTCCAGGTGAAATGTATAGGAATCTGTTTATCGGTCGGCTCTGGTCTTTCTCTCGGCAAAGAAGGACCATTTGTGCATATTGCCTGTTGCGTCGGAAACATTTTACCTCGAATCTTCGATAAGTATGCTAAGAACGAAGCAAAGAAGCGTGAGATATTGGTAAGCATGCTCGTAACGTAGACTGCTCAAGCTGCAAATGGCCAATTGTTCTGCGTTGCAGAGTGCCGCCAGTGCCGCCGGGGTATCCGTTGCGTTCGGAGCACCCATCGGTGGGGTGTTGTTCTCTCTCGAGGTATGAAACGCGTCTGTAAGATGAAGGCATAAGCCCGTGGCGATTTGCTCACCATAAACATCCGATTGCAGGAAGTATCATCGTACTTCTCGTACAAGACGATGTGGCGATCCTTCTTCTGTGCCATGGTGGCTGCCATATCACTGCAACTCGTAAACCCCTTCCGAACGGGAAAGTTGGTGTTGTTTGCAGTAGAGTATAAGCGACCATGGCACGGATTCGAGTTGCCTTTCTTTGTCTTGTTGGGGATCTTGGGGGTATGTATGATCGGATATTCCTGTCACCATTCCTTCTCTGACACGTTGATTGGGCGATTCAAGGGCTTATTCGGCGCGTTCTTCATACGCATGGTACGTCCCCTGCGGTTCTGGAGATGGCGTCTTCACCTTTTGAGCTGATCTCGACATAGAATATACGGGTTGCCGAGTATCGCAAAAACACACGACTCCGAGATTGGCCAGTCACCGAAGTCTCTGTGATTACGTTCATCACGGTGTTGCTCAGCTTCCTTCATCCCTTGTTGAGGTACGTTGGCTAGCAATCAATACCCGCTGAGGAAGCTTCGCGCGGCTGACTGTCGGGCGTGCCTGTTTCTAGGGTTGGCAGCGTCGATTTGGTAGCAAACCTATTCCGAGAATGCGTCGAACATGACTCTAGCTTCTACGGGCTCTGCGAGTGAGTTTTGGTGTTGACTGGAGTCATCTGACATACCGACTGCCTGACACCTTCGTTTCGTTCGCAGAGAGCCATTGAAGAACGTGCCGAGCGTGATATTCTACCTTATTCTCGCCGCCGGGCTGAAGATTCTGTTCACCATTTTCACGTTCGGCATCAAAGTGCCCGCCGGCATCTTCATTCCTTCGATGACGATCGGAGCATGCGTTGGTCGTGCTCTGGGGATCATCATGCAAACTTGGCAGAAAGAGTACCCAAGCTTTTGGTTGTTCAACGTATGTGGCGAGGATTGTGTCACACCGGGAACATATGCGAGTAAGTATGCCACGCGCGAGTCACCGCACGTAGTGAAATGCATGTCTGACTGTTTCGGTAGTGGTGGGGGCCGCCGCCGCCTTGGCAGGAGTTACCAGAATGACCGTGTCCCTCACGGTCATCATGTTTGAACTGACTGGTGCTCTAACCTATAGTAAGTGCATAGTATACTAGGTGAAGTTTACTCAAGACGGCATGCTGACCTTGCAACCAGTTCTGCCCATCATGCTTACGGTTATGGTCTCCAAATGGGTCGGGGACGCATTCGGCACCGAATCAATCTACGACGCGCACATTCACCTCAATGGATACCCCTTTCTGGATGCCAAGGACGAATACGTGTGGAACACGACAGCCGGGTCTGTCATGACTCGCGTTGAGGACTTGGAAGTCATTGTTGGGTCGGGGTGCACTTTGGAATCTCTGCAGGAACTGTTGCAGGGTACGGCATATAAGGGGTATCCTGTTGTCGATGGCGCGGACTCGATGCGGTTGATTGGGTTCGCTGGCAGAGCTGAATTGCGTTATGCTATGGGTTAGTTGAGATTCGCGGCGTGCACCTTGTTCATCCTCAAATCTGTGTGCGTGTGTTGGAAGTACTGACCAGCTCCACCTTCCCCGTATGCAGAACAAGCTCGCAAAAACGAACTCCCACCCCACACGATCTGCACATTTGCCGAAAGTGCCTCGCCCTCGACGGCCCGTCCCTACTCCACCGCATCCTACGAAGAAAACGATATCTCCTTCGTCACCGCCACCGATTCTGAAAACCCCGAGTTCAGCGGCGACCACCGCGGCCTCAACACCGAGGACATGTTCCTCGACCTTCGCCCATGGACCGATCAAACCCCCATGACGATATCGCCACGATTCCCGATGGAGATGGTAATGGAGCTGTTCAAGAAGATGGGGCTGAGATATGTGCTCGTCTGCAAGGACGGACGGCTGGTGGGAGTTATTACCAAGAAGGACTTGTTGAGACATGTGAACGTCGAGAAGAGTCGATGGCACTGAGGTTCTTGAGGAGGATGTCCTGAAATCTGTAGTTTAAATGTACATATGTAGAGTTTACCGTTTTTCTTAGCGTAATGTAATGTACATAAAGTAGTTTCGCCCGCATCTGGATCGCAAGAGTACAGTATCTGATTCCTTGATTTTATCAAAAAAAAAAATATTCCGACTCGGCTGTTTCTTTGGGACGCGGAATCGCTCTCTGGGCGATTTGACACTCCGAACGTTTAGCCAATTCAAGACCGTGCACCTCAGCAAACATGGCCGCAAGCAACACCGAAGCCGAAGCCGATGCCCTGGTTATATCGACCAACCCCGAGCACCCCGCTAACCTCATCCCGGAGCTCTGCAGGTTGTTTTGGACGTTGGGCTGGGTTACAGGGACAGGGTACGTCTATTGGCAGTCGTCTTTTCTCATAGCGGTGGTTCCCTGTTAACCCACCACATTACCTTCCCATTACAGAGGAGGCATCACGATAAAAGAGGGCGAAACCATCTACATTGCCCCATCGGGAGTCCAGAAGGAGCGCATGGAGCCTCATCACCTCTATGTCCTCACCCTATCCCTTCCCCGCCGCGTCCTCCGCTCCCCACCGCCATCTCTAGGGTTCAAACCATCACAATGCACACCTCTATTTGCAAATGCATATGATATGCGTGGGGCAGGAGCATGCATCCACACGCACTCCCAGAACGCCGTCATGGCAACGTTGCTGTATCCCGGGAAGGAGTTTGTGATAACACATCAGGAGATGATTAAGGGGATCAGGAGGGGGAGCTCGAAGGAGTCGTTTAGGTATTTTGATCGGCTGGTGGTGCCTATTGTAGAGAATACGGCGCAGGAGGAGGATTTGAAGGATCGGATGGCTAAGGTGCGTAGATGGACTATTGCGGTCACATCACTGAACGTATGCTGATACCTGGCAATATAGGCGATTGCGGACTATCCTGAAACAAATGCCGTTTTGGTGAGGAGGCATGGCGTCTATGTCTGGGGAGAGAACTGGCAAAAGGGTAAGTGGCATCGCACATGGCGTTCCGCAATGCTGAGTCCTGTATGCAGCGATAACCTCAAACATTTCTCGTCAGCCAAATCCATGACCGAATGCTACGACTACCTGTTTGAGATTGCTGTGAAGATGAAGAGCGTAGGGCTGGACCCAACCCAAGTCCCAGATGATAGCGAATACCGTGACGTTTGCCAGCAGCATTAGATCTTAGATTGTAGAATTCTCGCCTGAGGTCGAAAACAGCGTAGCAACCGAAACATACGAAGTCATATACGGCCTCGGTACGCCGCGCTTTGTCGCAGTCCTTCAAAAACGGGTATTATGGCGCTCATATCACAATCGCTCTTGAAAGCTCCATTCGACTACGCTTTCCGCTGATCAACAGAGCCAGCCAGCTCGTATTACAGTTCATGAACCAATGTTCTTATTCAAATGCAGTAGGGTGATGATTGTCACAGTGTGCATATGTACAAGGACTTCCGGGCTATATATGACTATCCCTGGAAGCTGCGGTAATCTCCGAAAGTTAAAGGAACCATGAGAATGCCTCCTTGAAGGCCTTCTCCGCATCCGTCTCAACGATCGTGCCGTGGCATGGGACTGTTGGAGGTATAAGCAAGCAAAATCAGGGATCTGATTCAAGAGGAATGAGCCCTTAGATCGGGATCACTTACTAATGCGATCAAATTTCCAGTTGTCAAGAACATGCTTGACATCGCTCTTCATCTGCTCGGTATCCGCGTTCATCAGGTAGCGGTTGAAGAGCTTATGCGCCCCCGCGTCTGGTTTCAAGAACAGCTGCATGGCGCCATTGAAGATATCACCGGCAGTCCCGCTTGGCCCACCTTGCTCCTTCGGAAGCGGGAAATTGATCATCAAATCGGCAGTAAGGAGCGTCTTTGATGGGCGGTGCAAGTAAAGCGTGTCCTGGTTGCGTTGTCCGCTGAAATGGCGATAGCTGATCTCGTCTTCAAATCCGATGCGCTTTGGCGGGACAGCCGGTGCCGGGTTGGCGGCATCAATGGGTTTCACGCCCTCTACGATGACATCGAACTTGACATCATCCCTCTTTTCTTGAAGACCCGGAACACCGATGAGCACAGCGTCGGGCCACTTTTGCTTGTACTCTGCGGCATGGAGATGGTGGACGATGTTGGGGCACACGACGTATTTGACCTTGCCGAGTTTCTCCAGTTCGGCGAGTGTGGTCGTCCCGTTCGCATCGGTCGTGTCGCCGAGCGGCGTGGGTGAGACGACGAACAAGTCGCCGTTTTGCAGACGCACGGCGGTCATGCGCATGCCGACCGGCATGACCCCGCGGGTGACGAAGGATTTGGAGAACGTTGTGACGGCGTTGTCCAAGTGCCGGACGGTGGTGGTTTGGGTCGACATGGTGGTTGAGAGCTTCTCGTATTCGAGGGTAATATCGAAGCGCTGTAAGGCGTACAGGTATGTGCAAGCAGGATGACGTTCAGGGTATGAAGAGAACAGGGCAATGCTTTGATATGTACAGGCTGTGAAAGGAGGGTAAGATGATCTCGATGGGTGCTTCGGAAAAAATTGCGAGAGGGTGAAACTCTGGGAGACTTTCTATGATGTCAACAGTGTCAACGCGTAAAACGGGTGGTATGTTCGTAACAGGTAAACAGCAATGATATATCTGAGGCTACAGTATTCCGGCCTTAGTGAAGTGATTTCTGAACGACAGCCCCCCAGAGCACTGCGGAAACAGCCATACGAAACTCAAGATGCCAGTAGCAAAAGCACACCTCGAAGAGGCTATCAAGTCCAAGCTGGAAGCCGAGCACGTTGTAAGTCTCTGACGTGTAATTGCCGCATTTATTGCCTTTGCACTCTCGCTAAACCGTACCTTTCCCACCTTAGGACGTGATCGACACATCAAACGGCTGTGGGCAGTCTTTTGAGGTAGTGATTGTTTCGAAGCTGTTTGAGGGGAAGCCGACATTACAAAGACATAGGTGGGTTCTCAAACGAAGATGGTTTCGAGAAGCACTTGGGACGGACGAGTCGTAAAGGGGAGGTCGACCGGTTGGGTGTGCGGGCTGGAGCGGGAGGTTTAACAGGCGAGAGTGCATCATCACTCTAAACCTCGCCGACGTTTCATAGATTGGTGAATGAGGCCCTGAAAGATGAGATAGCACAGATCCACGCCTTCACTCAGGTAAGGGCTTCTTCGCGGGGGACAATTGGAAAGGTGCTTGCATCTGACATCCGTGGATTGCCGCAGAAAACGTATACCCCCGAACAATATGCAAGTTTAAAGAAATAGATTCCCGTCGATGCGATTACTGACCTCTACGGTGTAAGAATGGCAGCAAAGCCTTTCGGAACGAGCACTGGCGTAGAAGGAGGGGAAATGGGCGCGGACGACCGGGGCAGTTGGATTTAGCGTTAGATCTGTTCTTGTTGAACATGCGGTTTGCTGGCGTCGAAAGCCATTTTGGGAGTGGTGACAGTGGACGGACGTCCTCCTGCCACATGGGAAAGTTCCAAACAATCCGCCTCCTCCCTATTCTCTTGCCAATCCATCATGTTTCTTAATCTCCATGCTCCTCAACCGCTACATCTCTCGCGCAAAAGTTTGTTCGGAAAAATCATGCCAGTGGTATTGGGATCGAAAGAGATATGGTGGAGAACAAGAAAGAGCCAACTGGAATGGATGGCTGTAAGGTCCATTTCGGTCCAATCTGCATCCTCCTGCTGCCCATTCCAAAATGTTCTCGATACGTTAGGGTTGCTGTCCGGGTTTGGGGTTGGGGATGTTTATCCGACAATGATCTTGCCGTCGGCGTCGTTGAGTTCGTATGCGGGGATTTCCAAGTTAAGAGGCGCGGGTCCCTTCCTGTTCATGGGAGGGGAAGTGAGTATCTGCAAGGCAACACACGATCAACGTCCGCGAGTGCCAGCATCAACGTACCTGATACGGCCACTGATGTCGTAGTGGGATCCGTGGCAAGGGCAGAACCAGCCTCCGTATTCACCAGCTAGGGAACAAATTGAAAATGAGGACTCCATCCGTTCGTGGAACAAAAGGGCAGCCTCACATACCCTCTCCGATCGGAACGCACCCGAGATGTGTGCATCTAAAAACGGGAATTAAACTTAGTTAAATTCGTTTTTAGAGAACTTCCTCGCTACCTTGCGAAACTCACACGCCGAGCATGACAAGCCATTCGGGGTTCTTCGTCCTTTCAGCATCTGTTTCGGGGTCGCGAAGTTCGGCGACATTCACGGCGTTGGCTTCTGCGATTTCCTCAGCGGTACGGTGACGAACGAAGACGGGCTTTCCACGCCACTACAAGATGCACGATATCGTTCAGTGCCTTCTCCCACGGCTACAATATGGGAAGAAATGTGCCATACCTTGATGACAACGTTCTTTCCTTCGGGGATGGAAGCCATATCAAGCTCAACCTTGGCCAAAGCCAAGACATCCGCGGACGCAGCCATGTGCACAAGGTAATCTGTCACGATGTTCTTGGCCATGACAGCACCGACGAAGGAGTAAGCACCGATCATGAAGTAGGCGTAGTTGCGAGATGAGTACTCGTTGTAGTTCTTGACTTTGTAGGCATCCTGTTCGCGTGGGGGGACAGTGACGTCTGCGGAGTACTGCACTTGCTTCACCGGGGAGGCGTAGTACCGCTTCTGGCTGAGGAAGTTGGGGCCGGCTGTTTCCGTCGTTCAATTTGAACGACGTATCGTCAGTCAGTGTCTGTCCCATATCACGCCGTAGTCTCCCAGACTCTTTCCGTACTCCTCCTCCCTCCACATCTCTACAGATGACCAGCAGATAAACTAGCCGCCCGAGAGCAGTTTCTTACCGGTGTAGTGGGTCTTGGAAGACAGTTGAGCACCGTTGATGGTGGCAAGGACTGGCCTGGCGACGTATGGCACAGAGGCCTTCGATGCCTTAGCGGGCGAAGCCGTAAGGCTACGGGGTGTGCCAACGATGGGCTTCGCCCAGAAAGTGCGGGAAGCAGCGAGTGCCGGGGAAACCTTTGATGCCATGGTGCTCGCTATGTACGAAAAAGAACGTGGGGATTGGATTCAAGAGGGAGTTAGCTGGATTCCGAACCTTCGGCAGATTTGCATGCGAAAGCTCCGACGTTGCCAACTCGCTCTTCGGCACGATCCACCGGTTTGTCGTCCACTATATCAGTCCTGATGCCGCCGTTTCCGGGATCGACACTCACCTTCTCGTTCTGTGAGTATGAAGACGACGTTTGGGCCTCGTAATGCGCTATGTAAAATCCGCCCAGGTTGCGTCGCTTTTGTCCGCCCTCCCGACTTCCACCGAAAGAGCGTTGCCACAAGCTAAAGTAAGTCATCGGCCTGAAAACATATGGAACGGGGCGTAAGGGAAATCCATCACTTCCTTTGTATCAGGCGGGCCATCTTCATCACGTGATTCCTCATTAACGGTGAGCTTCCCTCGAAGCAACCTCAAAAGCCCTCACTCCAACTTCCCACGCAGCTCCAACGACTCCATCCCCAGCCCACCGACGTTCAGATTTACAAGGTTGACGATGACATGGAAAGCCATCGTACCAGGCATGCATGAGATTGTTGAGCGAGGGAACGATCTCCTACCAAAATTACTCGGCATTTATATTCTCTGGAGATCTTCACCGGCCCCTCTCTCGTATTGCTCTACTCTTGGATGGGCTCTTTTTTGCGGGCGTTTCATGGCGTTACTGAACGCAGGTCCTGATACCGTGATTCAAGGGCGTCGACGTTGCAAGCCTGGCAATATCGAGTGTAGCAAGCCTGGTGAACCTCGAGAGGCTAAAGCAAAATCCAACTCCCATGACCTGCCCCGCCCCCGGAGCAGATGAAACTGAGACGGCCTGAACGACAAGTGTGCATCTTCGTTTTATATGCGGTTCCGGAGATTCCTTTACTGTTGAAGGTTACTATTTACCTACGGCTAGGTTGCCTTTCCTTTGACTCGCCCGCTTGACTCGCAATGGGTTCATGAAAGTTTGATGCAGCTCTGGAGGCAAACCCATACCGTACAGCAGTAGGGAATCCCGCAATTTTTGTCGATGGCAGAATCCTGTTGGGCCGTTTTTTTGAATTGGTGATCCGCCTTGATGTCTCCTTGGGAAGTTGGGAGTGTGTGGGAGCTGCCGCTGCTGTGATTTTTTGAGCGCGTTTTTTGCTGCGCTCCCCCCGATAAGCTCTCTGGACCGCTTCAGCTCGCTCAAGTTCATATAAAAAGAGGCTGCAGCGGCATCTCTTTCCTCCCTCCCCGACAATCCCCTCTTGCAATCGCCAAACTTCTCGCGCAGGCACTCCACTCACAATGGCTGATACAAAGCGAACATCTCTGTCTTTCACGTCGGCGGATCTTGGAAACAGTTCGTTTGACGACAAGATCGCGAACGACGTGGGAAAGAGGCTCTTCGAACCGAACCCGGCCATCAAGAATGTCCTCATTACAGGTGGAGCAGGCTTCATGTAAGTTCGGGGATGGCCGGTTGGGGATAGATGGGCTCAGCGCATATTGCGTTGGGAGGCCCTGGCGAAGCTCGTGTGATGTCCGCTCGCAGCTCTTTTTTTTTTTGAAAAGCTCAGCACTTACCGTTCTTGTTCTCTCTATAACCTTAGCGCTTCTTTCATTGTGCGCAAACTTGTTCTCCTCTACCCTGAGTACAACGTGAGTAATTTCGAAATGCGGAGTCGTTTCATTCGACCGCGATTACGGGACTAATCCTTCTCCTTACCAGATTTACAACTTCGATAAACTCGATTACTGCGCCTCCACGAACAACAACAAATCGGTCGCCGACAAGCCCAACTACTCTTTCATCAAGGTGCGGAAACGCTTTCTGAGGTTATTTCTTGCTTTGGCACCGGTTTCTCATTCTATGTTGCTTCTTGCCGATAGGGAGACATCTGCGTGAAGGATCTCGTAAACTTCGTGTTGGCGGAAAAACAGATTGACACAATCCTTCACTTTGCCGCGCAAACGCACGTTGGTAAGCTCAGCTAGAACGGAGTGTGGAATCCCATGGAGCCTTCAACTCAATCATTTCTCTCAGACAACTCGTTCGGAAACTCCGCCGAGTTCACGTTGAACAATGTTATGGGTACACACGTGTTGCTCGAAGCGGCCAGGATAAACAACGTCAAGAAGTTTATTCACATATCCACTGATGAGGTCTACGGGGAGGTGGAACACGGTGGTGTAAGTACTGCGGGGCGTTTTTTTTTTTGCAAAGCGCGCGATTTGAACACGCATTCTGCCGCTGAGAGTAAGAACCCCGACTAACATGTCTGTCAACATTAATTAGGCTGAGCTCACGGAGGAGAGTTTGCTTGCCCCCACGAACCCTTACTCCGCCACTAAGGCAGCCGCCGAAATGCTGGTAGGCGCTTACCAAAAGTCCTTCGGCCTCCCCACCATCATTACCCGCTCCAACAACGTCTACGGACCTTATCAATACCCGGAGAAGATTATCCCCAAGTTCGTCACCCTCTTGTCGGAAGGAGGCAAAGTGTGAGTTCTCACCATTCCCACGAATGCCTCTTGAGTCTGGTCGAGTCCAACTGACTATTGTGCCCTTTTGGTTTCAGTTTCATTCACGGCGACGGAAGCAACACTCGTCGGTTCATTTACGGCACTGACGTCGCGGATGCGATTGAGGTGATCTTGCACAAGGGACACACCGGCGAGACATACAACATCGGAACACCCTTTGAGATTTCCAACCTCAACCTGACAAAATACCTTATCGAACTCATGGGTTTGAAGGAAAAGGAGAAGGAGCTCATTGAGTTCGTCGAGGACCGTCCGTTCAACGACACGCGTTACGCCATCGACTCTGCCAAGCTTGAGGCATTGGGCTGGAAGCCCAAGGTTTCGTTCGAGGAAGGCGTCCGCAAGACCATCTCATGGTACACTCAGTACTCCCGCAAGTGGTGGTCCAACATCCAGGGAGCGCTCGTCGCCCACCCCTACAAGAGCGGTGCCGCGCACGAGTTGATCGTCCCGAAGTAAGCGACATTGGAGACTCTGGTTGTTTGACCTTATATATAGGAGCGCGTGTGGGGACGTCCTTGAGGTTCTATAGGACACATATGCATGCCGGCCATGAACTTGGGTAATTAGACTTCGCCCGGGACAAAAACTACCTTTTGGATTTCCATGTATAAGGATTTTCCTTCTGTCCTTTCATTGACTTCTTGATAATTATATAAACTTTATTGTAAACAATTGCCAACGAAACCTCTTCTCAGGACGGTGGGATATCTTACTAGGTACACCCAAAAAAAAGAATACTTTGTGCCCAAATTGTTACGCTGAGGTCAAATGGTCTCAGGCTAGCTGCTCAAATTTACTGCTCACAGTCTCCAAAACGATTTATTGAGTGGCAGTAACCCTCGCCGAACCTGTCGCCGAAGGCCGCGGGAGTTGATTGGCCCGACTCGAGCTTCTGGTAGGAGCAGGGTCAAGAGCTGTGGCAGCAGCGTTGGCGGCATCATCCATCGCTCGACGCCCGGTCAAACCTGCCATCGCACCGCTTCCACTCGGGCCTGCGGCAGATGAAAACGACGGTCCCGCTGCTTGCGATGACGACGACGCACCACCGCCGGCGACGGTGGTCTTCCCACCCGTCAGTCCACCGCTCCTCGAACCACTGCTTGACCCTGCACCGCTAGCACCCGCATGCGATCCGTGACGATGGTGATGATGCGAACGTTTCTTGTCGTCCTTTTTTGCTTCTTCACTTTCTTCCTGGTGCATGGAGAACACCTTGTGCAAGATGCCGACAAAGTCGCGCGCTTGCGGACCGGACTGCAGATCGTCTGCCACTCGGCAGATGTCGCGGAAGAGCGGCTGGACGGCGGCTTTTGTGGCTGCGGCGGGTGGAGGTGTGGAAGTTGTGGGAAGCTTGTGCAGCGGAAGGTCCGATGTTTGAGTACCGTGAGATATCTTGAAGTCGGTCTGGGTTGCGGAGTCCGCCAACGGCGACGCGTTTTGAGACGCTCCGGTGCCGTCGCGTCCGGCGTGAGACTCCTTTCCTTCGGCCTGCGCAACATGGCCGGCCTCACCGCCCATCGTCAATTGCGAGCTGCCGGCACTCAGGGCCCTCAATGGCCCGTCCCGTCCTTCCGCGGCCGACGATATTTGCACCTCGACAACGTCCTTCTCTCCCCCGGCATCATCGTGCCCGGCGTCCGAGTCAGCGAGCATCTTCTCTAGAAGCGACAGTTGCTCCTCTCCAAGCATCCTCAATTCTTTCTGTATCTGCTGTAGGAGAGGGACTTTGTTTTTGAACCAGCGAAGCCCGCGGTCGGGATCGGTTATATTCACGCAATCGGGCATGTGATGCAGGGCGGAGACGATACAGAGACGCGGCACAGCAAAGATGACAACGGGATCGAATGTATGTACCTGCGGCCAAGTAATGTAGCCGCAATGTACCGCGCGGATGATGGTCTCGGACATCAAAACCTAATTCCGGGATGGCCAAAATAGAATCAGACTTCGAGGTTCACAGTTTCAGTATGATGGCCCACAGATCTCCGACATACCTGGAACATGTCCAACTCCTCCGCTCGTCCCGCGCGTCCCCCGTAAGTCACCGAAAAGTAGCAGAAGCATATCTTCTGCTCAAATAGCGTCCACGCCGTATCAAATTCCTTCATAACGGGGTACAAATCAAAATACGGCGGGCTAGAACACGCCAATGCCCGTCTTGTAAATGCCGCTCGCAACATCTCTATTGCAGAATGTAACTGTCGGGCTGGCTCATACAGCTCCGCCGTATACTCCTCGATCCCCCGAATGCGGAATCCGCGGCTCAATGCCTGGGCGGCAAAGAGGATATTCTCGGAGAACCCACCCTCGAGCTCGCGTTGATCATCCGCGGGCAGTTGGCGACGGTATTGACGAGACGCTTTCATGTCTTCGTCCATGTCGGTGTAGATTAGGTAAATTGTCTCCAGAAGGAGAGACTGGGCGCGGTGGACGCGCTCGTTTCGGCGTTTGAAGCTCTCCGAATCTATGTCGCGGACTTTCTGCAGGCCTGCAACGGCCTTTGCGAGGTGTTTGTCTGTGTGATAAAAGGAGCGTCAAAACCCGAGAATCGCGAACCACTATTCAGGTTGACTGACTTACCTGCAAACCAAAACAAACTAATCGGCTGGGTCTCATTCAATCGTGGCGGCAAATCCTGTTCGCGCGGTTGCCATTCTTGAAATTGAAAGATCTGGGCAACTGTGTAGCCGTTTTGTGGCGTAGGGGGCCGAGGAGTCTGTGCCGGCTGTGCAGGCTGTGAAGCCGTCTGCCTATTCGGCTGCGACGTTCCTGTTGATGCAGAGCTTCCGGGTCGGTTTGACGTACCGGTCATTCCCTGTGAGCCAGCGCCGATAGTGGCTGTAGGAGTGGCATTGCTACTCCTCGTTGACGATGCGGGTGATGACCGTGCCGCCGGTTGCTGCATCGAACGCGGGAATGTATGGTGACTGATTTGCGGAGCCGATATGTTTTGCAGCACTGTCGCGCCGGATGGAGTTGTAGCGTACATAGCTAAGAGGGCTCTTGGAGTTGTGTAGGTATTTATGACGGACGTGGCAGGCAGAATCTGAGCGAGATTGTCCCTCGAGCTAAGGAAAACGCTTTCGGGAACAGAAGCTGCGATTCCCGCTAGATTTTCGAGAAAAGCCAGATATTGTTCAGCCTGCCTGATATAACGTGTCCTCGTTGGCGAAAACACCAGGCGGCCAAACACGACCCTGTTTACGCTTAATCACCGTTCCTTTGCGGAAAACCGTCTCCCGCGAGCTTATAAACGTCGGCCATTTTTGAGGAACTCTAGATCTAAGCTGTCACTCGGTTCCGTCCTGGAACCCCTTCTGGGAAGAATGAGGATTCTGATTCGCGTGACGGCTTGACGTAACGCGTTTTAATTAACAAATGACGGCAAGCAGGTCTCGTAAACTCGACAGCGCGTTCAAGTGCACCGTCATCCTTGCATGAGAACACTCAGATTGTGGAGAGCCTCCGCTTTTCCTGGGCGCCTGCCAAACGCGCTGATCCCACTCCCAGAGGGGCATGGACCCTTCGGCAAAATGTGGGGAGCCCGTGTGACTGCCAGTGACAGTGGGACACTCATGGCTAACGAGGAAGCTCGTTTTGGGTTTTCCCTGGCATCAGATTATCGTTTTCTTCGTTCGGCATTGCAAGAATTTGCTTTCCATATTGCGGTCACTCTTTGTCACCAAAGTTACCTGTGCATGGGGCTGCTGAAAGGTAGGCTTCTCTGAGAAGGCGAGGAGCAACATGTATGAAGAGCCCCAGAAACCGAGCTCCACTTGCCAACATTTTGGGGAACACTCGGCTTGTGCCGCGAGTCATTCACTCCACTTTCTAACTAATCATGACCACTGAATGGCGCATCCCACGTTCTCGTATCCTAGGGATAATGAATCGAATCCTCCGTCCACGGAAGCGCACTCGCCCCGAAACGACCTCGGAGACAAAAGCGGGAACACCGACGACCAGCAAGGAGGGAACGGTGGCTACCCCGGCTGCAACAAGGAGGACTTCAAAGAGAAGCAAGACAGGCGTTAGTGACGACGCTTCGGTGCCGGTGACGATACCTTCAAAAGAAGAGGTTCTGGCTGTTGCTGAAACTGTCATAACTACTCCAGCACCAAAACGAAGGGCTTCCACAAGAAGGAGAACAGCCGCCTCCGCCGGTGAGGACGCCCATCTGGTTGAAAACCCCAAAGAAGAGGAATCTGCTGTCGCTGAAACCGTCGAAGCTACCGCAGCACCAAAACGTAAAGGCTCTAAGAAACGCGAAACATTTGCTGCCGCCAGTGAGGCCGCCCCATCGGTTGAAATTCCCAACGAAGTGAACCCTGCTGTCGCCGAAACCGTCGTAGCTGAAGCCCAACCTATGAAAAGGAAAGCCTCGAACGCATCACGGAAGAGCAAAGCCTCCACTTCGCGGAAATCGACATCCACCTCAAGAAAATCAACCATTTCACGCAAAAGCAAGTCCGAGATGGGTAGTGAGATCTCGAAACCAAAACCCCCCGTCGCCGAAGAAGCAGCTCCCAAAGTGGAGGAGGAAGAGGAAGAGAAATCGATGGATTTGGCCGTACTCCCACAACCAAGCTGGTCGACCCCCCATGCAACTCGAAGCCTCCAAAAAGATCTCCTTCGAATTAGCAAACTGCAGGAAAGAACGACCGCCGAAGAACGCGGCTGGACAGTCGACCTCACAAACCTCGCCAACCTCTACCGCTGGCAAGTCCGCATCACCCATTTTGACAAGAAGTTGCCCATCGCGAAAGACCTAAAGCAGAAAAGGCTCGCTGACGTCGGGATCGTTCTGGAGGTGCAGTTCGGGCCCGAACATCCCGCCACGCCGCCGTACGTCCGCGTCCGTCGGCCTCGCTTGATGCAGTTCTGCAATGGCGGAGGTGGGCACGTGACTGCTGGTGGAAGTATCTGTGATGAGCTGCTGTCCGGCGATGGGTGGACCCCATCGATGCCCTTGGAAAACCTCTTTGTGATAACGAGGCTGGCTCTGAACTCAACGGAACCGAGACCGGCCAGGTTAGATCCGCGGAGATGGAACATGGGTTACACAGCGCAAGAGGCAATGTCGGCATATATCAGAGTTGCCAGAGATCATGGATGGCGTGTTCCGACTGGTTGGCAGCAATGGTTCGCTATCGAATACTGATGCTAGGGATGGACAAGCGGCCAATGTGAAGCAACGGAAAACTAAAATATTCGCTTACGAATAACTACATGAAGACTGGAGAATGAAACAGTTCATGAAGAAGAGAAAGGAGCGGCGCACGAAAGGGAAGTGGTATGGTCTTCCCCACTTTTGAAGAGCAATCCGATATGTCCTTCGTGCGGAGTGTTTTGGTGTGAAAGTCATGCGTTACGGAGGAGAAACGTCGGTCACGTAGTTCAAAAAGGCGTACTTGACAGTGTGAGCTGTAACACCCATCACTTGTATATACTGTGTGAGAAAAGTTCATAAGAACCGGCGTGCTTAACACTATTTGCGAGAGAGTCTCATCAATCGCCTGCTTTTGCGTCGGTCTCGAGTAGGTATCTAATCCTTGAGCATGTAGGTCATTTTCGTAATTACAATCGACCCATGCCAGCCGAGAACTTCGCTATCCAATACGGAGGGGGGGATTCAAAAGTCCGATACGCCGCAGTCTTTCCGACAGCAAATATACAAATGACGTAGCTTTCCGCCCACGGCAACCCCTCCTCCCACCCCCTGGTCCCTGAATGCCCGTAAAAATTACGCCGTCACAGCGCCTGCCGCTCCAAGTCGGGTATAAACTTTAACCGTGCCATCTAGGAAAAGCAACCGGGTCAGCACAAATCAGTATACAAGGATCTCCATGCCCAATTCAGACCCCAAACACACCAAAAGACAAATAGAGAGACTCACCATCACTGCATGTAGCAATCCATTTACTCCTCCACCCAAGCACCACATCCCTAACCTCCATACCGTCATGATCCCTCAGCACCGCCGTCACAGCACCCGACGCCATGTTGAAGACCACCACGGCGCCGTCATATGTTGGAGCGAGAATGTATCGGCCGTTCGAGGAGATTTTCGTCAACCACGAGTTTGACAGGTATCTATATAATGTCAGAGTGAGTAACCCCTCAGCCCGAGTTATGATGAAAGATCACGAAGCCTTACTCGGCATGCTGATAGCGTTTCACTTCCTCGAGGCGGAACTCATCGTCCTTCGTGGTGGGGTAGACGATCTTATGTAATCTGACTGTGTTCGGCACCGTGTCTGTCAAGTCGGATAGCAATGTCGTGAGCACTTGAAGCCTGGAAGAAACAGATTGAGAAGGGCGGCGGTACTCACTGACGCCCGCCACGCCTCCTTCGACCTCGACCTCCTCCACGCCCCTCGTCACCGCATACGCAAACATTTCCTTGTTTCCGTCCCCATTCAAAACCTCGTTCCACGACCTCGGCGGCGGTGGAAAGTCCAGCGCCTCGACGATCTTCACACAATCACAATAACAAGAATACAATTGTGGGAAAGTGTGTAGTTTCTGATTGAGTTCAAAGTCGAAGAGGTTGACGCCACCGTCGCAGGCCGCGAGGAAATATTTGTTGCCGCACTGCGGAAGGAACGTGACGTTGAAGGCCATACACGTTTCGCCGTCCTCCATGCGCGTGTATTCTTGGAGCCCGCTGTTGATAACCGTCGTGGCGTCAGCTTGGGGCCATCAATGACGCGAAGAATCATGTATGTACCTCCAATCGCTTCCCATCTTCCATTTGATAATGTATCCATCTTGGCTTGTTGTTATAAAGTACTGTTCGCCCTTGAACTCAACATCTTTGATGCACAAGATTTCTTCTTCATGCCCGCTTAGGCGTTCAGTGACTTTCCCGGTCATCACGTCAAATATCTAAAGGACAGAGAACCTGAGCGCTGTTCAAGGCCGACGACGCATTCGCTACCACACGCACCTTGAGCGGACAAGGCAAGATGTGGTTATCATTATCCTCCTCACTCCATTTCAACGGGTCCTTGAGCTTTCCGCCAACCACGATCCGGTCCATATTTTCCGTGAATCTCCCACAATAGAACTCGTCGATGTTCTTTTCTTCTTCGTCTTTCAGCAGCTGGATCTGCGTCCATGTTTCGCAATCCCATACTCTCACCGTTCCCAATGATGAGAAGGTGGCTAGCATGCGGCCATCAGGCGATTGAACCATACTGGTGATGTGCCCGTGGTCGCGGACATCAGCCGATGGATGAAGTGTGAGAGGCTGTGCCTCATTGATGTGATCTATGAGGGTGAGCGATTCATTATCTGGACCCGGGAGACGCGTCCAGTAACCGTCTGGGAATGCATCAGCGAGCGATGACATGATTTCCGGATCCGCAGAAGTCTTCAGCTAATGGGTGCCAAGGCTGGTAAGCTTCTGTGCGATCAAGCATTTCCCGGCTGGAAATGCGACTCGTACCTGCTTGCCCTTTGGTGTCATCTTCTTGATAGCAGTCACGATGGTCTTCTTCTTCTTTCCTTTCTCAGGATCATCAATGTCTTCCGATGCCCGTCTTTTCCCCCTCTCCAGAGGCTCCTTCGCCTTTCCTCTTTTCGCCGATGCCTTTGACGACGCCTTTGGTGTTTTCGCCGGAGTTTTCTTTCCCTTCGCTTTGCTCTTCACCGCAGGCTCGAAATCTGAGGACTGCGCCACGTCCTCCTCCTCCACATCTATCAATTCATCTTCAAGCATAGCGTCGTCGCTCCCGAAAATCGTTTCGTCATTCTCCTTGTCAACATCTGACTGGTCTTTCTTCGACTTTTCCTTATTGCTCGTGGTGGTATTTGCTTGGGCTGCTGTTTTTTGCTTTTTCGAAGGAGTTTCCAAGACAGCGGATGGGTTTCCTCCTTTCTCCGAGGGCAGTACACTACTTAAACTCAGCGTTTCTGATATGGGGTATGAGGGCTGTGCTAAACTGTAATTCGGGTCGCCTGGGTATATGAGTCCGAGTAGCTCGGTTTGAGTCTCGGCTTCGGCAAACTTGCGGATGGCCGAGTCGGGCAGATTTTGCACCATATTGCAACAGTGCCCAATGTATGTGCGTGCTATAAAGTACCTCTCTGCGCTATAAATATCTGTCACAGTCCGCGACGGTGTATCTAAGCTTGTATTTCTGGTTGACCAATGGACGACGATAAGTAGTTTTGGGCAGCGATAAAAACGAAGGGGAACCTGGGGGATGGCAGAGCGGGTGTCCGGAGCACGCGGACATGGGCCATCCCATTCAACGCGTTGTCCGACCTGCTTCGAATGTGGACGGCGGAGTACCAAGATACAGAGGCGTTCTGTTTGGGGCGTATTACCGAGCAACGAAACAGCAGTAATGAGCGATGATGCTGCGTCTCCAGAACTACTGGGCCTGTCTGATGGCCTATCACAAGCGTCATACATGCTGTCTGGAATCACCAACGCCTCCCAGGTTCCCTTAGCGACTTCAAACGGTGCAGAACTTAGCGAAGTCATTCAAGCTAAGGAGGCCGTGGAGGAAGGCAACGTTACGACCGTGGTCAGGAGCCTGGTCAGGAGCCAGGAGGTTGAAGCCAGCGCGCGCTCCGTAGCTAGCCACCAGCTGGCTTCACAGGAAAAACAGTCTGGGAGGACCCCAGTTACTTCGAATAGCGAAAGCGCAGCTTTGGAGGCAGAAGAAGATAAAGACGATTCAGGAACAGGGGAGGAGAAGGATTGTGAAGTCTCGCAAGTCTACAGTGGGGACGAAAGGCAGGGTGCTCCATGCTCTGCAGGTCCGGCCGCCCTGGATGAATTGAGGGATGAGTCAGTTGAAGAGGCAGATATCATGGAGCATTCGAACGAACCGGTGTCTGAAGATACAGACCCTTCAGAACTCATTGGCAAGATTCGATCGTTTTCCCCGGGAGAGAAAGCGGGGAACCCTATCCCGCTTTTTGAGTTATTTCGAGACGTAAGTCATTTGGATCCCGCACTCTTGTTAAAGAACGATATGATTCTCAGCGCATCTTATGTAGATACGAGAAATTGCTTTTCGAGCAATGAGGACGGAAGAAATTGCATTCCTGCTTCCACGGGACATTCAGGTAGCGGAATGGCAGCCGCAAAATGAGAAGAGACGGTCCAATGCTAAGTAATTCATTGAATGCAGGCGCTATGCTTTGAAAGATTCCGTCAAATCTCGGCTATCGTACTACAGGGAGCGGGCGTGACGGAAACGGAGCCGTGGGTCAATGTTGTCACGGAGTTATTTGCCAGTTTCAAAGCATTGTTGGATTGCACCAAGGTTTGAGAGGATAAACCCATATTCATTTGTACTTCCAGGATTCGCCCACCGAGAATCATGCTGACCAATCTCTTCAGGCAAGCTCATTGACTCGGATGTCAACCGATACGGGGACATGGCGAGAAGAGGTAAGCCATTCCGTGAATGCACATCTGCCTATGCTGCCGTCTCATCTCTCACTATATCCAGGCTTCAAATACTTTAAGCAGTTTCGTACCACTGGTGGATCATCTTCTCAGCCGTAAGTCCGGAGTCACCTGGCCACATGGTGATATCTTGCTCAAATTGGCGCGATATAGGCTACGGGCAAAATGCCGAACTGTACCTGGCGGCGTGCAAAGGCTATTGTAGCTTACTTGAGTTTGCAACCGGGAGTCACGAGTCTTTCGTTCTCACTATCGCGTAGGTCACCTTCCGAGCTATTGCAGCTTCGTCTTTCGTGCAATGTGTTGACCCTCTGCCAAAGGTGGAAACAATGTGCACGCCTAGCGCATTCGTCTCCGGAACAAACCTCCGAATTGAATCTGATCGCGCTGAATGGTCTTTCGAAGTCTTATGCCATGCATATTCGTACGCTTCAAGATGCACAGACAGCGGAGATGAATAAGTGTAACGGTCTCGGTAAGTTCGTCCCCGTCGCTGTGAACCGCGAGCTCAAGATTAACACCCTTATGAATGACTCTAGGCAAATGGTATCTGACACAGCTAGGCGCATTTCTGTCCGGCGGGCGCACTCTGATATGTCGACAACAGTTGCCCTTCATAATCAGGATGCTTCGAATGACATGGTGAGTGGTTTTTAGTCTAGTGTGGCCAAGCAGCGTTTTTTTACCCTCTGTATTTCGCAGCACTTTGCTCTGCCAGGAAACACTACGCATCGATCCGACATCTGAGGCGCTGATGTCATGCCTCATCAAGATGTTGACATTCCTCTTCAAATCTCCGAAAGTGGACGAGACGATGAAACGACTCCTTTTGGAAGAATGCTTTGAGAGCATTATCAGTCCTTCCGAACCGGATCCGATGAATGATGCCGATGGCACCACCACCGCAGGGAAGGCCTTACTGGTATCACTATTGTTCCGGTACATGGCATGGGGCACTACCGATGAGCAATGCGCCTTTCTCCTCGGCGACACACCCATGTCGCTTCAGGCGGTCTTTGGTGTCTTATCGGAGGTCGATTCGGCACTGCTCAACTGTTCCGAAGGTTCTCGACCATCTTTGTACGCCGAATATCTGACTGGTATTTGTGTCTTCACCCATACGTTGTTCCCGGAGGCGTTTGCGGAATTGGAGCGGATCCTATTCATGGAATGGTTGAGGCCTGGGTCTGCGTCTACTGGGATTTTGGTGGGAGACCTGTTAACATATATTGCGGAAAACGGTGAGCACCTGATACTTCAATTCGATGCATTTCTGGAATATTCCTGATGCGACCTTTCCCGCCAGGCCCAGCAAGCGTAAGAGAAACCTGGAAGTCACAGCTCTTCCCACAGATGATTGGAAGCCTGAAAGAATTTCCGAAATTGCGTTCACGAATGAAATCTCTCTCGGGCAACATTTTTGGAGACTACCCGGTCGATGCAGCAGCTCTGTCACCAGCGACTGATCTCGACGATGGCTGGTTGGAAAGCGTATTGGACCATTGGGCAGGAGCTTCCTGCGTAACTAAGGAGCTCCTGCAGTCGCAAGGAACTCTCGTTCTAGATGCATGGTAAGGGACGAACTCGACCGCAATCATAGACTTCACCGATCTTCCAACACGCGTTGTGCCATATAGCGATCTCATCTTCCGGCAAGTACTCCTTCGAAAGGGAGATTCGGAATACGTACGATGGCTTAGCGCCCTCCATCTAGTCCTGGAGAGCATGGGGACCCTCGCTAAAAGCCTAGACACGCTGAATGGAGATCCTGAAGTGGCCAAGTTCCGCCCGCGCCTAGTAAATATTCTACGACTGCTTCCCAACGTGATTAGAAGTACCAGTGAGCCTGCTCAGGTCGCTGCCTCCGCAACGGATGAGAATACCATGGAGAAGGTGAGCGATCAGTGACACTTATGATACATCTATATTGATGTCTCATTTGTAGTACATCCAGATCGTGGATGGGATCAACAGGGCATTGCACCTTGCAACGAGCGCGGTGAACCACTTCGAGCCAGGAGACATTGACCGTCTCTTGGGCACATTGCATGGTCACCCTTTGAAGGGTTACTTTCCAGAGACAGCAGGCGAGTCCTCAATTGACAATTGTATCGTCCCTTGTGGAGGGCTCACCTGCATTTTTCATGCTATAGTTCTCGAATTGCTTGCCGCCATTGGTCCCTTCAGCACCGATGAGACGCAAAAATATGCCGCCATCGCATACAAAGAAGCACTGGAGAGCGATAATTGGGCAGTGGTTTACTCTGCATTGCAAAGCCTAGTCCACTTCTCCGCTGCCTCGCCGAGAGGTCCCCCGAAAATGATTGCGGCTCATAAAGTCATGGTTCGAAACTTTATCAAGAAAGTGCCTTTTGCATTTGATGGGAAAATGGCGTAGCCGTTTAGTGTAGAGGGGTAGACATGATTTGATTGAGATAGAGGTAGATCGATAACGTTGTGACGGAGTCTCCTATTTTGTGTCGTATCACTACTGGGATACTGCTAACTGAACACATACTACCTAACTCTGACTTGGCATCGATGAAGTGTGCGAACAAAGAAGGAATTTTTCTTGCAAAATTCACACTGCACTAGGACGCCGGTGTGGTAAGCTACGCCGACCCATTCTTCTTTCTATTTTAACCTGACACGTGAAAGGATAGTTCCAGCGCACTTCCTTCAACGCAATGCATACATTGGCGTCTATTCCGCTGCTGTGGCGATGGTACCCTGTGGCAGATCGGGCGGGCTTAAGCCTCCCAATCCGACAGTCTGGAGTAACTTCTTCCCGGTCTTCTTCACAATCCCATCATTGGAGGGGGGTTTCTTGAGCACCTCCAACTCCGCAAACTCCCCAATTCTGACTGGAAACATATCCATGAAGCCCGTGCGCTTATGATAGCGCGCCACCTTCAAAGCGATCCTCCAATCGACCACACTCAATTCGGCGCGGAGAGCCGAGTTGACGTGGCGATGCGTGATGGGCTCTATGTCCGTGTTGCAGCTTAATGCCGCAGTAGCGTCATCAACAAGAGCCAGATAGGTGGCGGCTGAGTGATCACGCAGGTATGGGGTGCGTGCGGCGGGCGAGTAGTAGCAGGCGTACGTCAAAACTGTCTGGCAGGTCTGGCAGAGAAGCGTGTCGGGCACCGGGTCGATGAGGGGAGGGTGAGAGATGTGGCGTTTATGAGCGTGCGAGGTGGGGATCAGATCGTAAAGAGTGTTGACCAAGTCCTCGCGGTAGCTGAAGAGCGTCCCAAGCTTGTTCTCCGTGCTGTTGATGGAAATTAACGTCAGATGTGATTGATTTGACATCGCCAATAGCTGATGCTCACCTTTTGGTGAACCGTTTCTTGAGGGCTCGAACCACAACATCTGGGTGGGAGGCTCCTACAAGGCCTTTCCCCTTCAGATGCTTAGCCTTTTGGGCTACCCGTTGGGTCGCCGCATTATTGGTTTGAGCGCTAGAGGTGGCGGCAGTGACTCTGGCCGTGTTTTCTGCCGCGCCAGGCAGAAGTGCAGAGCCAGAGCTGGCTTCGTCGTTCAGTTCCAAGGTTTCAGGTGTCAACCGCGTAACTTCCTCCGTTTCATTGGAGCTTCCAGCGCCAGGATACAGGGAGTGCGGGATTGCGTGTAGAGGATTGGGCAGCTTAGAAGCAGCTCTTTCCAAAATGGAAGGATGGTGGTCACCATCCGTTTGCGTGTCGTTGACGGTGTTCTTGCTTGCTTCCCTGGCTCTATTCTGCGCCAGAGACTGCCAGATGCAAGTACATGGTCGCTCAATTGTGGGACGAGGTGGAACAGAGGTCGACGGCATTGTCGCTATGTTGCAGAGGTAATCTGACAAATCTTCTTGCTCGAACGATGTCTGGTGAGGTCTACTAAATCGGGTGGCCGATCGTTCGAGCTCGTATTCAAGACCAAAAATAAGTTTGAGGAGAGCGCTAGCCAACCTTCACCCACTTAGATTATACGCTAATTATACGCATCGTCCAGGTCGGAGTGCGGGGATGATTGGGATTTGTGGAGAGTATACAAGTACTGTACTTACCGGGCCCCCCATTGACATCACAAGTTCCTATGTTTTGACAGTGGCTATGCGCGCTGTCGAAGGGCGTCAAACTGCCAACAGTGACGCAGACCGTTCATGGCAGGGTAAAAAACAAACTGGTTCTGGAATTTTGGGCCCCAAGTTGGCAAAGAGACGCAAAACGGAAAGCTCCCAACACCCACTCGTGCCATTTTCCCTCACTCACCAAAACTGCGCTGCCTCTCTTGGGAGCCGTTCCCACACCCGCCCTCACCGCCATAAGCACCCTCTGAACCAACGGCGGGAACTGGTCTTCTAGAGTCAGCAAAAGCAGCGACCGATTTCCGGAAAGTTTGGGGCGCCTTGCTGGTTTCCACTTCAGCTTCGCTGATCGCAATAAGCCTGAGCTTTGCGCTTGGTCGGGACCTCGCCTCTCTTTATCCTCTTCTCAAGCGTCCCTCTCTCGTATAGCATTGTGCTCGGTCTTCAAGAGGGCCGTCTCACAGTTTGTCACAGTAGAGACCTGTTGTATGCAAGTTCCGTGCCTGGTCAAAGTGTTCACAGTCGCTGTAAGTGTACGGCTCTATGTTTTCCTTGCCCTCTGGACTTGCTCTTCCCTGGGCTTACCGTGCTGTTATAGCATCAGCAACCATGAACCCTTGAGCAACCCTAGCTGGCTTGCATTCTGCCACTCCCAATTTTGCGTCATCCGAAGCTTCATTCTATCTATCGACATATCGACTTTGTGCCTCGCCTGATCCAATTGCCTTATTGTAATTCAAGTCAGCATTTGTCACGTTATCGTCTGCCGCTCGACAAACGACTACATGTCTCTCAGTGATACAACAAAGGTATGGTGTGCATCCGTCAAGTCTTCCTTGTCTTGTATGGCGTTTCAAGGCTGATCGACAACCGAACAGACTTTCGATAGCGACCAGGAGAACTCCGCACAGAACCCTATCGTCTCTACTACAAACATGAGCCCTACTGCTACGGCAGACGCCGCACCTGTCATTTTGAAGAGGCCGGTTGAGTTGTCGCCGTCAAGTGAGGAACCGATTGTTGTTAACGATGATCTATCTACACCATTCGATGGAAGCGTCAAATCAGCGTCCCCAACCCCATCTGAAGGATCAAATGCGGAAGAAGTTGTGACCGCGGATAATGAATGGGGGTTGGACAGTATACTCCTGACCGCCGTGCAAAGCTCGAAGGACCGATTGTTCGTGCTAAGGACGGAAAAGGAGTGTGCGGACTTCATACATGATGAATCGTATGTATCGTGGAAATTATCGCATTTTGGCCGCACTGTACTCATATTTGCATCCATCAGGCAAACCACATTGGAGTTCCCGCACATGAACTCGTATCAGCGACTTCTGACACACCGAATCGCTGTGCACTTTAAGTTGGAGCATGTCTCGGACGCTAGCCGTCGTGGAGTGGTATTGTACAAGGGCTCTGGCACTGCAATGTAAGGAAGGACGCTGCTCATTAGCTCGCTTGGGAACACACATTGATCTGTTATTCTTATAGACCGGAACTGAACCTTAGCGACATCCCGGTGAACGATGCGGTAGTGGCGCCGACGCAAACGGCGTCGTTCAAGATTATGAAACGACATCACAATCACCATGGACGATCGTCTAGGCATTCGAGCACAGATAGCGGATCAGAGAATGGGATCGGTGGGGGTCCGAAGACTTTGGAGGAGCGGGAAGCGGCATATCAAGCAGCTAGGGCACGAATTTTCCAGGATGATGCGGGATCGGATGCGTCGAGCAACTCGCGCACGTCAGGTCAATCGACGTCCGCCAGCACGGGGAAGAGTGCTATGCGCAATGGAAAGGGAACAGGACGAAATCAGAATGCGAGACCTCGGCATACCAATCAAGCGGGTATGGGGCGGCATAGAATGCCGCATGGCCTTACACATGGCGGTGTTCCATCAGCGTTGACGCAAATACCGATGGGTGACGTGAGCAGGGGAACCACATACTACCCGTACGAGCCGACTGGGAGAAATCAACACATGGCATCAAACACAGCTCCACCATATCGAGGAGGTGCACCACCATACGTCCCACAATACCCAGGGCTGAATCAGGGGGTCCCTTCCTCGAACTACAATGCACCCTACGGCGTACCCCAGCATCAAAATTACACGCAAGCCAACCCCTATGCGGATTGGAACCCATCCACTTACCCAGGGTATTCAGGCGTGCCAATGGGAAACTCAGGTTCGAGAACAGGCCGAGAGCCAAGGCGGCCCGATGCGTATTTACCGGGGATGGGAGCTCCCGGGGTAGGGTACAATGCGGATTTGGGGACGTCGGGCAACCTAAGTTACCATCAGTTTACCGCACCACCGCTCCAGAACCCGCGATTGCATGCACCATTTTTCCTCGCAGTATCCAGCATTGAAATCTGACGGTGTTGCGTTGCACTACTTACCAAATCGGTCTCCCTACGAAACAACGGGGACAATACCGCCGCCGGGATCCCGCCAGCAGGACGCGGCCCGATCTGGCGGCGGCCAGCCAGCACTCGACGCGCCATTCGCAGGGGATACTAACTATCACCCCTGGGAAGCTCCGGTGGGTCGCGAAGGGTCGCACTTCGGGCCAGATTCCTTGGACCAAGCTTCTGTCAATCCGTATGGAGGCACGTCGGGCTGGCCATCCGCGATCAGAGATTCATCCGTGAAAGGCAGCTATCGCCCGCCGATTACTTCCACACAACAAAGTGCGCTGCCCGGGGACTACGGCGTCTCTCCATACCAGCAGAACCATCAGCAACAGCAACATCAACAAACTCCGCATTACTTCCCCGATGACTACAGCCAGTTCCCACCTCCGTCTCTCGGCCCGCATGCTCAACCGTCAACCCTCGCATACCCACCATTATACTCTCAAACCGCAGCAATCGGCTTCGAGCCTCCATCGCGACAGTCACAACAAATCAACTCCTCCCCGTGGGGAACGTCATCAAATGGCAATGCACGATGGATGCCCAACCCTGCTTCTTCAATTGGCGTTGTCGGCACAACTGCAGCGACGTCGTCTCCTTCGAGCGCGCTCGGCAGTGGTAGGAACGGTACACAGGTTACACAGCTTCGGTCATCTCGACAGCCGTTCGCTAACGAGACAGCGTCGGGGCCTGGGGATGTTGGCGCTCACGGCGCAACGGTGGGAGGACCTGGCGTAGGCAGCAGCGATGGGGATGTTGACCAGCTGCTTGCCAGAGGACTGCACAGCTTGAGTCTATCGAGTCAGGCAGATGGTGCGGGGAGCAATCCATAGGTGGCATTGTAGATGGAGGCTGGGGGTCTGTACCCCTGAGAAAACTCAACAGATAGCAACATAGATATGTTCGTCTTCCCGGTTTCGCCTCCATTGCGAGTTTGTGGCTTATGTTTATATCTGAATACATGTTTTCTTAACGTACGTTGTCACATTTGCGAAGTACTCCTAATCTGGTTTCAAAAAGAAGGGATGTTGGCCCGCCCACTCTGCGTTTGTCCGAAAGTTATGTCCGAAGGAACTTTGAGGATTTTCGATCTCAACATTCCGGGCGCATTGGGCACGGACATCGGGCAGTAACAGGAACCTACACTCTTGCTCACAGTATCGCAACACTGGTGATACGTTTCGGCGTAGCAGGACGGTGCTCAGTTCTTTCCGCAGGCGGAGACTGTCGAACTCAGAGAGTTTCAAAGGTTAAGCGAACACTCGACTTCCAATAGAATGTTGTCCCACGTAGACCTCGTCGAAAGCAGCCAGGTGGCTGAACGTCAAGAAGGCGCTGCATCACAGCCTTCGTCACAGCTGTTGTCGCAGTCGAAAACTCAGGATTCGCTGTCAGGGAAGCAAATACGCGCGCTTGAGGCGGAACAGAGCCGACCGAGGATGGTCATCTCTAAGATGGTGCTAAGGAACTTCAAATCGTACGCTGGGGTGGTGGAAATTGGGCCGTTTCATAAGGTTGGGAGGTCGATTGCCAGGCCTTTTTGATGAAATATAAGAAACCCGGAATGCTAAGGTCGACCCTTTATAGTCTTTCACGTCCGTGGTCGGCCCAAACGGTTCCGGCAAGTCCAATGTTATTGATTCACTCTTGTTCGTCTTTGGCTTCAAAGCCAAGAAGATGCGCCAAGGGAAGCTTTCGGAGCTGATTCACAACTCCGCGAATCACAAGAACCTGGATAGCTGCTCTGTGGAAGTGCATTTTCAAGAAATCGTTGACCTTGTGGGTGTAACGGGTCAGCCAGGCTGGTGGCATTTGCAAACGAGGAAGGGCTACTCATACCTTTTGGATTTAGCCAGGACCGGACGCTTTTGAGGTTGTGCCCAACTCGACTTTAGTAGTGTCGCGAACAGTGGAACGCGCAACAACAGAAAAGGGTGCCGACAAAAGCACGTATCGCATCAACAGACGGAGCAGTAATTTCACGGAAGTCACGACGTTGCTGAAGGACAAGGGAGTGGATCTCGACCATAAGCGGTTTTTGATCTTGCAGGTGGGAAGAGCGGACATACGCTTACACTGCTTTCAAACTGCACAGCACCTAACGTGCCGCATAGGGAGAAGTAGAGTCCATCTCCTTGATGAAGCCGAAGGCGCAAAACGAGCATGAGGATGGACTCCTGGAATATCTGGAAGACATCATTGGAACCGCCCGTTACAAAGCGGAGATTGATGCCACCAACGTGAAGATGGACGCGCTCAACGAGGAACGCGGCGAGAAGCTCAACCGCCTGAAGTTTGTAGAAAAGGACAAAAGATCGCTGGAAGTACGTTGCGGATGTGCATCTCAACATCCCTCAGATCCGGCGGATTGACATGGCTCGGTTTTAGGCGAAAAAAGAAGAGGCGGAAACCTTCATCAGAACCGAGAATCAGCTCGTTCACGCCAAAAACAAACTCTTTCATATCTGCATTGATGAATGCTCGAAGGACATCGATCGCAACCAAACAATAGTGGAGGACTTGAGCACGAAACTGGAAGCTGAGAGGGCGAAGCACTCTGGTCTTGCTTCCGAGGTCAAGACCCTGGAAAAGAGCCACAAGAGTACACAAAAGGAATATGAGGTACGTAAGATTCCAGGATGACCGGCCGCAACTTTTGGCTGATCGCACACATTAGTCGATAGCAGCGAAAGCCGAATCGGTGCGAAATGAGCTGCAACGGTACGACCGGGCGGAAGTGGAGCTTACTGAGAAGATAACGCATCTGGAGAAGAAGGAGAAAAAGCTGAGGAGTACAGTGCATAAGGTGAGGAGATTTCGCAGGAGTGATACTTCTTGGCTCGACAACTCAACAGCGTGCGTTTCCAGGAAAAGCTAGAGCGCTCAGAACACGAGACGTGGATACGGAATTTCGATAACGATATGAGTAAAGCTCAGAAGGAAGGAGAGGAACTGGCTGAGAAGCTTGCTGAGGAGGAGGAAGTGTTGAAGGAAATCCGGGAGAGTCTCAAGGGTAACCCACGCTATGCCTGACGGCGTAAGACAGAATGCATGCTAAATCTTAAGAATTGCAGGGAAAACCGAAGGCTTCCAAAAGCAAATCGAGAAAAAGCAGGAAGAATTAGCACCTTGGATGGAAAAGATCAATGCGAAACAGGGACAACTGGATTTGACAACGTCTGAACGCGACATTCTGGAGAGCAACATGCACGCTGCGCAAACTGCTCTGAAGGATGCGGAGCAGAAAGTGGTCGAACTGCGTGCGCAGCATCGGGAAAAGGTATGCAACACTTGGCTTGACCTGCCTTCGGGAGCCCGCACTTAACAGATGCATCTTTGTTGAAGGCCAAGGAAAAGAAGCAGCTGGAAGCTCAGCAGAAGGAGCTACAGGGCCAACGTGGCGAGCTGCAAGGGCAATTGCAGAATTGTGCAACGAAGGAGGAGGACTTGCGCAAGACGGTGGTATCATCCCGCGCAAAGGCCGATGAAGCGCGAGTCAACTTGCAAGCCGCACAAAGTCGAGGCAAAGTGCACAACAGTCTGATGCAGCAGAGTCATGCAGGGCGGATACAGGGCATTTGCGTAAGTTTTGATAACGAATGTTACACACTTTATGCGACACACGCTCATACGCTTCTCCAGGGCCGTCTTGGAGACCTTGGAGTCATTGATGACCAATATGACGTTGCTGTGACCACCGCCTGTGGATCTCTTGACGCTATCGTCGTTGACCATGTGGAATCCGCCCAACAATGCATCGAGTATCTCCGGAAGCAGAGCGTCGGAAGAGCCACTTTCCTCTCTCTCGACAAGCTTACGAAATGGAATACCGCACCAATCAAAACACCAGAGAACGTGCCTCGCCTTTTCGATCTCATCAAGCCTAAACAGGAAAAATATGCACCAGCGTTCTACCAGGTCCTTCGCGATACCTTGGTCGCAAAGGATCTTGAACAAGCAAACAGGATAGCGTATGGCGCCAAGCGGTTCCGTGTTGTCACCCTGGAAGGACAACTCATCGATACGTCCGGAACTCTCAGCGGTGGAGGCAGTAAGCCCCAGCGCGGGGGCATGAGTTCGAAGTTTGCTTCGGACGAAGTCACTCAGCAAACTGTTGCGAATTTGGCAAAGCAGAAGGACGACGCCGAAAAGGATCATGAGAAGGTGAAAGTGGTCAAGGCGGAGCTAACCGAAAGGATCGAAGCTTTGGATCGGGAGCTGCCGGTGGTTTCGTTGGAGTTGGAAAAGGCCATGCTAGGGTTGAAGTCGCTGGAGGAATCAGTATTAGATGCTGAGAAGCATGTCGAGACCTTGAGGTATGCCCGTGCAAAGTTCGTGCCAATGCTTCCTCAATCTGATCTAAACATTTTATCCCGTAGAACTCGAAAGCAAGGCCCGAGCGCCGAGGACGTCAGCCGCTACGAGGAGCTGCAAGCTCTTACCACAACCCTCACGAAGGACATTGAAAAGCTCACGCGCAACACAACCAAGATCAGCGATGAGATCACAGCCCTCCAAGTTCAAATCCTCCAGATCGGTGGTGTTCGGTTACGTACCCAACACGCAAAAGTCGACGGCTTGAACGAGCACATCTCCATCAACAGCAGCCGCATGACAAAGTTGCGCGTGGAGAGAAGTTCGAGGGATAAGGCATTGACGAAGGTTGTCAAGAGTATCGTGAAGAATGAAGGCGATGCCGAGAATACCTGTGCTGAGATTGATGCGATTGAGGGCGAGCTTGAGAAGCAGAGGGGCGCTGTTAAGGAGGTCACTGCAAAAGTCAAGGAGGCTGAGGAGGTATGTGATGGTGCAGATACGTGCGATACCCCTCAACCTCGATCACTGCTGACATGTCACCGTTGTGCTCGTCTCTTGGCAGATACTGGAATCAAAAGAGGCTGAGCTTGAGGATATCAAGCAAGAGCTCGATGCTAAAACCGAGCAAATGAACGACTTACGGAAGTTCGAGGTTTGGATTCGCTTACATCACGGAGGCTCTTCCGAAACTGTGTCTTACCAGTGTGGCATCTAGGTTGAAGCGAAAGCGCGACTGGACGGCGCAAGCAAGGAGCTAGCACAGAAGCAGTCGCAAAGAAAGTACTTCCAGAAAGAGATAGACACCAATCTTCGATTGCAAGTCACTGGGTAAGGTGTAATTGCGTGGACCCTTATGCACAGCGCATTCTTACAAATGAAGATAGGTTTGAGGAGTATGAAGAACCGACGGAACTTCCAAAATACTCGGAAGAGGAGGTGGGGCAACTGGAGAAGAAGGTCGTGGAAAGTGAAATACAGAATTTACAAGGTAGGGATCCGGAGATCCCTTGATATCTTAGTTCAATTCAATATTTGACAAAATCTCATTCCAACAATAGCTAAACTGGACGAAGGAACACCCAACCTCTCCGTCCTGGCCGAATACAAGCAGAAGCATGAAGCCTACCTCGCACGGGCCAAAGATCTTGAGGATGTGACGCAACTCCGTGACCAAGCGAAAGCACGCCACGATGAGCTACGTACACGGCGCTTGACGGAATTCATGGAAGGCTTCACAGCCATATCGCAAAAGTTGAAGGAAATGTACCAGGTCCGCGCTCAACATTATTCAGTGCTACCAATGTTCGTTCTAACCAGTGGAACACATCATCAATAGCTGATTACCCTAGGAGGGAACGCGGAACTGGAGCTCGTCGACAGTCTGGATCCGTTTTCCGAGGGAATCATATTTAGCGTTATGCCGCCAAAGAAGAGTTGGAAAAACATTTCTAACCTCTCTGGAGGTGAAAAGGTAAAGACAATCTCATATGACTCTCAGTAGTAAGGCGCAAACGACCCGCCTCACGCCGTGCATCTGCAAGACACTCTCCTCTCTAGCACTCGTGTTCGCTCTTCACCACTTCAAGCCTACGCCGCTGTACGTGATGGACGAGATCGACGCCGCGCTCGACTTCCGTAACGTGTCCATTGTGGCAAACTACATCAAGGAACGGACAAAGAATGCACAGTTTATCATCATCAGTTTGAGGAACAATATGTTTGAGCTCGCCGATCGGCTCGTTGGGATATACAAGGTACCTATGTGAAGGGAGAGGTCGTGTTTCTAGCCGCTGTAATGGCCTGACCCTTTTGCTGCTTCGCAGACGGACAACACGACGAAGAGCATCACGATCAATCCGAACGCTTTGTGAACCTTTGACACTTCCTAAAAACTGTGCTTTGGCGTACATTTTGGACGTAATGTTGATGACTGCGTAGTGATCTCTCATAGCCGTGAAGCATGTACTCGTAACTGTAGAAGACTCTGGATGATATGGCGTCTAGAGGCGCTTTTGAGAAACATCGTGTGACATCAAACCAGGTCGTTCATGTCTCGGGCAGGCACAGCGCATATACCAGTTCGGACAAGCATGAGCTCAGCATCGAGCATTCCGAAGCGGGGTGCTTAATCCTAATGCCTGGGCCCTGCAGGTTTATTGGACGCCGCTGCAGTAGGTATCCATCGTGAGATGAGGTTACATAGTCGCGTAGTCGCAGACCATATTGTAGTACTGCTCGTCGGTGACTCCCACCTCTGGATCCATATCGTCGGGATAGTCAACATCAAGCTCCCCCAGCAGGCGTGGTCCATCTGGATAGTCGTCTGTTTTCGTCCCGAATGTGTCGTGGCCTAGCCACATCTGACGGTATGCAAATCTGTTGTAGTACACCAGCAGCACATGGACACCGCATGTTGACGCGAGTGGACATGGACTGTTCCCACGTTCAGATCGTCCCAGACCGACGACGAGTCCAACACCGCAAACACGTATCCCTTGATGAACCGTGACACGTCAGACAACCGTCGTCTCCCAATCTCCCTGCATGTAGTCAGATTCTAGCTCCACAAGCGATGCCAGGTCAGACCAGACGCGCCGTGCGGTAGATGCGATGTCGTCTCTAGCCACGAGCGCGTCGGGCGCATTATCGGCACCGAGGCGCGAAGTCGGCGAGATGTACATACAGTACGACTGCATCAGCCTCACGCTCGACTGCTCGGCTACGACCGACCATCCTGCGACGTCCAGGGCATGCGCTTGACGCAGAGTAGTTCGGATCCATGCGTAGTACTTGGGTGGGGCGAGGGCTGGCAGTTGCTTTGAAGGTAGTATGAGTATGACGAGCTAAGCTTCGGCACTGTGATGCATAGGGCGCAGAGAAAAGGGTCCGTCATCGCAGTCTGATCGATCGCCTTAACCATCGACGTTTCTGCTGTTGAAATGGTCCGACTGTTGACCATCTACATAGGCAGCGGCGACACAAAACTCTCTCTCGATCGAGGTGGAACATAACGGAAAGGAAGCCAGGAAAAGACGCGCTGTCGAACACTAGCAATCTCTGTGCAACATATGCCTCGCCCTTTGGAGCCGTGAGTGTGAGAAACATCGTCGACCAAGCTTCCAGCGAAGCAACACCATCCTACCGTTGGATGCCGCAATGGCAAACAGCGCAGCCGGGCGGCGCTTTCCCAGAAACTTGCCCAAATTGCAAGGACCTTATCCTTATGTATGATATTGGAATTGGGTAAGTCTTTTGCGTTGCAAAAGCCTCGGTGTTGGCGCATGCCAAAGTCAAATGTACTCTGCAAAGAGCTGCCATGCGCACCGAGCAGAGGGCTTGTCGGCGGATTTTCGTACGTCCAGATACATGAGATTCTCGAACGGGTTGTGATGTGACCTGTTAGAGCTGACTTTTGCCAGCGCAAGCGTGATGCTGGATGTGAAGGCTCAGAAACTTTGTCCTCTCATCCGATACGTGGCACACAAGAAGTGCAAGGTTCTATCAAATGTATTTTCACCAGGGTACGCGACAGTGTGAGACACTACACGCAATCCCTGCTCTTCCTTATATGGGACAAGAAGAGCTGCTCAATACAGCATCAGGAACTGATTCAAGTTGGTCGACTCAAACGTCACAGTTCGTTTAGATTGTGAAAATCTAAGCGTTCTGGATGGTGACCTCAACCTCAACTCCGGGCTCGATAGAGATGGAGGTCTGCGCGATTGGAATGGGTGGACGGATATAAGTGTCATGTCATGTAAACAGAAACATGGGTAAAGTCAACTTACGATCTGCTTGACGATCTCAGAGGGAGAGTGGAGGTCGATGAGACGCTTGTGGATACGCATCTCGTAACGGTCCCAGGTCTTGGAACCCTCACCACAAGGGGTCTTACGGGTGGTGATACGGAGGACCTTGGTGGGGAGACGGACGGGTCCCTTGACCTTGAGCTGCTTGTCCTTGGCACGGTGGATCAAGTCAGCGCAGACTGCAGAAGGAGGGAGTAGAAGAATAAGTATCAAAGTTCTTGGCGTTCAATGTTCATTCTTGATCACTTTTCCTAGTGCCTGCATTTCTACTCCGTCCCCTCCATTCAGACCGCGCCCCCTTTTCGCTCGCCATTCCTACATCCCTTCATTTCTCCACCCCCTCATGCCTAACAGCGCTATAATGTAAACTCCCGCCGGTTGCACCTCCAGCCTCCCACTGTCCTCTGTCGAACTGTATCCCCTCCACGTACCCTTCTCGAGGTTCTTGACGTTGCGAGAGGTGAGGGTAATACGAATGCGGTGGATCTTGGGCTCCACGGCCTCTTCGTAACCTTGCTTTCCCTTAGGAGCGACGTAAGACATGTTGCTGTATGTAGACGGAGTAACACGACTCAGCGGTGACTCTGGGATTTTGCGTTTGCTGGAGAGAGAGAGCGAGCGAGCGAGAGGGCGAGAAACGGTTTCTCTTGACCGCCCAACGCAACCCTTCCTGAGGAAATTTTTGCTTTTCGAGAGCGTCACGTGAAGTAGCGTGATTGGCACGTAATTCAATTGAGTTTTTTGTCCAACTTAGGAACGCAGCCAATCACGTCACGTCCGATTTCAAATCAATCGGCGTTGAACTGTCTTCACTCTGAAGGATCCTGCTCTGCCAACTCGCAACCTCCACACTCATCGCAACTCCGCAAGCCAGTCGCATCCTGCTACTCTCATCGCACACAGCAACACCATGTCCCAGCAAGCCACTGCCTCCCACAACAACCGCAAGCTGCTCATTACGGGCGCCACAGGATACATCGGCGGCACGGTTCTCGCCGCTCTCGCTCACACCAACAAATACCACATCACAGCTCTTGTCAGAGACGATGACCGCGCCAACACCCTCAAGAAGCACGTCAACGGCATCAACACCGCCGTTGGCGGCTACACCGACTATCATGTTCTAGAGAACGCAGCAAAAGAAGCCGATATCGTCGTGCACACAGCTGAATCGGCCGATAACCTCGACGCGGCGAAGGCCATCCTGAAGGGGCTGCAAAGTGTCAAACGCTCCTTCCCTGCCGTCTACATTCACACCTCTGGCACAGGTGTTCTCTCCGACTCGGCACAAGGACACCCAGCCAATCCCAACGTCTACACAGACGTCGACATGAGCCAAATCAACACGTTGGCGGACGACCAGCCGCATCGTAATGTTGACCTCGAGATCTTGAACGCAGTCCGCGGGAAAGCGGACACCATCCGCACCGCCATCGTGTGCCCTCCCTTGATCTACGGCCTCGGTACCGGCGCGTTCAATGTCCACTCTCAGCAGGTGCCTGCTATGATCAAAGCTGCTCAGAAGAAGGGACACGCGGTGCACGCGGGCAAGGGCGACAATCTATGGAATAACGTGCATGTACGCGATCTCGCAAAGGCGTTTACACTCATCCTTGAGAAGCTGGTGGCGGGCGATCCTAACGCGCCCGTTAATGAGAACGGATACTACTTCGTCGAGAATGGCGAGCATAGCTTCCGCGCGTTGGCTACCGATATCGCGTTGGCGTTGGAGGCACATGGCGTTGGTGATGGGAAGGCGCACCCTCTCAAGGAGGCGAAAGAGATCGCGGCACTTCTGGGTGAGGGTTATCCCGGTGGGAAACATATGCTGGCTGGCAACTCTCGCTCTCGAGCGGTGCTCGTGAGGAAGCTGGGATGGCAGCCGGTGGAAAAGTCGCTTGGGGAGACCGTCCCCTACGAAGTGGCGTACTGGGTTGACCAGGCGAAGAAGCAGTAGTGATCTTATGGGCGTATATCAAATTTCGCGTTTTTGGTTGAGTACGGGTTAAGTCCTGTTCCATCCATCTGCAGCCAGGTGCATCCATTTCTTGGTATCACATGTAGTCGATAGTAAAATATAGTCGACTCGGTCACATCAAAGTAGCAGAGCAGATATTTGCAGCGTTCAAATGGGAGATGTATGTACCTGTCATCGTTGTGTGGTGTGCATACTGTCGAGACCGGATCCATTCCGTACTTGACTGGGAGAGCTGGTACCGTAAGTGTACGGATGACAACACCTCGAGCGGCGACGGGACGGGCCGCGAGCCAAACTGACGCGCGGTATCGGATCAGACGCACATGAAATGTTGGATACTGCGAGCACAAGTAAGACGGACACCCTGAAATGTGTACAGTACAGTATGTAAGTGCCCTTCCTTGGCTAAGATATGTACATATGTATCTGCAAGCCATCTCGTTCGAAGATACTGAGCGATGATCCTGATATGCGTGCGGTCAAAGTCCATCGCGCGCCGAAGAAGGAATGACAGACAAAAGCCGTTGACGAGCAAGATTGCGAGTCGTTCTCCGAGTCTTTTGCACATGCATCGAAAGCTATCTGCATCATGAAGCCATGGGGCTCGGGAGGCCGTCTGTCCGTCTGTCTTGCGAGCGAGAGAATGTCAGCGAAGCCATTGTGCGAGTGATGACGGCGGATGTCCACAACTCCCGGCGTGGGAATCCCGCGAGTCGGAAGCCATGACGAGAGCGCTTCCTTCGTTTCCCATCGTTTCCATTCCACAGCGGTTTCCCCAATACACTCCAGCCTGCCAGCTTCCATAGAGCTAGCTCTTCACGTCAATAGATACTCAGAGGTGTTCACACTTGCCTGCTTCTTCCATTCGCGGCCTTAGATCATCCTGTCGCAGTGCGCTTTCCAACCTTCCTCTATCCGAGCCATTCCCATCAACCTTCCATTAAAGTCTAGGAACATGGTGAGCCATAAAGCTGAGACCAACGGGGCACCTGCCCCGGGTCGTATCATCGTAGTCACGCACCACCTGCCATGGACGGCGACAACGACCACCGGCGTAAAAGCACCGTCGCGTAGCCCCACTAGCAAGCAGGCACCCAATCTGCCAATTTTCCAAGAAGGCGGCAATGCTTGCCAAGACGGCTTCTGCAAAGGTCCTGGAGACGCTGTACCTGGAGGGAAGTGGAAGTTCCAACGGCGTCGTGGACACTCGGCGATCTATGCTGGAATTACCTCGCTCAAGAAGGATGATGTCGTCCACGTTGGCTGGACTGGGAATACATATGATGATGACTGCTATCCGATGGACGCTACCGCGATGACCCAGGAGCTCCAGGACTCCCTGACCAAGGAGCTCTGGGAGGGTATGAAGTGCGTTCCAGTGCTCATCGATGAAAAGAAGGCGGCGGGACACTACGAAGGGTATTGCAAGACAGGTACGTACCCTCATCCATGTCTCTCCATAATATCCTCTTACTAACCGCACAATTGGTTGGAAGACCTTTGGCCGCTTATGCATTATGTGCTTTGGGACGCCGCACTGGACTCGAACCGACAGGACACGAAGCTGTGGGAAGACTACAAGAGCGTCAACGAAGACTTTGCCAAAACCATTGTCAAAGTTTACCAACCTGGGGATGTCAGTGAGTAAAATGGAATTACCTGACCAGGTCTTTCCATTGTCACTGGATTAACCGGATTTCTAGTTTGGATACACGATTACCACCTGCTACTCCTGCCATCGCTTTTGCGTGCTGCTATTCCGGAGGCGTGTATTGGTTTCTTCCTGCACACTCCTTTCCCGAGCTCTGAGCTCTTCCGGTGCCTTCCAAGTAAGGTTGTCACCTTAACGCGTTCCAATCCTCGCCCCAGCTCACCCGTTTACCTCACAGAGCGGAAAGAGATCTTAAAAGGCGTTTTGGGATCCACGATGATTGGCTTCCAAACGTACTCCTACGCAAGGCATTTCTTGAGCAGCTGTACGCGAGTTTTGGGGCTGGAATCTACACCCATAGGCGTGGACTACAACGGATCGTCGGTCGCCATTCACATTATCCCCATCGGCATCGATCCGACGGAGCTGGAGAGACGAAGGTGACTATATAGGTCCTTTGAGGCAAAGCCCCAACGTATGTCTCACACGAGCACTCTTTTGTCTCTGAAGAAAACTTCCCAATGTTTTGGAGAAGATGGCCTCCATCAAAGAGATGTATGCCGGGAAGAAGATCATCATTGGGCGGGACAAGTTGGATCACGTCAAAGGGGTACAGCATAAGATGAATGCATTCCAAAGCTTTTTGACCATGTTTCCGGAATGGCAGAATAAGGTTTGGCCTGGAAGTGTATTCTCGGATCCTTGCGTTCCCATGGCTAAGCTTTGATGAACATTTCCTTCAGGTGGTTCTCATTCAAGTCACTTCGCCACCAGAACGGGATTCACCAAAACTTGAGGCGAAGGTCTCCGAACTCGTGTCGCGTATCAATGGCAGTTTTGGCACACTGGAATTCGCCCCGGTACATCATTACCATCAGCACCTCGAACAGGACGACTACTACGCGCTTCTGAGCATCGCCGATCTTGGGTTGATCACAGCTGTACGCGATGGTATGAACACCACATCGCACGAGTTCGTCGTATGTCAGCGGGAGAAGAAGGGTCCTTTGATCCTCAGCGAGTTCACCGGAACAGCGGGATCTTTGAGCGCTGCCATTCTCGTCAACCCGTGGGACTATCAGGGTGTCGCAAATACCATCAACGAAGCCCTCACCTTGTCCAAGGAAGAGAAAGCGATCAAACACCAGCAAATGCTCGACCACGTCCTGAGCAACACCGCCGCGTTCTGGGCTGCCACTTTCGTCAAGGAACTGCGAATGGCCTCGCAACTGCCATCCATGACAAGCACGACGCCGGTTCTGGACATTCCATTGGTTGTGGAGCGGTACAGGAAGGCAAAGAGGCGGTTGCTGATGTTTGACTATGATGGAACGTTGACGCCGATCGTCAAAACACCTGGAGCTGCTCTCCCACCGCCGGAAATGCTGAAGGCAATGCAGGTTCTGGCCAATGATCCGAAGAACGTTGTTTTTATCATCTCTGGCAGAGATCAGGAGTGTCTCGAGAACTGGATGGGAGGAGTGAAGGGACTGGGGCTCAGGTGAGGGACGGGTTTTGGGCTTGAGAACCCTGCAGTTGTATTGTCTCATGTCCATTTGACACACTCTCTATCGCGCAGTGCTGAGCACGGTTGCTTCCTCAAATACCCATCATCCGACGGGAAAGCAGAAGATTGGATCAACTTGTCCGAAGAGCTCGACTTCGGATGGAAGAAGGAGGTCAGCGAGATCTTTGACTACTACACCGAACGGACCCAGGGCTCCTTCGTGGAACACAAGCGGTGCTCGATCACGTGGCACTACCGTATGGCGGATCCAGAATATGGGTATGTCATATCGTCTCTCAATTAAGGGAAGGTAGTGAATTGAACGCCAATCCCGCTCTTGACAGGTTATTCCAAGCCAACGAATGTCAGAATCACCTCGAAAATGCGGTGCTGTCGAAGTTGCCAATTGAGATCCTGATCGGAAAAAAGAACCTTGAGGTGCCTATGAGAGCCGGATCATCTGATGTTTCCAAAGCATTTAGCTGACCCACATGTCATCTTGATCAGGTTCGACCCATCGCGATCAACAAGGGCGAGATCGTGAAACGCCTCATCCAACAAACCCCCGGAATCGACTTCCTCTTCTGCGCCGGAGACGACCGAACCGACGAAGACATGTTCAAGCAAGTCCGCAAAACCGAACTCCCCGACGAGGTGCAACACAACTGCACGATCGGAAGCGCCACCAAAAAGACGCACGCGCAATGGCACGTCCCTTCGCCCGCGGAACTGAACGGACTTCTCGCTGAGCTCGCCAAAGTAACAAATTGACTCTATTTATAACCGTTCGTCGAAGTTGTCGAGAGATCTTACGGAGACCGGAAGGAGAATAATGTGCATACGGGGATTGCATACTTGTATATGTAGGATAGGGATTTGAATTGTTGGGTATGCTTTGGAATTGGGTTGTGTGCGCGACCTTCCCATTTGATATAGATATCCTAGATGTTCATTGGGATTTTCAATCATTGCATCCTTATTTCTCTATCTATTCAAGGCGGAAACCTTTCTTGTGTTCCGGCGGAAAGGCTTTGTATGCTGACGATATTCCCTCGATCTTCACTAAATTCATGTTTGTAAATTACACCTATCGAAGCCCCTACTTCACCGAGCCCCAAAACTTCTCAAGAATCTTGCAGAAAGCCAATGCCTTCTCCGCATCCTTCTTTTCCTTCTCACTTCCTCGACCCTGACGTTCGCTCAACCCCCGTAATGCAGCCTCGGTCGCCTTAAACGTAGCATCCGCCTCTCCCCTCAACTCCTTCAAAACCTCATCCGTCTCAGCCGCCCGCTTGTACAATGCAAACTCAGTGATGGCCAGCGTGAACGCCGACTCGCCGATGAGGACGAGCTCGATCGGCGGGAGCGCGTTCGCGGCGTCTTGCAGGGTCTTGTCAACCTCACTCCCGCCGTTGTTGGACTCCCCACTAGCGGCGGCGCCCGACCCGTCCTTCGACAGTAACGCGTTCATCCGTCGCACGAGCCCAAACAGGGTTCCCATCGTGGCCCCTTGCCCGCCGTGCACGGACATGGTGGCCTCAAAGACATGCTTGCGATCCCAGTCCTGCTCTTCTTTCGTGACGAGTAGATGGTCTGCATCGAGGTACAGGCGGAAGTAGCCGACAAAATTGCGCACGACGAGAAGGAGACTGCGGGTTGCGTCGATGGACAGTTGCGTGGACGGTATTCCTTGTTGGGAGGAGTCGGATTCGCCAGCGGTGGTCGTGCGATTCGTCGCAGCTTTTTGTTGTTGTTGAGACAATGGCAGGACTGCTGAAAGATCCCAATCGCTCCCCAGTCCGGCCAACCCAACGCCAGTCCCGACGGAAGCGATTCGGTGGTGCATCTCGTACGGGTTGTCTAACAAGAACGCAAAGTAGCCGAGCACTTGCAGAGCCAACTCAATGACAGCGTCCAGGATTGCATAATCCGCCCCACCGCTGTTCCCTGCCATAGCGTCAAGCTCCGCATCGGGCTGATTCGCCCATGAACACAGGGTGTAGAACAGTTCGCTGATCCTCAGTATCTCCTCAATCCTCGCTAGCGGAATGTTCCCATCCACCCTGACGTCGATGGCTTTAGTGATTTGGGTCTGATACACCCTGATGAAGCCTGTAGCTTCTTCTACGAGTGTGGGATTGTATCCCAGGAACTGGACAACGCGGGTGGAGAGGGACAGCATGGCGCACCATACCTTGTGCCAGGGATTGCGCCGTTGCGTGTCGATGTACGGTGAGATCAGGCCCTGATTCAACGCAGGCGTCATGGAATTGTTGGACAGGTAAACGACGATGTTTTCCGCGGCCAGGCGCTCAGCGCCCAGCGGGGTTTCAGCGATGGCAAGCATGGCGAACAGGAGGTCGTGTGCGAACATCGGCCACTCCTCAAAGGTCTCCGAAACCGCTTTTTGCAGGACTACGACAAGAAGCTGCACCACTTCATAGCGATCCATTGTTGCGATGGCTGAGGTTGGGTCGAGATACTCGCTAAACCCCATTATCTCGGTAAAGCATGTGAGAGTAACATTGACTTCGCGTTGCTGTTTAATATATTGCTCCGGTCCGAGACCTTTCAGCAACAGTGATAGGCCCTTGCTCACGACGGGAAGGAGCAATTGCATCGTTTCCCGAATTTCTGGTGCAACCTTCGTCTTCCCATCCTGGGTGTTTGCCCTCAACGTCCTCAGGCCAGCCCCGATGGCAGCCAATAGCTCGACATGGAAAGGGTATTCCGATAACGTTCCCCTCGGCCCCAAGATATACGTCTCCGCCGACATACAATGATGCAGACGCTTCACGATATCCGCCGCTTCTTTGGCGTTTGTGTCCAGAGGGCGTTCCTTTATTAGGTCGTCCCAGACCGCAACAAGGAACAACAGTAGGTTGCTGATTTCCGTCCGGTAAGTAATGGCGGCCCCATCTGTCCTGTGGTCGTTCACCAATGTTTCCGTTAACCTTGTGATCAGCTGATATATCTGATTCGCCGACAGCTTCGTCTCCGTTGGCGCCGTACGTCCCTTGGATTCACCAGGGCCAGCCAGGTACATGGTCGCGTATACCTTCAGGAACTGCTTCCATGCCCTCACAAGCGCGATATGGGCGTCAGTCATCGATCGGTTATGGTTCAGTGCACATAGTCGGGACAGGAATTCAGCATATGTTTCTTGCTCTTCGTCGTCGGCCCTGTACTGGATATGCCCGCTCATTTTCGCACGAAGAAGCTCCAAGTCGTACACGTAATTATCGCCGAACTGGCTGTCAACGTCGAGATCATCCGACCAGTTCAGCAGTTTATATGCTGGCAGCGAAAGCGGGATGTTGAGATGGCCGACCAGATCCAGTACTTCCAGCGGTAGGTCTGATTTGATAGGTAAGGTGGAGTCATCGGTAAAGAGCGCGAGTTGGCCTTGTGCATTTTGTTTCTCGAATACCGTTTTGACGGCCCTCAAGGCTGCAGAATTCCCTTGCATGCCTTTCGAGAAGTAGACCTCAAAGGCCAGGATGCGGAGCGCATAGGTCCGCACGAGTTTCCCGTAACAGAACCGTCGAAGCTGCGTGTGCTCCTCGGATAAGGATCGAGGCTCCAGTCCTACGAGCGGCTCTTCCGTGGGCTCGGGCGGATCGTCACTGAACACTTCGTCGAGCGACGACCAAAACTCTGCTCGGGCGCGTAGCTTATCCAGCATGACCATATACTGTGGGGCATTCTGCCACAACGCGTCCATGAGTCGCATCGCAGCAGGTAGCGTGGAGGGGGCTTCGTCGAGAACATTCTTCCATCTCGTCAGCAGGGCGAGTGCCGGGGTGAGAACGGACAGTTCGGGAAGGTCCTGGGAACTGCCTGACGGCGGTTTACTGGTGGATGCATATAACTCGGCCACCGATGACGGTAAGGTCGGTTGTGCTGCTTCGCCGGTCAGCAGCATAGCTCCGAGTCCAGGTTGTGTCGCAATGACTATCGTGACTAGGTTGTATAATGCGGTTTGAAGTTCTTCGGAACTGCTGGCCGAAGATGAAGTATCCGTTAGGCCTTTGATTACCGACGACACAAAGTGATATGCATCAAGGCCGAGGTAACCGGCGAACGAAGGTTGAGCCGGCTGCCAGTCAGCTGCTACGGCGCACAGGAGTGTGAGGACTTCCGCAGCAAGGAGAGGTAATGGTCGGTGATTCTGATAGCTGATGTAACGCCCAAGAACCTGCACCAACTCCACGGGATCGCTCTGCGTGCCGTTCGTCTGAACCGTTCGGTCCAAGAGCGCGTGTTCGAGAAGCGAAATGTTCATCCCGCCAAGCTTTCTTCTCTTCAGCAAAGATTTCACGAACAGAAGAGCATTTTCGATACATTCTTCCGAAGTGCGAGCGCTCTGCATCCGAAGCTCACGATAAAACCTTAGCGGCACGTCGTTACCCAGGGAAACGATATCAATGAGCGGCGCAAGTTGGTACATGCTCCCGTCAGCCAGGTAACCGCGGGCGAGGTATTGCTGCACTGCGCTGAAATCAACCAGAGCCGCAGACCGTGATGGCGATTCTTCATGTGCCCATGACGAGTCAAACATGATCTGATTGAAGATCTGCAGAATCTTCAGGCCCAACTGATACTTGTGTTGAAGATGCACGTATCGCCATCCTCCATGTTTCGGAAACAGCTGGCTGTGGATGTAGACTACGGCCGAGAAGAGGACTTCTGACTTCAACACAGCGGAGTCGCGAATCCGGGCATGCGCAATGAGCTTCTTCTCCAAGCGCAAGCGGTTGTCCACACCCCCTACTTTCGCATCGAACGCTTCTCGCAGCTGAGCATCGCCTTGAGCACGCCAGAATTCGGCTTCCAGTTCGTGTTCCGCAGGCGAGAGCGAAACAGCTTGTGGTCGCAATGTTTGCGCATCCTTGATCAAAGCCGACACTAAATCCAAAAAGGCCATGGTCGTCGGGTATAAGCCCGCAGCGATTTCCGCTGGTAACAGCACCTCTTCCATGTAGCTGTTGGCGGATGACAATCGGATCGCGGCCGAGTACCGCGGAAAGAGCCCATCTATCCGCAAATGTTTCCATACTGCGTCGGGGAAGTATGGCAAGAGGAGGGACAAACAAGTCATGGCCGAGGTCAGGAGCTGGATTGGCGGAGTAGCGAACGTGCATGCCCGATTGAGAACTTGGCAAATAAGACCAACGAAATGCTCAGCTGTCTTTTCACCCCAGGTTGCCAGAGTCGTTGTGAACATGGAGACATGTGCAATAAACTCGCTGAGTAGAGTCTCGTCCGCGTGCTGGAGGAAGGTGTTGAGCAGCTTGAGAATGTCTGCGATGTGTTCCGGTTTGCCTGACGTGCATGTCGAGGGTTGCAATCCCGTGAGCAACCCAGCACCATGGAGGAAGGAGTCCATCATGCTGAAGAGAAGATGCCAGCCGGAGTAATTGAAACGAAGGAGTAAGATCTTCGGATCGTCATGGATCAGCTGTCCTTCACACTGCTCTGGCGGCCCCAGAATGAGGTCCCGCGCTCCATACACAATCCCCTGAGAGTATCCATTCCAAGCAAAGAACGTACTCCCACTCTCATTTTCTCTGAAGGGATCCTCCTGATAATCGTACGGTCGATAAAAGTCTGCAAACGTTGGCAGACTCTTGAAGTACCGAAAAACGTACGCGGCTGTCCGTGAGCTACTGATCGTCGAGCTCAGGAGTTGGACAAGCGAGCTGAACTCTATCGGAAAGGCTCTGCGCGCCGTGTCCAGCAGTGATCGGCGCTCGGGTATCCCATAGTCGTGCTCCCACCATTCCAACCCCAGTTGCTCTTCGTTTGTAAACAGACACGACAAGCACTGAAGGAAGACTTCTCGATCTGGCAGTGCCGAGGCATCCTCAACCGTCTCGAGAAGCAACATCAGCATATCCTTGATGATGCTCTTATATCCTAGCGCAATATGAACATCCACCACCATTGGGCCCCGCAGCGCGCCAATAAGGTACGGGATGGCTTGCCCAGCCAAATACGCTTGCTGGACCAGGAGCTGTGGAGTCCTCGAATATGGTACTCCAATGTTGACGTTCTCCTCGATGAATTTGCACACCTCCGCCTGTGGACCGTCGTTGAACTGTTCCAAGTACGGATGAACTGCCTGCATCAAGACACCCCAAGCCATCATGACCGGGGCAATAGGGTCACTGCGCCCATGCGACGCTACAATGCTGTGCTCGATGGCCCCGTAAATCTGTTTGATAGCATCCGGCGAGTCGGCGAAAGGTGCCGTGTCCAGATTGGTGGCGTCGATCAGCTCGTTGAGGCGCATCAGCTCGATGGAAACCATGACGCAAAGATCGGAAATATGCTTGGTGATGGCCGATGCCTCCTCATTAAGCAGAGATTCGTTGCTCTGACTCCGACCAAAATCAAAATCTTCGATCAACGAGCGAAGGAACCGACTAGCTAGCGTTGAAGAGCAAGGCGCGACGCTATAGTAGACCAAGAAGATGATCTGCAAAAGAACTCGTTGTTCTCGAACGAACTGGTTCGCCCACGTCCTCGCCCATTCAGGATCCGCCGCTACTTGAGGCGGAATCTCGCCACTAATAACAATGTCCAGCTGTTTCAAGAGACGCTCCCCAGCCGCTTCGCTGTCCTGGAACATCCCCTGGACAAATGTCAAGATATCTTCGTAGAACCGATGTTCCTCGTCGTCTGCAGCCCGTATTATCGCCACAAGCGCAAGCAGGGTCTCCTCCCTCTCATTCAGGTACTGCTGTTGCATTGCTACGACGAGCATCTCATCGTTGTAATTGATCTGTTTCATCTGCGACCAATCTATCCGCCGCCTCACCGCCGGAGCTTCCAGATCGTCTTTGATGCATGTTTCCAATATGCTCTCGCACTGCACTGCATCCAGATGCATGAGCGTGCTCATTTTGGCGAGGAAGTCTGCTTTTGGTTTCTCTGCCCGCTCTCTGACTTTCCGTGCCGACTCTTCGTTGGGCGCCTTGTACCCCCCAATGCCCCCCAAAAGCGCTTCGCGATGCGAATTGAGGTTGTACACAAACGTCTCTCTGGTACAGTTCCGCTCCCCCTCATTTTCGATCGCTTGCCATAACCCTTTTCGAGTCCAAGTCCTGTAAAAGGCCGCATCCTAAGATCAGTCAATTGCACTGTGGACGGCCAAGGCGCAAACGAATTGAAGCCATTACCTGATCTTCTCTTTGGGCGGCGCTGTCTTTGCTGAGACAGCAAAAGGTATATTCCCTGGTCGCGCCTGCGCCGCCATATCAAAATAGACTCAGGGGTCGGCGCCGGTGGAATGTACTTTTTGACCAGGGCGAGAGGCGAGGACGATCTTCGGGAAGGATCCCCCGTAGCGAGGCGTGTTTTACTGGGGTCTAAGTGACACGACGTGACGCCCTCTTTTTGAAGCCGGCTGAAAATGGGTTGCAGCAGGATACGGGATACGTATATATAAGAGACAGAGCGCCGTCGGCAGTCCATGTGCACATGAATCCATGTTTGGCTTTCCACGCAGGGAAGTTCTAACGCTCAGAGTCTCAGACCCAACGCGACGGGAGTCGGTTAGGGTTAGGGATACAGGCATGCGGTCTTTCGCATGGAAGTAGGAAGGAGTAGACGGCCCCTTCACAAGTGCCTAACATCAGTGTAGTCGATCGTAAATACATAGAGTATCGCACAAAGCAGGGAAGGATTTCGGGGAGCAAACCACGCCTTTTGTACGTTCGCCGTAAGGAGGATAATACCCAAAAGTATGAAAAAGAGATATTAACGAACCGCCGTATCGCAGATAGAGGACCCCTTTCCTTCCCTTGCACCCAAGCGTTTTATCCTGTACTTGTGTAATAGTGGTGTGTAAGATGCCTTCGGATATCCAGTTTAAGCTTTGGGACGGTCATTGATCAGATTTCGTCTCCTGAAGCCGGCCGAGAAGTCTCTAAGAACCGTGGCTAGTCGTCGCTCGTCGCGATGGTCGTTGATGGCACTGCAGTGGGGCAAATGTCAGCGCATTTTTAGATCATATAAGGGACGAGGTCCGGCCTGAACATACCTAACATATTTGCCCAAAAACTCCTCCTTGTCTTTGGCACTCAACTGGGCATCAGGGAACTGCCTGACAACCACCTCCGCAGACCTCGCACTCTCATCCGGAACCGCCTCCGCCAAGAACCTCAGCATGACCGCGATATCCAGATACAGTTCCCGCTCCTTGGGGAACGTGTAAATCAAGCCATGGAAGAGCTTCCCCACTAACACTTGCGAGTTGGCTTTAAGCAGCTGCACGATGGGGTCGACGACGGGCGTCGGGAGGGCCCGGGAGGTTGGCGAGGCGGAGCGGATGAGCTCGCGAGTGAAGGAGATAACAGCATGCAGGGCGTCTTGCTGCTCGATGGAAAGACAGGCGCCGGCGCAGTTGAAGAGCGAGGGGAGGAGGGGGGATTGGAAGAAGAGGAGGGGGCACTGGTCGAGGAGTTCACGGACGAGCTTGAAGTAGTCTTCAATCACTGTGAAATCGAGGGAAAAAAGGTCAGGCTTCCTCTGAGAGAACATGCATCGCAAGAGCCCGGATTCCAGAGACCCACCTCCAGGTATAGACTCCAATTCATTCGCCTTGCTCTGCAAGATCACAAACACCGAATTCGTCAAAGTCTCCACAATCTCGAAAACCACTTTGCCTTCCTCGGTATCATCGCTTCCATATTCCCTCGCACACCGCCATGACGCCCACAAATAGCTGGGGAAGCCTGTCTTGTTGAACATCTCGACAATCTTGGCCATCATTGGGGAGAGAACCGGGAAGAGGTGAAACTTGTACGACATCATCAGGTATGCGCAGCAGCGACAGAAGTTTTCGGAGACAGCGGGGACATGCCCAAGTAGCGTAATTGTGTTGTCGAGAACTGGCCAGATTTCTTGAATGACGGGGATGGCGGGATGTGCTTGAGTTGCTGGCCATTCGCTGTAATCCGGACAGCTATACCTGAGCATCGTGCCCAGATGATGCAGAACCGCAGCACTCTCCGCCACCGCTGCATCTTCTTCAGCTTCGCTTGCAGGCTTCCCCTTCGCTGCAATGGCATGTAGTTGTTGAGCCATCGGGTGGATGAACGTTTGTAGCGCCACGCCGAGATTGCTCAAAGGAACAGCAGCAAGGATGTATGCCATCGCCTCTGTGACGTCCTGAGCGTCATGAGGATTCATTGTCTGAATAGCTCCGGAATAGAACTGATGAAGTTGCTCGAGGTGGTTTACTAGATGCTGGGAGATTTAAAGGTTTATGAGACCCCGATTCTCGGAAAATGCGAATTAGCGCTCAGTGAAGCACTTACTGGTGCACACGCTTCTCCTAGGAACTTTAACGTTTGCGAGGCTGCCGCCGTGCATTCCGGATCCGCGAACCCTTTGAACACAAAGTTCAGCTGGTACGAAATGAACTCCGGATGTTTACTGGTCCAGTCCGCGTATCGTCCAATCACCAGGATCGTTGCATATCTGATCTTCGGTTGGTCGGGTAGATGCGGTATCATCTCCATCAGCTTCGGGAGCACGGAAACCTCGGTTCGAACCTCCCTGCACATGGCACGGAAGGCAAACAGCGGCGCCTCAATCCGTTGCCATTGAACGGAAGGATCAAACTCGCCATTGTTCCGCGCGTCGAGAAGCGCGCACAGCATCGCATATGGCCTAGCGAGGGCATCTTCAGCACCGAGAACTTGCACACAGTCCTTCAGCACGTCTCCCATTTCATGACGGAAGTCACGGAACTCGTCCCGCTCCTCGGCGCTCCAACCTTGCAGGTCCTCTGGGTAGTGCAAATGCTGGATGATGATGTCGATGAGCCTCTGATAGACTTGGTGGAACTTTGGCAGTGAAGCTGCGTTTACTTCCAAGAGAACTTCCAGTTTCAGGGACTCCCAGAAACGAAAAGTGATTTTAACGATATCCAGATCTTCGGAGGTCGCACATTCGAGCAAGCCCTCGATCACATCGACAAACTTCTCGTAGTTCGCCACGATCAGATCTGGCCATGCCTCCGCTGCATTCGTGAAAACTCGGCATAAATCTCTGACCACATCCGGATTGTCCTTCTCCTCTTCCAGTTTTGTTCGTAGTGGTAGAAGCATCGGGTATATTTCGTTGATGACCTCGTAAGGTCTGTCCTTCTTCGACGGCCGCGTTCGACGACATATCTCACAAATCAAATCTGTCGCTGTTTCGAAAAGATCTTCATCATTGACCGCATCGAACGCCACGCCAATAAGGGGCGTGGACGTTAGGAACGCGACTTCAATGTCGCCAGACCGCAGCCATCTCAAAAGACAATCCAGAATGTGACGGCGCAGTGCAGTGTTGCCGCCTTTAACCATCCGGATGACGTGAGTGGAATGACCTATGTACGTCGGAGCACAGATGGGATGCCTACCTGCGTTTGCGTGAAAGAACAACAGTAGATTGAGGACCTCCCTCGCATTTCCTCGTAATATCTTATCCGCTCGACCGTGGATCTCATCATTCTATGTTTGGCATTTTGTCAGCAAAGAAAGTGACGGCGCACGAGCCCCGAAATCCAAAATCCATCTACCCACATCCATTTGGATCCTGTTGTTGTATGTGAACTCCTCTGCTAATGACGCCAGGAACTCGAGCAATGGTCCAACCATCTCCACGTCCTTGCCAAACGTCTGGATCATTTGCTTGACTGGATCCTCCCAGCTGAACATCTGCATCGCCACATCCGCTAAGGACAGACATAACTGCGTGACCAGAGGCTTGGACCCTAGTCGGTTGCGGTGAAGTGTATGCAGCAAGGAGTCCCGCAAGGACTCTTGTATGGGTTGCTCAAGTTGTGTGAAGTCAAATTCTATCTGCCATCGCGGTAGCACTATTAAGTATTGACGTTATCGATATGAGCAGCTGTACAGCACCCACCTTTTGACGGAGAGTCTGTGCGGCAAATAGGCGCACTTCTGGGGGCAGGGTTTGCGATTGGAGGAGCTGATCTGAGATTGCCCAAGCTGAGGGCTGAGACAACGTTGAGACTTCAAGTACCACGTCGAGAGCAATTGTTGCAAGCAGGATCTCACCAGCTTCTGAAAGCTCTCCAACCACTTGTTGGCCTCCGTTTTGCTGTCGCCGCTGCCGCTTGGGTCGAAGAGCACTTGAAGGACACGAAGGACTTCTTCGAGAGAAACGTTCGACGACATTGTGTTTTGACCAACGAAAGGAGACGAAATGGTCATTGATAAGCAGGCGAGGGGTCGTATGCGCTCAGAGTCCGCGGGGAGACCTTCGGTACATGTAAGAATAATGTAGCGTTGGTATGAGTGCTGGCGGTGGCGGTAGCAGTCGTGGTCCCTGTCTGTCGGGGCTGAAAGTCCGAGCGAGTTGCAGACCGCCCATCAGATTTATTAAAGCCTGCGCAACGCTCACGTGATGAAACCCATGTGATGGAACGCTCTCTCGAACGCTCTCTAGGACCCTCTGAACTTCTTGATTCAACTTAGGGTTAGGGTTAGGGTTAGAGTCCTGATTCAATTGAGAATACAACGTTTACAAAGTAGGGTTAGGGTTAGGGTTAGGGTTAGGGTCTCGATTCAATTTAGAATACAGCGTTTACAGCATCACAAATCTGCCACATAGTAAGAATCTCGCGGCGTCAAGCTATCGTTTCAGAATAGCTTCATTAATCGTTTCATACAAATCAATGTGGCTCATCTGTGGGTGACTCAGCAGCGCCGTATTAAATATGGTGGCCGCGATAGCGCGGGATATGTCGCGCTATTGCCCAGCCGCCCTTTCCCCCCTACACCCTCTTTGCGCTCACCGCCTCAGCCAACGGATCCCTCTCCCTCTTCTTTCCTCGACGGACGGCAAGCTCTCAACCATCACCGCCGACCGCTTTGACCGACGGCTCCCTGCCGCCAGCGCTCCCTGCCACGGCTTCTGTGGTTTTCGACTCTGCCGCGCGGGTCGCTGCACTTGTGGCCGCCGGTGGTTTCCGTCCACCAGCCACCCAGCTGGCCACGTCGCCCAGAGGGGCCGCCCAGCCTTCCGTGCCCTGTCAGCAGGGGTGGGGGGGGGGGGGGGTTTAGCATTTGCCATCCATCAGCAACAGGCGCACGCGATCTTACCCCTTGATCCTTGCCCACGGCCGTGATGTTTGATGCTTTCCCGTGCAGAATGGTCCACATGATGGTCCAGCGCGCAACGTTGACCTGACTGGTGGAATACGTGGCCGGGAGCACAAGCGCCCCCTTTGCATCGCCCTCCCCCACTGTGCCGTGAATAATCCAGCTGGCCATGCAGCACGACAGAACCCCGCAGGAGTCCATGTCCTGCTGTCGGGGGTGCGACACATAGATGGGGGGGGACGTGGGCCCACCTGCCAGCATGAACCCACAGTGGATCATGTACCGCACCCTGCACACGATGCGCCAGCAAATGTCTTCGGTCCATACGGCCGCGTTCATGTTCCCCGATCGCTTGCCGAACATGGAGTCATAAAAGTAATGCCGGCCATCTGTCCGGTCATACCAGTACGAGGCGAAATGGTTGCGGTTTCTGTGGAGGATGAAGTGGGCGACGTCGTGTTCTGCTGGCAACTGTGGAGGGGGCTCGTTAGCGCGGGATGTGCAGCAGTGCCGCGAGAATGTACAGCACTTACCGGGTGACTGTATGCGGGAGCCAAACACCCCTCCCCGATCAGCAGCGCCTCGCCGGCCATCCACATGCGTCGTAGGGGTTGCCCTGTCTCCCTCCGGGTCACGGCCGCCGACTTTGCCAGGGTGTCGACGTACGTGTATATTGTTGTCAGCGACAGCCAATTGCTTGCGCTCTTCGGCCTGCCGCCCATGTTCCCCACTAGGCTGGCCATGTCGGGCGCGCCCATCCACCCGCTCCCCGCCTCCTTCAGGTTTGGGTAGAGGCCAAGCACGGTCGGCGGCAGAGTGAAGGGGCCAACGTCGCCATACTGGGCCAGGCGTGCGCACTCATCCATCACAGCCTGTAGCGGCATCCAGAAGCCGGGCATCTCGCCGTGGCCGGTAGCGCGCGCATAGGGCACCACTGAGGCGGCTTCGGCAGGCCCTCTCCCCTCTCCACCTCCGCCCATGACTTTGGGACACCCTTTGCATTGAATCCGATGCTCGTCAGGGGCGCCACCTGCCAGTGCTCGCGCGCCTTGGTGTTGTCAAGCAAGTACTCCTCCCCTTTGGCCAGTTTTGGTGCGGCCAGCTTGGGTTTGGGTGCCCGTTGTTTCGCCTCTCGTCTCCCCTGCGCAGATACCCCGCGTTAGCGCAGCACCGCGGCAACGTCCACTCACCCAACTCATACCTGCTTTGCCGCTTCCTGCATGCTTGCGTAAGTGTCGTCTGCGACGCCCCTGTAGCCTTCCCATATGCGGTCCGCTGCCTTCCCCAAAGTTGCCATGTTTTGCCTGATCGCCTTCTTGCCCCCTTTCCCGCCATTGGCCTCTGAGCGCGCGAGCTTTCTGAATAGGTGCATGGTTTCATCGAGCAGCTTTGAGGCCTCGGGGCCGCCTGTGGCTTCGTACCTCCCCTTGAACCCTCCGTGATAGTCCGCCATTTGGCAGGCCTGGGTCAGGCGAAGAGATAGCGTGGCCATATCCTCCACCCAATTCCTATCCCTGTCCGATCCCTCCTTGTCCGACCCCTCCTCCTCCGACCCCTCCTCCTCCGCGGCTGCAGTGGGCTTGGCCCTCTTCTCGGGGGGCGCTTGCTCCGGCTCCCCCTCCTCTGCGCGCTTGCGCTTCCCAGCCTCAGCCGCCCCCGGCGCCTTCTCCGCCGCCTTCTCCGCCGTCTTCTCTCCCACCTCCTCCCCCATCCCTTCCGCCGCCTCCATGGCCACCTTCCCCGATGCCCCCTCGCCGACCCCGCTGACTGGGGAGCCAGAAAGCGCCTCGATCTGAGCAGCCGTGGGCCCTGGCCCCTCCCAGCCGTTCTTGGTCACGCCGGGCACAGATGCCAGCGGGTCCCCGGGCCTTTCTTCCGCGAAAAGATCGTCGATGCTCACGTCCTCGCGCCAACAGAGCTGAATGCAGTCCCAGTACAGCGAGAAGCTTGCCACTTCCTCCTTGCTTGCCGTCTTGCCAAAGGTGCGGCCATACGGCGAGTATGGCGGCCAGCCCATGACAAGGAGGGGGTTTGTCAGCGCGCGGACCTCGCCGGCCGCTTCCATGTTTGACCGGCTAGGGCCGGGCGCCTTTGCCGCCGCTTGGCTGCGAGTCCCCATCTTTGTGTGGGTGTGTGGGTGTGCGTGTGTGTGTGAGTGTGTGTGCGTGTGTGTGTGAGTGTGTGTGGGTGTGTGTGTGGGGGTGGGTGTATCTCCGTCTTCCAAGAGCTGGCCGCACTTAGCTGCTTAGCCAATCCGCTGGAGGTGGCGCAGTCGCGGCCCAGCTGTGGCATGCCGGTTACATGTCCACACTGCTGCTGTGATGATCGCCGCATCTCCAAGACCACACTGCTACACGAAACGTCAAGCGCTTGCAGCGGACGACAGCCCCCCGGCCAGCGCCTACCTCCTTCCAGCTCAAGCCCGGCAACTCACACAGAGCACGCTCTGAGAATGCTCAGCGCTGATGAGGTGAGTGGCCGCTGTGTAGCCGTGGGCGTCTCTGCCGGGTGTTGACCGCCTGGGCTCGCAGCCCATGCTGAGCACGGCCGCCGCTTGCGGGAGGTCGACCAGCATGGGGTGCGCTGTCTGGGCATGCTGCAGTGCGCTGATCTCGAGCACAACCGCCGCTTGCGGGGGGGGTCGACCGGTATGGGATGCGCTGCCTGGGCATGCTGCTGTGCCGCGTCGGTGATTGCGATCGCGAGGGCTGGGCCGCTAACACCTTCCCCCTCCCCTTCCCCTCCACCACGCCACAGGCCACGCCCCCCGTTGCACCCACCGCGGTCGAGGCTCTTCTGATGGGCATGGGGGAGGGCTGCGCCACAGCTATCTTCGGCAACACGGTGGCCTTTTTGTATCCGCTGCTGGTAGACGCCGGCCTTGCCGCCCGGGATGCTAGCCTAGAAGACAAGGGCAAGGCCATTGGCCTTTTTTCAAGGAAGATCAAGCAAGACAACTTCACCCTTTGGGGCTGGTGGATCAATAGGCCAACGCGGTCCCGTCACCACAAGAAGCGCGCCAAGCACCACATTGGGCGCCAGTCCGACATCATCGCCGCGATCACCGATGGCGGTCTTACTGCGGCCGACTTCTCGGTCGACCCCCGGCCCTCCGCTAGCCGCCCGGCTGTTCACATCGTGGTGCCAACGCCCGCCTCGTGCGATGGCTGGGAGGGCAAGATTGTCTATGCGGGGTTTGGGAAGAGACCGACGAAGCCGAGGGGCCTGGATGGGCTTGAGCGAATTGAACCCCGGGGGGGGGGGGGCCGACATCTACATCCGCGACGAGCACGGCGCCCTTGTGGCCACAATCTCATACAATAGCGCGGGTCGTCGCGAACATGACCTGCGGCTGGGGCTCATCGTTGAGTCCTGTGGATCCCGGCCGGCTCTGGTTCGATGGAAGGCTTCAAGGGGCACAATGCACGCCACGGGGCTTCGTCGTGGCGTCAAGCCCTCGGGATATGCCTGGGGGACGTTGCACTATTCAATGAAAGGAGGGGCTGACATTTCGGCAAAGAAGTTTCGCGTCGCCAGGGGAAAGGCGTTCACCAAGTGATTGCTGCGGGAGCTCACCAAACCCAACCCCACCGCGGCGGCCTACCCGATGATGTCCATGCCAGAGGTGTACGGGCCACAGTCCGATGAGCTCCCCCCCGCTGTTTGCCACGACCAACTATCAAGTGGTCGTTCACTCCAACCCGTCAGACGACGGGGTAGCCGGCGAGCTGAACCCGCACCCAGGCCACGCCATATGGAAGCTGACCCCCAAGGAGGAGCTTCCGGAGGAGCTTCAGGCCCGCAAGCTATGCACGCAATGGGTGGCAGGCTACGTCGCGCTCCGCCAACCGTCGTCGGCGAGTGGATATTTGCGCTGCCAGAGCAAGGCTTCTACTTGGTGCTGCAGCCCGACTGCATGTGGACGTGGATGTCTGACAAGCTCCACGGAACGGCGGTGCTTGACACGTCCGGCGGCAGTCGCCACACGGCTGTTGTGACGCTGCCCCTGGTGACGGCCGCGGCCATCCGGAAATACGGCCTCCCAGATGAATAGCTGCGCCGCCCCCAGCAGCAGCGGCCCCTCGTGCGTAGATTTTGTAGACCTTGCCTGCCCTGCCTGCGTAGATTTTGTAGACCTTGCCTGTGCAGAAAGGCCCCATTAATAGGCGAGTTTGGCGCGCAAGAGTCCGATGTGGCAAGGGGCTCGCTCCAGTAGCGCGGGCGAACGTGATGGACCGGACCTCGCTGTGAAACTTCGGCGGCTGGAGGCCTGAGCTGCCCATCCTGACCTCGCCCAGCGTGTCTCTGTCCTGCGGGCGCCGCGATGACACGCACACACAGTAGCGCTGGACTCGTGACGGTAGCGCGGGGTGGGGGCTAACGCCTGTAAAGCCACGTTAGCGCGGGGTGGGTGCTAACGCCTGTGAAGCCAAGTTAGCGTGGGGTGGGTGCTAACGCCTGTGAAGCCACGTTAGCGCGGGGTGGGTGCTAACGCCTGTGAAGCCACGTTAGCGCGGGGTGGGTGCTAACGCCTGTGAAGTGACGTTAGCGCGGGCATGGGTGTTGCTCACCGTGCCCCAGGGCTCCGCGTCTGCAGACTTCTACCTTCTACATGGTTGTGAGCAGACAAATTCCAGACCGCCGAGACCAAGCTCATTCTTACAATTGCGCGCAATTGCGCACACTTGCACCCTCGCACATTCAAGGCAAACCCCCAGCCAGTCTCTGAAAGCCTTCAGCGCTTCGCAGGTAACGGGAGTCCTGGATCCTCCTCGAGACCAGGCCCCTTGCTCGGCCCCCTTGATCTCACCACCTGCCTGCACAGCACGGCACAGCACGGCCATCATGTCATCACACCAGGCGCTCCAGGGGCACCGGCGGGGTGGCTTCTTTACGGGAGCAACCACACCACGGCGGAAGAGGAGGAAGGTTGCTCCGGTTACCCCGCGGCTGCCCATAAATCCGCCAACCGCTGTGCAGACACCAATGCAACCCCTGCAATTCGATTTCCCACGTTCTGTCCAGCGCCACTTGCCCCAAGCAATTGCAGACATGGTTGGCAAGAGCTCCGGCGATGAAGACGGGCAACAGCACCAGCAGCAGCGAGGGCTTTCACCCGTGGACAGGGGTCTGCAGCGCCCACCAAACCTCCCCGCGCCCATCCCTTTCCGTTTTCCCAGCACACCGGGTGGGTCCCTGGTGCTTGAACCCCCGCCACCACCACCAGTTCAACGACCCCGCCCGCAAACACATGCTGGCACCAAGGTTTCCCTTCACCGAGTCTTCCATAATCAAAATCAAGCTCAAAGGGAGCGCCTGACAACGTTCATCGGCAATGTTCACGTCCTTGCGCGCCACACCACCTTCTTTCTCAAGTACTACCTTGGTGAGTTTTTGAGGCACACTGTATATTTCCCATAATATTTCCCATAACAATGTCCTGACTACTACGTCTGCCCACCGCAGCTGATCATCCTCTACGCGATTTCCCAGACATCACCAACAAGCACATCAGTGTGATGTTGGAGCTGCTCCACAATCCAGGCTACAACGGCAATCCAGTCATCGCGCAAGAGTTGCGTCCACGGGGTCAAGAGTACTGTGATGTTCACGGATTCGCCCCCATCCGCATGCGATATTGCCAACAGACCGCAGCGTACACGGCTATGAGCATCTTCACAAACCTCAAAGTTAACGTACAAGAGCATTTCATGCAAATGTTTCTGCGCTACGTCAATGAAAGGCTTGGTTTGAAGCAAGTGCAACGGCATCTCCGGAGAGCGCAGCAGCGACACTATTATTGTCATGTCCGTCAATTTACAAAGTACGCGACGTTTGAAGAGTACCCAACCGAAGAGGAGCTTGCACGCCTCACACGACTTGAGCGGACCATCCTCGACGAGTTATGGGCTCTGTTTCCTCCCCAGGATGAGCTGCTTGCGTACAGCCTTGCGGTGGATGCAATGCCATATTTAGGTGGGCTATGTCCCGTACATTTACCCCACCCCCCCCCCCCCCCCCGCGGCTTCCTCTTTTGTCTAATCATGGTCCGCACCTGCCTCGCCTCATCACAGGTGCCTATTGTGAGCTCTCACGCCCCTATGAGCGCCGTGGAATGCGACTGTTTTCCGCTATCCCGCTGCGCAAATCTCGAATCCAGTCATCTGTTCGGATCGACACGCTGATCCTAGCCATTCATATCCTGGGTTTGAGCCAACGTCGCATGGGGAAATTCACCGATGAACGCAAGCGGGAGCTGTGGGGGCAGTTTCTCAACGTGAATGTAAGTCTCTATCCCTCTGCGCTTATTTCACTCACCTCACCTCGCTGAATGACGGATTGCAGGACAAGGTCTTCAAGGATCGAAAGAAGCTTGGTCTCAAATTTGATGGGTCAATCAGCACAAACGGGTATTCCGCTACCATCCACTTCAAGAAGCCAGGGCTCAAGTATGGGCATCGGGCCCGGAAGCGTAGCAAGGCCCAAATGCGGGAAGAAGTCAAGCAGCTGTATTTTGAGCACCACATTGCCGAACTACGGGAGGCTCCAAACATCGTCAGCATTGATCCGGGCAAGCGTGACCTCTTGTTCTGTCGAGACATCAAGAAGGAGCGGCCATTTAGGTACATTTCAGTTGACTACTACTGCCCCGCTGTCGCCGCTGTCCCCACTGTCGCCGCTATCCCGATCAACGCCCTCCTCAACCCTGTCCCCGTTCCCATCCCCACTATCCCCCCCCGTCACCATCCCCACCATCCCCTTTGTTTGACATTCCGTTGCCGCGTTCTCACAATGCACCACCCCATACCAGATACACATCCAATCAATGGGCAGTCGAGACAAAGTCTCGGTACTTTCGAAGAGACATGACAGAGCGAAAGATCAATGCCGGCATCGCTGAGATGGAATCACATATTCCGTCGCACAAGAGCATGAACATCAAGGCGTTCTCAGCGTTCATTGTGGATCACATACATGCGGGTATGATGTATCATGCATTGTCTTCAAATTTGGTAACACGTGGGCTGACATCCATCCATATCCCAGATCCCGCCCTGGATGAGTTTTACCAGGATGAGATTCACGTAGCTCGCAGATTCAAGGCGTTCTCACTGCGGCAAAAGTCTGAGAGCAAGCTCATCAAGAACATGCGACACCTGTATGGAAAGCATTTTTCGGTCATCTTGGGTGATTGGAGCGACACTGGAAAACCATGCGCTTTCAGGAGTCATCAAAGACCAAGGGGTGAGTGACCATCATTGTTTTTTATGTATTTTAATATGCTAACTCATCATCATGGAAATCAGATTCCGCACACTCTTTGCAAGAAACGGCATTCCATGGTACTTGCTAGATGAGTATCGAACGTCTTCCGTGTGCCCAGACTGCCACGGGCGTGTGAAGAAAAACATCCGACGCCGGCTGTCACCTCGGCCGTGGCAAGCTCGAAAGGGAAGAATGGAATTCGTCCATGGATTGGTGGGTTGCCCCAACCCCGAATGTATCAACCAAGACTGGACGCCATTTGAGATTCCTGGAAGAAGACAACCACTACAACTACGGATGAAAGTGCACAATCGGGACGTCCTAAGCACCAAGAATTTCCTCTCGATTGTGCGCTCAGTGGTGTTTGGCATTGATGGCCGCAGACCAGACGCATTCTCCCGTAACCGGTAGTCTAGATTTCACCCCATCCCATTTTCCGTGGTGGTTATCTGCCATCCACATCATTGTACCTCTGCCTGAGGCGTCGCCGATGTTGGCAACTTGTACGGAATACGAACAGAATACATTAGACCGTAGCGGCGAATTTCCTGCCGTTGGCTTAATGACGGAGGTTAGCATCGCTCATTCCTGAACCGCGTTTTCCTTAACCTCCACTTGCAGATCTCCGCTTTCCCGCGCGGTCAAGTTGCCAAGTGGAAAACGTGTCGGTCGGCTTCGTCTCCACAGCCAGCCAGCGCTGCCCCCACACACATGGCCCCCACCGAAAGTCTCCATACTAGCAGGTAGTCCTTATGCAGAATAGGAACGAGCTAGCCAGGTCGAGCTGCCAGCGCCCCCCTCGCTAATATATAAAGCGTGCTTGCTACCCTTCCCCAGCTCCTCTGACGGTCAAACGACAAATTGGGAAGCACAAAACCGTTGCTGATATCACATACAGTAGGTCCAAACTAAACCGCCCCCGTCAACCAAACCCGAGCCCGCCATCCCAGCGAGCCTTGTGCCTCTCCTCCTGTCCAGCGCAAGCCGGAAGTGTTCTGGCGAGGGAATCTTGGAGGCTTTCATCGACGCGCTCACGTCACAATACTCGACATCCTTTGTCTGTGCTCTGGCTCTCTTGCTTGGCGCTAGGAGGCCATTTCCTTTCGAGCAATAACATAAGTGCGGAGCAACATTTTGGCGATGACAGCTGAACTGGCGAACGGAGTCAAGTCTGAGACGGGACCAGACGGCGTCCTGCTTCCCGGCCACGGGGCCCAGAGTCCTTATGGGTCGCTCGAGTCTCTATCGCGAATGAGCTCTGAGGCTTCGGCACCTGGGGATCCTGTTGCCGTTGAACCAGCAACTCCGGCGCCTCCATCATCTGCACCGGCGCCGCTTGGAACTTTGCAAACCCAGTCGTCGAACCCTGCTCTCATTCCCACACGTCCATCACCGAGTACAGGCCTGACGTTCGACGCGACGGACCTTACTCTGTGCAGTGGGGTGTCTCCTCCGCCCTTGCTCCCTGTAAACCCGCAACACCTCGAGAGCGTTCTGACTTCGGGCACACGCATGATCAAATACCCATCGAAAAGCAGCTCGAAACCTGCCGAACGACTTATCCGTGTAGACCTGAACTCCCTGCAGATTTTCTGGGAATCGAAGAAGAAAAAGTCGGATCTTCGAGCAGGTGAGGACCGAATGTTGGACGGATTAGCTTAGTACAAGGAGACTGAAGAACAACCTCTCGTAGTTGATTTGCACTCCATCAGAGAGATTCGGTTGGGGCAGAACACGAAAGCTTTCGAGCTGCATGGGAAACGCCCCGACTTGCAGGATAGGTCGTTCTCGGTCATATATGTCGCGTCTGGAGAATACAAAACGCTCAATCTGGGTAAGCTGGATGAAGGGAGGCTGCGACAATGATGCGACTCGCTAAACGCACGACCACAGTTGCACCAAGTCGGGAAGATGCCTCTACATGGGTGTCTGGGTTGCACATGCTCATGGCAGAAGCTGATATCTCCGAGGGTGATCCTGCAAAGCTGCATTACAATATGAGCACTTGGCTGCGGCGGCAGTTCAATGCAGCCGACACTTCGAACAACGGCACCTTGGACCTAGACGAAGTGACCGATCTGATGAGGAAGCTGAATATTCGCTTATCGAAAAGCGAAATTAAAAGTACATTCAAGGTCAGCACCACGATTCCGGATGGGTAGATCGATTTTATGCCTAACGCCTTGTCAATGGACAGATAGCCGATGTGGGGAAGTTCGGAAGCTTGAAGTTTGCAGCTTTCGAAAGGCTGTACAGAGTCCTTCGGTTCAGACCGGAAGTCAGCGAGCTGTTCTCGGCGCTGTCACGCACGAAGCCAGCTCTGATTACATACGAGGAGTTCAAAGTCTTTGCTCAACAGACTCAAAAGGTGCAGATTTTGCCGCAAATGTTGTCGGAGGCCGGGGCTTTTCTGATGCTCAGACGCGGCCCTACAGAACGACTGGACGGACGAGCGATGTTACGAGGTTTACAGCAAATATGCGGGGGCGAACAGCCAAGAAATGAATGTGGATCATTTCAGCGCATTTCTTCTCGCGTCAACCAACTCCATCTTCAACAAGACGCATAACCATGTCTTTCAAGATATGAGCCGGCCGATGACGGATTACTTTATTAACACATCGCACAACACGTGAGTTCCCAAACGTAGCCGTTCTATGGCCCCCGCCCCGCATGAGTTTAACACCGTTATCAAGCTACCTGCTCAAAGATCAGTTGGCGGGAGAGAGCTCTGTGGAGGGATATATCCGAGCGCTTCAGAGGGGTTGTCGATGCGTTGAGTGTACGTACATCCAGCTTTCTTCAACGATCTGCAGCGAAGCGTCTCCTTGTTTCCGATCCTAACCATGATCGATCGTAGTGGACTGCTTCGATGGCAACAACGGGCAACCCGTTATATACCACGGCATGACTTTGTAAGCCCTTGTTGTCGGTTCTGGAGCTCTTCCATGGGTTCTGAAGTACATTATCACGCAGGGTGGGCAAGCTACTCTTCAAGGACGTCATCGAAGCTATCGGCAAATATGCGTTCGTCGCGACGCCATACCCCCTGATTTTGAGCTTAGAGTCGCAATGTGGGCCTGAACAGCAGGCTGCAATGGCCAACATCCTCCGTGAATACTTGGGCGACTATCTTCTTCAGCGACCTTTGGTTGAGAACGCGACGAGTCTGCCATCGCCGGAGGATCTGAAGAACAAGATCATCATCAAGGTATGTAGCGGCATATGAAGGGTGCCTCGTCGGACACCAACGAAACTGATTGCCATGGTTTTCCAGGGGAAGATTCTTGCGTCGGGGAAGTCTGAGATGGAGTACGAGACGGAGGATGAAGAAGAAGGTACATCCCCTCTTACTTGTGGACGGTTTCGGATATGAAGACTAATTCTTTCGCAGTGTTATCTCCAGGAGTAGCAACGAGCCCTCTAGCTCAGGTGTCTAATCTGGTAGACAGCGGTACAGCGCCAACGTTGGTGCGAAAGCCAACCACTCGAAAGTCTCGGAATTCGCAAGGTGCCGAGGAGTCAGCGGAAGCGGCGGCGCAGCGAAAGCGAGCCGGCAAGGAGGAACCGGGACTTGCGCGGAAGAAGTCCTCCCCGAAATTGTCGCGGAAGCACATTGTCGCCAAACCCTTGTTGGAACTGTTGGTATACTGCCAAGGAGTGTCGTTCGAGTCCTTTGCGGCTGCAGCAGGTATGCTAGTGATGCATATGCCGTGTTTGTTTGCGCCGCGTCGCTGACAGTGGGCTTACGTACCTCAGAGCTCTTTCTCTTCAATCACATGTGTTCACTGTCAGAGAAAAAGTCGATAGCCCTGATCCAGCGTCAACGAGCCGAGTACATCGCCTTCACTAAGCGATCGCTAACTCGTATATACCCCGCTGGAACCCGAGTCACTTCGACAAACTACGACCCTATACCCCACTGGGCCGTCGGGGCGCAGATGGTTGCGATGAACTACCAAACATTCGGTATGATCTGTCGTCATGTCTTCTTCAGTCTAGTCCGTATATTGTATGCCAACAACCTAGCTCTCAGACAAAGGAATGCAGCTGAATACTGGACTGTTCAGCCTTAACGGCCGCTGCGGTTACGTCCTGAAACCGACAGCGTTGAGGAACAAAGCGGGGCCGAAGCCAGATCCCATATCGCTGACGATCAAGATCATATCCGGCCAGCAACTGCCAAAACCGAAGGACAGCACTGGCAAAACGGTCATTGATCCTTATGTGGAGTTAGAGATTGCGGGCGGTGATACGGACTGTATCAAGTACAGGACTAAAGCGATCAACAATAATGGTAGGGTGGTCACTGTACGGCACGTCTAATTTTAATCTACGGCATTCTGACGAAACGTTTCCCGGGCATGCAGGCTTCAACCCTATGTGGAAAGAAGAATTCCGGTTTAACATCGCTGATCCTGAGATGGCTCTGCTGAGGTTTGTGCAATCAGTTTTTCTCATTGATCTTGGCATTCGCAATGCTGACATGTGCGTCACGTGCCAGATTCTCCATCTTCGACATGGACGTCAAAATGACCAATGACTTCATTGGCTCTTATACTATACCAATACAGAGTCTCGAACAAGGCAAGTGACATCTTCCTTTTCACATACATTTATCTGGCGCATCATTTACACCACTGCGTTTCATTCACAGGCTACCGCCACGTTCCGGTGTACAACTGGAAAGGCGATCTCATCCGCTTCTCGACGCTATTCATCTACGTCCGCATTATATCCGTCCCCTCGACGAAGTCCTCGTCTTCGACAGCACCACCGACGGCGGCATTACAGTTTGGAAATCCGTTAGCAGGGACAAGCGAGCCCGCACAATTGACCACCGCCGTCGTCGGGAATCCCGTACCTACCACAGGGACTACCACCACTCAACCGCAACAAGCCAACGGGCTCATTGGCACCGTCTACGCGCGGTGACATTTCCACCGATTTTCATATGGTGGAAGATCCACAGTTGGACGAAGATATGAGCCCGTTTTCAACATCAATGTTGCAGTAGATGACATGCATATTGCCCTGGGCTTTTCCCATCCACGTTATCCTGTATATAGTCATGCAGCTATTCATTGTGTACATAATTCTGAATCATCGGTCGCAAGGTTATCAACACAACAAGAGAGGAAACAACGCATGGCCTACGGTCTCCGTCCGCCTCCACATACTTGGAATGGATATGAAGTATGCAGAAAAGTATCGCCTGAAGTGGAGGAACCTGTCACTCAGGACTGAGGGGCTGTCAATCCTGATGTGACGTTTCGCGTTCCACTGGCTGGCAAGGGATTCCGCTGATTGACAGGTTCGCCGCCTGCAGAACCCATTCCGAAGATGGTAAAACTAACGGAAGCTCAGGTGCTTGCCAGAGCACGAGGGTCTTCCCGGACCGCTATTACAGACCTAGGTGAGGTGCGGTCGCAGACTTGCAAGTGCTTTCGCGAGCTGACCCAATTTCGTATTCCCAACTCTCCGTCAGCAAGTGTCAGAAACCTCAACCTCTGGGGTCAGAACCTTTCCGATGTGTCCATATTGCAGCGGTTGCCTAATTTGGAGGTCTTGTCGTTGGCCATAAAGCAAGTATTGCAATATCATACCGTCTGCCTTGGCTCTTGCGAACAGGGAACGGGACATGAAAGCTAACATGAATCGTACTTTTTCCTGCCAGTTCACTAACAACTCTCACATCCTTCAAAAACCTCAACAACCTCGTCGAGCTGTATCTACGGCGCAACAACATCTCCGACATCCGCGAAGTGCAGCATATCCGACATCTACCGAAACTGAGAGTACTATGGTTGAGCGAGAACCCGCTGGCCGATGATCCGGATTACAGGAAGAAGACGATCGCGTTGCTGCCGCAGTTGCGAAAGTTGGATGATAGGGATGTGACGGAGCGGGAACGGAGCGAGGCCAAGGCTTTTGGTGGGGTAGGGGATTTTGCATGTGAGTGTATGGGCAGGGCAGATGGGCAGCTTGATCACTAGCTTCAGGATGTTGATTTGGTCTTGCAGCAGAGGAAAACTACCAGCTGCAGAGCCCGCATTCTGCAGGACACGCCTACCAACCATCGTCGTATGGCGGAGCAGCCGTCTCTCCATCGCGGCCGACGGAAGCTGCATCTCCACGCGTAAGAAGAGATATCACGCAGCCACCACCACGCCCACCGCATCTGGATACTGGGCGGGAGGAACAACATTTGAGTGGATCAGGGATGTCGATTGTCAGCGTGTCGCCGACAAGGCTTGAATCGCAGCAGGTTGGGAGGCCACAACATGATCGGAGGGATCCGGAGATACATGTAAAGACGCATTGCCCGGCCTTCCTTGCCCTGAACGGTCATACATTCTAAAGCACATTGATCAGAAATCCAGCGCACTAGAATCAATCAACAAATCCTCCGCCCAACCTCCACCAACAAACAACACCCCCTACCCCGCAAATACCAACAGGCGACAGTCAGCCCAGCCCGTCGGCCGCCGCGCACTACAGGCCGAACCGGCACGCATTGAGTTTGAGCCATCGATACAAGGTGCAGGGTATGACAGACCACAGCGCGGGCCGCAATCAGCGGGGGCAGGCGCAGTGATGCAGTCAGAGCATAAGAGGAGACCGTCGTGGCTGACGAGACCGGGTGATGTGAGTGGTTGATCATTCATTCTATAGGCATGATGCGATATCAATTAGGTTCCATTGATTTCGGCTGGTTAGTCTGGGACAGTGAAAGACCGTATCAGGGCGGCGGGGATCCCTGCGATCGCTGAAGCTGAAGAATCGAATGAGGGGACTGAGGACGCACTGAAATCGAAAACGGTACGCTCTTGGTCTCTCTTTGCAGGAACGCATTTTCTTCTGAGACGTGCTATCCTTCCAATCCAGAACAACATACTGTTCGCCGTTCTATCGTTGCTGAAGGAGCTAGATGCGCCAGCTCTGCAAGTCGTCGGATACGAAGTTGGCGAAGCGCTTGCTCAGACGAAATAGCCAACAGACGTTTATGTATTGTGGACGACGCTGTTGTTTTTTGGCCACACCTCCGCATGCAGGAGGTTGCACATGCGTATTCGAGTGGGACTGAGCTTTTCACATTTTGATGAGGTTTCTTAGATTATATGGACACAATGTCATTATAGTTGTCTCACTCAATGCCCTCGATTAAGGTTCGCTTTACGGGGCGTGTGACTCCATAACCTTCTCCCATACCCTTTTCCTCAACCCCATTATACGCCCATAATTACGCCGTTTCCGCCCCTCCTGTCATACAGTGGTTTCTCAGCGGCTAATAGGGCGCCACGCCTGCCAGCAACCTCCTTTGAACCAGCTTGCCGCTATGTCGTTATGTCATCTTAACAGATTATTGACCTTTCGCTGTCATCATGATCCTCAGTATCAGTTCCAGTTGGTGGTTCATCGAGAACTCCAGCGACCCGAATATTGCAGCTCTGTGCTAAAAACATCATGAAGAAAGAGCGTAAAGAGCATCCGTCCTTCGGTGTTGTTGCTACCCATCGAGGCCTTGCATACCTATTTCGCATTCTAGATCCTGGACTCCAATTGAGGATTGTCCACGATGTTTCGCTGCAGCGGCAGCACGTTTCGTAAGATCTCCCAAGAAACTGTCCGCCAATCGAAGCATGAACTACAAAGAAAAGAGAATGGGAAGACACGACTGCATTTTATCGATCGTGGGCGGCATTTGCTTTACCTGCTCGGTTTCTGGCGTTAGTCGACAATGGGGTGCCAATTCGGCTAACAACTCATTCAAAAATGTCGGTCCAGCAGTGACAAGCGAGTCGACCTCCACTACTGATTCCTGAGTAGCCAGTGACCCATTGATACTCTTCTCAGCCAGTCTCTTCTTTGGAGCAGGGTCGTCGGGTACCACATGCGATGGTGGTTGATATGTCTCATGCAGCGAAGGCTTCGTCCCTCGCCTGGGAGGCGCCCTCTTGACAACAAATTCCGGAAGCGCGGCCATTCCGTGCGAGGGCTCGCCGGACGACATTTGCCAGAGGAAGAAGTTCGATGAGTGGTGGTGTATTGCTTTCTTGGGAGCTTTTTGCGCCGCTTTCTTATCAGCTTCCGTCGTTACGTACTCGACCATTGTTAGTATGCGCCCGGGTATAGGAGGCGGTGATGGAGGACGAGCTGCCCCCGATGCCGATCCAGCGGTTGGCGGATCTTGCAGCGGGAGAGCTGTGCAATGCCAGCATAAGTAAGTCAACAATCGTCTGGGAATTAATAAAGCTTAAAGTTACCTCCTCGTGGTCGACGCTTCCCTTTTCCAGTCCCTACGCCTTTCCCAGTCCCTTTTCCGATACTTTTGCCGATCAGAAGCTGCAGCGCAGATTTCTGTGTGCAAACTGCAATGGCGAGACAGAATGACGATGCAGCGAAATTTCTGTTACATGGTGTTTTACCGGCGTTTTCACCGGCGACCCGATTCCTTACCTTCATTGATAGGTGTGAAACCTTCAGGTCTGACCGGTCCAGCCGAAGGTGAAGCCATTTCCTGCAGGTGGCCCAGTGGGGGGATAGATGACGTTCGAACCACTGGCCCTCCGACTCGTGTCTGCGGAAGGACATTGGTAGGTTTGAAACGAAACTGGAAACCATCAGGTCCGACCGGTCCAGCCGGAGGGAGAGATATCTCCTGCAGGTAGCCCTCTTGGGGGAGCGGTGACATTTGAACCACTCGTGTCTGCGGATGGGGCCCGGATTGATGGATAAACTGTTGCTCGCCTAGGTCCTCCTGAGTCCGCAGGGACGTTCGCTCCATGGCACCTTGAGGATTTGCAGGCATCTCAAACTTGTCGGGCTGTGCACTCGCCGCGAATTGCGATGGGCCAACATGATCCAGAGGCCCGTAGGCTCTATCCATTCCCAAACATCGTTAATAGCGAGCTCACTAAAACATTCGAGTCTTGCACGAACATACCCGTATAGGTCAGGATGAGTATCCGGCATATGAAAGTGCAGCTGCAGCTTCCGCAGCCGCAGCTGTTAGTCCTGAGTTTGAGAATGGTATAAGGCACCCATGAACAGTCCGAATTGGTTGTTGCGAGACAGGAAACTCGGTAGTGGACCGCATCGCTGATGCACTCGAATCCGCGACTAGCACTGGCTTACCGGGGTTGGCGCAATATTGCATTTGACGTTCCCTTTGCCTCACCATGGTTTTGAATTGAAGTAATTGCATATACGCAACGAGGATGTTCCAAACGCTGGGGGGGACTTTCTCACTTTTTTGCTGTGCCAGAGTCGCCACGAAATCGAATAGCGACTCTGAATGCCCATGCACCATCATCAAGTTTTCTTTGAGCTTCTGAATCTCGGCCATCAACTCCTCAGCTTCCATCTTTTCATGTACTTTTAGTGCCCCACGCCTTGTGCGATACGCGGCCTGCAAGGTTTCGTAGAGCGCAGCTTCGGCAGTGCTAGGTTTTCTAGTAGCCAATGGAGCCGTCGGCGTTTGAAGCCTCTCGGTAGGTGCGCTGGTCGTCCTCTTTGAGCTGAAAGTCAAGCCTCTCGCATCCAGTAGCAGTGGTCCCGGTGTATCACACCTCTGTGGGTGGTATCCTCCTTCAGCGACAGCGGCATCTCTTGATGCAGATTGTTGATACTGATGATGTTGCTGTAGCGTAGAAACTCCATATGCTGGATTGGGATCCGGCACTCCAAGGTGCCGTGATGCACGTTGTGCAACGTGTCGATATTGATACGAAAGGTCGAACGGAGCCGTAATGGGGCTGGGTCCGCGCGAATGGTCCAGCACTGACCGATAGTGCATCGTCGGTGGGATGGGTCGATGTGCACCTTGCGGGCACGGAGATGAGTAGCGGGTGAGGGATGGCGTTCCAGTTTCCGAATCTGCAAACAACGATTCTATGCTGGCAATCGGCGAGGGACGCGCGGACAAGAAGGTCGCATGATAGTGAGGAACTTGGGGGGTACCTACAGCGGTTGCGACCACACCACTTGAGCGGCGTACGTCTCCCACCATGCGACTTCCAGAGGGTCCTGGGGATCGGCTCTCTACATAATCCAGAGGCAGCGGTACCACGTATCTTTCTCTGTCAAAGGGACCCCCGAACGTGCAGCTTCCATGTTGTGCAAGATATGAGCCTCGTCGGTGGGTAACTCGGAGATTCGGTTTGTCCCCATTCCTCGTCTACGGTCGCTTTTTTACGAGGGTCGAACATTATACTTGTGACGGTGACCTTGCAGAACGGATCCTTGAGCGGGGATTTTCTTGAACTGATCTTCGTGGGAAAAACAATCGTCAGGACATCTCAGGACATCTCAGGACATGGCCTGTTGGGAGTCGGGGCTCGTGTCCGATTTCTGTTTCGGACGAGAACGCGCGACATAGTCACATTCAAAACGTTGATTTCCACCAAGGATGGAAAAAGAATGTCAACGATAAAGCCTGGACACCTTACAGCGAATATCGAGATGCTTCTCATGGATTGGAAGGAGTGTTCTTCGCAGATGATCAACGTAGTTGCGTTCAATATACTACTTGAACGACCAGATCCGGAATCGGAGGACCAACTGGGTAGCGGATGGCTCGAAGTCGTTGTTGTTCCTTCATAGACCTACTTGAAGTGGCAAATCTGGCGACGGCAAAGCAGAACCGTAATATCGCGGTGATGCATTGTGAAGATGTGATCATTGTCGCTCAACATAGTGTCGTCAACGATCGAAGGCGGTGGCCCTGGGGCTGGCAGCCAAAGGTCAAGCGGTTTGCGTTGCTGCAATGATCACTCTGTCATTGACGCTTTCTTCAAGGCTCACCGGGGTTACGCTTGAATTTGATTTCCATTTCATGCGGCGACAACTCTTAATGACAGTGCGGCCGATTGAGAAAGGGTTCCAGAAGACCAGAATCATGACGGCCGCTGACTTCCGACCATAATCCTAGGATGCGCCTTCCCTCAGACTCACCTACACTTCCGCCGGTCACGTCGATAACCCTGTGTACCTCCAACTCAACATGGTGGAGAACGTTTGAGCCCCTCTGAGCAAACCCTTCACTTCGCGCACCAGAAACCGAGAATCAGGTTGAAGACAATCTCAATATGGCTATCTGTACAAGTGAAGCTCTGTCTAAATAAAGGTGCAGAGGACTAAAAATGGTGCTACGCAGTGTAGGCCAAGTAGTATGAGCCCTCGTGGAAAGGGCCATAAATAACTTGAAAGCTTTCCTATGCCTCATCGCAGAGAAACCCTCCGCGTTGAGTGGTTCGCGCCGCCCCCAAAAGCTTGCGATTATGTCCAGATGACATAGGTTTCCCTCGACATCTGGTATCTTTTGGCGCCGACACGAAAGTCTAACGGAGTGAACACCGGCAAAACATTGAACTCATAGCGGGGATTAATAAACAGATGGGCGGTGTGCGTGTCGGGTCGGAGTTCGATTAGATCTCGTCGATGTCGAACTCGACGTTGACCTCTGCAAAAGCCAGTGTCAACTATGTTAGTCGCCGGCTCGATTGATCCAACTACCGAAATTATTGAGATCTTACCATCGTCAGAGTCCTCCATGATCTGCGTGTCGTTGATCTTGATATTGTCTGACAGTTCACCATATGATTTCAACATCCTTGCTTCGTCGGGGGTGTACTTGAGGATAACATCGGCTTTCGAGTCTTGGAAGTCACGGAGACCAAGAAGGATAAGGTCGCCTTGTGTGATCCTAAGAGGAAAATGACATGGTTAGAGAAACAAACCCAGTGGAAAACCCAGTGACGTCGCCCACCAGGCATGTGCGCATGTACGTGATGACCTCAGTCATGCCCTACTCACCAAACCTTCTTCCTGAACGCTCCTCGAATATGTGCCATACGTTTGTCCCCATCCGCACATTGTGCTTCCACCCATCCGTTTCCAAGCATCTTAACTACTGTTGCATATTCCTGTCCTTCCTCAGCGAAAACCAATTCGCGCTTTTCGGACTCGTTCTCGTTCTTTCCCCTGACAACGTGGAGAAGAAGGCCCAGCACTTTAGGTAAAACTGTAGTTGCAGTCGAGTTGGCGTTTAGAACGTCGCTACGCACCTCTTCTTGTTCTTTCCTCCCTTTCCCTTGTTCTTGGGCATGTTGACAAATGTACTGTGGTACTTAGTATCGACTAGTGCTTCTGGGAATTGCTACTAAAGTCGATGTTCGGCGACTTTGAGGTAAAAGATTCACTAGCTGTGTTGCCGTGAACTGTGCTGTTTATACTGTGGTAGCGGATCGACCTGCGGGAACCACGACGTAAATCTGGTTGTTGCTGGTGCGGGCAAGTCAAGAAGTTTGGTCGCTGTGTTCCGCTCATCCACACACTTCATTTCTCGTGGGTGCATGTGACTTGGCAATTAAAATGTCGCAGGGTCGAAGTTGCTGTCGAGTGAAATTAACTTCGCCCACATACGGTACCATCGACACTACTGCAGAGGAGCGACAAGATCTCGCTTCAGAGTCTACAAGCAAGCGCTTTGGTAGCTTCGTCATAGTCAGGAAGGTCTTAGGAGAAACGGCGTAAATTGAAAGGGCACAAAACCAGAAATTGTGCGAATAACGAGCTCAAGATTACCGCGCCACCCATCCAGCCACCCATCCGCTTGATTCCTAGCCCGATACTCTTCCAATATGTCAACCACGAACGACGTCGACGTCCTCCCCGCCGAGCGCGACAAACGGAAGCTCCGCGCCTGTCTCCTATGCGGTCTCGTCAAAACAGCCGCGCAATTCAAATCCAACGGGTGCGACAACTGCGAAGAGCTATTACATCTGCGGGAGTCCAACAAACGAGTTTTAGCTTGCACGTCTTCATCGTTCGATGGGGTGGTGGCGCAATTGAAGCCGGAATTATCGTGGGTGTCGAAGTGGCAACGGACGGACAAGTTCACGAAGGGGATGTATGCGATACGGATAGCGGGGCAGCTACCGGAGGATATGCAGTCGATGTTGTTCCAGAGGGGGATAAAGTACAGGCCAAGGGATGGTAGTGTGAAGGATTAGCTCCGCGGTGAGGGGTTCGCAGGTCTTCGGCGGGCCGTCAACATCGTGTAGCTCGAGGAGAAGCACCCTTGCGAACGGATCACGATGATTGGGCGAGGAGAGGAGGGAAGCCGTCCATGGGGAATGGTCGGACTCACATGTGTGATTGTATATACCCGGCGACGCATAGGAAGGCGTACTCTGCACGTCATACGCGCGAAGCCCCGACGTGTTCAATTGTGTGTATATATACATAGCGTAGGGCAGAGAGAAGACGGATATGTTGCCCCACAAATGCTACAATCTGTGGCTATGTAATGCGAATATCTACTGTTCCAGCTTAAGAAACTCAACTCCGACAGTTTATAGTATCAGATCGGGGGAATTAAGATGTCGCCGTCTCTCAAAGTCCAAAGCGTCGCCGGACCATCGGTGTGCCCGGATCACGCCGTGAAAGACCGGGTGTTCTTGGTGTTTTCATCCCTGGTGTGGCTATACGAGAGCGCGGTGTTGGGGCCACCGTCGCGAGACGCTTCTCTTCGTCCTTCTTCTCGGACGCTATCCGCAGCTCCTCCTCCATCGTCATTAGGTCTTCTTTGTCCTGACGACGTTTTTCCTGTAATAGGTAGTGATTTAGCAGCCGAACATAGGTGTACAAAAGGGCGGCTGCATGCAACACCACTTACGGTATGATTGAAACCCTTCTCTTTCAAAGAGAAGAACATAGGTCCGAGCTCCGCCAACCATTGGGCGTCCACGGCAGTGACGCACTGCATAAACTCTTTCGATGTCATAACCAACTCGTGGTATACGATGTAGTCAGGAGTGAATCCTCGACCGTACAGGGCACTTGTAGGGTGTAGGTGACATGGCATGCCTGTTCGCATGTTGACGTACTCTCCAATACCCTTAGACCGTGCCGATTGGTGGAAGTACGCGGAACAGATACATTTCCTATGGTGTTCCGGCCGGTTCGTCATGAAACAGTTAGTGGGTGAGGCAGTTGGTTTCCGAGCGAGAGCTTTCGAGCTTTCCCAAAACGTACCTGATCACATCCCAATCGTTCCCACACGACACAATATTGATCTTATAGGATTTCATGATATCCTGCAATTGCGTTCGCACCTCCCGCGCCTTCCGCAAAGCTTTGGGATGCACGAAGTGTTCCGTGCACCAACTATCCCGATATCTTGAGGTGCTTGCCATGTTAGCGTTGGCGCAATAGAAACGATAAAAACGTAAGGCTACCAACCCACCCATTGACCTTCCACTGGGTATACACATGCAACAACGTGAGATGGTCACTTTCTCCCACAAAGAACTTTTCGCGAGCGGCGTCACTTTCCTCCGCGCGTTCCTTGGGTCGATAAAAGATGGTCGGTACAGACAACATGGAAACGATGGTAAGGACCTCCTCGGAGCATCCGAGGGTTTCAGCCGTGATGAGCATCTTGGACAGAGATGGATCGAGCGGGAATTCGACCATCGTCCGCCCCAGTTTCGTTAGATCGCCGGTATTATCAAGCGCGCCGAGGATCCAAAGCTGGTACATCGAATTCAGGATGTTGTCTTGCGGTGGTGGGTCCATGAAGTCAAACTCGAGAGTGTTTTGTACACCCAGAGACTTTAGGAGCAACACGACGTTTGCGAGATTGGTCCGCTGGATCTCCGGAATATTGTTGGGGAACATCTCGTTCCGGAAGGCGGACTCGGTGTAAAGTCTGTAACACATTCCCGCCCCGGTACGTCCAGCTCTTCCTGAGCGCTGGTTGGCGTTCGCTTGACTGATCGGTGTGACCTGGAGAGCGTCCATTCCGATTTTCGGATTGTACACCTTGAGTTTGCTGAATCCGGTGTCCACCACGTACATGATACCATCGACGGTAAGCGATGTCTCAGCAATATTGGTTGCGACGATAACTTTGCGATTGCCTTTAGACGATTTCTGGAAAATCTTCGCTTGCAAATCGGCGGGCATCTGGGAGTAAATGGGCAGAATATCGAGCGGTGCTGCGTCATCCAGCTGCTCTAAACGTTCAGCCACCACCGCGCAGGTGACTTCAATGTCTTCCTGCCCAGTCATGAACACCAGGATATCGCCAGCGGGATGCGACAAGTGGATGGACAGCACTTGCTTGACAGCGGCATCGACATAATCCTCGCAAGGGTTTTTGGCAAACATGATATCAACTGGGAATGTCCGTCCGGGAATGTTGAAAATAGGCACGTTCCCGAAAAAGTCCGAGAACTTTTCGGCGTTCATCGTTGCGGATGTGACAATCAGCTTCATGTCTCTCCGCCGCGTCAGGATCCGCTTGATGAGACCCATCAGCACATCCGTGTACAACGCACGCTCGTGAGCTTCGTCCATGACGATAGCACTGTACTGATCCAGGTCCGGTGTGTTCAAACATTCTCGGAGGAGGACACCATCTGTCATGTACTTTATAACAGTCTCCTTAGTTGTGCAGTCTTCGAAACGAATCGCGTAACCGACTTTGTCACCGAGCTTGCATTCCATTTCTTCGCTGACACGTTTGGCGACGGACATGGCTGCGACACGCCGTGGCTGCGTGCATCCTATCCGCCCATGTTTCGTGTATCCGGCTTCATGTAAATATTGCGTGAGCTGCGTTGTTTTGCCGGATCCCGTTTCTCCGACAATGACAACGATCTGGTTCTCTCGCACGACTCTCAGCAGCTCTTCCTTGACCGAGAATACCGGCAGATATTCTCGTTGCTCTCTTAACGATTTTGATAGGGCAAACGCACTGACGGCTGTTGATGAATCTTGCATATGTGATGCAAACTTCGATTCTCCCTTGTGATCGTCGTCCCCAGCTTCATCGCCCTCCTCAACCTGCTTCTTCACGCCCATGATGTTACCGAGGGCGGTTCCCGCTAAATCAAGAGCTTTCGCGGCTTTGGCACGTTCTTGCTGCTCCCGCTTCTCTCTGACCAACTGACTCCCTTTCCGAGACACGACCGCCAAGTCTGCGGTTGGGTCGCGGACGGATTGAACAGGCTCCAGCTGTTTCGTGAACACAATCTTCCCATCCAAAAATGGCGGTTTGAGGTCACGAACGAGAACATGGATCCGGCTCTCGTTCTCATCGTCAAAATCTGTATCCACGCCTCGCCTCTGCACGACTCCACTGGTGAGCATTCGATTCGTTTCCCACAGGTCGTTGTCCTGATTGTACTGCGCTTGTCTCGCGGACATTCGCTTGACTTGCTGTTTCGCGAGCTCCTCCTCCTTCTTTTTGTAGTACGCATCAAACTCTGAGTATGCATTGTGCGACTCGTCCATGGCTCCCGATTCCTCCAGGTTGTACCACTCTCGATCCAGGCGGGTCTGTTCTTCCTCCCACTCCCCGAATTCGGCATTGGTCGGCTTTCGCAAGTGATCGTCGTAGGATGTGGATTCCACTCTCGGCGTAGCGTTACTCCACTCGGATCTGCGAATGCTTTGTCCGCCGCCTGAGTACCTATCGCTTTGTCCGCCGCCTGAGTATCTATCCATCTCCCCACGTCGGGGCGTCATGGGTTCGCTCCGCCGCGGAGTCATTTCCCATTCGCTCCCTCCCCTCTGCGATCGGTCGGACCCCCTTTGCGATCGATCGAACCCATTCCGTGAACTTTCCCTGTCGTCCCGCTCTTCCCGCCCGCTTGATGAAGGCTTCGACGACAGATGTAATCCACCTGATCTGTACCGTTCTTTCTCCCGTCTATGTTGCCCTAGTCTCTCCCTCGCCTCTTCTGAAACTCCGGGGCCCGCGGAGGGCGTTTCTGCTCCTCTCGTCCTATACTGAGGCGCGCCAAACTGCCTGACTGTCGTCGAAGAGTACGAAGGTCTAGGGCTCGACTTCGCCTTCTCATCGTCCCAGGATTCCGTCGAGTCCAGCTTGATCCGCTTCGCTGCGGACTCTTTGTGCTCCTTTTCCCGTCGTTTCTCTGCTGCTAGCCGGTCTAGTCCGAGAACAGACGCTTTCGGGGCCGGGACTTTGAATTCGTGCTGTTTGGCAGGTCTGGCGAGCAGTCCACCGACTTTTGGCGTCGAGCTTTCCAGTCGGTCGGGTTGCTGATCTGCTATGAACCCTTCGGGTACATTGTTTCCACCTGCCATTGTTTGTGCGATGGGTGGAGTAGGTGCTCAAAGCCCAAGTCTCGAGAATACTGTATACTGCTCGAAAAGGTCCCGGGATACAATTTGAGAGAGTGGTAACGTTCCGTTTCTACCCCACTACGCCTGTCGAGTTCACCCAACACCTTTCAAGTGATATCAGTGATATAATGGGGCAACAGAGAGTTGCCTAGAGCAGCACAAGTCTCAGGGCTCCCTTGGGGACTTGCATATGCAAGTGATATGCAAGTGAGGTCAGCTTTCTCGACGTTCCGACGCGCCTGCCCTGGCGCCTGCCCCTTCTTCAAAGTTGTTGCGAATTCCAGTCGGGACATTTATCGACCTTCCCCTGGAACTACTTGACCGTATTCGCACAGTACGCCTATACCAGTCTCTCTGGAAACTAGGTCCCAAAAGCTTGGATCGAAAACCGGCCGCTCGTTCATCCCGACACCATGTCAACACCACTGCAATCCCGACCTTCGGTCGTCAACTCAACGACGACGACAAGCACGGCGACAGCAGCGACATCGGCGAACCCCGTACACCTGCAACTCCTCAAGGCGTCCGACTTTCTGGTGAAGCGCGGCTACCCGCCCCTCACGGATGTTTTGGTGCAGCCGGGTTTGTCGCCGTATCCCGCCGCGGCGCTTTCTGCTCTGTGTGAGTGTTTTGGGCTTTGGGGTGAGGAAGGGCCGACGGAACTTTATCGTGCGGGGGACTTGGAAGTCAATGGGAATGGAGGGTGATTGATTGGAATGGGGATCAGATTGTATGATGTGGGAATGGACTGGGATCGCCACGAAGGTTGCATGGAAGAATGCTGGATCAGCAAAAAGGACGACCTAACGGATACTAACAATTATCAACTCCATAGGCGTCGGATCAGCCTTCAAAGCGTTAGGAAAAGGCCGCGGGTGGCCAGGATACACCATCCTGCTAGGATTCGGGGCCATCTTTGGCGGGTCCAGGTATGTCAAGTGAACCGGTCTGATCTACCGCGCACTTGAGCGACGACTGACGAGTGACGGTGTATGTAGCTATATCCTTCTTCATGATGTCGACAATGGGTCTTCAACGGCGACAGGTAGCGTACCGCTTCATAGAAAGGGTTATATGTCATCAGGACGATTCAACTTATATCTCCATGTGCAAATCCAGCCTGGGGTGTCGTCTACACATCCCTCTTTCTGCGGTCGAGTCTAGCTTCCAGGCGTGTAGGGCCCATCGGCTTGCTGGCGTGTGTGATGGGAACTACGGGAATGTATGGCGCGGAGGCATGGGATTCCCATTTTGGGTGATGCAAGGGGCGTGAAAGCGGTTCGATTTTCACTATTGTATATATATCAACCCATTCCATAGATTGTAGACTAATCACGACCAGCTGCACACGCTAAACGGTGTCCTCACAATATTCATTCGCCCAGAACGGAAGATTAGGTATAGACAGATACAAAAAAAGAGATTTACCGCAGCAGGGAAAGTAGTGGAGCATAATGCACGAGTCAAAGGGGTAGAAGGTGGTTGTCAGAAATGCCGACAGCTCTTCGTCTATCGTCCTATCATGTGTTGCTACTCGACGTAACAGTAGCCACAGACCACTTCTGATCACACCACGGCATCCCAGGTATGCAGTTCAAGTACTTGCACCACGTGCACGTCGCAGTCGCATCATAGAACCCCCTCACCATAAAGAACAACACCAGCACCAAGCCCGGAAACGCAACGCCCATCAAAATCCGTTTCCGCATTCGATCCCATTTCCCGAAATGGATGGTGGGCATGAACACGAGACCGGCGAGGATGCCCGTCGCGAACCCGCCTATGTGGGCGAAATTGTCGATGTAGGGGAGCATGCCGATCATGAGCGAGATGCAGATTTGGATGAGCATTTTGAGGAGCTCGAGCCAGGGTTTGGAGATTAGCCGCCAGTTTTGGAAGAGGTCGAGGAGGAGGCAGGCGAGGAGGCCGTAGAGGGAGCCGGAACAGCCTACACTTGGCGTTAATGGACTGTTCGAGGAAACTCCCGTTAGCGCTGGTTGGCCAATCTTTACAGCACGCTTCCCAAAACCTACTTGAAATTAGCTCCAAACACAAACCCAGCAACCCCAGAAGTCATATAAATTGCGGCCACCCGCCACCACCCAAAATCCTTCTCCATCTGCAACCCCGTCCTCAGCTGGAAACTCATATTGAACATCAAGTGGACCACCCCTCCATGCAGCCCAATTGCCGTAAAGAACCGGTACCACTGATTTGGTTTCGCCCTATCCACGCCGCCCATCCCACATATATCCGCCAGCGTACATACGGCCGGATCCGACCCCGACCCTTTTATCCCCGTTGGACACTCTATGCTCGCGTAGTTTTCCAATCCTGTGCCGAGTCGCATGCACGGTACGAAGCGGGCGCCCATGGTGATAAGCGATCCCGAGGCCGGGCCAATCATGTAATTCATCGGATTAGTCTGAATAGGCGTGCCGGTTGATTTCCAGTTGAGGATGAGGGTGCCGATGAGAGCCCCGACTTGGATGAGTGTCATCAAGCCGAGGAACCATGGTCGGTGGGACTTCATCTGGGCGAGCTGGACGCGGATGTGGGGGTTGTGGAGGGAGGATTTGGTGTTTTCGAGGGCTTCCGCTTCTTCCAGGGCCATGCGGGTGTAGTAGGAGGCTTCGACGCGGGGGGGTTGCTCGTGTGGTACGAGGTTGTTGGTTTCGCCTTCTTCTATATCTGTGGTGGGTGCACCGTGTTCGTCAAGAGTAATCAAAAGGATGGTTGGGCTACTATCGAAAGCCAACCTGTTCCAAGTTTTGAAGATACGATAGAGGCCACCTCACTTTTCCGCCGCACATCTTCCTTCGATAACGGATCTGCGTAGAACACATAGTTCCGCAGATCCGCGTCCTCTGCGTCAGGCTTCCTGCTATCTGTTGAGTGGGTAAGTGGGGTGGTCGAATGAATTACTCCTCCCGTATGGGTGACGACGTACTTTTTCTTGACCTTGGTCCCATGTTGAGGAACGGCGTGTGGAGAAATCAGTGCCAGCCGCTGTAACGAAGACCGACGAAGGCTGTTGAGACCAGGGTACGGGTTTTGAAGATTGGGTGGGAAGGCAGGGTCGGGTATACTGAGACGGTTCTCCCTGCAAGCCTAGCGGATGAGGAATAGGAATGGAAGTATTTGCGGTCCAAAAGCCCAAATAGATTTGACCATGGGGAGCCTCTCCGCCCAACTTCGACAGCGCGAAGTTGGCAAATAAACAGTTACCAAACAGGCTTAATGTTGAGCCATTTCCTGTTGTGTGATTGGCTGGTTATTATTCCGCTAACCCTAACCGCAAACACCCTTTTGCCCTGCCCTCCGCCCCCGCCCAGCGGCCGCATGCCTATTTCTCGAACGCTTTCCGCCACGGCCGTTTCTCCCCTTTTGCTACCCGCAGGCAAAAGGAAAGGGACTCCACTCGACAGCCTCATCATAATAATAACATCCCCCCCGTTCGAGATTCCCTCTGTTCTCGCCAAGGCAGTCCACGTACATTTACGCACTCTCAGAGACACAACCTTCTCGAACCCGCTTCTAATTCAGCATCCCGCCAACAACACGAAATGTCTCGCGACAGGACAGCCGACCTTCGCGGCCCCACCTCCAACAACGGCGGCGGCCGTTACCAGCAGGGCCCTCCACAACGCAACAACAGCGGCGGCAACGGCGGCTACTACAACGACGACGTCGAAATGAGCAGGTACCCGCCCGCTCAGGGTGGCTACAGCCAGCGTGACAACTACGACAGCAACAACAACAGCAGCAGATACCAACAGCGACCACAACATGACGAGTACTACCAGTCACAACCACAAGGTGGCCGCTACCCACCCGCCAACAACAATAACAACAGCTACAGTCGCAGTAACAGTGACAGCACCCTGCCAGGAGGAAGGGGCGGGAATGTTGCAAGAGTGGGAGGAGGCGGCTCGACCATAGACAGCTTTTTCGAAGATGTGGAAAGCGTAAAGAGCGGTATCGAGCAGGTCAAGCAGAATGTGCGCTCGATCGATCAGTTGCACCAACGGGCGTTGTTGGGCACCAGCCCAGACGAGCAGGCTCGTAAGTAGAATATATACTTTGTTCGGCGATTTCGAAGTTCAGGTATTGATGATTCCCGCTTCCTCCGACACGCAGGTTACACACGCCAAGTAGACGACCTCCAAGCCCAAACGAGCGACCTCATCAACGACCTCCGCACCCACGTCAAGCAACTCGCGGCAGCAACAAAGACCGCTTCGGCCGCCGACCGTCCCGTCCGCGACCAACAACAAAAAGCTCTCGCAAGCAAACTCATGGACGTAGCCCAACAATACCAAGAAGTCCAGCTCCGCTCCAAACAAAAGTACCGCCAGCGTATGGAACGCGAGATCCGTATCGCTCGCCCAGACGCCACCCCCTCCGAAGTCGAGCGCGCCCTCGACTCCAACAACGGCCAAGTCTTCTCCCAGCAGCTCCTCTCCTCCCGCGTCGGCGCCCAGCGCACCGCTCTACAGGAAGTCCAAAATCGTCACGAGGAGATTCACAAGATCGAGCAGAGCGTCACCGAGCTCTTCACGCTGTTCCAGGAGATGCAGGCGTTGCTGGAGCAGCAGCAGGAGACGATCGATGTGATTGAGACGCAGGTCGATGACACCCATGTGAATATCGAGGACGGGAACAAGGAGATGACGCAGGCGATCGTGCACAGGAAGGCGTCCAGGAAGAAGGCGTGGTGGATTTGCATTTGCGTGCTCATCTTGATCGTCATCCTCGTCATTGTGCTGTACATTTATGTCATCAAGCCCGCGATCGATACGGCTAACGCGGCCAAGCAGGCGGGTGCGAAATAATAGTAGTGGGGATGAAGTTGAAGTAGAGCGTGGTAGCTGGATATCTTGGGTTTGCGTTCCGCCCGTGTGTTTACCTTTTTCTACCTATTTTGCATAGTCGTTCGGCTGTAGCTTGTTCCTGTCTCGGCCATTGTATAGATAATACATGACCTCAAGTTACACACCACTGCGGTCGTGATCATGTGCTTGACATTTCCCTGACAAGATATCTTCCCATGGACTTCCGTCACTTGTGCTTCAAGACTGAGTTTTTCTTCCACGTAAGTGGTCGCCATGTCCCGGCGTGCTTCAAGTAGTGCCTACATCCGGCGTTGGGCTTTCAACAGATCTCTCCCAGCCGCCAAACCCCAATCACTCCTCATTCTTCCCAAAAATCCGTCCATTCCCCTGTGATGATACAAGTATGAGAGGGGAATAACTTTCATTTTGCGGTAGAAAAGTAAAGATCGGACATGTCTTTTCTCAAAGCCAATTCTAAGAGCATATTTATTGTTTCTACAAATGTCAAGGGGGAAAAACGGGGTGTGAGAACGTGGCATTATGTGTTTACGAAAGCGACATGTATACTTACGCCCTTGATGAGGTCGTTCGCCTCGTACAACGAGTGTGCGAATCCGACAGTGATCACAGATGCCGTGATGCCGAAGAAGAGAGAGTCACCCTTGCCGCGGACGTAGGTGGGGATGGTGCTGGGTTTCTGTCACGAGTACGGGAGTTCTTGGTCAGTTTCTCCGTTGAGTTGAGAAAACCTCCCCACGAGAGACGCTTTCACTAGCATTCGCCTATCTGCCCGTTTCCTACTAGTCAAGTCCCGCGGATCCCAGCGAGTATACTGAAAGCAATTCCGTCCCCGTTCCCGCTTCATCATCAACGACCCCGATTCTGCCACGACCCAGCTCCCCCGTCTGGGAATCTCCGCAACTAACCTGCCAGAATATCCTCTGCTCGACCTGCTTAGCGCGCAGACCTACACATGGCATACACAAGGAACAACAAGATAGACCAATAATTAGTGACTGGTTAACGGTGGGGAATCAAACGCTTGGGAGCAAGTCACGGTCTGCGGACGGCCGCTCTACCCAACGCTCTTGGGGTTTCCCAACGTTGAAAAAGTACCATGAAACATACTCTTCTCAGCAGGCCGGACGATGGAGCGAACGAGACCCATTGTTGCTGTGTGTTGTGTTGTGTAGTTGTGGCGGATGCTTGCTGACTTGTGCTTTGAGCGTAACGCTTGCGTTTTGCAGACGGACTTGACGCAGGGACTTGACGCAGGACTCTGCGCAGGACTTGACGGGAGCAGCGGAGGAGGGGGGTGTGCGCCTATCCGGATGCGTCACGATGAGTCACCGCATGCCTCTCAGTTGTCCTGCCTTCTCGAACGGAAGTGAGGGAAGCCTATCCGACTGCCCTCGGACACCGGCAAATCGCACCGGCCCCCAGCACGGCAATCCTACTGGCCACCGGGAACCATCATAGCCTTTCGGCAAACTCCGTGAAGGAGGGGTGTTCAAGGAAAGAGCGATAAAAACCTCTTCTTGCCTCTGCGAGCTTTCTGTGTTCCATCCAGTCGAAAAGCACCGTCGAAAAACCTCTCGCCTCCGTCTAAAGCAACACTTTGCTGTCAGGCGTTCCAATAGTTTGGCTTGGGATATTCTACGTTTCTACGCACTTTCACCTTTTCTGTTGAAAGAAGGTATGGATTCGGGTCATTCCGGGGCATCATTCTGCGCGTCATCTGCCCTGCTATGGGATTCCGGACTGTCACACTTTCGCTTACACTTTTTCTTCAATACCTGCCCACAGTTCGAGAAATGGATCCTAATAATCCACCACGTTCTCTCGCCCAATCGATTGTGGACTCTTTATATAGTCATTCACTGCCCGTGGTCGGCTTGACAGTGCCGACGGACTCGACGACTACCCTGCAACCCGCTCCTGTGGTCCCAACGCAGCCACCGGTGGTCACAACGCAAATAGCGACGCCGACCGCGACGACAACAATAGCAACAGCGAACACCTCCAAGCCTGCGATACCATCAGGGGGCAAATCGCCTCTTGATGGTCTGCCTCCTTTCCTTGCCGCGCCGTTAATCAACAACAGCGCCGCCGCGGCACCCTTTATACATGCAACCCAAACTACCCAGTCCGTTCAAAACGGCAGTGAACATCCGCCAACTGCCGCTGCCGCACCTCAATCCCAAGTGGAGGCTCCACCGGCCATGCCAGCAGAAGCGCGCGTGGAACAACCCCAATACCAGGTCGCCCCGCAAAGCATCCCGCATCCACTGCAGCCGGATTCGCAGATATCTATCCCGCAACGGTTTTTGAATCTGGACGAAGCTGGCAAGATCAATGAGCTCCGAATGAGCAGCGGGGCGTTTGATCGAGTTCTGGCGTTGATCGAAGACGACCCGGTGTTTCAAAACAACTCGACCAAGATCCAGACGCCCGCCCGGTTTCAGTTGATGGTAACGTTGTCGAGGTTGGCCAAGTTTGGAGTTGGGTCGGCGATTGGACGCATCGCGGAAGATTGGGGGATCAGTGAGGCGGCTGTGCATTCGTTCAGTGGACGGGTCTTGTCGGCGCTCAACCGGTTGAGTTTGGAGGTGGTTCAATGGCCGGATGCTGCTGAGAGGACCACGGTATCGCAACGGATCCAGGAGACGTCTGGATTTCCTAACTGCGTTGGATTCGTTGGTGGAACGCATGTGGTTCTGTACTCCAAGCCGGCGGGCAAAGCGGATGAATATTCATGCGGCGAACGACAGTGGGGTTTAGCAGCTTTGATTGTGAACGACGACGAAAAGCGCATTCGCTACACACACGTCGGACAGCCAGGGAAAACCCCCGTCGACCAAGTTTTGGGAGCGGCGGATTTCGCAAAGGACCCTACGTCGCATTTTAGCCCTAACCAGTACCTTCTCGCTGCTGGTGGTATCACCAACACACAAACGGTGCTCTCCTCATACGAGGACCCCGGCGCCTCAGCAGACCCATCGGTAATCAGCCTCTTCAATGAGCGCATCATCAACCTGCGAAAATTCAACGAAAGCACCTGCGTGATGCTCCGCGCTCGGTTCAAATCCCTGCGCGGGATGCGCATTATGATCAACAACGAGCGGTCGCGGGCACTCGCGGTGGACTGGTTCCGGGCGTGTTGCGCGCTGCATAACCTGCTGCTGAACGATGTGTACAAGGCCGAGTGGGAGAATATGGACGCGGAGGAGGAGGAAGCTGCTGCCGCGAGGGCGGCGGGAGGCAATGGCAGGGGGGGCAGGAAACGAAGGATTGATAGTGTGCAGGATGCAAACACGCATGCAACTGCTCGAGGGAGGAGCAACGGGGCGGCACCGGGCAGCACCAACGATCAACAGAAACGTAGCCGGATGTCGGACATTGGAGTGCAAACAGCCCGTTTCCCGGATCCGAATATTCATCAGTGAGAAGCATTATCATGGAGGAACTCTGCTTGGAACTGGCCCCCATCGCATTCACCTTCCTCGGCAGAGGTGGGGCTGGGGGCAGGAGCGTAAAGTGTGGGTGTATATATTCATCCTATACATATATGTTTTCATCATATGTTGCAGTGCGTACTTTCTCCCACCACGCCAATGTAGGACGCGCAGGTGTGACGGTTGCGCGAGTGATTTGAACTGGATGAGTCATGCGAATTGCGCTGATTCTCCGCTCTGCCTTTCGGCCTTTTTTACGCTCCAGTTGCTCCTCCCAATTTCCCACCAACATCCGCTCGCAGCGTACGTTATTAGACCACCGTGCTCCAGATATAGATATAAAGAACAGAAGCAGACGCCATTGACCTCCGCAGTGTGTTCCCTCTGACGCGTTCATTGTCGTCTCCTCACTTTTCCCATCCCAACACACAACCATGATATTACCGCAGCTATCAGTGTCAGAGGCCCTCGCCGACGCAGCCCGTCTCGCCACCTTCAGCCGCGTAGGCGACGTCCTCCTCACCAACATCGCCGGCCACGAAGCGGACCTCGTCCAACTCTTCGACGTCGCTTCCTGTTGGGTGGAAGTCCCGCCGACGCTCGACACGGACGCTGTCGTCAAGCTTCTTGACGGCGGTGCAACGAAGGTCGTTATTGATTATTCGGGCGAGTCCGTGAAGCCTTTGTTGGAAGTGCTGCCTGGCGACCGCGTCGTGCTTGTCATATCTGACGTTGAGCGTGCGTTGAAGGCCGCGGACTCGGAGCCGGTCCCCAGTTCGGTGGATGGGCTGATATTTGAGGTGGACGAAAGGTTCTTGCAGAGCGAAGCAGGGCAAGACGCTTTCCTCGGGGCGTTGTCAACCTTCCCTGGAGGTGATGTGCGGATACTCTTCCGCGCCAAAGGGACTCAGGGGATAACTCCCCAGGTCGTGCTTCAAAGCAACGAAAAAGGAATCGATGCTGTTGTACCGGCTAGTCAATTTGGCGGAGATGCCATCGATCTGGGTGCTGCCTTTGCGGCATGCCTGAAAACCGACCGTCCCGATGGACTGTTTCCCACGATAGTGGTCGATGAGCAAGGAGTGGCTTTAGGACTCTGCTATTCGTCGAAAGAAAGCATCGCAGAGGCTGTCAAGACGGGGCAGGGCGTCTACCAGTCGAGAAATCGAGGGCTGTGGTACAAAGGACAATCCTCCGGCGCCACGCAGAAACTCATCAAAATCGACTACGACTGCGACCAGGACACGCTTCGATTCACTGTGCAGCAGGCGGACCCGGGCTTCTGTCATCTGAACACTCGCACGTGCTTTGGGGCGGATAATGGCATCAGCGCGCTGGCGAGGACGTTGGAGAGCCGCAAGACGGCCGCGCCGGAAGGGTCGTACACTCGTCGCTTGTTCGAAGACAAAACTCTCCTGCACTCGAAGATCATGGAGGAGGCTGATGAGTTGGTGCAGGCGACCGATAAGGATGAGATTGCGTGGGAGACCGCAGATTTGATTTTCTTTGCCTTGACAAAATGTGTCGCCAATGGGGTGTCGCTAACGGATGTGGAGAAGCATCTGGATAGACGGGCGAAGAAGGTTGTTAGACGGCCAGGGAACGCGAAACCGAAATGGGACTTGGCGAAGAAGGAGGAAAGCGGAGCCGTCAACGGAGCCCAACCAGCGAAACCCGTCGCTGCCGTTGCGGAACCGCCATCTGACGGCCGAATTAGAATGCGGACGCACGTTTTCACTCAAACGAGCCCCGAACAGCAGCAAGCACTCCTCCTCCGCCCCATCATCAAAACCTCCGAAATCATGTCCCGCGTAAAACCCATCGTAGAGCAAGTCCGCACGGGAGGAGACAAAGCCCTCCTCCACCTCACCGCAACCATCGACAAGGTCCAGCTCGACACCCCCGTGATGAAGGCGCCATTCCCAGCTGCCGCCATGGCCATAACCGACGACGTGAAGAAGGCGATCGATCAAGCGTATGACAACATTCACAAGTTCCACGATGCCCAACTGGATCGCGGCGTGTTGAGGGTTGAGACGATGCCTGGTGTGGTGTGCACGCGGTTCTTTAGGCCTATTGAGAGAGTGGGTCTGTACGTGCCTGGAGGAACGGCCGTGCTTCCTTCGTCAACTCTCATGTTGGGTGTCCCCGCCAAGGTCGCCGGATGCAGTGAAATCGTTGTGGCCACACCCCCTCGGAAAGACGGCACTGTCGCGCCGGAAGTCGTGTACGTGGCCGACAAGATTGGCGCAACGACGCTGTTGATTGCAGGAGGAGCGCAAGCTGTCGCCGCAATGGCGTACGGGACTGAGAGCGTGCCGAAAGTGGACAAGATCTGTGGACCGGGCAACCAATATGTGACGGCCGCCAAGATGGTGGCACAGGGAGACAGCTCCGCCATGGTCTCGATCGATATGCCGGCAGGACCTTCCGAGCTTCTGGTAAGTATATCGACAAGAGCTAGATCTCGCATTCGCTTCTTCGCTTACATGATACTCCTCCCTCTTCCAGGTCATAGCGGACGCAACAAGCAATCCCGCCTACGTAGCCTCCGACCTCCTCTCCCAAGCCGAACACGGCACCGACTCCCAAGTCGTCCTCCTCACCGTCGGCCTGAACCCGGAACAAATCGCCGCCATCGAGAACGAGATCCACACCCAAGGCTCCGCCCTCCCTCGCGCCGACATCGTTCGCGTCTCGATCGCCAAATCGTACATCATGCAGATGGACACTGTCGAAGAAGCCATGCGATTCTCGAATATGTATGCGCCTGAGCACTTGATTTTGCACTGCAAGGATGCGGAGACGTTGGTGGAGCAGGTCATGAATGCTGGTTCGGTGTTTGTGGGGCAGTGGTCGCCTGAGAGGTATGGCTTCTATTGGCTGTTTGACGGAGTTGAGCTCGCTTGAACATAACATCTCCCATGTACTCCCTTCCAGTTGCGGTGACTACGCCTCCGGCACAAACCACACCCTCCCAACCTACGGATACGCGCGCATGTACTCGGGAGTCAACACCCTTACGTTCGTGAAGCACATCACTTCGCAAATGCTAACAAAAGAAGGTCTGGACCGGCTGGGAGACACCGTTACCACACTCGCAGCCGTCGAAGGGCTAGAGGCTCACCGCAACGCTGTGGCCATCCGTCTGAAGGACATCAGGGGTGATGACGCGAAGGCGAAGTAGAGGTTGTGTTCCTGACGGCGTCGTATGGCTTCTTAGCATTAGTCATGAGGTAATCGGTTGTCACGGCGTTGTCCTTTCCATTCCTTGCATACAGTAGAGCCTTTCATTCCCCCGCCATGACCGACATGCACACCTAGCAATCATTATTCATCGGATTACCCCAATTTCCATAAGCGCATGTTCACGAAATCACAACTCATTTATGCTACACCGCCATGCTTCTACGTACACAAAACTCGTATTATGTCCTCTCCATATGGCACGCCGTACATTGTCCGGTTTCCACTTCCACATAGCAGCTATGAAAAACCTTCAAGGCAGCTAGGGCCATTCCATCTTCTTCACGTCCATCCTTTCCTCACGTACAGTCGTTTATCATCGCGCAACCGCCGTCGCGCATTCAGATCAGGCATTCTGTAAGATGGTAAGATCAGACAACTTATCATTCCCATCGATACGCAGATTCTTCTCATTGGCGAGATGCAGCACGCAGATGAAGCAAAACGCAACGGAGATGTCTTTGCGTTTTTTTTCCGGGTAAACATCGTCGAGGCCGGACACGACGTTCTTGAACGTGTGGCGGCCTTCGACTTGGGCTGTTTCGGGTACAGGCGCTTCCAGTGGATCCTTTTTTGTTTTGGAGGGAGGTAACGTGAGCGGCCAATCTTCGGGGATTTACGGCCCCGTCCTATTTTCCCAGCCACTCCAATCGCGCCACACGGCTACATGACTGACCTGGCCATTACCCTTAACTGTGAGCTCTCTCCAGATGTTATCTTTAAGTTTGATCACATCCACCTTCTTCGCTACTCTTGCGTAATTCAAGGCGACCGTCCTAGTCTTCTTTGGCTCGCCCACCAGCTGGTCTCCAAAATCGACCGAGTTTTGCGTCACAGCCTGAGAAAAGTCTTCAATGTCGTCTTCTTCATCGGAGTTGTTGTCTTCGCCATCTGAATGGTCTGCGAAGCCTACGAATGGTGGGTAATACATCAGATGGAGAAGGGTGCGTTGTTGAGGATATTGATGAGCGACGGAGTGGCGACTTTACCTGTGTCGACGGGTGTCTGGTTGTCCTCCTGCGTCATTTCGTTCTCGGCCCAGAATGCTGCGTCAACTGGGCCATCTGCCAATGGGTTGAAAATTCAGCATGGGTTGCCGCATGAAGGTTATGTGCAGGCTGCCCGGACATTGTCGGGAACGTACCTTTTTGAGGTGCGGCAACACCTGATCCATCTTTCTTGTAGAATTTGATCTGGGGAAACGCAAGTCAGCCCTTTGAGAACGAAAACCAAGAGTAGGCATACAAACGGCATCGCGCACCTTATGCATTGGCTTCATGAATAACCTGAGCAACTCCTTTGACGAGAAGTGCATATCATCAGGTAGGAGGTGTTCGTCTCTGTGACGGTCCTTGGGAAGGTCGATCGACGCCGTTGCCGGCGCAAATAGTATGTCCAAGTCAATATCCTCCTCGGTCAAGAAATCGATGGACTCCTCGACCTTCCGCTTCCGCTTGACTGTGCCTGGCTCCTTGGGATCTTTATCTTCTGAACACGGTTCACGCAAACATTAGGGTTGAGCGCTTGTACCGCGTCCTTCGTCACTGCACTTACTCTGCACCGGCCGTAATCTCCAATGCTCAGGTCCCGCCCAATTTTTCATCATCGCCGTATCAAAATATGAGAACATATTCTCATCCTGGCCCATCGTCATGCCTATGGCAACATCCTCCAGAAGCGGGTTGCCCGGTCCGAATCCATCTATCATGACACTATGTTCCCCATTCACATCCATGCCGAAGCGTCCCGCACTGTCATCGTCATCGTCCATATAGACGGGATTCAGATCGGGGTCTTCGTCCAACGCCCGTTCCAGAGCAGACATATCAAACGCGCTAGATTCGTCCGAGGTTGGCAAGCCGATGGTAGACGACGAGTTGAATTCGAAGGTTTTGAGAGATGGGCATATGTCTTGCTGCCATATCGTTTGGAACGTGTCGGCAAATCGGGCTGCAATAGTAAAATCAGAACAGGTCCGTGCAGGCAGGGTCATAGATGTCGGGTAGGGTATCATACCCTGCAATTTGCTAATATCGATACGCTCCCTCTCAACCTCAGCTTCCACTGCGTCTTCCTGCGTCGATTGCGGTTCGTCGTTTATGGCAGTGCCCTCATCACTCGCATCGAATATGATCTTCCCGTCGCGTGATATGCTAAGATGATTCAGAAGAAGACCATGCGCGCCGCCTTCATCGAAATCTGCGGACGTCTTCTTGAAAAGGGGATCCACCATAAACTCCAGATCGAGCTTCTTGACATTCAGATTGTTGATGTCGTTCTCAAGCGTATTTGTTGACCTGTTGGCCTGGTAATATTCCGTGGTGACGCGTAATCAGCATCCCTCCGTCCGTAAGAACGCTTGTAGATGTCCACACCTTTTTCCGTGCAGGCTTGGCGTTCTCCGTCCCCTCCTCGACTTCCTCCTCATCTTCAGCGGATCCTACCAGACAAGGAGTGTCATCCACTGCCGTACCAACGAATAGGTGCTGCACTCCTTCACTCACTCATGTTGGTCTCGACCAGGCCACTCAACAACTTTTTCGTCTCTGAATCCACGGAGTCCACCCTGGAAGTGTAGATCTTGACACAGCCGTCGAGAGTACATGAAGCCTTTTGAAAATTAATCGAGTCGCCATCTCGGAGCAGGGTCATATCATGGAAGTAGTCGATAAGAGCCAAATTCCAGCTATTGTTCGCATTGATTTTCTGTTGGACGGCCAGAAGTGCGACCACGTTAGGTATCCGAGTCCCTCCTTGATCTAGTTGTTTTGTTGCGATTGCTCACGTTTTCAGCTGCAATCTTCATCCACTCTTCGAATGAGCTCTTCAGCTCAGACTCTGAAAGCTGTGGTCTTCCCGGTGTGGTGGGTGGCGTAGGTTTGCGCATAGGAGACATGACCACCGACATCCTTCGCAGTCGATCCTCGGCGAACGACTTCCGTCGCTGAGCGGCTATTCTGCCTCTATCTCGCTCTCGTTCGGCGCCCCGCAGCCCGCTTGGCGGGGTTCCGGGTGACGCTTCATTGGAGCGATTCAGACGCCGAAGCGGCGTTTTCGGTGGGCCGGCTAGCATCTTGGTGACGGAGATGACTACGGGAAGTTGTTCCTCTGCAAAACGCTTTGATATCGCGCCAGTACTTTGCAGTGTCCGACCACTACCCGACCAGCCAACGACTCCTGTGGGAGCACACGAAGTGCAGGATAGGGAGCGGGCAGGGTTTGAAGATGGTCCTTGCCCTGAATGGGTTGCAAACCCACGCGACGCTGCCAAAACTGCAACATGCGAGCGTGTCCGAAAGGGAAGTCCGAAAAGGCCCGCACTCCAACCGTCTCAACGCCCAACAAGGGCGACCGATTTACACCGAGGGTATTTGTCCATCGTACGAGTTCCTAAAGTCTCATAACGTACGATATCTCGACAGAAATGTATACAAGCCTGTCAGGGAACGGTATCACAATCGTCCTATACCAGTCCAGCTGTCTTTGAGTTGGGCACAGTACGCTATTGTTAGGGCCATACGTTATGCGTCTTGAGTCCGTGGCGACTGGGTCCGATTCGACGAATCGCTCTCCAGCTTGGCTCATCGCCGATGGACCTGTCTGAAATTGCCCTCGGACCATCCTCACCTACAAGAGACGGGAACCCGTCGGGTTGCCACCGCATCAGCGGCGCTTTGGAGGATTAGAGGGCTTTGCTTCATCTATAACCCGTGTTCCCCCATGGCTGTAAGTAACACGATAAATCTTGAAAGTTGCAAATCCGTAGACGATGTGATTGCTTCTGGTCTCATGGTAGGGTTGGGATGCACAGACCGATAGATTGTGGCTCAACATCGGTGACTGACGGGTCCTTCTGCAGCTTGATAGCGAAGAATAATTTGCCCATCCCAGGGCGTTCATGTGATCCGAACTTCGCATGTTTTCTTGACCATATGTAAACGAGCTTAGCAATTGACATGCGGTACGCATCGGCATGCTCTAATCCTGACAATGATTGCTTTGAACCTGGGGGGCCGGATTCAGCGTTGTCGAAGCAACGTCAGCTCTGGTGCTGGCGGCTGTTGGGTTTGCTTAGAAGGAGAACACTAACAAGCGAGTCGTGGGCACCCTGTCATAGTTGCCATTTTGATGTCGGTTGTTATTCTCGATGTGGGGCGTTGGCTTGATATGCGCTTTCGATGTTTCCTACTCCATCGTGCCTCGATGCCATATTTGTCAATGCTCTCCCAGTGAGCAACCTTTGTTGCTACGTGGTGTGTTGGCCCGCTTCCGCCCAGTAATGCGGAGTGGAAAGTGGATCGAAAGCAACAATACTTGGTCAGATGTTGGTCCACCATGACCTTTACTGTACGTGAAGTTTGAAAGCTACGAACCTACTCGGTTGCCCGGTTCTAATAAAAGCCTCGCGAGAGCATCTCCTTCAGAATAAGACTTTTTTACAGCCAAAGTGAACCATTTGATTAACAAACCTAACCCCTTTACCTTCGGTGAGTCGGCCTTACCCGGCCTCCTACAATCAGGGTCTACTCGCTCCGCTCGGCAGCTGTCTAACTAGTCTAACTCTAACCCGAGTTACTCACATTTAGCACGAGTTACCCACTTCTACGTAGTCAATCCCCTGTTCCCCCCCCCCCCCCCCCCCCCTCCCGAGTGACGTTGCAACTCCGCACTTGACGCGTTTGCCAGTTTGCCAGTTTGGCCGCCGCTGCTCTTCAAATTCAAATCCCACCTCACAGCGCTCAGTGCTCACACTGTAGAGAAATTCGTATATGAAGCAAGTACGAAGTCCCCGTCGTCCGATCTCCGTTTCAGTCTTTAGCCCCGTGCATATGAAATATCCCTCGCCAAGCACCTTCTCGAGCCATGTCCAACGACAATCCCGTGCATCTTATCGTATTCTGCCACGGGCTTTGGGGCCAGCCCAAACACCTATCGCACGTCGAGAAGAAGATCGTCGGTAAGGACCCTGGCCGCACCGAGGTAGGCCGACGAGGAGAGTGGACGAGTGGTTGTGGAGGAACGTACTCTGATGGCTTGGTCGTTCTAGGCACTCAATCCTGATATCAACTCCGGAGTTCGCACTTACAATGGCGTCGACGTAAGTGGTGTTGAACGCTGGTTGTCTTCGAATACCTGCACGTATTGAATTTGGAACACTTTCTCTGATCTAGCTCTGCGGGGCCCGTCTTTTCAATGTTATCGAGGAACGTTTGGAGGATGCCGACAAGCGGTCGGTGGACCGCATCTCCTTTCTGGGCTACTCCCTCGGCGGTCTTATCGTCCGGTATACGATAGGGCTCATGGAGGCCCGGGGCATGTTCCAAAACGCCAGCGATCCACCACCACCGAAAGGGACACTCAAAGTCGTTCCCACCAACTTCATATCGGTGGCAACTCCGCATGCAGGCGCTCATCTGCGACCCGACGGCATTTGGAGCAGATTCTACAACGCGGGACAATCAGTGCTGATAGTCAGGTCGGGAGCGCATTTGACATTGACGGACGATGATGGGTCGTTCGAAGCTGTCAAACAGCGGGCACAGAGTGGCAGTAGCAAGAATGGGGGAGGGCGGAGGGCATTGCTGGAAGCCATGTCGGATCCGTCGCTCCCGTTTTGGAAGGGTCTGGCTCGCTTTCAATCTCGCACATTGTACGCAAACACGGTCAACGATCGGGTGGTGGGGTTCACCACCTCCGCTCTGGAACCTACGAATCATTACAAGAAGGAAGGACAAAGATGGGTGCCACATCCGCAATATCCATCAGTAGTTATTCTTCAACCGAAGGAGGAACCTTCAGAGCAGAAAGTCAAATCAGCGGAAATCGCTCCATCACCCTCCTCCCCTTCGTCAACCGAAACCTCCGAGAATGCCGACGCTGACATCGAGTCCGGGTCTGGCAGCGCAGATGACTTGGACGATGACTCCCTTATTCCGGCGGAAGATCCCACTAAGACACCGACACAAACGGACTCTCCCGCGGCATCCGTTGCTTTAGGCGTCACGGCCATCACTGCTCTCGGCGCGTCTACAGTGGCCACCACCCCGATCGGTCTGCGTAGGCTAGTGTTCCTCATACTATCTCCCATTTTGTTCCCCATCGCGATCATCGCTCTGACGACTATGAACATCGTTGCGCGCGTCCGTTACGTGCAAAACAAAGTCGAGGCGCAACTCCTGATCGACGCGAGCGCTACTATCGCAGAAAACATCGATGAAGAGACGAACTCAGCATCACCATCGCATCAGCCATCACCTACGGGAAGCACGTATTTGGTGGATTACAACGACAAGGGTGCTCTTCGAAAGTTGATGATTTCTCGACTGAATCTTCTAAGTTGGACAAAGGTTCACGTAAGAATCTTGAGTCCTCGATCCCATGCAGCGATTATCGTGCGGCCGAGTCATGATCAGTTCCAGGATGCAATGGATAAGATGGCGGAGGAGTTTACAATATAGGACCAGGGATTTGACGAGAAGCGGGTTGGGCAGCTTCCATATCTTAGGCGGTCCTGATCGATCGTCGTAAGCTTGGATGTTTGGCATTTTGTCTTCATGACACTCATCTTCATCTTTGAAATCCGATTCTCCTTGCTTTTCCCTCGTCAGTACTGTTTGCTTTGTTGACAGGTTCCTGGAAAGCATTCAAATGGCGCTGCTGCCGCTGTCAAAGGATAAACGGCTACTTGCGCCGATTACCGGTCGGCGGTGAGAAGCTTATCACGTACCGAGATCCAGACTTGAGCTTGGAAACGAAAACCGCGGGAGACATGACTCAAGAGGGTCGATTATCATGCTGGGGTGTGCGACGTGGTGTGACGGTGTGTGACCTCATATTGCTTTGGTATACCATCGAACCAATCCGTTGGGATCAGACTCTCTCTATTGCCAACTGATGACGGTCAACAAGCCAGCTCGTGATGAGAGTCGCCGTGATTTTTGAAGGGCAACTCGAACGCGCTTTTCTTGATGTTGGTCCGCTAAAGAGATTATTGGGCGAGCAGCCTGGCGGTTCTTCGGACTCGTTCTTCGACCTGCAACCTCAAACCGCCGTGGTGAGAAAGGCGCCGCAACATCCAACATTAGCGACCGAAACTCCCAACGAGAGTCGGAGCGCAGTTCACCAGTGTCAACACGACCAAAAGGCACTAGCATTGAATCGAGCGCCAAGACAGCGCATTGCAACGAATTTCAACAGGAAGTCGATATCCAGAGGGAAACCGACAGAGAGGAGGAAATCCAGTTTACAGTTGCAGGCTCAACAATCACGGCGTCGAGTTTTTGACTTTAAAAAGCCTATACCTGCCAACCCTTGTCAGTAATGGGCGCCGCCACCGAGTTGGCTGGCGTTACCCCACCGGAATCGCCCAGAGCGCCTGCCGCCGAGATCAATGGCGACGCTGCTCCTTCCTTGCAGAAAGCTGAAGCACTCGCTTCCAACGTGGACTTGCCCTGCGTCACCGCTTTGAATGGGATTGGAATCAAGGGACTCAAGGTCCCCGAGACGTCTGGAGATGCAGCCGCTTCAAAGAAGGCCATTCTTGCCGCCACTTCAGAAGTGACTGTTGGACGTGTCCCCGACGGAACAGGTAACCCCCTGACTTGCTGAGCGAACGACGCTCCTGGTGATCAGTAACTAACAAAGGGATGCAATCTAGTTTTTTCGGTCCCGGAAACCCATGACCTCATCCAGACATTGTTTTCGCCTTCAAAACCGAAAACCCTGCCTGAATACGTCACATTGGGCGCCATGGCTTTCACCATCTCGCTCTTCTTCTTCACAAACGCCCCGAAGGGTGTTTTCTTGGCCATGTTTTTGTTCTGGCGATTCATGTATAACGTTGGACTTGGGGTCTTGCTGAGCGCACAGAGCAAAAACCGTGCGCTTGTTAGACTCGCGAGAAAGCATGGTTTCGGACCCAATCCCGTTGAGCCTAGAAAAAAATGGGTTCAGTATTTTGTCGACCAAGTCTCGCGGAAAATGACTCAACAGGGCAAAGTCTACGATTATGAGGTATGAGATTTGGTGGGACACATATGCTGCCAAGAACGATTCTGACGTTCGTCCGCTTCAGGCTATGCCCATTGAATTCAACGTTTGGGTGATGTACCGTGGTCTCGTGGACATCATTCTGGTCAACGACTTCACTTGTTACATCGCCTTTGCCGTATCGTATTACCAAGCCCCCGCAGAAGGTTATGGGTGGACTGATGCATTGCGTTACGCCGGTGGTATCCTGATGCTCCTGTTCAACCTCTGGGTGAAGACCGATGCTCACCGTGTTGTGAAGGATTTTGCTTGGTGTAAGTTCCCACACGCAGTTCGTGCTGAGTCACGAGGATGGCAAAGCTAACGGAACTATCCACAGACTGGGGCGATTTCTTCTTCCTTGTGGACGCTTCTCTCACTTTCGACGGAGTTTTCGAGATGGCCCCTCATCCCATGTACTCTGTTGGCTACATTGGATTCTACGGAACTGCTCTGATTGCACAGAGTTACTCTGTCCTGTTCGTCAGTTTGTTGGCCCATGCCGCCCAAATGGCGTTCTTGCACTGGGTTGAGAACCCTCACATCGACAAGACGTACAATCCTCCCACACAGAAGAAAGGTACGCAGTACGAAGGCATATCACTTGAAACGCATGATTACTGACATGTGGTTCGCCTAGGACGCGATGCTACCTCCGACATCACCGCCAAGTACTTCGGTCGTGACATGATCGTGTTCCGGAACATGGATCTTCTCAAAGCCACCGATCTTCAGACCGTTGCTATCGTCGGTTACACCATCGTTGTCGCACTGCTCATCGGCCCCATTGATGGTCCTAGGACATTCTGGTTCTACGTCGGTCAAACACTCTTCTGGCGATTGGTGCACACCTACGGACTGGGCACCGTTCTTTACCTGCAAAGCCAATATCGCATGTGGAACCGCCATTTCATCAAGCACGGCGAAAGCTCCCGTGACGCTTTCAACCACTGGAAGGTGTTGTACAACACCACCCAGGTAATGACCTACGTCTCGTTTGTCATCTGCGCCGTTCGTCTGTTCGTGGTGCCCGAAAGCATTGTTTACGGCACCTTCCTCCTGCGCGCCACCCTCGGCGGCCTTTTCATCCTACTCCACATCTGGATCGCCGTGTCCATTTACGAAGTTATTGGATCATCTGGATGGTTCTATGGAGACTTCTTCATTGACGAACTCCGCTACCGCAGCGGACCTGTTTACAGCGGGTTGTACCGATACCTCGACAACCCTCTTCTCTACACTTTCTCGTGCTGGGGCTTGGCCATGATCTGTGGCTCCCCAGCTTTGTACGGCATTACCATCTTCGGCCAGGTGTCTAACTGGTTCTTCCTTCGATACGTTGAGCAGCCCCACATGCGTCGTCTCTATGGCCCACAGATCAGGCAAGAGGCCGGTGTGGAACGCGTCCTGAAAAGCAAAGTCGAGGAGCTTGAACGCAGTGTGGAAAGGATCGCCAAGGATCTGGACCTTCTTGACGTTCTCAACCGCATCAAGGAAGTTAAACGCCACGGAGAGAAGGAGCTCAAGAAGGTCATTGGTCCGGAAGGATGGAAAGACTTTGTTGGACGCGCAAGGGGAAGGAAGCAGGCTCGGAAAGTTGCTACCAGCGACGTTACTCCCCCGGAGAGTGATGACGATTCCAGCACTACCCGCACTGAAGATTCGCCCCCCAAACGCCCCAGCGTTCTCCGTAAGAAGACATCCACCGACTCACACCTGTCATTGGACTCCCAAGAGAGCGTGTATACCTCTATGAGGGGCAGCGGTCAGGATGCCAACCGTCGATTACCGCAAACGGTAGAACGCATCATCGAGGAGCTGGAAGATCTTGTTGACCAAGCTAGGCCACGCATGAGGGCTATGGTTGGAGAGACTGCCTTCAAGCTGGCGCAAGTGTGAGTTACTTTTGATAACTTCAGGTCAATTGTACGACTGGTTCTGATTTCATTTACTGCTTTTCAGAGGCGAGAAGCTGCAAGCCGATCTCATACCGGCGGAGCTTTACAGTCTGTCATTGCCAGCATTCGCCCCCGAATCTCCAGCAACTTTTAAACTAGGCCAACCCATCGAAATCCAGTTTACAGCAGCGGCAGACTTCATCACCGCTAGGGATTGGGTCGGCATCTATCCGATCACCGCCAACCCGAACCAGACACTGACCACCACCAAGAGCGAAGGCCGATGGCTTTTCGTCAACGGCAGTGGTAAGGAGGAATGGGACGCCGACAGCAATTGTCGTGGCATGTCTCTGATCCAAGATACGGAAACCGCGCGTCTCATTGGCACCACCGTTGTTGAGATCTCAACCGCCAAGAGCATCAGCGCCCGCAAAGTGCTCCCCATCGTGCGTGGTACCCTCACATTCACCCACGACCGTCTACCGTGGCAGACGGGTGCCTACGAGGCGCGTTACCACTACGAAGGCAAGCACGGGGTCATGGCTATCAGCCGTGCGTTCGAGATTGTCGCCGATGAGTTCTCGTGGCACGCGGATGAGAGCGTCGCACAGCAGGAAGCGAGAGCAACTCAGACCTTGCGCAAGATTGTGCAGGTTTGCGTCGATGTCAACACGGCCAATGGCGACCAGGAGATCTGTCTGGAAGACGATATCATGGAGAAGGTCAAAATTGGAGATAACCTGGATGAGGGTATGTGTTGATTTTGGTGTAGATGCGGATATGTGTGGCCTTAGCATTTACGACCTACACTTCAGCTTCGTACGAGCGGTACAAGGAGACTGTTGCACGCCGTATTGCATACGCTATCAAGCAAACCTTTGGCGTGGAGTTCTCATGGAAAGTCGTACCGATGGTCGGCACAACCGGCCGCCTTGCCCAACGGGTCAGTGTCGCGATAGCCGACCGAAATGCCGCAGTGGAATCTGGAGCTCACTCATTATTCTCTCCTCTACCAGGTCTGTTCCGCACATATTGCTCTGCACCCAACGGATCCGTCTTCTAGCCTGTTCGCATAGAGCAGCTTAGCACCATTGCACTGCGTATAGGTCTCTCGTAGTTTCTTTATCTTAAAGTTCCCGTCTCCTCATCCCACACCCCACCATAGACCACATTTTAGGCATCCACGCAATCAATCATCTGCCACAGACTGTTAGTTGTTTGGACGCAATAAATTATGGAATGATATGTCGAATTGGATCGTGCATCCGATGGCTTTTCGTTGGACAACACGCTAAGCATGTAAACAGCCATGTATTGAAATATAGAGCTAAGATTCTTTCCTGAGCCCACGATTTACCTTTCCTCGAGCAAGCAAGTCAAGCCGAGTCAAACACACCGAGCGAAGTCTTGTCATCTCTTATGCCGGCAATCTGCTCCGCCAGATGCAGTCGCGGCCATCCTTGCCTATTGGGCTATATTTTTTCTTAGAAACTGAAACCACATCATGAGAGATACCAGGTTCCCACGATGACTTACGCTTGAATCGACTAAACTACGCAGCTGTGTGTCTTCAGAAGTTTGATCCTCTTGTCCTAGCGGAACGGGCGAGACGGAGGGTTTCGCAATCATGGACGGCGATCGTGCCATCCTCCAAACGCCCGGTAATGTCTGCCCCGGATAACAAAACCAGAACACCAAATCCATGGTTGACTTCAGCCGGGTGGCCTGGGCTCGCTCCCAAAACTAAGTCCGACATTGACGAGGAAAGAAAGATGCCATGGAAGCCCTTGAATAGATCTTTGGGAAGCCACATCGGAGACACCCCGAAGTATATGAACGGGGGGCACGGGCGGAGAAGCGGAAATGAAAAAGCATTGGCGTTGGAAAGAATCTTCCAAAGCGCGCTGTCGAATTACCTTGTGATCATGACACAGCGCCCTCTGCCCTCGGGAAGGCCAACTGTTTATGCCAGAGTTTTCAGGGCTAGTTGGTGCTCCGCTGCGATGTATTCACCGCATGTCCTGACCGGGTACCCTGTGCATTTAACCCTGGGTGTCACGTAGGTTTGCGGAATCCCTCCCCATTGTGATTGCAAACATGGATCTGGGTGGCATGAGAACAATGAATGAATATCTATTCACGATTTGCGCTGCTGGGATGTGTGTCTTGTGCTCCCAAATAGCCTTGTACATGGTGAATGGAGACGGGCTAACATTGGCTTTTCGTTCTCGGAGAGCCTGAAGACATTAAAGGCACGGTGCTTGCGTGATACTGCCGATTCCCTTGCACCGTCTGTTGCCGCCAATTTTTGTAACCTGTTCGGTTATTGGTGCCACACGGCATGCATGCATAGTCTTTAGCAGCACCTTCGATCAGCCCCTTCAAGCGGTGCGGCGTTGGAGAATCTAATATAAGCCAGACCGAAAGCAGAAGCGTTCCTCAAGGCCAGTCTTTTGCCTCCCACGCAAATCGTTCTGCACATCTTCAGCATCCCTCCATCTACCCTCCGAAACAAGTTTCTACTCTCTGATCCTCCGCATAGTTGACAGAAGCAAACTGGAACCACGGCACGGACTGTCGCGCATGGCTCTTGGCGAAGCTCTTCAGCGACATATAACCTAAATCGTCAGATCTTTACCCATCCCTGCCGTAGACACGCCTCCTTGCCCAATCTCAGAGAAATACCATATACCATCACCTGGCAAAATCTGCTCAATAACAATGTCTCGAGCGGAACGTGATTCTTTGAAGGAGCTCGCATCAGCGCTGCGCGCGGCGCGGGGCTCCTCACCATCTTCACCGTCCAGTACACCTACCCGGCGGCGCTCCACCGTTTCCAAGAACGTCAACGGCTCACGGTGCCAAGCCTCATCGCCTCCAAAACTATCCCCTTTATCCACTACCACCACCGCCGCCGCCGCCGCCGCCGAAGCGCGCATATCCCCACCTATCCCAGACCCTACACCTAACGTCGGCCGCAGATTCAACAATGTGCCGTCAAGCACCGTCGCCTCGCCCGTCCGCACCGTACTGCTCTCAGAATACACGCCCAGTAACAACTCGACGATGGGATATATGGATTCGCGATACTACAAACGCTCGATGCCGTCGTTGAACTCACGGCGGAACAGCTCTACTTCGAATCAATCCGACTCCTCTCCGTATTCGTCAACAGGCAGCCTGTCGCGCCGGGTCTCATTTGGGACGAACATTGTGTACGCGTTTGACAAGACAGCCGCATCGAATGAGAGATCGGGGAGCGTTGTCAACGTCTCGTGCGGGACGGCGATTGCTACGATGAGGCACGAATTCTTCATCAATTCAGATCCTGAATTTGAGCGGGACATCATGGCTGATTGACATCAGGCCCATGCTGTGTCGTGCCGTCCCATCTTGCATCCCATTTGCATCCCATTTGCATCCCACTCCTTCCCGTTTCCCCGTTAGACCGCTATGGGTATTAGATCCCGTTTTCGAGATCATCTTTTGTGCATTATTCTTTTTGGTCCCAAGCCTTGTTTTCTTGACAAATAAACAGTTCAATTTTCATGTCAAGTCAGAAACCGGATGCATTCATATTTTCATGCGACGTGGTCTTCTATATACAAATGATTCCAATTCCACAGATTCTCTTCGAGAAGACCTATCCCTCTATCTCTTAAGATCGCTTCTGACGCTTGTTGTTGTTGCTCTTCCTAGCCTTCCCCGCCCCACCTGACTCCAGCTCCGTCCCGTACTTGTTACTGTATACCTTATTCAACTGCTGGAACTCCTTGTTGAACTTCGCATCATAGTTCTTCTCCTTCCCTTCCCCTCCACCGCGTTTCTTCGCATTATTGGCCTTCATACGTCCTTCGCCCGCTTTCACACCGAACTGGAACGCCGCTTTCGGCAGATGGACTTGTTCGTCCTTGTAGCGATGCCATTCCTCTTCGGTGTCAAAATCGAAGCGCTGAAGTTGGGATCGTTTGTTTTGCTTGACTCCCATATCCATCTGCGACAGGTCGGGCTCTTCACCGTCGCTCTCGGAGTGGTCCAGATCGGCCAAGTCTGCGAGGTGGTCTTCCTCTGTGTTCGCGGCAGCTGCCTCAACGTCTTTTGAAAATCGTTTCCGTCGTCTTGATGCGCGGGGCGGGAGTTTTATTTGCGATGTGTCTTGTGGTCCGAACTCTTCCGCTGCCCCTGTGTTTTCGGCTCTTAATTGCTCAATTAGCTTCTGAGCGGCACCGGTTCCTTCCAGCGAATCGACCATGCCGACACTCTGCTGTATTATGCTTTGCAGGACATTTGACACGGGAGGTGCATCAATCTCCATCGCGTCCGGATTACCGGTTCCATTTGTTTGTTCGGCATCGGGATCTGGGTTCAAGAAGTATGGAGGTTTCGAAGGCTTATCGGTGTTGTATGTTGTCATTGGTCCGCCTTCCCGATCCTTGACTTCTAGAACATAGTCCCGCCCGACATCAGCGAAGATATCCTCATCGGGATCTTCCTCTTCTGACTCCGCATGAGAGTCGGCTGCTGCGGCTTTCCGCAAGCGCTCGGCTTCTTCCTTCGCTTTCCTAGCCGCTTCGGCCTCAGCCAACGCCTTCTCTTTATCTTTCCGCTTGACACGCTTCTTCTCCGTTGCCGCCCCCGGTGTATTCTCTCTCGCCGCTGCAATGACCGAGATGATCTTCTCGATGACGAGATCATTGCTAGACACGACGAAGTTCTTGTCATAGTCCTTGAGATCTGCTTTGCTACGGATAACAGTCGTCGGGATATCGCTTGACGAGACGATCTCGCCTGCTTCGTTCTTAGTATCGGCCTCCCAGCAGAAGGCCATGCGCCCGGGTATAAACATCTCGTTCCGCACTGGCGGCTCAATCTTGGCTTTGTTCACCGCAATTTCATAGACATTCTTGGCAAACATCGACAGGAAAGTTGTCGGCCCGCCCCCATGCATCTGCTCAACATACGCCATGGCCTCTTCATCCTTCTTGCGATCGATATCTTTCTCCTTTAGGTCTTTCTGCACCTTCTCCAGCAGGGCATAGTCCAACCCTTTCACCATGTGCGTATGCTTCACGTCTCCTCCAAGGTATTTACTCTGAGCATACGATACGTTAGGCGTCGACGGCTCCATTTCCTTTCCAGCAGCAAACATTTGCGGCTGTTCACCGGCGTTCAGGACGGCCAGCATTTGTTCCGTTTCGACGTAGTCCGGGTTGACGCCCTTCCGCCTCTCTTTGGCCCGATCTCGATAGACTATGCCCGTCCCTTCTTCCTCCTCCCCATCATTGTTCGACTTTTTCTGCGGCTTCCAGTTATTTTTGGGTTTCACGGGCGCTGGGGGGACGAAACCGTCGGCATCTTTGACCGGTTCTTTCGAGGCGACCGACCTTGGAGTGAGAAGGTTGCCTCGAGGGGTTTGTTGTTGCGAGACTGCGCGCGGAGTAGCCAGCAGCTTCCGGAAGTCGTCCTGCCCTAGACCAGACATTGTTGTCTCTTGTTGTTGTTAAGGGCAATTCGGCTCCCTTTTGCCGAAGTTCCAACTTGCAAAACAAGAAAGCTGGTTGACGCGCGCTCCCCTGATGCTCTCCAAAACGTAACAGCCTCAACCCCACAGCGAATCACTTGCCATCTTGCACCCACACACGCACTCAGAAGCACAGACACCTAAAGGACTGCAACTATGGTAAGGTCGATTCAAGGCACTGTCAGATCTGCGGAGGTAGCGTCTGATAACCGTTCAACTCCCAGGCACAAAGCAATCAAGGAATCCAAACTCTGCTGGAGGCTGAGAAGGAAGCGTCCAAGGTGGTCGCAAAGTCCAGGCAATGTACGTGGGAAAATAATCTGGAACTCAATGAACATATGTTCTCGGCTCGGTGTTCATAAATCGAAGGCCACAGAGGACTCTATTCGAAGCGCCACGTACGAACCGGAAACACAGCGACTGACTAGCTTTTCACCATCCTTCGTTCTCAGACCGAACCCAGCGCCTAAAGGACGCGCGGACAGAGGCGCAAAAGGAAATCGAAGCGTTGAAAGCACAGAAGAACAAGGAATTTGTGGAGTTCGAGAAGCAGGTTCGTCTTAGGGAGTAACCGAGGAACGGGCTTTTTCCTTGTTTCTCCGCCTAACCATACCGTGTCCGCGATTATTAGTACGGGGGCAACACTGATGAAACGGTCACAAAAGCGAATGCGGAGACGGAAGAGCAGTTGAAGGAGGTCAACACTTTATACCAGAAGAATAAGCAGCAGGTCATTGAGAAGTTGCTCTCGGGGATCGTGAACGTTCAACCACAGGTTTGTAGTCTCCTCGCAATGGAGGACCTGTTTGCTTGGGATGGGATGAATTGATGCCTTTCATCTCTCCAGATTCACCCGAACGCCAAGAAGGCCAAGCCAGCAGCTTGATTATCTGGTGGTTCATTTCCCCGTGGACACTTCGTCTTTAGTCCGCGTATTCAGTATATAAAAACAACAGAGCTCCATCTTACGTTACTGAACTTGGCTCGGGGGGAAATATGGCCTCCCAAGAAACGAATGCAAGCGATTCTGTTGGAATCGTCAGCCATTCGCTACGCTCTGGCTGTCCAACATGGTTCTTGCAACAGAGCCGCGATGGAAGTTGAAACGTTTGCGTGAAATACTTCTTTGTCCCCAGCAGAATGATCAGAAAATGCTATGTATCATTTATACGATAATGATTCGAATGTTGCCTTTGTATCTCTACATCCCTTTACTTGCTGATGGCAGCAACAACAGCCTCGTACACTTCAACCTCCACCTTGGCGATCAGCTTGTCTTGCTCAGAGCCACCAGAGGTAGCACGGCGGTTGGCATCGTCGAGGGCGCGGCGGGCAGCCTTGAAGAAATGGTAACGCGTGAGTGAGCCAGCCCGCATCTCTCAACGCAGGGAGAATGTGAGCTGAACTTACGTCCAAATCAAGATCCTCCAACGGGAAAGCTTCGACAGCGTTGATGTTCAGGGTGGAATCGGGGTTGATGATGGCGAACCCTCCGCTCACTAAATTCGAGAAATATGAATAAGAAAAATAGAGACATCTTGTCAAAGTTCTCTACACCCAACTTACCGAAGAACTTTTGTGGCTTCTCAGTGGCCGAGAAAACCTCAATAGCGCCAGACTTTAATTGAGCGATGGTTGGCACGTGCTCAGCGAGGATACCCATGTCTCCTTCCGTGGACGACAAGTTGACTTGCGTCGCCTCAAACTTGTCGAGGATGGTCTGACGATAAAAGTGCAAGGAGTCAGTGCCATGTTCCGCTTGCTGCTTTGTGACGATCGCCCGCCAAGTCGTGCGTGACATGGTTCCGCATCTTCTGCCTGACCAAGAGCCCTCCGTCTGCAAGGTCGAGCTAACGCCGCCAATTACTCCGCCAAACCGGGGAACCGCTCGTATCCAGTCCTTCGCCGACGGAATTCCCGCAGCAACCACCACATCATCCCAAGGTCATACCCCACAAGCCCACTTTCTTCGCCAGATATCCGCCATCACGGCAGTGCTACACACCTGGTGAGGAGACACAAAGCTCACACGCAACCTGGCGGGTCCCGCCTCGGTGGCATAGGAGCGAGCTGTGAGAGACATGTGGTTAGATTCGACGTGTAGTTCAGACGGGCTCTAGACTCAAATTCCACGCCGGACTGTACTTGCAGAACGACGGGCGTACATACCAAGCTGCCTGAAGGCAGAAGGGCGAGCTGCTGTGCGGAGAGCGTTCCTGAACATAGCTGCTGGTAGGATTGGCCGATAACGAGACGCTTGGTGAGTTTTGGGTTGACTTTTTGACAATTTTCAGGCCGTCGTGGAAACGGAATCAAGTCGCCTCAACTGCTCCACTGACACCGCAAACAGATGCCGTTCTTCCTCTCGCAAATAACGGGTGTGCGTACTCACCGAAAGCGGGCGTAATGTGACTGGGAGTAGCAGAAGGGTAAGAGATGCTTTCGCCAACGTGCCTTGCTGTCTGCTCACCGGCAAGCAACCCGGCTGCGAAAATCGTCCCAAGGAGAGAATCGGGTCGTGACTCATCGCACCGTTACGAACATGTTAGAAGCGTGTTGGGCGCCCACGACTCGCACTTTCCACATTTGTCCAGTGGTACGAGTTGATAGGGAAGCCAATGCATTATCATCCAAAACAGAGTGTAACTACCGTTCAAATCACTGCTACGACATGCAGGAATTGAACCAGAAAAAAGACTCGCGCATGTCTGCCGTCCATCTGCTTCTGCTTCTCACGTATTCTATTCTGCCCCACCCCGTTCGTTTTCATGTCATTACAGTTTATCCCTCGGTCCTGCTCCCGATGCGTCGCTGCAAGTACCGCACCACCTTCCCATCGTACCCACCACTGCTCATCCCACTGCGATACGCTTTTCGCCCAGCGGACACGCGCTCAACCGGGACCTCCCCATCCTCCACATCAATCTCAACCATCTGCGCGTATTCCTGGTGATGGTGCGGCGGTCGTGGCACTGGCGCCGGCGCCGTGGTGCGGATGTAATATTGAGTCTGCGGACTCGATCTCGCGAGGCCCCCTGCCGCCGCGTAGTGGTGCTGTTGCGTGCGGTGGTGTGGAGTAGTAGTGGTGGTAGTGTATGGCGTCGGCGCGGGGGTAGTTTTGTATGTGCTGCCGTGCTGGGGTGGGTGGTGATAGTAAACTGAGTTAGCGTCTTGCGTGGCGAGTGCAATGTACTGGTGTTGCTGCGCCGGCAAGGACTGGGGTACTCTTGGCGATCCGTCCAGCAGTTCGCCGTCGTCGTCATCGGAACAGGCGTACCTCGCCTGTCGTTCGTCGTCACCGCCGTCGTCCCAGGCTTTGATGACCGTTGTTGGAGCATATCGAGGCGCAGGAGCATTTGCGAGCTGCGATGGTGGGTATTTGTAGGGTGTGGTGGGTTGATCCACATTGTGCGCCGTCCGCGTGAGAGATGTAGCAACCGGCGCTGGTGGGAGTGGCGGTGGAGGAGGAGGGGCTGCGGGTGCTGGCACAGCTCTCATTTCCACCACTGACGTTCGCTCGCCCTCATTGCCCGCAATCGCCGCTCTTCCTGGATCCTGTGTATCGCCGCGACCGTCCATCCTTCCGCCCTCCACGCGGTTCGTCCCTTGATTTGCAAGAAAATGGCCAAGTCTAGGTCTGAATACCATCGGATACTTTTTCGCAAGGACAATGAGGAGGTCGAGGAAACGTTCACCGAGAAAGAAAAATTGAAAGAGGAGCCAGCGGAGGAACGGTGACCGGACGGTGTCTGTCGCTAGTTCTACAAAAGTGCAGCAGACCGGATGTAAGACAGTGAACATCGGCCATGACCGCAACAATGAGCTTTCTGGGCTCCTCTCCCTCTTTTCCGGATAGAAAGCGCTTTGACGCAAAGCCATAATTCTCCCTAGTCCTCCCTTGCAGTTGTCCAGCGCAGTCCGGTAAATTGACAGTACTCACCAAAGTCGCCGGACCGCCTGAGGCCGGCCAGTAGAGTTGCGACCAGCACAACGTCTACGGCTGCGGGCAATAACCTCGGCATTCCGCGGAATTTTTTGATGCAGCTACTGCGTTCGAGGTCGACTCGGTTGAGGGGGTTTCCGCTATATGTAGTGAAAGCCAAGGAAAAAATGACAGGAGGTTTCCTGGTTACTGCGCCGAGTGACACTTCGTAGCTTCGGTTGAGCGGTGTGGCTCCTCTTATTATTCTCGGACCCCTCTTGTAGAGTCCATGCCTTCGATGGCAGCGAGTATTGTGAAGTGTTTACGGTCAATGCCAATGGTGTACTGTACTAGCTTTGGGGCGAACTCACAACTGCCCATGCAAGCCGGAAGGGTGTTCACAGTCGGACGCGGCGGAGGCGACGGGTGACGCTTGTTCTCCTTGTCAGACGGACGAAGACCTGCTATTTGCTTCCCACCCGAACTCGCAGAAGCAAAAGTTCCCACGGACGGCCATCGCATACCTTTGCATCGTACAGCCGACCACCAGGCATACCCAGCGGTCCAGCTCGCATAAAGCGTCACTACTGTGTTTGAGAACCCGCCGCAATCGAACACTTGAGTCAAAAGTCATCGACTTACGTCCTCCAAGCTGGCTACTCCAAACCCTCACGACCCTGCGACGGCCTCTGGCCCGACTCCAGGAGCAGCACAGTCCCTCGACGCTCAACAGCAACAGCAGGCCGCTGCGGCTGCCTATGGTCAAGCTTCTTGGTATGTGATTGCGAGCGTCTAAGGCCGCACCATGTCAACTTGGGAATTAACCTGATGCCCTTCCCCCAAACGCAGGCCTGTTGGGTATGCAGTAGACGCAGCTGCATACGCACAATACTACGGCCAGCCATCAGCATATGCATATTATCAACAATATCAGCAAACACCCAGCGTCACCCCACCTGGCACAAGTACAACAGCCCCTGCCGCGGCTAACTATTATCAGCAACAGGCTTACCCTCAATACCCAGGATACCCCAACACGAGCACATTCTCAGCAGGTGCACCCGGCTACTCGCAGCAAGCATATGATTGGACTGCATATCAGCAACAAGTCACCCAAGCTCAGCTTCAGCAGCACCAACATCAACAGCAACCGCAACTGTATAGCGCAGTCGCAGCGATGCCGCCTACGGCTCAATCTGGAAGCGTCGTGGTCAACATCACATCAGCAAAATCGGCTGCTGCGAGTGCCCCGCCTGTGGCTGCCCCTACACAGAGCAAGCCATTCAGTTTTGCTGTGAGTTCCCCCAAGAGTAAGTGGCTCGCGTGTTATCGGAGAAGCCTTTCATTATTTACCGACACGGATCCCCTTCTTGCAGAGCCTGCATACATACCACTAAAAACAAAGAGCAAGCTGAAAGAATCTCCACTGGCTGCTCAATCGGCGGATGACGCTTCGTCCAATTCATCGAAGCCCTCACAAAAGTACAATGTAAATGATCTTCCAGAGGGACTGAGGTACGAGCGATCCTCATGCACATTTACAAGCTGCAGCCTATGAACCCCATAATTGTTCAGACGCTATGTTACGCGGGCAATGACTGCGTGCCCGAAGGGAAAGTGGGACGAGGTCAAAAGCTGGGTGCATGAGTTGATTGTAAAGACATTGCAAAATGGGGCAATGGATACCACGGACTGGGACAAAATGCCCTTACCAAGGTATGCTGGATTGCAAGATAAAGGTGAATAACACTAGCTAACGTGTTTTGTATCTCCACAGTGCCGCACTCCCGGAGGAAGCACCCAAAAAGACTACTCGCGCGCAGGGAAATTGGCGCTCACCTTCCCCTCCACCTTCTCTTCGCACTTCCCATAGCCAGTCCAAAAAGCGTAAGACTTCCCCGTCTGTTACTAATAATCTCTCCTCACCAGCAGCAAAAACCGCGAAGGTAGATAGCAGTACATCGAAAAACAGTGGCGCCAATGGTAGCCATTCGCCTATGGACGTTGATAGACCGGGCTCCAGTGCGTCGGCCACGTCAGCAATGGGTTTTGTTGACAAGAAAGGCACCGCGAAGACAAAGAAATCCCGCGATGCATCGCCACTACCACAAAAGACGCTGGTCAGCAAAGGAAACCCTGTTACAAGCGTCAACGCCTCTGGGACGCCTCCTACATGGGGTTCAGACAACGAGGACGATGATGCAATGTTGATGAAATTGCCTCCATCGCTTCGAAATGCTGAAATTGCGAGGCGAAAAGCGAGGAAAGATCGGTTTGGAGGCAGAGAGGCAGAAGAGAAGCGGATCAAGCAGGAAAAAGAGCGCGAAGTCAAACGAGCGCAGGAAGCGTTCTTGAAGGCGGGCGCGGAGGGCAACCCGGACGTACTCGACTGGGACGAGTTCACCATCATAGGGACAAGCACGCAGTTGGAGAAGCGATACCTCCGGTTGACCTCAGCTCCGGACCCGTCTACTGTGCGGCCCGTGCACATTTTGCGGCGGACTCTGGATCTTCTGATTAGCAAATGGAAAGAAGAAGCAAACTATACCTACATCTGTGACCAGTTTAAGAGTTTACGGCAAGACTTGACGGTGCAACGAATCAAAAACGATCTTACGGTCGCTGTTTACGAGACGCATGCACGGATTGCGTTGGAGAAGGTACTTCTAGCTCTTTTGGAGAGGCAGCAGGATCAATCTAAGTTCAGCCACTCACATGCTTTACACCGCCAACTCATCACCAGGGGGACTTGGGTGAGTACAATCAATGCCAAGCACAACTGCTCCAGCTTTACAAGTTCCACAATCTTTCGGGCGCCATTGACGAGTTTACGGGCTACCGCGTCCTCTACTTGGTGCACACGGACAACCGCACCGAGCTGATCAAACTCATTTCGGATCTCACCGCGGCGCAAAAGGAAGACACAGCAACGCAACATGCCCTTAACGTGCGCACCTCTGTCGCTACGGGCGATTACCACCGCCTCTTCCGTCTACATAACACTGCACCGAATATGTCTGCCTACCTAATGGACCACTTCATCGACCGGGAACGCATCCGCGCCCTGAAAGTCATCTGCCGCGCATACCGTCCTTCCATCCCCGTCGCCCACCTCGCTGCCGAACTGGGATTCATTCACCCTGACGACGTAGAAGAGGAGAATGCCGCTGCCATCATCCGCGGGCGGAAACTCTGCGCCAAGTGGATCAAGAGCAATGCGGGTTCGGCTGCGGTGTGGGTGGATGGCAAGAGCGGCGGGTCGGGGTCTCTGGACACAAAGGAGAGCGTGAAGGGATTCCTGCTGTTGGTGGAGAAAGTGAAGAGCAAAGGGGTAGACATCAAGGGACAGATTCATTGATGTTATTTTATCCCTCCCTCGATGGCAATTCTCCCTCGATGTTCTTTCCCCTCCCCTCGTCTCAAACTCCCCCAACTTCCCATCCTCCCCTATTTGTCGTGATGGTTTTATGATGTCGTACCTCCGTGCATTAGAAACTTCCTGTAAAATAGATTCACCCACGCCCGGCGATAATCAGATGACATACAGTATACGCTTTTTAACGAGGTCATTGCAATATGTGCCCGTGGTTCAGTGAAAATATGAATATTGAAATATGGCAATGCTGCAATAGATACAGACGGGCCGTAGAAGATAGATACATCCCGAAATGGAGGCCACCAGAAAAATTACGCCTGGAAATACATAAAGGCAGATCGATACGCCATCGGATGGATGTGCGAATAGATACGCAGATGAATACCGCTGTTCTCTGGCCTAATGACATCTCGGCAATCGGTCTGATGCACAGCCAGCCTATCGTTCAATCCACGGACAACTCTGACGACTCGGACAGATCCGAGGTCGAATCGGTGCTCGCACCTGACTCTTCGTCACCTTCTTCGTCTTCATCGACGTCCTCCTCCTCCTCTTCTTCGACATCAAATACATCCTCGCCCCCCCTGAAAATAATCCTTTCATCCTTATCGACGCTGCTGGGCCATTCCATGAGCGTACGGGTCGCCAGGATGTTGTGCCATTGTTTCGTGTTGGACTGCGCCTGGATGCGTGCAACGGCCTCTTCCGCTTCGGCTTCGGTGGGAAGGCGGACGAGGGAGAGTGGTGTGCGGGCGCCTCCCTTCGTGTACTAATTGAAAAAACGAAATGAATCAAGTCAGGTGTTGGACAATGAGGGAGGTTGAAGCTAAACGTACCCCGAATTGAGCGCTGATGGGATGTAACCCAAATCCTTCAATCATATCGTTGAGATCTTTAGGTGTAGAAGAGTAGGGCATCTGCGCGAAGGCAAACGTAAAGGCGTCCATTCGTCCAATAATGTCCTGCATTAGATCCAGATCCACTCACATTGAGCACGAAAAGGGCTTTAGCCTTTTCAGTCTCCTTCGTCTTGACCACCCGCCCTTCATCCTCTTCCTTCTTTTCCGGCATGATCCGCTTTCCATAGTACCATCCTTCCTCAGCCGTTACAGGTGTCCAATGTGAGGGTAGATCTGCGGGACCTGCTTGCCCAAGCATGCGGCGAACGTTTAGAGGCCGCTGGAACTGTTCGGCGCCGCTGAGGGATCTGTTGTCAAGGGAGCGGAGGAAGCGGTCCTTTTTGGCGGGTTGATCGTTGCTCGCAGACTTGACCGAGTGATGTGGTTTGGCCGTAGGCTTGACCAAGGGCCTGGATGCGGCAACACCTGGCTGAACGGAGCTATGGCCATGCTTGGGTTGAACGGTGATCACATGCTTTATGATGTGTGGAGGTTGGACCACTGACGAGATGTTTGCCACGGTTACCCGTTTCGGCGAAGGGTCGGAAGAGGATGCAGCGGCCGGCTTGTCGTGGCGTTTCGGTGGCTCAGCGGCGATGGGAGGCTGTTTTAGGAGCACGTTCGCACGAGAGGCTTGACCTCCTTGAGTAGGTGAAGTCTTCGGTTGCTGGTTCATTGCCTTTCGAATGCCCGCCTGCGCTTCCATAATCTTTTCTACTTCTACACCTGTTGAGCCATCAGCCCTTCGAATGTTTGTGTGCGGCACCATCTCCATGCGTTTTTCAAATTCGACGCCTTGTGAGGCATCCGCTTTTCGGTTGCTTGTGTCCGGTCGCACCTTCATAAGGCTTTTCACATCGACACCTTGCGGGCCGTCAACTTTCCGGACGTTTGTGTCCGGAGGCACCTCAATCAGATTCCTCGCTTCGACACCTTGTGCTGCATCGGCCTTTCGAGTGTTTGTGTCCGCTCGTACTTCCATAGGCTTCTTCACGTCGACATGTTGTGTGTCTACAGGCTTGCGGATGCTTGCACCTCCTACGATTTCGGGTGTCACTTCCGCATAGGCGCCTGAAACGAGTTCGTCAGTCTTGCGTTTCACGGGCCCAGTAATGTCCTCGGATCCTCCGCGCGCGGTGTTGGAAACGGCGTCGCTCTTCTGCAGGGGACCGGGTGAAGCCTTTTCCACCGTTGCGTTCCAGATAGGGCTGGTAGGGTCCATCGAGTCGGTGGTGAAGGAATACTCGGTGAGATCCTCCGCTTCCAATCGGGCATCCGTGTCGTCCCCGGACGTGCTGGATATGTCAGGATCTGAAAGCATGGATTCAACTTCCTGAACGGGTTTCTCTTGGATAGACGGTTCATAGTGTAGGAATTGGCACCGCGTTCGCAGACATGTACCTCGCACATAGTTGCGACAGATAGGGCGCGCGCCGTGTTTTGTGCCTTGGGACTCTGCAAGAAGCGAAAATATGAGCTATAATGTCAAGTAATCTGCTTCGATTGGTGATCCTCACCTGTACTGGTGCGTGCGAGGACTTCCTTAACTGCCCTGTCTGCATGAAGCGCATCCACGTTGATGTTTTCCTTTTCGAGCTCCCTGTAGCGGGAATAATCTACTTCCTTGCGAGGCGACGGAGGGATGGTGTTGCTCGCAGGCCTCTGGCCGCCAGCGGAAGCGGTGGGGTGCGGATGCTGGTGCGAGTACTTGCAGTAAGGGTCCAAATACTTCGTATTTCTTTGGACGTTTAAACACACTCCAGGCTGCAATGAGGTCGACGAAGCTGGCGCGCACGCTTTGTTGAGGTCCCTGCCTCCACCGAAGACGAGCTGGATCGGTGCACGAGAGGAGTCGAGCGGAGGACCAATGGGAGCCACAGGCCGTTTGATATTGGGATCATGCTCGAATCCGCAGGATTGCCCGTACGGGCACGACCTATGCGCGAGGAAGTAGTTGCAAGGCTGCTTCTTGATCTCGGAATGATCTTGCAATCTCGGCCACTCCGCTGCGTTTCGCTTGCAGCCAGCCGAGGGAGTAGGTTGAAACCCGGAAAAGGAAGTAGGGTGATCCAACGGTCTACTCAAATCATCGAAATCGATCATCTCGTCCCCCGAGCTCTTCGGTACAGTTTGCGTCATCTTCGGCTGCATATCGTTTCTGGCTGCTGCCGGAAGTGGGTAGCCGGGATTAGCAGTCATCCCGTCGCTGTGCGGTTTCTGAGCCCATAAAGTTTTTGGGTCGAAAAACTTTGGCTGCTGCCACATGCCTTGGTGAGTGAAATCTCCAGCACGGATGGGACTTTTCTGCGCCGTTGCCGAACAGTTGCGAGGACTTAACTCGCGCTCTGAAGACCTGGGACTTTTCAGTACGTTCGCCGAGTAGTTGGGACGACTACGTCCGCGCTCTGAAGCTCCGATCTGATTCAAAGGCTTATTCAGCTCTTCGAATTCGAATACTTCAGCTGCACCCTTTCCCGCATTTGCAGCAGGGCTTTGTTTTTGCTGTAAGGAACTTCCTTGACCCAATGGCAGCTTGTTGACGTCCTCGAATTCTACAACTTCCTCCCCGCCCTCAGCTTTGGCGAATGTATACGAAGATGTGGAAGGTACCTCAGCACGGTTTGGTTTCGCCCGGCTGGAACTCGTAATCTTAGAAGCGTACGTATTCGAGGGCTTTCCTTGATGAATGGTCTCGGCAGTCTTTCCGGGGCTCAATCGGGTGTTTCCCGCATGCGGAACCGGTGCGCTGGGGGCTCCACTTTGTTCGAGTGCTTTCTGCTTTTGCTGAAGATTGTAGTCATCCTGCGCACGTTTCTGATGCGGATCGTGGGAGAATTGACACCGTTCGCCATATAGGCAATAGCCACTATTTTTGAATTTGAAGCACGGCTTCTTTTGGGCTGGCGAAGGGGCTTGCGGGTCACCATACTCTCTGGGTCGAACACCGGTTCCATGCGTGGGAAACGACGGGTAGAGGCCGCAAATAGGATCCAAAGGAGCTAAACTCGTTGAAAGTTCCTTACTGGGTGACGCCGCGGTGGATGTACACATGTCGGCAGCCCCAGTACGTTGCTGCTCGGTTGTTGAGAGGCCCGGCACCATCCCAACGTACGGCATCTCTCTGTTCGCGGGATTGATCTTCACTTGTGGTGACGTAGTGTTCCTCTGCGGCTTGCTGGCCTTTTTGCTAGGCGAAATACTTCCGTTGCTGGGCTGTGCGTTCTGTGTAGTTTTATCTCGTCCCCTATGAAGGGTCTTTCCATTTTCTTCAGCTTGACTGAGCTTAGTCCTCGGAAACGCAGGCATCGAGTCTCCTCGGCCTCGACGGTTCCCTTGGGAACCCGTGTCCGAGTTCTTCGCCGCGAGGTTCGATGCAGGTGACGCTCTGCGAGATACTAAAGGGTCGTTTTTCCCACAAGAGTCCGCCGACTGAGACCGTCGTCTGCTCTTCGGCGTGCTGTGCTTCATTGGGACTGGTTGAAAAGCGCAGACCTGCTTCACCTGGCAACGACTTTGCGCACTTGTGGCTTGTTCGGCCACCTTCCCACTAAGACATCAACCTGCCAAACGATGGCCCGCGGAGCTTCGTTTCGCGGACAGACCTTCGGTTTGAGAACGCAATTTTCCACGGAGGTTGTGGGAGGCTCTTGCCTCTTACGTTGGCTATATGTAAATACGTGGCTCTTGGCACAGTCCGATTCCCCCCGTTCTCCCCGCCCAGACAAGCGGGGGGGGGGGGAACATTCGGCAGCCTGTCAGTTGCAGTCTGACGGCATGTGGCGGAGGAAGTTCGACATCGCGTTGCATTCCCACGACTTTATTTACCCAGTCACGTGGTGGCTCTGAGGTTTTTTGTGGAAAGTCGTCGCTGCGTGCAAGTCCTTGGAAGTCTCAACGACGGCGATTTCACTGACGTGCGAACAGCGCAACAGAGGTGAAGAACTGTGTGCGAACCTCTATCGTGTATCCGGCTGCTCACTGCTTCCAGTCTTCAGTTCACTTAGTCACATTACGTCGCCGAAAGCCGGCATCGTTCGGAATTTTACCACATTTCGACTCGGTTGGACGAAGCACTTCCTTTCCAAACGTCCATCTTCGACGCAATTTGAGAAACCACTAGGAAATAAATCCAGCCGCCGGTTCCACAACAGAACTCCAGGAAGCTCCATCGAAAACTCCGCAAGCATGGCTCCACTTTACCACCTCTGCTCGCAGATACAAAACTCCTTCAAATGGCAACTTCGCCGGATCGCAGTGCCCAACTCGAAACCCAACCGGGCGATATGTCAGATTCTCTACGACGAAGGGTTCGTCTCTTCCGTGGCGCTGGGCGATGAGACAGGACCTTTCCCTGCCAATGCGCCTGTTTTTACTGGTATAGCGCTACCTCCGAAGGTCGAGGCCGCTCCCAGAGCCAAACCTTCCCCAACCACACCACCAGCAGGGTTGGCAACCTCGCCATCACCACAACCGACGTCCACACCCTCATCCTCCTCCTCCGCCACCCCCAACCGGAAATCCGCACTCGTCACACCACCGCCGAACCCCGCCCGCCTCCGCATTTGGCTGGACCTAAAATACAAGCACTCCCGCCCCGTCCTCTCCCGCATGTCCGTAGTCTCGAAACCCTCTCGACGCGTGTATGCATCGCTGCGTGAGCTGCAGGCCGTTGCCGCGGCAAGACGTGCGGGCCCGTTATTGAAGGGGCAGGAGGTTGGGCAGATTACGATTCTGGATACGCCGTATGGGATCATTGAGTTGAAGGAGGCGTTGAAGCAGGAGGTTGGAGGCGAAGTGCTTTGCATCGCTGTTTAGAGTATAAGGATCCTGCGTACCTTCGTGGTGGGCGGGTCATCCTCCAGGGTTTGGTCGTGAGACGGATCATGGCGGTATTGGCCAGGCTAAATACAGCCGGGCTTTCCCTGTCTGCACTTAGAGCCACGCCATTCTGTATGTCTCCTTTGAGACTTGTACATGTACACAGTCCTTCTTATCATTATTATTCTGGCACTCATTCTTACCATCATACACACATCCCTGAGAACCTTATGCTTTTTGGAATTGGCTTCAGAATGATTCCACAGCGATGGCGACTGCCAAGTTTGAACTTCTTTCAGCTTCCGCAAATGATGACACCCGAATAATACAATACCAGTTCGAATCGTAAACACGAATATGTACAGACAAGCGGCCCGGTGGCAATATGGAGCGCAGCAGTGCTTGCAGTTACAGAGGTATGGAGCTTACAATGGAGCTCAAAGGGATGAGAGGGGAAATAAGAGAAAGGGGAGCGGGGAGATATTTCGGAAAGGAAGAACGGAGATTTTTTGTGGATTTGAAATGCACGGGGTTTGAGAGAGGAAGGGGGTGACTTTTTTTGGGGGGAACGGGCGATTTTGTAGTAATTTTGAAGTTGTGACGAAAGGCGTATATTTGGGGAGAGATGTTGTTGGTTGTGACCTTGCCGTTGCGGGACTCGCCGATGCGTGCCGACAGATACGTGGCGCGAGATGTGATATCATCGGCAAGGTGGCCAGGTTGCGGCACATACTCGTCGCAGCGACTTACGAACTGTAGGTTGAGCTTGCAGAGACCCGTGGCTTTCGACAGAAAGAAGGGAACTTCTCAATATTCGCCTTGCTGGCCTTCTTCGGCAGGCTGCTCGCTCTTAGCCAATCGCCTCTGCTTCTCGGCTTCAAGCTGGTTGTAGATCATCTCCAACGCAATCTTGGTTCCCTCCGCCGATCCTGTGATGGTGACGGTACGCGTGGTTTGACCTTCCTGCTGCTCGTTGATGCGGAGTCTGGCATTGGAGGACTTGCGAATCTGATTGATGAAGGAGCCGCTGCGACCGATGATGGCGCCCACCACATCGTTCGGGACCGCAATGGTTTGAACATGCTGGTCAGGGCCGGTGGTGTCGTTGGAGATGACGTGGAGGCCGTTGCTACCGCTAGGAATGTCGTTCTGCGGTCCACCGGAAGCCGGTCCCCGTTGTCCGTGGCGACCTCGCGGTCCGTTGTGCGTTCCCTCGCCGTAGCTGCCTCGGCGGCCTCGGCGTTCGCCCGACCGCAAGCCGTTGTCATTGGCATACTGGTCGTTGTATCCACGCTGGTACTGGCGCGCATGTCGGTTCTCAGGGTAGTAGTAAATGGTGCCAGCGGCCCTTGCAATATCGTTCAAGATGCATTCTGAGATCTGCTCAACAGCGGTTTGACTGCAAGACAATAGTTTTAGTAAGTGTGTCGCTTCTTAATCTGCGCACTTCGATATTCATACTCACATGGCGTCGGCGTTGCCGTAAATATCAATAACTCGTTCAGTTGACTGGGGGAGCATGTCCTTGGAGACTGTAATCTTGGCGCCAGATTGTTCCTGGATGTCGCGAATGCGGGACCCTCCTTTGCCAATGATGGAGCCCATCAGCTGGTGGGAAACCAACAAGTGAATGTTCGCAGTGTCGGATTGCACCGGTTCGCGTTGTCGAGAGTTCTCAATAGGGTTTTCAATGAGATGTTTGGCTACAAGATAGAACCCCTGACAACAATCGAGAGTATGACGTTTAGAATGTTGGCATAGGTGCAGGAGAAATGCCAAAACTAACTCATACCTTGGCGAGAGACTCGACCGTTCCGGATACAGTCAAAATGCGCTCATGCACACCATGGATCACTTTGCTTACTCCTGCCTTGACACCGGCAACGTCACGGATTTCCGCAACGTTCTTTCCGCCCTTTCCTATTATAACACCCGCTTCGCGAGTGCTCACAACAGCCCTGAGGGTCAAAGGAGCGTTACCGTCGGTTTCAGCAGTCTCGTCAGCGTGGTACTCCCCGTCCTCGGCAGAGTTCGGTGCTGCGTCCGCGGCAGGTGCCTCAATGGAAGTGGTAGCGCCGGCGGCGTTCTTGGACCCAGGTTGTGGAGAGGCAGCGTTGTGATGGTGTGGGGGGAACTCGGGATCAAGTGACAAACCAGTCAATCTGACCATCGGATCGTCGTCGTACGGGCTGGAGCGGCGGGCTTTGGAAGTCATGTCGTGCAGTTGAGCTCGCGCAAAGTCGGAAGGACACTACTGAGGGGAGATCAGGAAACAACAAGGGTTCTCCACAGAACAGATCTGGAAGTCGAAGTCGACAAAAGAAGGTGTGACGCTGGCGACTAAGAACTGGGGAAAGCAAGAAGCGGGATGCAGCTTGCTGGTTGAGCGACTAGATAGGAGGGATCAGGAGGATCGGGGGTTAGGGGACTGGGAAAGGGTCTCCTGTGGGACAATGTGGGAAAGGGTCTGAGAAGGTCAGAGTTCATCGGTGTCGGTCTCCCGAGGTTTTGTTATTGCTCGTCTACGGACTAATGCAACGCACGTGATCGTCGGACACAAAGTGGTCCAATTTAAGCGTTCTTTTTTGACATCCCGCCATCCATCTCACTAATTGACCTGCGCTTCCGTTGGGGTCCATCAATCGTTGGCAACTGCCTCTACCGACCACTGAAACAGAGTACGTAGCTTCACGACTCTTACTTACTCCACTGAGCGATGCGGATGTGCCGCGTATTCATGCGCAAACAGCTATCGCATTCCGGCATGAACGATTAATGCTCTACAACCAGAGGCTATTCGGATAGTATGAGTCAGGCTCGCCCAAAAACCATTTGAATCCGAGGACCGTCAGTATGAAAGAACTCCTGAGCATGCCGGACAAGCTAGCATGACCTCCACCACAGGGGACTCTGCGAACTCCCAGCGAGTTTCCGATAGGACATCCAAGCAAGCCTGCATCAACCTCCTCCTACGATCATGATTCCTCTTGTAGCGCTCCGAATGACTCGCCTCTGGGCTCCAATTGAACCCGCACCATCGGACACATCTGGACGACGCGGGCCTGTAATTGGACGGATTGACCTGATGTCTTCGTGCCCAAAGCACGGCCTGCAAGGCGAGAGAACAGACGCACCCACCCAACTGACGGAAAGGTGATCCGACTTCCAAATGGCAGCTTGTCGTCGTCGGCGCGGAGTCCGCTCCACCTCCAAGATCCTGCCTGAATCAGTGAATCCCACCCACCATTTTGTCGAGACGCGCGGATGATGGGCGGATGATGGGCGGGAAACAGTGCGGTCATCGAAAACGCGCCGCAACTCTTTTTGCGGCTTTGGAAACTGCCAACTGGGCTTCACCTTCAAGCTCTCGAGTCAATCTGAACGCAATCGGTGTGACGGGACCGCTTATTCCAACGCTAGGAAAAAGGCAGTTTACTCGCTCGAACAAGGAGCAAATAGCTCAGCTGACTAGGCCGTTTCTCGGAGGTGCTACCTGTGGAAGATGTTCTACACGTGAGACCTCTGTTTGCTCAGTTTTTCCCTCTTCGTCCGCCGAGTTTCTTACAAACATACGGCCATCGTTATAGCTTTGAGGAGGAACAGTTCAGCGAGCTAGACCTGTTCGAGGAAGCTGCTAGCGTGGTGTCGGTTGGTCCCAACCAAGAGTCGGCTCTGCAAGCATGCATTTCTTTGTCATCGCCAACCATCGCCAACTATCACGCCAAGCGTGAGCAGTCAAAGCCACATGACCGAGACCCTGAGGTTGGTTTGTAGAGGTTTACGTAGTGCGACGGAATGGGGATCTGCTCACAATTGAGGCGTTCATGTCACTTCTCAGAAATACTTCAAAGAAACCGGCTATTCCGCGCTTCTACAGTATGTCATCTCATCCAAAGGAGCCCACAGTGAAGTCATTGTGCCCCTCTGTTTGGAATGCTTGGACCTCCTCCAAGTGATTGTCAACGAAGAGGTCGCCGGATTCGAAGGTGGGCTTTCGACGACCTTGGGATCGCATGGCACGGCGACTGACGTCCTCGTCGTGTAGATTACGCCTTGATTGAAACCTTTGTTGACCAGACTGCCCACCGGCTCCTTACTGTCGCTGAATTGAGCCAAAATGTGCGAAAAGAGATTCTGGACGTGATTTGGGGATGGGCTACTGGATTCGTGGAGCTTGTCATTCGAAACCAATGTGAGTGGCGGCGAGTTGATCTTGGTTACGATCCAGTCTCATCCGGCTATTTCACAGCTGCCTGGAAGTTTCAATGTGGACTTGCCGGTCTCGCCGGGGTCTTGGCTGCTCTGATCAAATCTCGGGCCGATTTTCAACGATCATACATGGTCACTCTTACCGAGATCACAGCAGCACTACTTGATTTCGGTCCTTTCAAGTTCCTGCATGGAGAAGGAGAGCCGCATTATTCGGCGTGGAGCGCCAGTGGAGGATTCGAGAGAGCGGTCTATAAAGTCTTCCACAATCTGTTCGAGTTCGGCAAGATCCTACTGTTGAGCATGCTGGAGATTGATGGCCAAAAGAGTGCCACTCAGTCGGCACAGTGGGAAGGGCTACTGGATGCAGAGTCTCGCATTAGCACGGCCAACGGAGAGGAGCAGGTGGCCATTCGCACGTTGTATGGTCTCTGTTGGAGGTTATACTCGCATCGAACTGCCAACCTGGAAGCTGATGATGTGCAGGCAGAGGAGATCAAGACACTGCTACCTGCGGTCGTGAAATGCGGGATCTTGTGCACCATGCATGTCGATGATCTGAAGCAAAACCTTCTTGGACATGTTTCCGGCATATTGACGAAACACAACGCCTTTTTCAGTCCCGCACTCGTCATTACCTGTTTGGAGAGTCTGACCTTAGTGATTGACCATGTCCCGGCTCTCAAGCCGACAGTGATTGAGACCTTGTTGTCCTTCATCTGTCTGCCGTCGCCCGTATTCTTGGAGTGGCATCATGATTCCAACTCTTGCGCTGCACTTCGACAGTGCGTTGGTTACCTACTATTGCAGAATCTCAAAGTAAGGAGACGATGCCTGATGACAGTTCGTTCGCTACAATTGTGCTCACATATTGTGTTATAGGGAACGGATGGCAAAGATGCCATCATTTCTGTTAAAGCCAAGTGCATCACGATCATGTCCGGTCAACCTTTGGATGGAGATGGCAAGAAGGGGTGGTTGACCCCTCAGCAAAAGAAAATGGCTCAGGTCAACTGCACAGTAGCTGTAGCCACTATATCCGTGCTCCTGTCCGAGGAGGAGACTGTAGATGTAGTCAAGCGAGGCTTCGAGGGGCCTTTGGGGGATCCGAGTTTCAAGGACCATGATGTGTTCTGGGACTCGCTTGGCAACATCGGTTTAAATTCCGGAGTGCAGCTTTTAAGCTCGATCTATGGGCTGTACAAAAAGCATCGCACTGTCAAGGTAATGGTAGGATGTAGGCTTGTTGCTAATATTTCGCTCAACGGGCTCGTCCATTGTATAGAGCACCCGGATAAGACAGATTCTAGCTCGCGAAGCTGCCAAATCAGCTGATTCCGCGGCCACATTCTTGGAGGATACTTTGAAGGCCTTCACAGAATGCGCATCTGGTATGCGCGAGAAGGTGAGCGTATGAAGTATCGGGAATCAGGTGTGTTATGCTGCCGCTGCTGATACAGACATAAAACTAGGATGCATCTGCTCTGAAGGACCTTTACGACCACGCTTGGGTCGCCAGCATTCTCTGCGAGGACGTGGAGTTTCACAAAAGGGACCAAAACATCGTGGAGACCAACTTCATCTTCCGAGACTTCTGGCTGTGCGCGATTGCTCGGCTGTTGGGACAGGATGGAAAGTGGCCAGCTGGTTGGGCTGGCATCTTGCAGGCCATCGCGCTCAAAACTCCCTGCTTTGCGCTCTCGTCGCAAGAACGATTTCTCGAAGAAGACCTTCGCACCCAGTCCGTCATGGAGAAGATCGTTGGCGCAGAAGTCCAACAAAGAGTTCGCACATGTCTTCAGACAGCGTTTACTGAGCGCTATTCAGCCTCCAAGACGCTCAGCTTTGCCAAATGCACGTATCTTCTCGCAGTGAGAGAAGTCGAGCGGTTCAAAGCCAAGAACTTGGCACCGCTCACGATCCTGAAGTATCTCAATCATGACCGTTTGTACAACGACGAGGTTTACGATTTCTTACTCAGCATCGGCGATGACGTTATTGGCGTTTTCATTCGGGCTTGCTCCCTGAAGAAGGACGTCCCACCGCCTTTGATCGCGGATCAGCTCAAACAGTTGCTTTTTATGGCTGCCTCGAGATTGGAGCGTGCGAGAGCGTTTGCGGCAAACTCCGTGTATCGCATCTTACGGGCGTTCCCGGCTTTGGTGTGGCACCGAAAATCCGTCGGTCTGATGCTCGACCTGCTGCAGTGTCTTGACACGGAATCACAGCCTAGTGCCACCAGAACCGAAACTCTACGCGGCAAAATTGGACGAAAGCTGGATTTGCTCAATGAGTACGATGTGCAGGCCGCTTCCCAAGATTTCTTCGACTTCTGCGTCCGTTGGACAAAATTGGCCTTCCAAAGATCTGCGAGCGAGACTGTCGGCCTCATTCAGGTGAGCTCGGTGCTTAGAACTATCATCGTGGAACGCGCCAAATGCTCATATAGATACTGTGACGCAGGGATATATGGTTGACATCCAGACGAACTTCCCTGAACTTGCGATTGGCGAGAAGTCACAGCTCGTAACGCTCCTTGGCCGGTTCTGCAGCAGTGAAGGTAATTTTGGCCAACTCTATGCGATTGTGAGTAGTGTTCGGAGCTGAGCATACCAAATACTTCTAGATATCGCTGCCATGATCATCAAATCTGTTGGCAAGCATGCACTCTACTACGGAGAGGTCCGCGGAATGTTAAAGGCCGGATATCAGACAGGCCGCGACCAAAAGGCAGTGCAGGAACGTGTCGCAAAGGATCTTTGCAGAGAGTTGCGCTCGGTTGTCAGTGCGCCGAAACATCCTCAATTCGCGCTCAACCTGCACCCCGCACTGCATCGTGCAGCCGCTATGGCTCTGTTGATGGATGGAGGCGAGGATGAGCTTCTGGAACTCATATGCTGGACGCCAATCACGGTGTTCACACCTGCGGTTATGGATATGGCCATCTCTGTTTGGAGTCTTCTCATGTCGGCGCGAGCTGAGCTGGGAGCACGGGTCATGGGATATCTAGTCGCTGTGTGGGAGACAACGGCTATGGAACGCAAAGGGCTTTACCGTACAATGACACGGTCGGCGAACCCGTTCTATTCGAAGATGACTTACACACCTTCGAAGCCCTCGCAAGACACGCTTTCGGACTCTCAGGCCTTGTCGATACATTTAAGCTGGATCCGATTCCTACTAGACAGATTCAAGTCTGCTCGTGTGCAGTCCGTGGATCATGTGAAGTTCTTTTGCAAGCTTTACTACATTGCGCATGAGCATGCAACATCCATCAAGTAAGATTGTCTGTGATCTTGTACAATGCTACTTGGTGCTCTCTAACTCCTCCATCGTAGGCGGACCTGGTTCAATCGAGAAGCCTACTTCTCGCTCGTGACGCTTGGAGCTCAGATTGCTGAGCACCTCAGTGGCAACGGAGATCCCGCCGGCTACATTATGTGGTCCAATGTGGTCGAAGATGCCCTGAGATGGTTCTCCGGTCCTTCAGTGTACGGACAGGTGGATAGAAATGAGCTCGACGTCATCATCAATTTCCATACCCTGATCAAGGGAATGAACGTCAACGGGAGCAAGCCGACCGTCCTCGAAGTGCCGAGCGCCAGGTATATGAAGATCGCGTGGTTGACCCCCTCTCCAAGCGGGAGAGTTCAGTTAATCGACGCGAAGAATCTGCTCGTGCTCATGCTCGAAAACGAAATACACCGACTGGCCGCCTGGCTCAACCCGCTCAATGACAAACGGGAGCGAGTGTCAGATGTGCCGCCTACGATCGACTATGGCACGAACTACCTTCAGACGCTAAGACATGCTTGGGCCATTGATCCCCATGTTGCTCTGGAGTTTGGATCTCGTTTCAAGGGCGTGGATTCCATCGAACCGGCGCTCACGGCTCTTATATATTCGTCGCCTGCATCCGTTCTCGATTCTCCTGAAGCATTGCCGTTCATCTTGGTCAATGCGGAGAAACCAACGCTGGACCCGCAGTTGAGGGTATGTCATCAATCCTTGTTCCTCGCTTGAATTTGTCGGTTGTATCTGACTCCCTTCGGTAGTACCTTCTCCATTGGACAGCCGTTCCGCCGATTACTGCCGTCTCCTTGTTGGGCCAGCAATACAAGATGCATCCATGGATCTTGCAGTATGCTGTTCGCGTGCTCGAACACTTCCCGGTCGAACACGTATTCTTCTATATTCCTCAAATGGTGCAAGCGCTGCGTTATGATACCGTTGGTACGAGATCAAAACTTCTTCAATGCTTGCTCACTTCCGCTTCATACGTGTACTGACATTCCTTGGTTCCCTCGTGAAAGGTTACATTGAACACTTCATCCTATCGGCAGCGAGGACATCTCAGCTTTTCGCGCATCAAATCATTTGGAACATGAACGCGAACATGTATAAGTTCGACAAAGAAGGACAAGCCGATGCTGTAAGTAGATGATTCCTATACGCTGAACTGCTTGAACGCATGTATTAATGTCCCTCCAACAGCCCGATTCGCTCAAACCAACCCTCGAGAGAGTGCAATCTAAAATCATTGCCAGTCTATCGGGCAACGACAAGAACTTCTTCGAGAGGGAGATCTCTTTCTTCAGTGAGGTCACTGGAATCTCCGGGAAACTCAAACCGCTGGTTGAACGAGGGGCCACGAAAGCCGAAAAGAAGGCCAAGATCGATGAAGAGATGGACAAGGTGAAGGTGGACGTTGGCGTGTACCTGCCTACCAACCCGGAAGGCATCATTCTGGACATCGACAAGAAGTCCGGAAGACCGCTGCAAAGTCACGCGAAGGCGCCGTTCATGGCGACGTTTCAGGTCGCCAGTGTTGATGAGGAGAACGACGACTCGACACCAGCAGATACTTCTAACGACAACGGTGCTAGCAAGGAGCTGACGCCTGCTGCTACCCGGTGGATGTCCGCCATCTTCAAAGTTGGAGATGATTGTCGACAAGATGTCCTGGCGCTCCAGTTGATCAGCATTTTCAAGAGTATCTTCAGCAAGTCGGGGTTGGACCTTTACGTGTTCCCATACCGTGTGGTCGCAACTGCCCCAGGGTGCGGGGTCATTGAGGTGATTCCGAAGTCCGTTTCCCGTGACATGATGGGACGCGAGCAAGTGAACAGTCTTTATGAGTGGTTCATCCGTTCCTTTGGCAAAGAGGACTCGGTGAGCTTCCGTCAAGCCCAGACCGAGTTCATCAAGAGTTTGGCAGCATATTCCGTCATCATGTTCCTGCTACAATTCAAAGACCGTCACAATGGGAATATTATGTTCGACGATGACGGTCATGTGGTTCATATCGGTACGTATGAGTATACGGTTATGAGTTTTCACTACGTGAACTGAACGGTACCTTCTCTGGCGATGCAGATTTTGGCTTCATGCTGTCTATTGCTCCTGGAGGCGGTATTCTGGAGCCTGCACCTTTCAAGCTCACCCACGAAATGGTACAAGTGCTGGGTGGCGATGCCCATACGCCCAAGTACCGCCTATTCTCCCAATTGGTGGTGAAAGCGTATCTGGCTTGCAGGTACGTCATGATTATGATGAAGTCGAATGTGGCTATGCTAAACGCTAAATCCATACATCTGTTCTACAGGCCGTACGCAGAGGAGATTGTCCAAATGGTATCCCTCATGATGGATTCAGGACTCCCTTGCTTCAGAGGTACGGCCTCCATCTCGAACAGGCCTCGGGGATCCGCTTTCCATATTTCCTATCTTATCCTTTTCTAACGCCGATCACGTCGTCTACCTATACAACAGGGGATATGACCATTCGGAAGCTGCGCGAGCGATTCTTGCCGGGCAAAACCGAGCGACAAGCTGCCGACTTCATGGTCTCTTGCATTCGTACATCCCACGAGAACACGCGAAGGTAAGAGTCCCGTTGCCAACCGTCGAGGCTTGCGTTTTTTTCCGCCGGGAGTCCGTTATCTCACATGTTCCTCGATTCTCTGGTTCCCAGCGGCCTCTACGATCGCTTCCAGTACATCCAAAACGGAATCCCGTACTAGAAACCTCATCATTCTTCACCACGTCCCCGGATAATCGTTGCTGCATTCCATCACCCCGACAACCTCTTCTGTCGTTCTTCCTCCAATCGTCGACGAGTCTCCGCACCCATGGCATCCAACTGCTGTTGCACAACACGCCTTTGATATCGACAAAACTCCCTGTATAGGAAGCAAGGCTTCATCAATCTCTTGTAAATAGACACATGTGCATATGACTATTACCGATCTATCTGCAATGAAAAAACCTGTCTGCAACACCACCATCAAACGCACCATGATATTGTGGACACCACACCGAACGTCATGAAACCCCAATTCCCAGCCGATAGCGCTCGCCCTGGTGATTGGTCGTCACTATATGAAACCGTTTTGTCAAGTGCCGGAAATCGTACTTACGGGACACCACAAAACGAGTAACTCCGATAGCTGACCCTGCTCCAATTCCGTAGAGAAGGCCTTTGACGGCGCAGGGTGACTTTGTCACATTTGCAAGCTTGAACTCCTCTGCCTCTATCCCCTAGTAGGAGCGCAAACGCATTGCTGTTAGAAAAGCCGGCATTCGACTTTTTGGCGTAGAGGTCACGTACCTTTACGACATCGACGAACGAGGGCGGCTTTGATGGGTCGAAGTCAAACGGTATTCCAGGCCGAGGTGACGCACCCTCGGCTGCTGTGTTAGGTTCCGGGTTCGTTGGGGTGGACATTGTCTTATATCCGTGCGTCTTTCTACAACAAAACGCAAGCTTCCCCACCTCGGAGAAACGTTGAACAGCTTTTGAAGAGGCGGAGGAGGAATGCCGCGTCTCCACAACCCCTCGCGACGCTCCAGAAAATGCTACCAAAAGCTTCACAACCAGGTCGGAGAGGAAAAGCTGTTCCGCCGCCACCACGAGCAGCGGAACGAAGTGGGGATACCGCCTTGAGGAGCAGAAAGCGACCTGCGGTTGAAAGTGTACACGTGGAAGATGTTGGGGAAAGCAGCACGGAGGGACAGCCTTCACCTAAACGCATTCGAACTGTGGATGGTGCGAGATGGCAAAATCAAAGTCAGTGGGGAAGTGAACCCAAGGCTCGCAGTGGACCAGCGAGAGTGGAGGAGAAGCCGGAGGAGAAAGTAGAGCCGAAGGCTTTGGACCCTTTCCTTAACTCGTTCTTTCGAAAGCCGGCGGCGGGACGAAGCCCGGCGAGCAGTATATCGCCTCAACCCGCGGTTACAAAAACAGTGGAACCGTCTCAAACAGGAGCAGAAGAGGATGACTCCGACGAGGATGAGGAGTGGGAAGAATTGGGGACTGTCGAAGGGTCTCAGCTTCCTGTAAACCTTCCAGTTCCAGCGGTCGAGACGGCAGCGGTCGTTTCGCCCGCGGCCCCGACGGGTGGCTTCGAGATCTTGGTACCGCGAAATCTCGAACAGGAAGCTAAAGCAGCGGCGCTCGCGAAAAAGGCAGCAACGCGCGGTATACGCAAAGCCGACCGAATCCGACGCATGCTGGCACATCGCATGCATTTGCTATGCTTGTTGACGTGTGGGGTGCTGAGGAACAGATGGTGCGACGACAAGGAGTTGCAGGCCGTGACTGTGTCTATCATTCCTGATGACATCTACAAGGGCCTGATAGCCGGGCCAACCGCTTCATCTCGATCTCGGAAAGGGAAGCAGACACCGAAAAAGCAATTGCCCTATTACCTCGGCTTGCTTGCGGGCTGGTGGAAAGGGCAGATTGAGGTCAGAGACTCGCCGGATCTCAAGCTGACGGGATCAAAAATGTTGACGGAGAAGTTTTCCGAATATCTGGAAAAGAAGATGGAGGGTGACGATGGCTACTTACCTGGAGAGGTGTCTGCGTTGCTTTTCACGTCGGCATGTCGAGGTTTGGGCATGAAGGCCAGGCTGGTATACTCTTTGCACCCCATTCCTCTCTCGCTGGCAACGAAAGCAACGAAATTGTCACCGAAGAAAGCAGAGATTCAACGCGGTGGACGGAGCGCTCCCGTATCAGACAATGACAGCGACGAAGTGGAGGCCACCGTGATAAGACCTGGCAGATTCACCGGCAGGCAACGGAGGGAACCGAATGCCACAACTGCTATGAGTGTCCCATATCCTTTGGAATGCTGGTGCGAAGTTTACTCGGAGCAGGACGGAGACTGGATACCGGTGGATCCTGTACGCGGGGTCGTGAACAACACAGCTGCTATGGAACCACCTGTATCTGCACCGATGCAGTTGCAGATCACATATGTGGTTGCATTCGAGTCAGGTGAGCCTAGTCTTGTCTCACAGTCACTGTCACGGGCGATACTCATCCGTCACGTCACGATAGGATTCGGCGTCAAAGACGTAACACAACGCTACACCTCTCAATGGGGCGCACGTACGATGCGGCTAAGGCTGCCTCCTGGCCCAGAGGGCGAAGATTGGTGGAAGCGGTCACTATGGTTCTTCTCGAATTCTGGCAGAAGCCGGGATGACGAACGGGAAGATACTCAATTGAAGAAGGCAGTGGTGCAGGAAAAGATGCCCCAGAGTTTGGCAGGTTTCAAGGATCATCCAATATATGCGTTGGAAAGGCATCTCAAGAAATATGAAGTGATCCATCCCCACGGGGTCGAACATTCCATTGGCAGGTTCAAAAACGACCACGTCTATCCCCGTAGTCTGGTGAAAGAGCTCCGAACTCCCGAGAACTGGATCAAGCTCGGCCTGCGGATAAAGGACGGCGAAGAGCCGTTCAAACACGTCAAAGCCAACGCAGTAACCATCAACCGACGCCGCCAGATCGAGCTCGAGAAGTTGGACGAGCCAAGGGGACGGGAGGAGCGCGGCTTTGCGGGTGACTCCTCTATGACGGCGCTCTACGGCGAATGGCAGACGGCGGAGTATGTTGCCCCGCCGCTCGTGGACGGAGTCATTCCCAAGAACTCGTTTGGGAATATCGAGGTGTTTCACCCGCGGATGATTCCGCCGGGTTGTGTTCATTTACCTTGTAGGCAATGGTTCCGATTGGACTGTGTCACGGGCCCCCCTCGCTAACCTACTTCTCCGCAGTGCCCGGCGTAAATGTCCTTGCCAGGAAGCTCGGCATTGAACATGCCGTCGCAGTGGTGAGTTCTTAGTGGAGTCTGGCCTTACTCAATCATTCGTATCACATGGACATCTCATCAAACTCTTTTCCATCTGCTCGTCATCACAGACAGGGTTTGAGTTCCATCGCGGCAAATCAACACCAGTCAAAAACGGCGTAGTCGTAGATGCAGAATTTGAAGACGTGCTTACAGCGGCTTACGAAGAGAACCAACAGCGTCTTCGCGAACAGGAACTAAAGAAACGCGAGAAGAGGGTATATGGGCATTGGAGGAAGTTGATTATCAGTCTGTTGAGCAAGGACAGGCTGTTCAAGGAATACATGAAGGATGGAGAGGAGGAAGTGGAGGGTGTTGAGGAAGAGGAGGAAAAGATGGATATTGATGGCGGTGAGAGTGAAGCGGATGTTGAATTCGAGGATAACGACGGAATGGAAATGGATGGTTATGAGAACTCGGCTCGACCAGGGAGCGGAGATGGAGGAGGTTTCATGAATGCAGATGAGGATGATGATAATGTCGGCCACAACTTCGGTGGAGGCGGGTTCTTCAATGAGGATGAAGATTACGATGCCGCTCCCAGTATGGGCGGCGGAGGCTTCATCCCCGATGACGAAGGAGGAAACACGGCAGTTGGCGCCAATCAGTCAGATTTCATTGCCGGAGGATTTTTGGCAGATGATCAAGACTGAGAGCGGAAACCACACGCATTGCATAGCTTCTCCACTGCCGAGTGATCTTTTGTACATTCCTTCTGTTGCTTTACGTATTTCAGAGGCAAATCAATATCTGTAGGTAGACCAAATTGATTAGGCTATCTTGAAGTGCGGATGTCGGATGACGGAAGGCGAACTGGGCCCACTGATTCAAATGGGTATACGCACGGGTAGCATCGCAATAAGGCGGGTCGCGGGTGTACTTGCAGTTGCAAATAGAGAATAATGTCTGATCGGTCGGAACTTTCCATCGTTTGGGTTTGAAGCCCGTTCCTTTATGGCTGACATCTTCAGTCATCAATTGGGGGAAGGGGAACAAGTGATTAGTCGTCACTTCCGATGAACTGCCGCTTCACGGAATGGCATTCCCATACCATCGCACCACGGTTGTGTTGTGCTTAATCTGTGGATATAAGTGAACTACTTGTTCAGCACGGTGATGTCCCAAATCGTTCAAATCCAGGTTAGATGAACCCAAACATATACCCGCAAGTGCACCAGGATTTGACCTCTCCTCCTTTGAGATCTCGCAGATTGCATGGGCCATACTGTAAAAAATGAAAGGTGTCAAAGGACCTGAATAGAAGGCAACTGCGGTGACACCCCCTATCCAACCACAATATGCTAATGTGCTGTTCCACTTACCATAGGAATACATGGCTTCAGGCACGGTTTGCTACCGAGATCCTCTATAGGGACTGTTTCGGCACTCATGAGCACTCTGCGCTGTCCAAGGATGCGACCGTTCACCGTTCCAAGTGGAATTCATCTGGTGGTCGTTACCAAGGAGCGATGCTGCGATGGGCGACGCGGAGCCTGACGCCGTCCGTGACCACTTCGCGACGTCAACTGTCCTTCGAGGCGGTTGACTGCGCAAACGCCTTGTCGTCGTCAAACTCAAATGCCCTTTTTGGACTCATGGGGAAGGGGATTATCGACTTTGGCAAGGACTTTGAAGCCGGAGCGAGCAACAAGTTTTCTTCCGTCACGCTTCACAAGCGCAGGGCACCGGTGGAACGGATCTGGTCCCGTTTCCGCGATGAGTCGATGCACTTTTCTCGTACATAGGAATGTTAGCTTAGTTCTTCCTGCATGTAGCAAATGTACGTAGTGACTGAGACGTTGATGAACGTGTATATGTTGATTTAACAGTGGACCTCTATCTAAGCGACGTCTCATCATACGCCGGACATCTCTTCGACGATCTTACACCCAATCCTTCGGATTCTTCAAGACCTCTAACAGCTTCGCCTCGGGGGTTCCAGGCTCCGGCGTGTGTCCATACTCCCACCTCGCCTTCAACGGCAACGACATCAACACGCTCTCTATCCTCACGCCCGGCGTCGCCAACCCGAACTTCGTCCCCCTATCATGCACAAGGTTGAACTCGACATATCGGCCCCTCCGCATCTGCTGCCACCGCTTGTTCTCCTCCGTGTAAGGCAAGTCCTTCCTCTTCTCCAAGATAGGCATGTACTGCTCCACGAAACTGTGGCCACAGTCATGCACGAATTCAAAGATCTCGTTCGGGTCCTTGTTCTCGAGGTCGTCGAAGAAGATCCCGCCGATCCCGCGCCGTTCGCCCCGGTGTTTGACGTCAAAGTACTCGTCGCACCATTTCTTGAATTTGGGGTAATAGCCCGCGTCGTGTTTGTCGCAGGCCTGCTTGATCACTTTATGGAAGTGGACTGCATCTTCTTCGAATAGGTACGAGGGCGTCAAGTCGCAGCCGCCGCCAAACCACCAAGCGACGGGCTTGGTGTGGTCGCCTCCCTCCTCCACAAGCTCAAAGTAGCGGTAGTTGGCGTGGACGGTAGGGGCCATAGGGTTGTGCGGGTGCAACACCAGCGAAATCCCGGCCACAAACATGTTGTACGGTCCTTTATCGATCCCCTCTCGCTTCCTCGCCCTCATGTGCGCCAGCATCTGTTCCGGCGCCTTTGAGGCGATAATGGAGATGTTGACTCCGGCCTTTTCAAAGACTTTGCCGTCCTGCATGATGCAGGAGATCCCGACACCGCCTTCTTTGCGGACCCAAGAGTCGCGGAAGAAACGACCGCCGTCGGGGCCTTCGGCTTCTTCGACCGCTGCTGTGATTTCGGATTGGAGGTTCTGCACGAAGTCGGCCATCTTTCGGCTGATCTCGGTTTGTGTCAAGTCCTGTGGATTGGTTTGAGCCCGTTAGGCTGCATTTGACTGGTTAGCGATAGGAAAGCATAGTTCAATTTTCATACCTCAGTCGACTTGACAGCAGCATTCAAGTTTTCTTCCGACTCGGTACGGATGGCGGGCTCACAGAGCAGCTCACTCGAAGGACGCTACGGAAGACGCGGTGAATCAGGAATGAGCTTGGAGATGCTTTCAGAATACAGAACACACAGGAACTCACGTTCTGCAGGTAGAGCCATCCTGCCGCTGCTGCACCAAAGAGTCCAACCAACGCAGATGTTCCTTTTGCATTCCGACCGAACTGCTGGACGGATGGGGATGTCGAGAACTGCCGGGCACAGCCCACCGGTTGCCGCCTCGCACATGGACTCCTCGTTATAAGGACACTTGGCGCAGATTTCTGTGGGCGGAAGGATGCAGCCGTCCTGGCGTGCCGCAAGGCACTCTGCAACGCTTTCATTGCGACACTGATGAAACAGACGCCCTGAAAGGTCAGTTTAGTGGAGGACTCGACCGCCGACAGCCGACCGTCATTCAAGTCGCGCTTCCAACAGCTCGCGAGTGAGTCACCGCACGGGAGTCAGAGTGAGTCAGCGCGAGTGATTGTGATGAGTCACGCAGGGCCCACAATCTCCGCCAGAATCGCCCCCTTTCGCACATGCCTCGTCTCCCATAAAACACTCCCACTCCCAGGTTTTTTGGCACAATCGCTCCAGTTCTCCACTTGCTGCAACGGCAGTAATTATCACCGTCGCTCGTCTCTCCGCAACTCCTGCCATCCAAACGCATTTGCCGGTGCATCGCTTCTTTGGGTAGGTGGCATTCCACGCACCCTGGTATATAAGTCTAGGGATACCGAACTTACCATATTAGCGTCAGTGCCCTCAGAATCAGAACACCTGCTATCCGCAAACCGGAAAACGTCGTTTGAACAATGTGTGGAATCTTTGCAGTCCTCGGCTGCGGCGAGGATATGGAGCAATTTCGACCCCGCGCCGTCCACTTGTCAAAAAAGTGAGTGGCACCTTGCATATTGCACGACTGAGCGGCTGTCTCCAAGTTTGCGGTTACTCACTCGGTGCTCCATCATCGATTACCGTTTTCCTCCCTAGAGTCCGCCACCGGGGCCCCGATTGGTCTGGGTTGAAGATCTGCGATAACAACATCATTTGCCATGAACGTCTTGCTATCGTCGGAGTTGGTACGTGCCAGAATGGAGTGCTAGAGCAGACACACGAATGCATCGCGGAGTCTGCCTAGGATATCTGTCAATCGGTCAAACGACATACTCATCAACCGGGGCATCTCGCCATTTTGGTTTGCAGAAAGCGGAGCTCAGCCGTTGACCAACGAAGATGAAAGCTTGATCTTGGCTGTCAATGGAGAGATTTACAACCACATGACGCTGAGAAAGCTACTGAAAAGGAAGCATAACTTCAAGACCAACTCCGATTGCGAGGTTATCTTGTACTTGGTAGGTGTTTAGTGTTCTCTATGAGTATCCAGCTTTCACACTTACGCCGCATCGGACCATTATAGTATGAGGAAGTCGGAGATGAGCTTGTCAACTACCTAGATGGCATGTACAGCTTCGTTCTGTACGACAAGAAGAAGAAGCGGTACCTTGCAGCTCGCGACCATGTTGGAATCACTACATTGTACCAGGGCTGGAGGCACTCTGATGACTCCGTCTGGTTTGCTTCCGAAATGAAATGCCTGAGCGAAGACTGCGACCGGATCATAGCTTTCCCCCCCGGTCACTACTACACTAGTGACAACAAAGAGACCATCAAGTACTACAAACCGCAGTGGGCCGAGGACGCTGCCGCCGGACGACCTCCTCTGGAAGACGAGGAGCAAGAGCAAACCCCCGAGGAGGAAGCCAGGATGTATAGGTCGTTGCGGCTTGCATTGGAAAAGTCTGTCAAGAAGAGGCTTATGAGTGAAGTGCCGTATGGCGTACTGCTCAGCGGAGGGTTGGACTCGAGTCTGATCGCATCGATTGCCGTCCGAATGAGACGAGCTGCAGAAGATGGCAGTAGTGCGGAGGATGGCGATGCTGAAGATGACGATGACATTCGATGTATGTGAAGCTGATACTGTGATACTTTTCACGACGTCTCGACGTCTTGTCCTAACTCTTCGTCATTCAGCTGCCATATCATCGTCCGCAGCCTTCCCACGACTCCATTCGTTCTCGATCGGCCTTCCCGGTTCCCCTGACCTCGCCGCTGCTCAACGCGTTGCAACTTTTCTGGGCACAATTCACCACGGCTTTACGTTCACAGTCGAGGAAGGGCTGGATGCCATCGGAGAAGTTATCGAGCATCTTGAGACTTATGATGTGACTACAGTAAGGGCAAGCACTCCGATGTACCTGCTATCAAGGAAGATCAAGGCCATGGGAGTCAAAATGGTTCTGTCTGGGGAGGGCTCCGATGAGATCTTCGGAGGTATTTGGCCTTGAAAGAAGATTGGGTTGCCGTATTCACTTGCAGGGTTACTTATTACCCATCTGTTTGATGTTCCTAGGCTACTTGTACTTCCACTCGGCGCCGAACGCCCAGGCCCTCCATCACGAGTGTATCTCCCGCATCCAGCAGCTGCATACAGCAGACAACCTTCGTGCCAACAAATCCACAATGGCCTGGGGTCTCGAAGCCCGCGTGCCGTTCCTCGACAAGCATTTCCTGGACACGGCAATGTCTTTGTCAATCACCCCCGCCAACCGGAAACTCACCTCCCGCGCTCCATACCACCACAAAACCGAGAAATACGTTATCCGAAAGGCTTTCGACACGCCTGCTGACCCTTACCTCCCTGACGACATATTGTGGAGGCAGAAGGAGCAATTCTCTGACGGCGTAGGGTACTCCTGGATTGATTCCCTGAAATCGCATTCGGAACAGAAGATCTCAGACCAGGTGTTTGCGAAGCGAGCGGAGAGATTCCCGCATGATACACCGAACACGAAAGAGGCGTACTGGTTCAGAGAGGTGTTTGAGCAGAGGTTCCCGCAGAAGGCGTGTTTGGAGAGCGTTGTGAGGTGGATTCCTAGGAGAGACTGGGGTAAGCTTTCTCGTAATGACCAGTCAGTCTCTATCACCAGGCTTCGTTATCCTCATCTTCCCCATTTTTGTTCGTAGGCTGTCCCGAGGATCCCTCAGGCCGTGCGCAGAAAGGACACAACGCGGCGTACAACAAGGAGTAAACTGCCTTTTCGTTCGTCAGATACTGCCGCCATCACCAGTCTGTTTCTTGTACATTTATTTTGTGGCGTACACCCATAAGCTAGGATTTGAACCCAGACGTAGTATGAACGAATTTTTTCATACCGTTAGTATGAGATTGCATATTTTCTTCGACTTCCTTTCGATGAGCAACACAATCAATATCGCACCATCCATGTACATATACATGCAATCGTTATGTGCTTGGGGCACAGAAACAAGGACCTTACACAACATCATCTAGGTACAAGCATCCCTACATAAGACTTTCCAGTCTGAGCTGAAAGACGTAGGAGGAGCGTTTGGCGCAATTGGTTGGCGTGTGCGAAATCGGTTACGGGGTGAAGAAATTGGCTCTTCCAGGCCAACTGAACCTCCGCGGTCACTTCGGCGCTAAGCTCCACTGCGCTCTTTGTCTATCTTCTCAAGCATATTGATCCTCTGCATACAAGTTGCGATTTATGAGCAATGACGCTAGGTCGCGGCCATTCATTGAGCAAAGCCAAAACAGTCAGTGCATACCAGCGCAATCTCGCTCTGTATCTGCCGCTTGTGCGGCTGGGCTTTTCCCATCGCCGTCATGTCGTCCAACCATTTCTTCCTGTCCGAAATTTCGTTCATCACTGAAGATCCAGATATACGTCAGCCGTGGTCCAGCCCCATAAATGCGACTCAGCGCAACCTACACATATCGAACTCATCAATCTCCTCTTCCCTCTTCGGCGCCGCCGCCCGCCGCCCCTTCCTGCGACGTCCAGGCACTTCGTCGTCAGACCACAGCTCGCCTTCCGCGGCGGGGGAGACGTCAACCGCAGGTGCGCCGTGGGTTGCCATGAGACGCTGCAGGCGGTGTTTCTCGACGGAGTAATTTTCTGCACTCACAATTAACATCAGGCATGTGGTCCGTTTGAACCCCAAGGCATGGTTTGTCATCTACGCACTCTGAACACTCGGCCGCCACATATCAATCTCAAACGCATCGCTGGCCGCAATCGTCCCCAACGTTCTGATCTGCGGTCTTCTGCCCCGAACAGGCACCGGCGCTCGCTTGCTGGGTGCCGGGGGTGTGTATCCGATGTGGAGGTCGAGGCAGGATGGATCTGTGGGGCGGAGGGACATGCCGGCTTGCGGGGTGGCGGGGAGTGGGGTTCGGGCTGCGTGGCGGATGTAGACAAGTAGTGAGTGATTCGGACCGGCTGAGCACGAGGATAATTAAACAAAATATCGGAAACCACCTACAATCTAGAAGACTATCGAGGTGCCGCTGTTGAGACGCAGATAGTTTGGAAGCATGCATCATTGCTGAAAGCAAGACGAAACGGTTAATCGTAGATCAGTTGCCAAAACACACATCACCCTGGTGCCTGTTGACCCTCAATACCACCTACATTTAAGAACCCTCCTCGTCCCATAGCTAAGCTCCTTCTCTCTCGCACCCAACGCAATTGTGGTCGCCCCGCCTCCATTGCGCTCATGGCTGCCGTTCCGCCAAGGTGGATTTGCTAGATTGGCAGATGGATATGAGCGGAGATTGGGAATGCTGCTGGACTCGAATGAGGTGAGGCGGTCTGATGTGACCTTGGAATGAGAGCTCATGGTTTCCATGGTGGTTCTCTTTAGTGGCTTTTTCCATGGAAGGAGTCTCCGTCCCTAGCATCAAAAACGACAGGGCGGAGTACGCGACACCCGTCATTTCCTCACGCGCTTTGTGTTTGCACCAAAGCACCAAAAACAAAAATAAAAGGATCCTACGTACTTGAAGCACAGAGTAAAGGAAAAAGATTACACAAAGGGGACGCCATACTACTAGTCTAACTTGGAGAAGAAGAGAAAAGTGCAGAGAGTATCACCGAACACGCGTCGTCCCGACTGTCCTTCCCATAAACCAACCCGCAAGCCTACTTAGAATCACATCCTTTCGGAACTCCGAAGTCTTCCCGTCCGCCTGAAACCGCAGCGACTCCGAGACCTCGTTTAGCGAAGCCTTTCCAGATCGCGCAGAGGTTCTCACCCTTGTTGTTAACCTCGTCGGCCTGGAGGATGGCGTCGCGAGCGTCGACGAAAGTAGGGTTGCAAGGCTGCAACTTCATGCCATCGACGACCAGCTGAAGGGCGATGATGTTGCCGGCCTTTTTGGGCGTTTTGTTGGCACTACTGGTGCGAGGGCGCGGCAACATTTGACCGGTCTTGAAGTCCCTGTATTGAGAAGGGATGGCAGCGTCTTTAACCTTCAGGCCAGTGTTGAACCAGTCAGGGTCAAAACCGTGCTCGTCGACGAGGTTCCAATACACCTCTGAAAACGATCAATGATGTGTAGTCAGCGGTGGGATCAACAAGGAGCTCCTAAGAACATGCAGACTCACCGTAGAGGATCTCAGCCCAGACTTCTCCTTTTGCGTGCACGCCCCAGTATCCAGGCTTGTCGATATAGGCGTAAGTGGATGGGTTCGTAGTCATGTTCGTGGAGTACTGGAAAGATAGAGCTATGAGGTGGTTGCATCCCTTAATGATCCAACGAAACTTGTGATCCGTACCAGGTATCTACGGATTCCGTGGCCGCCGTTGGCGTACTCTCCCATGCCGAAGTCATCCTGACGCGTCGAGGTGGACGTCGTGCGAGTGACCGTGGCGAAGAAGTCGCCCCATCCCTCACCCATACCGCCACTCTCGCCCCAACCAAGACAGCCAACGTTCTCGGGTCCACCGGTCAGCCTCGTAGAGAGCCCGTGGCAGTATTCGTGCATCTGAAAAGCATCGAAGTGTCAGAGTCGGTAGCAGGCTGCCTTGATCAACTAGAAGCCTTTCTGTACGTACCACAATGCCACCCTCGAGATCTCCATCGCGGAAAGGGTCTGTCACGTCCCACACATACATGCGCATGCGAGGCTGCTGGCCATCACGGGGGGTTGCGAAGTTTGCTGGCAATGTATGATGTTAGCTTTGTCGGCCGTGTGAAATACGAGCACATGAAGCACACACCATTGTTGTAACCCGAGCCATCTTGAGCATTGGCAATCACAGCATCATTGCCTTTCCCTCCACGCTCGACATTGTCGTGCTGGAAATTGCCTGCCTTTTCGTCGAACCCGTACATATCTAGAAATCAGTCATGTCAGAAAGAGGTGTGCTGAAACAAAACCCTCAGACACTTCGTTTCTTACAAAGCAGGTCGTGGATGGCGTTGTTCCAGTAGAATAGGTTGGTGATGGCAGCATCGACATAGGTTGAAGGAGATTTCTCGAAGTTGATAGGGAAGTCAAACGTCAAGGATGATGTGCCGTCCGGACGGTGGTTGTCGACCCATCTCGAACTTCCCGCTGTTCGAGTAGATGTTTAGAGACCGGAAACCAGACTTCACCGTTGCGGCCGAAACTCACCCAAGTTCTCATGCGCGTACACATTGTTTCCGATGGTAACTGTGTGTTTGCCGCCGGATCCTTGGTTGTGCCAGCCTGCAATGATGCGAATTAGGTACAAGCTTCCAACTTTGCAACGGAAGTTGACTTACCCATAGGGGACGCCACAGGGTGGGCGGGATCCTTGACAAGCACTCTGTCTCCAGAATGGGGATCGTTGGTGCCGAGAGGGAAGATGTTGTATGAGGCATCCGACACCCAATCGATCAATTGAACAACTTCGCCTTGAACGGTGTCGACGAAAGCGTTGTACCAGTTATCCTGCATCTCAATCTCGAGATCCCATACCAGTTTCAGGTGCTGGCCGTCGCTTTCTTGGATCCATTTAAGCCTCGCGGGTATATCGCGTTCTGCGAATGAGGCACCCGAAATCACAAAGGACGGAACTTGACCAGATCCAGGGGCGAACTGATCAATGGGAGCTTCTTGGAGGAGGGCGTCGTCAAACTCAATATTCAAAAGCTTGGTGACCGCTTGTACGGCCTCCAAAGGTCCAAGCTGAAGATGTTCGGCTACTGATGGAGGATTATACGATAGGACGATTTGACCGGAAGTGTCTGCCGTATAGAGCTGACCCGTCGCGTCTTGTGACAAAAGCTTTACCGTGTTCTTGTAGAAGGAGTCGCCAAACGAGATAACTTGTCCTGATCTGTCAAGGTTGACATTCCCAACGCCGTTGACGATCTCAAGCCCATCTGCATATTGCTGCAAGTATACGTGTGTCACGCCGTTGTGGTCACTTGTATGTTCGCTGGAGATCCTGATATCCGCGAGCGGTACGCCTGTTTCGTCGGACGCGTATTTCACGGCGGCTTCGAGGCGGCTGCCTTCCACAGGAGTAGCGGTGAGCGGCGTCACGAAAGGCTGCTCTGGGGAGACCCCATGTTTGAACTTCTGGTGCCTGACGCTGGGACCGAAATTGCCGTGGGTGCGACCCGAATTGCCGTGAGAGTGCCCTCGAGCATGAAGTCCTTCGTCGACGCGGTCCGCGCGGGACGAAGACAAGACTGCGCACACCGTCGAGGTGGACGTCAGCAAGCCCAGAGCAAACGCGAGCACTGAGCGTTGGCAGAAAAGCATCTATGGGAATGCGTTGCAAACTTATAAATGGCAATGAGGATACTTGGACAAGATGCAGCTCAGTACGAACCTTTGCAGACTTCGGCTATCGTCTACCTTGCAGAAATCGGTGTTTACGGGTGGCGCAAGCGAAGAGTGCTGGTTAAGTCGCACGACACCTTCTGACTCGAACCACTACTAAGAATAGTCTATTTTACGTCTAACTTGGAGCTCCTTTCGCGACAGAGTCGTCCGAAAGCGGGGACGAGACGTGCTTCCGCGAGAACCGGTTGCTGCTTAAGGTTGGTGGTCGCCGTGGGAAAAGTTGAATTGCAATCTTCGGACCGTGGGAATTGGCGACGGAGCTATACCACTCTCGAAGTTGTTGGTTCACAGGCTCTATAGATCTTGTTTGAGACCTCTCAAGCTGAAAAAACTTTACGAATATCAGAAGTCGTTCGACGAAGAAGGTAAGTCCAACGCTTGAGTAAACGGAGAAAGTGTAGATTGCAATGTCTGGTGATGAGTAAGCCTTCCACCGTTGCAGTCAGTGGCGATATATGGTAAGTCCGTTCTATATGCTACATGCAGAACTCTCTCTAGATCTATATCACTTGTCTCTACTAACAGTACCAGATCTAACGTCGGTGCGATAAAGCCAAGGGGCCACACAAATCGCCTGAAATGCATGCGAAACTGAGCCCTGAGCACGTTACAGAGCCCTGAGCACGTTACAAATTATGGACAAAGACGCAATAACGGGCGGCAGTCATAAACGGCATACTAATAGCAACGGCGAATAACGGTGGGGCGGTTATCTCTGGAGTTTCGATCTTGTGTTGGGGAATCTCTGATTCATCCTCAAACTATTCCCCCCGTCACACGCGTCCAGCATCATGTCACGCGTATCGGGGGCCCCTCCCCCATTGCTTGCGACTCGGCTTGCGACTTGCGCAATTTCATCCCACTGCCCCTGGACGATAAAAGTCGACTGCTCCATAAATACATTACACACTGTACCAGTAATACGTGTACATTTTATGCGAAGACGATGTGCACGGTATATTTCAAAGACGATACGACTTCAACGACTTCTCCAACTATGTGCCAGATTTACGGTCGAGTTGACTGAGGCTAGACTACATATACTACATAGTACGAAGCGACGACCGAGAATGATGTATTGCCAAGGACCGATCTCATTTGACAAACTTCAGATCTTCGCGCTTGGCCCCCAGCGGCTTGGACTTGATGCTATGATCGTGCGCAATAGCTTGCGTAGCCTCCCCTTTCTGTTCGGGAGAGCGTATATGAATCTGTTCGCCCTCGCGATGCAGCATCTTGCTGTCGGACTCCTTCGGTTTGTGTATGACTTCGCCGGTGACGGGTGAGATTTCCTTCTTGGCTTTGGCTCCGCTGCGAAGTGACATGGTTGTTTGATACGGGTTTTGCGGTTGTAGGGCTTCGTTGATGGTTGGGTTGTATGTAGGTGTTCGTTTTGTTAGTTTTGAGCGCACGAGGGGTTGGTGGCATCGTGCGTCCCCTATGTATACGGTATATATACCGTTTTGACATCACCACCTTTTCGTGTGGAGGTTTTGCAAGAAAACGGTTTTCCTCCGGGCCTCGACGGGGGCATCAATTGACGCCACTACATGTCATGCTGGTCTGCACCGCGTCAACCTTGAACTAGCCTTTTAAAAGAATCGTATAATCTCTCATGCTTTTTTGCAATTAGTTTCTCGAGCACCTCGAGCGTATACTTGCGGCTTTGCTCGCGGTTATTGTACCTGGAGAAAGAAGAAAGACAGAGTATCACGAGTCGGATCGGAGTATATGTGAGGTTAGGACTGAAGAGTGCCAGTGCATGAAGATACGTACGCTTTGACATGCCATAGCAACTCGGTGAACTTGTGACCGGGACAGGAAACAAAGGTGATGAGGAAATCATACACGCCTGCAGTCAACGAGGACAATGCCCATCTCACCTCATCATAACTGAGCTCATGCCTCGCCCGTTTGAAGAAGTCCCGCCCATCCGCAGAATTGGGCACAACATTGCCCAGCGCGCTCGCGACTCCAGAATGGCCAGATACGGTTGTCGTCGCCGATGTTGAGAAAGGCGAGTCCGGTCGCGGAATGATCTCGATGTTGCCGAATGCCACGCTTGCGGACGACGTCGCCGCAGGGTTCGCGGTTCGATCAGCTATGACGGTGCTTTTGCGAGGCGGGGTGGTGAGCACTCTTTTGGTTCTGCTTTTGTCATTGGGGAGGTGATCCCCGTCTGATGCGTCTGGGTTTGAATCGCGCTGATGATGTGAGGAGGTCTGGGGACGCCTTTTCGAAGATGTATGGTCGTCTGACCTAAACATAAGCGAACTTCAATGCCAGGCGTACTGTTAGGGAAGAGATGACAGGATGGATGCGTACCCGTCTAGACCGTCTGACAAGGACGATCGCCGAGCGAAGAGCTGTGTTGTGTTGACTAGAGGATAGATATTAAGGCCAGGAATGTTTGGGGAAGATGTCAAATGCGCCATACATAATGCTTCAGGGTGCGAGACGTGATCCGCCAGCGTCACATCCTTCGAAAAAAGCATATTAGCATCCATAAAGTTCGGCGGGAATCATGGCTAGCATTCATTTCACCTCGTCGTGCAGACTTTCATTGTCGTTCTCCGCCTGCAAATTCGTATCACGGGGAGTCCCGACATTCCCACGGTGATTGACTTGCTCATCCCGCTTTCGCGGTCTCAACGCAGACGCAGCGGCCACATGATAAGCAGGCTGTGTCTTTTCGGCAGCTAATGTCACGTCTTCCGCGTCTTCTGCAGCGAGCGACGCCATGACGCTTTGCTTGAAGTTGGCTAGTTTGTTAACCGACCTCGACATCTCGGCCATCCGGTGCCTTGCTTGCTCGTTCTCAGCTTGTAAGGCATCCACGCGCGCCCAAAGCTCCTGGGAAAAGTATCACATTGGCCGAGCCCCGATGCTTTGTCTAATGGAGAACCCGTTTGTGGGAGTGAAAATTGGGAACGATAAAACTAACCTTGATCTCGGCATCTTTTCGTCTCAGCTCAGATGACAATTGACTGATCTTATCGTCTTTTGATGAACACTGCTCTTCGAGGTTCGTCAGTGCATGAGTTTTTGGACGCACGGTGCTGGCAACGTCGCCAGAGACGAAGAGTTGCGACGGGAAACAAACGAACCTTGCGACGATAGGTGTCCCGCAAGAGGGTGATGGCGGCCTCGAAATCGACGTCTGCTGGGGATGACATTCCGTCGTTTGCGCCCAAATGGTCTGCGACAGTTTCAAGATGCTTTCAGTTTTCCAGGTGTCACTTTTCTAGGAATTGACAGCTCAGCTGTCGAAAAATAACAGGGCAACTGCACAAGCAGCTCCGAAAATAGCGGGGCTACAGGCGCACACCCATGTCATGCTCGGGTTACTAGGTACGAACCCCCAGCATTGGGTCTAGATGCTGCGGTGAAGCAGACCGAGACACGCCTCATGCCGGACGATTACTGTACGTCTGACCATTCTTCATTCGCTAGCGCTCTACTGCTACTAATGAATCAGGCGAACCAGCCATGCTCTGCCGGCTTGCGAGAAAGCAGGAGCACACCCTCCCTCCCTCACACCCGTCCCTCCCACATCTGCATGTTCCATTCCAGTACCCTATGTACTGTATAGATTCGCCGTCGGAAAGGGAAGAATTGTTGTGGGTGGTGGTGTCGCGTGTGTCGCCTGCGTCGCACTGTGGCTTTCAAATTTGTTTGATCTCGCCGGATTGCAACTGCGTTCCCAAACGCAGGTTCAAGCAGCAGCGTTTCTTTCCCACCCACGCCCTATCTCCAAAAAGATAGTGGTAACGAGTGACCAGTTAGAGTTCCTAGAAAAGTACAGATATCTACAGTAATACTGCAGAGAAACTCCGGTTGCAACGATCTATTCCCCGCTGCTTCTCAGCAATTTGCAAGAAATCGGAGTCATCACACCTACGAAAGGACGAGCGGGGAGGAGTTCACTCGCTCGATATCGATCAGGCTTGGGACGAGTTCTTTCCATAAGTGACTAGCTCGTCGAGTTGGTATTCGTCAGAATGTCGGCAACACAGAATACGCGGGTTATCATCACCATAGTAAACCGCATCGCCGAAAAGGTGAGGGTAGAGACTGCTGGAGAGTGTGTGCAACACTAGAGCACCTAGTCCCGCTGACTAAACCGTTTATGCTGCTGAGTAGCTTCCTGTCAACTCGGGCAGAAGTTTGACGTCACTAGAAGCAGACCCATTCTTCAACCAGCACGTCAACGCCCTCACTGATCTCGCGCAATGGAGGTTGAAAGACGTTGTCAGAGCGCTCGCCAACGCTTTGGATGGGATATCTAGGGTAAGGCTGCAGCGCTCTGAGTATCCGCGTTTCTCATCGCTTCTCACCGCTCATCGCTCTCGGTTCCGACTCTTGACAGGCCCCAGGTGCAACAGGGAACGATGAGGGGGCTTTATCCATGGACGTACTCCAATCTCAACTTTTTGTGCTGTTGTTACTGGGAGAATGCACGTCGTTGGCCTGGAAAGCCCATCGAGAAGCATTGTCGGGGTTTGGCAGGCCTGAGCAGAACGAATCTATGACGGGGAGCAGAGGTGCCCCTCCATCTAGACCGAATAGGTCTTTGACCATGCCTACGAGTCCCGCTCCAATGAGATCACAAAATGCTAGCTCGAGGATGGACGCGACGATGGCTGGAGACATTGCCATGGGGACCGATTCATTGCGGAACTCTTCTACCTACCTCGCTGGGAAGCACGGTCGGCCTATGGCAGCCGCTGCTTCATATCAACAAAATCTGTCTCTTCACAACTCTGCTGCCGATTACTCGGTTCAAAGCGCGGGCGCTTCTGGAACTTCAAGGTCCGCCCTTCCGGATCCTCCACCTTTCGATGAGCAGCTGGCCCGGTTTCTGCTCGCAGTCATAACAAGATTCTTTTACACTTCTGCGGCATCTCTGAACATTGACGCGGTTAAGCACGAATACGGGTCCTTCTTTGCCGATCACTCAGATGCCGGAACGGCGGGTAGCAACACTGTATTGTCGGCATTCACCAAGCCATCGGGTCCACCAGGAGCATCTCTATTCCCTCCAGGCAACTCGACTTTCACGACATCTGATGTACTCACGGAAGTTCGCAAAGCCGCTGGGCGCGTGCTTGCTTATCTTTCCGCGTCAAACTGGAGCCTAGTATTCGGCAAGATCAAGGCACTGATAGGTCACATGTCTCAGTCAGGGGCTTCCGGCACCAGTGGGGGGCCAAACTCAAACGATTCCGACCGGGACTCTGGTGACTTGACGGAGCTGCGATTTTTGGAGTGGTGTACACTGAACCGCACACGCTTAGGGATGGTCTTGACTGGTATGCGGCGCATTTCACTAGTTTTGGGCTACTCTGGACGGAATGATGTTGAATCCATAACTTCGTATTGAACGACCATAGAGCTGACGCGGCATTGCAAATTATTCGGGAAGAGAGCACAGATTGCGAGTGCAATATACCTGAGGAGGGCCATATGGAACTGGATAGAGGTTTATCCACCAGAATTCCAACTTTTATGCCAAGGCCAAGGTCGCTTAGAAGGTACAATCCAACGATATTGTTCGGGCTCATGGATCCATATCTCACCTTCCTATGCAGGATACCCGGAACAGCTCTTCGAGACGTTCAGCCTTGTGGCTGAGAACAGTCGCAGGAAAACTCTCTTTTGGCCAGTGCAGACTATGCTCCTCGTTGTGTGTCCCGAGATTCTGTATAGCATCGGCATAGTGGGAAACAGTGGAGACAGACAGCGTCTTCTCGCATCGCCAGGCGGGGTTACAACGGCTGTTGCCAAGAAAGCGATGTTCGTGGAAACTTTGAGGAAGAATGCTCGTGGCAGTAAAATCAGCGAGATATCCATTTTCTGCTGTGCGGAAGTGGTCCGTGCATCTACGTTCGTCAGCAAAGCGGAAGGCGGACCGTTACGGCTGCTAGGCGCCGGTATCGAAATCGAGCTGAAGGTGAGCTGCCCTACCTGGCCTGATCTTGCACAATTACCATTACCGTCTGTCGTGAAATGTACTGATGGGACTTCTGCTGTTTGTAGGAACGACTGTTCGACGGCCAGCGCTTATTACCGCTAGCAAATGGGATCTCTTCATCGGAGGAGTCTGGAACATTGGATTACAGGCTATTCGCGGATTGCATCACTACGCTGTACAAGTCGAACCCCTGGAACACTCTGCGGTCCATCATTCCCGGCGTTGTTGACGCCTCTTCCACTCTGTACAAAGTCGCGCTGGTAAAAGGGTTTCACAATCTCCTGACCGAGATGGATACCTTCTCGTGGACTCCTGCAGTGGATGCTAGTGTAGCCGGCCACTTTAGAGCCCTGTTCGCGGAGGCTGTAACTAGTACACGGCTTACGTCCGAGGCGAAAGGGCGTAGAGGGGCAGGATTCAGGTCACACAACATCGACAGGAAGATGAAGAGGGCCGCTCAAGAAGAGGCGAATGACCGCCATCAAATCCTCACTCACATTCTATCGATGTGGAGCATTTGTCCATTGCTAGCTGTGGCGAAGGGATCGACGACCGTTCATCCTGACGACTTACGCCCACTCTTCACCTCGTTAGCGACGTGCTTGCTGGATCCCAATCCCATTGTTCGGCACCTGGCCAGCCAGATTCTACCGAAGCTGATGTCCCAAGAAGTTGCCTGCTATTGGGATGGTTCATTGAACGACTGGAGGATCCCGTTTTTGGAGAACAACCTTTCCATATCCGAAACATCAATGAAGGCGTTCTGGAAAGGATCCAGCTGGATATTGCTCGGTGCCACCCGAGCGGTGCTGGATGAGGGGGATCTGAAAAAGGCTCTGGACTTAATGGCTGAGCTTTGTCGGTTACAAAATGAGGTTCTTCTTACACGAGGCTCCCTGGCCCACATTGGCGCTGCCGCCCCTGAACGATTCGCGGCATATGTTGCGTCCGAGGTGTCCATCATCGTGTCGATATCGGGAAGCTGGGGCGATGGCTCGATCTGCAAATCCGTCGCAAGATGGCTGGAAGAACTCCTGGCCGCCGGTAATTACGGTCGTCCAGCTGATGGGGATTTCAAAGTGATCGCACCCCTGTTGGAGAACGCACCAGTGTATGCGGAACTCGCGCGTATTCTCGCCAACGTGGGGAGCGGTGGCGGCGGGCTCAAATTGGTACAAAAACGTGTGCGGGCTGTACTTAGGACGCTGGTGACCCCCACACCGGGGAACATGGGGGCATGGGAAGAACTGTATCGATCTTGGAAGTCAAATGATATCGTACCGCCTGGAAGAAAGCGCAGCGGTAGCGTAGGGAATATGGAAGGTGATTCCAGTTTCAGCGGGGATTACTACGCATCCTCGCCCGCGATCAATGTGGATGAGGAATCGGGCGACAGGCGTGCCAAACTGAGGCGGCCGGCTAGCGGTGCTGGATCGTATAGCCCGTCAGTGGAAGACCGTACAGAATGGGCAAATCAAATGTCTTTCCTATGTGCTTTGGGAGGAATCTGCCTCAAAGCCAGCGCTATGGCTTCTGAGCAACAACAGGCGGAGCACGCTTCAACCTTTTCGCGGGCCAATTCTACCACGCTGTCTCCAGAACTGGCGATCAATCGGCGGAAGTCAACGGGGTCTGCACCTTCCGGTGCCGGTGGAGAGAATTATCCCGTTACCGGCGATGCCACTGGTGGAGGGCAACAGGCGTGGGCTGGAGCTGTGGGATCTCAACTACTGGGCGCATATAGCAATGCCAAGGCCGCTGTGGAGAAATTCGTCGGGGAGATTGTGGATCTCCTTGCCTCAGAAAATGTGATCATCCGTGAGATTGTTCGAGACTGCATGGGCGCTGAAATGAGTGCAGGGATGTACGGTGAGTAGTTGAATACCATGTCTTGTGTGAAGCGCTCCCTTCGCAGTCACTGAACCTCGTTTGCTTGAATTCGTAGCAACATTGTTTGGTCAATTCGCGACTATCATCGAGGACCAAATGTTCGACCCCTCTGGACAACCTCGTCTGACCCTCCGCAATACCGTCTTTGCAGACTACATGACATCAGTCCTGAGACTAGCTTTGGATCGAAGCGACGCAGCATCTGTTCTGTCCAGCGTTGCGGTCGGCGATCTAGACTTTGGCTCTATTTTCGGCAACCTGGTGCGATACGTGGACGCTCTGATTGCCGTAGACCCCACGCATTTCCCGGTTCGAATGCGGCTATGCACTGCAATCGAATTGCTTGTCGCCAAAAGGGGGCTCATCTCACTGATCGGCGAAATGAGAATCCGAAAAGATATCACGTTTGCGCTCGTAGAACGTGGATTGCAGGACTACCGGCGCGAAACTCTTGAGATTCGGAAACTCCAAAGGAGTGCACATTTGCAATGCGTGAAAGCGCTTGCCAGGCTCCTAGAGGATCTCCCGTTCGGGGCGGAATCAACACGGATTTCGAACTACTTATTGCAAGGGTTTGAGCGGACAGGGAAGGACGAAGAAGATACACACAGCTTGCAGCTGATAGAGCATACCGGCGCAGCGTTCACCGCGTTGTTGTCAGCAAACACCGAGTTCGAGCTCAACTTCGCCATGGACATGACGTATGCGGAGAACGAAACCCTTAGAGGAATGTTCATCAATGTCCTCACAAATCTCATCAAATCGGGTGGGATCATCGAGAAGGTTACAACTGCGCTTGGCAACAAGCGCGATATCACCCGTGGTCGGTCAGCACGGTTGGTGCAACTTATAGCGGATACACCGCAAGGGCTCGAAATCGCAGTCCTTCTCGGTGAAGTTGCCCCGGTCGGAGATGTGGATGAGATTGGAGCCGTCTTGATCAGTATTTTTGATGCATGCGGGCGTGCATTGGATCTGATTGAGAGGGTAGTGCAGCGAGAGGTGGACAACACCGATAGCCCCGCACAATTGTTTAGGCGGAACAGTATGGCCACGCGGCTCCTCACGATATTCGCGAACACGAATGGACAGGAATATCTTCGGAAGACATTGAGTCCTATTCTCTCAGAACTTGCTGAGCGCTGTCCTCCAATGAGCTTTGAGGTCGACCCGACTAAGGTTAACACTCAGGATCTGGAGGGAAACATGAGGAATTTGAAGGTGGTCAGTCAAGGCATTCTCGATAGCATCATCGGACCGGGCGCCGTTCAGATGCCACCCTCCCTAAGGGAAGCCTGCGCATTAATCTGGAGAATCGTTGGATCACGTTTCCCAGACGCACAGCCCACGGCAGTGAGCGGATTCCTCTTCTTGCGGTTCATCTGCCCCGCGATCGTATCCCCCGAAACACATGGAATCATCCAAGCTGCTGAAGTACGAAAGGAGCTTCGTCGTGGCTTAGTTTTGATCACGAAGGTGGTGCAGAACTTGGCGAACAACGTGCTCTTCGGTGCGAAAGAAGCCTTCATGAGTGGCGCCAACGACGTCTTGCGGGATAACGTTGCCAAAGTACATTCCTTCCTTAGCGACATACCAGCCTTCTCATCCAGGGAGCAAGCACATACCCCTAACCCAATGAAGTCGAAAATCGACGACTCTGACATAGTCAGGCTTCATCGACATTTGTCGGCCAACCTGGATCGTTTAGAGAAGGCGAAAGTCACGGTGTCTTCTGCCGTGCCACTCGCACGCCTTTCGGCGCTCAGTTTGCAAAAAACTGGGAAAGATGAGGCCTCCTCGGAAGCGAACTCTCCGTCTTCTCCAGTTACGCGAAAGCCGCCGAGCTCATCCGCCGCCACGAAAACCATGTCGAGCAATTTGAGCGTGTCGAGTTTCGGGTTGCCGTTTCCATTCGAAGATCGACTTGGGTCAGCTCCTGATTACAAGGTCGTGTTTTCAGAACTATGCACCCTCTTGTCGCAAATGGGGCCTGGTCTGAAAGGATCGTTGGCCGAAACGGGGGACGAAGCAGGATTGCGAAAATCACAGTCTGAGATGGGAGGAGAAAATGTATCCGTTTCCTTCTCGCCCGTAGCATGGCTCAAAGGGCCGCGTACGCAAATACCGGTTGTCTTGACGGTTGGAAATGACCGTCTGAAGGTGTCAGCTAATAGACGCCCTGAAGAATCCGGCGAGTATTTCGAAGAAACGTTTCACGCTTCTGCTATCGATGAGCTCGGATTGAACCGCGATCAGGAGCTGTTTGTATTAGCTACTGAGAAGAACGGTCTCGCACGTGGAACACCGATTGTGCTGAACTTCGCATCCTCCAAAGCTGAGACGATTGTCCAGGCATTACGTGTCATGGTCAGCAAGTTCCGGCTCGGGCTCTCTCGGTCATCGTCGTCTGTAATGATGTCGAGCTTCTCAATTGCCCCTGATCTGCATTCCGAAACGAAGCGTGAAGAGCTGCAAGCTGGGGATGTCGCTGGTGGACTCCTGAACGTTGCGTTTTCGACATTCGGAAGTCCTGATCCCGCTGTTCGTCGGGCGGGGTACAACTTGCTGTGCGCACTGATTTCTGAGTTCAGTCTGTCGGTTGGAATCCCGAACCTTCGCGGTGACAATTTGTTTGGTGGGAAAGGTAGGTTTTGGTTTTGGTGTCACCTGACAGGAAAGTTTTTACTAAGCTCTTGGTTATGTGAATCTACAGGCGTCTTCATACCGCTCAGCAATCAATCCTTTCTAATGGAGATCAGTCAACGAATTGCGAAGGCACACCCGGAATTGACTCTATCTTTCATCGGCGAGTGTGCTCTTGGGATGACACGGTGTGGAGATTCAGGCAAGATCGCCTCGCTGCAGTACGTGGGTCCTTGGATCGACAACATCGCGCAGCAGGTCGAGGCGGTTAACGAAACGACGGAGAAGCTACAGCAAACATTGATGATGTTCGTCGACGTGACCTTCAAGACTCCGGCCCTGGAAAGTTTGTTCAGACAGGCTATCTGGGTCAAGCTTGCCGCTCTACCTATGCTTGTACCAGGGATTGTCTCCTTCCTCATCCAAGCGGCGCTTGAACGATCGACTCGCCACTCTGACGTGGAAGTGTTGGCTAACATTTTGCATGCCCTTGCGTGTCACAGCGAGTACCCTGTGTCAAGTAAAATCTTCTCCGTGCTCCGGAAAACCATTGTCTCGACGTCATATCGGTCTCTCCCAGCCCTGATCGACCATCCTGCCTGGACTGAGATAGCTGTGCTCATCCGCCTGGCATTGCATCTGTCTTTCGACGACTGGAAGAACATCGATGAAGTACTGCCGGATCTATTCTACGTGGTCTCTATTGTTGCCGGGACCGGCTCTCCGACAGTACGGACCAGCGTGCACGGTATCATAGTGAATGCCATTCATACTTTGGCCACTTCCGGGACCCTACTCCCGGAGGGAAAAGAGAAGATGGAATCGTTGGTTGACGAGCTCGCGGAGCCGAGGCTCTGCTTACCCTTTGGGCTCAGTGGGGACGCGGAATTACCACGGGAGGTGACCTTGGGCGGTCTAGACGCGATCGTGAGGTGTTTATTGGATATTTCGACTTACGGAACCGCGGATCGAGGTAAGCTGATTGGTTCAATATCAAGCACTGGCCGATCAGTAGGTCCTAATCCATATACTTCTCTTAGATCAAACTTCTCTCTGGCGGGCTCGATGGATGTCCCTGATATCAAGCACTGCTTTCCAGTACAACCCCGCAGTGCAGCCTCGAGCCTTCATTGTTCTGGGTTGTCTTGCAAGAGACGAGGTGGATGACGACCTGCTATACCAAATCCTGGTCGCAATGCGAGGTGCTCTTACATTATTTGATGACGACGATTCTCATCTTATCGTGAGCATCACAATGTCTCTCTGCGACATCGTATCCGGCCTTCCCTCAGGCTCACGCTACCTCGCTGCCATGTTCTGGCTTGCTCTTGCCTTAACACAAATCGGGCATCCTCCGATATTCCATGCCGCAACAACGTTCATGACCATGGTCTTGCGCACTTTGCACAAATGCGGGGTTTTCGACCGCGACGGAATTTACAAGCCACTGTTGCAAGCTCGTGCAGGCTTAGAAGATGCTGCATTGCAGTTGGACAATCACGTTGGCCTGCACTTCCGTCTGGACACATTTCCGTTCGCGCTCGCAGCAAACCTTCTCAAAGGAGTAAGGCACCATGCGACAAAGAAGGCCACGCTGGACTCTCTGAAAGCGATTCTCGAGATGAACACATTATTCGGAGGCACAAGAGACCCTTGGAGCGATCGATTAGCTTTCTTCCTTCCGGTCTTCTCGCTTTCGGACAGGCCTGCGGAAATCTGGCGACTGGCAGGCTTCGAACCCGTGCCGGGAGCAAGGCCTGACGACGACTCGGCCCCATTGCGGGCGGAATACTGTGCTCAACTTCTGCGACTTGCCGTTGCCGGCGGACCGGGGTCCTCAGCTGGATTGATGGACCCGGCGGCACCCGTGCATCTATTGCTCAGCGTTCTATTCATGTGTAACATGCTGGAGAGCGCGGAGCACGATACCGAGCTCATCACCATATACAGCTTCCTGGCTGAAGCTTCGGAACAAGCACCGGAGATCTTCGCCATGATCTCGGACATAGTGTTGGTTCGCCTCAATCAAACGCTCACCACCACCCAATCCGTTCCCCTCATCCGACAAATTCAAACTCTGACCAAGGGCATTATGGGACATCGTTATACCGGACCTCCCAACCATGCCTCTGGACTCTCGACTGCTACTTATCGCAGCATAACATCAAATCCGTCAAGTCCCCACGCGGTAGCTTCATCAATCAGCAGCACCGACTCCGCGCTCTCTGGAGGGACGCCGCCCGTCCTTCCCAGCTACCTATTTTCGTCTGCGACAACGAGCTCCCTTCCATCTCCAGCATCCCCGGAACCCCTCGGCGGTGGTCATCACACTTTGTCCATGCCATCGCGATTGGTAGACGCTGGCCTGCCTGGCCTACCTGATGCGGGCACCTTCGCTCATGCGAGCCGGAGCCGCAAACTAAAGTGCGCGGCACTGGTTTGTGACCTCGTCGACGCCATCATTGCACTGTGATCGCTCGCCACACCGTCTTTGGCGTTGTGCAGGAGGTTTTTTTTGCATCATCCTCAGTTTCACCACCTGATCACCTTCGATACCAGCGTACTTATGTAATTACATAGAGCTTTACATGGCATGATCATATTTACGTTCACAATGCATTTGCCCCGAATTTGATTCGACCCCTATCTCTCGTTTTTCTGTTCCACAATTGCTCGATAGGACTTGTATGTCGTCGGAGAGCAAGACAGACGGACCGCTTGAAACAGGCAGACTTCGTCGACGCCGGTGAAGATATGAATGTTGTAAACGGAACGACTCCATGTTGCGGGGGTATGGTTTATGTATTTTCGAAGGTAGGTATCAATGTGAAACATCACAGCACCTAAAACTTCAGCCTATTGCCCTGCTCGAGAATGGCAGCTACCCAATCGGCGGCTTCCCTCCCGGAAGCCAAGTCCCTCGTTCGCGTCCTAAAGAATCGAGGAGGGTGTGAATCGTGTTCGTAAGTAACGAGACTAGTTGAGCTGCGCGGCATGATATTGGGAGTTAGCACGAACCCTGGCACGAACCTGATGGGCAAGTGAAAGAATTCAAACTCTGTCTGCAAGTCCCAGAAGAAACCAAAGCGGTCTAGCCTGCCGACGGACAGATCCTTGACCATGTTGGCCTCAAGGGAAACCTGTTCTGGGCTCACGTTTGTGTAGTCGAAGAGGATATCAAGGACCTTCGCCTCGACCTCTGGTTTGGTCCAGTGTTTTGGGGGCAGGGAGGCTTTCTTGTAGAAGGTCCTGACGCCGGTGATTTGGGGGAAAGCGTTGGGACGGGAGGCGGCGGCGACGGCCAAAAGCGGGAAAGTGTGTGCGCAGGCAGCTTGCCTTCGTGCGGTCACTGCGCGAGCGGCGGAGAGCGAAGGAGCCAAAGACCGTAAGCCGTGCATGTTGTGTTTGCGTCCGAATGAAGTCTGAAGGATGGCTTGTCGACGAGAATGTGAGGTCAAGAATGGCCGTCGAGTCGTCGTGTGCTTTGAGCAGCGTTGAGCACCGACAATGAGCAGTGCACTTTTCAGAAACGAACGCGTCGTCCCAATGCTCCCCTTTCCCCAAGAACGGACACGGACTTAGAAGAAGCTGCGTACCGGGGTGCGCAGCGTACCTACTTACGCCTTCATAGTCTTATAGGCATCCGCTACTCGTCGGCAAAGAAAAGCGGACCAAATGGAGACAGAGCGTCAACAGCCTTCGCGGGCTTCTGTCCGGGTCTCTTCAGACGCGCATGTAGCCCATGTCGGCGTTCAAGAGCTGCTAGGCTTGCGGGAAAAGGAGCTCCGGGAGATATATGCAGCTATGGAGCAACGTCTGAAGGAGAAGGAACTGGAGGTGTGAGCTCCTTGCAAATGTTTTTCTTTGACATATCGACGCAAGGACCCATCTTGACGTGGTCTCAACGACCTTAGTGCCACTCTGTGCAGGAGCGACTTCGTTTACTACAAGAGGATTTCATATACAATCTATCACTTCTGGAGGACCGCGACCGAGAATTGGAGCGCTTCGACAGGATCACAGAGGGACTAACATCAGATGTAAATGATAGGTTTGTGGCGCTACATTTGGGCCATTCAGTCAGATAATGTCCAAAGCTGACACAGGTCGATAGGGAAGCGCGGATAGCGGAGCTCAAAATGGTGGTTCGTGAGAGGACCACCGACATTGCCAACTTAAAATCGTTGATGCAGGCTCAGGAGCAGCAGCACCATGAGCTCCTTCGAAAGCTTCAGACAGATGATGAGGTCAGGCACTGGTGGATTGTTCTGGTCGCAGGGATTGGGAACGGAAGTGATTCTGAACCGATTGTATCTCAGATGATGATGAAACATCAGGAAGATGTCCTCCGAACGAGAATGGAAGAGTTCGAACTAGAGCGGGCCGATTTGCAAATGCAGATGAAGAAGCTCGAACAACAATTGGAGCTCCAAAGGTGGGCATTTGATGCATACGTGACCGATTTATTCTCGTAACTTAATAGTAATCATGTCAGGACTGCTCACTTGGCAGAGATGCAGCAGCAAAAAAGGTCGCAGGAAATTGTATTGCGTGCTCTCAAGCAGGACTTGGCACGGCAGCTGCTTGAAGCGGAACATGACGTGTCGCGGGCAACGGCCGAACTCCATGCTGTGAAGGGGGCGCGGGAGGCGATCGAGAAAAAGCTGGAAGAACAGATGGATGCCAATCAGTATGGGACCCGTTTACCTGCAGCTGGGATGCTTCAATATGGCTAACAGTTGCATCATCCAGGAAAATCGAAAGCAAACTGCAGCAAGCTGGTTGGGAAGGGGCGGACGCGAAGAAAGAGTCGGCGATTCGCATAGCGGAGCTTGAAGAGCAACTAAGACAGGTTTACCACATATGCTGCCGAATGAAACAATTGACCAGGCACTAATCAAAAGCCTTTTATGTGCAGAGCGAGACCGCAGCCGCGCAGGCGCAGACTGCGTTTGAGACTCGGCAAAAGAAGCTTATGCTCGATTCTGAGGAGATGAAAAAGTGTCTAGAACACGACAAGACTATAGCCGAGGAACGGAATGAGACGTTGACAAAGCAGTTAGCAATGGCAATGGACCAAGCGGCAATGCAAAGAGATGAAATCGTGAAAGCCTACCAGCAGCTGGAGAAATTGGTTGCGCATAAGGAGGAAGACATCCGAACGCTGCACAACCGACTCAGTATGGAGAAAAGCAAGGTGGGCATCACCGTTTGGATGGTTTCCTGGCAAAAATCCGTGTCTGAACGATCCCCAACGTAGGTTTCACGCCATGGCGAAACGATTGCTAAGCAGCAAGACCGCATTAGCACACTGGAGGCAGAGCTCGACCGTCGGTGTCATGCTAATGAGCAGCTGCATCAAGAGATGGCTTCTTTGGTAGCTTCGGAGCAAGATCTGCGACGGAACCTGACTGAGCGTATGGATAAGTCTTTGATACTGGACGCGACTTTACACGACATCTTGACTAATATATGCCCAACACCTCTCAGAGAAGCTGGAAAAAGAAAGAAGCTTGGCAGCGCTACACCGTAAAGACGTAGATGATCAGAGCCAACTGGTTCGCGGTTTAATCGCTGCAAAAGAGATAGCAGAAGCGGAAGTCAAAGTGAGGATGAGATGATATCCCAAGTCTGTCGAATACAAAGTCTAATGGTGCAACTCAGCTACTCCGAAGCAAGCTTGGAATGGCAGCGCATGCACATCTAAGGTTGAGACCAGCATCCACACCTCCCTTCCCATCCTACGACACTGGGCAACAACAAGAGGATCGCCTGTCGCCCGACCCAACGAGCGATCGTGATACATACTGGCAGAATGAGGTATGTGACCGCGGGATATTGTTTCGGACTCACCAGTTGCTGACGGCCTCCCGTGTTGTTAGAATGCGCGCCTCACATCGATAATACATCAAATGCGGCATGATATGGAAATCATGCATCAAGCCATGGCAAGCAACGCAAGCACACAGCAACGGAAGGTATGCGGCTATGTCGTCAAGCTATGAGCGTCGCGTCTGCTGCTAACGCTTCTCGATGTGGGGCAGATGAGCCCGGAGGGTTTCCGATTGAACGACGATGCCCAGCAGTTACATAACCAGATCACCAAACTGCAAGGTCTGCTGGCCCAAAAGCAGACCATAATCGACCAGCTTCTCGATCAGCAACAGAAACTGCACGAGAAGTTGGGGCAGTCTTTACGATCCGCCTCAGCTGTCGGAGGAGGAGCTGGTGTGCAGGGGGGAGACAGGGACGTAGAAAACCAGTCCGGATCCGAGCCGCTGGTGGATAAGCTGCGGGCGGAGAACCAGCAGCTTCGGCAGCGGTTGACGGCGTTACATGGTGATATGCAGCGGTTGGCACAGGAACGGGCTCGACTACTGGATATGAGCAACGCGCTTAAGGCGGAGGTCCGGTTTTGGACGGAGAAGAATGGGGACAAGGCCCATGCTGCCACTCAAAGTATGTTCTGTGAGCAACGCTTTTGCTACATGCAGTTTTGTCTTCATCTGCTCTTCATCTCACTCGCTTTTCTGTTTCCACATTGTCTGCGCACTAAAAGCGCTAACAAGTTCACAAGGTAAGCGGCAGCTTCCCCCATTTCGTTTTACATACTCGACCCGCTCACCTACGTCTCCCACAGTGAAAACAGCACGTCAAAAACCATGGGCGACCCAAAACTCCATCCCACGGCCCATCAAACAAAGCGCGCGCGCAACACCCAGCCAACGCGAGGCGCAAGAACGGTTAGCCACTAGCAAACGCGCCAACTCACCGACCCTCGCTGAATTGAGTCCGGATGAAGGGGAGCATTTGCTCAGGCTCAAGCTAAGGGCTCGTGGGATACGGAATTGGAATGAGAGGAGTGACGATGATGACGATAGTTGAGGGCGGACTACCCATCGCATCTCTCGACAGCACACACTTGTATATATATGATCTTCAAGATCAGAAACTCGGTTCATGAACATTGGTCATGAACATTACGCACCGGCTCTAAACGCCAAAATAGATGAGCCGCCGACATGCCTAGAATATTGTAACAATAAGGGAGGAGAGCCGATAGGCCACATGATGCCCATAAATCAAAATGCAAGGAAGCGTGGGCAACGCCGTATCTCACAAACGCAGGACACCAAAAAGAGATATACGTATGTACAGCAGTGACTAATTAGCGTCACGTGGATGCTCGTAAGGTACGGCGTAACGCGTCGCGTATGTCCCTATCCCGCACATCGTCGGTATCAAGTCGTGCGAGATGGATGATGTGAGGCTTGACTTTGGAGGAGATATGTATCCGAATTTCAGAATTGACGAGGTCGTGTCCGCATAGCGTAGCTGTGATCCTGCGTATTCAGATAATCGCGATCAGGACCTTCGTGATGCATAAGCGCGGCCGTTTGAGATAGTATCCCGGGACACTTACCGGACAGGTACCTTCCCCGGTACTATCATCCCACTCACACTTCCGGCATCTAGAATCCAATCTCCTACGCCGAAAGGCGTCTTGCCCCGGGTCATGGCCGACATGCCATCGGCCACCTCCAGAACAAGAGCCAGGCATATCCGCCAAATCTCCTGGCGGAGAAACTCCTCCACACTGTCCGGTAACAGCAGATTCTCCTGTGCGCCGATCTTTGACGCTGTTGAAGTGCTTCTGATTTCGCCGCTTGCGTATAATCGCAGTGTGATTCGATAACTGTGGTTAAGCAGGAGAGAGGCTGAGCAAACTTGCCGAAGGAAGATCAAGACTCGGGCGATGGCAATGATACCTGTAAATAGAGAGAATCCACGATGTATCGACGCCGGCCGTTTCGTTTCGCAAGCGTTGCAGACTCACTTCGAAGCGAGCCTCCAAATGGCTCACTACCGCATCTAAATGGGCTTGTATCTCCTCACGCAAATGCTGTCTCTCCACGCTTTGTGTGACGCGCTGGAACAAGGCCGATGCGGTTTGCCTCCGGTCGGCCTTTTGTCCAACTTTTTGTTTCCGCAAATTCTCACGGTGTATTTCACGTAGTCCCTGCCGCGCTACCCACGCCAGCAACGCACTATTCTCTTCCTGCTCGCTATACTCCGATGGCGTTTCCCGGAGAGTCTGATCACCGCCACTGTCTTCGTTTCTCCGCTGTTTTGTCAGAGGGGCTTGCACTATTTTCACAGTGATGCGAGTATTACCACGGTTGGAACCAATTGTAAGACTGTCATCTGTTTCGATCACATTTGCCGCTGTTGCCTGGCCTGGTGCGGCACCATGCAGAAGCTAACGATGAAGTTGTTCATGAGAGGAAAGCGCGGAAGTCCCGGAGCGGCATAATGAGCTCACCTTCTCGTAGACTTCGGAGTCAAATATACTCGACTGAGCTATGACCAATCGATGAAAATTCCCATCAGTTGCTGTTCCCAGACTAGCAGTTTCATAATCCTTTCCAGGCTCGTCCTCCGTTTCCGAGGGAATCCCATTTGGTGCATCAATGGACATTTTGATTTTCTTCGCCGCTCGATGATAGAACGAAAGCTGGACATCGTTTTGGTCCGCGCGATCCGCCAACCCATCTGATTTAGCGTCCTGAGTGAAATCCCGCCGTAAATCCGCGTGACCGATTTCTCCAAACTCGGAGCCAACTGACAAGGCAGACATCAGTCAGTCAAGTGCCACGACATAGAACTGAAAAGCTCCGATGAAGCGTAATACCATTGTTGTATGTGTAATCAACGTATACGGTTGTTCCATATCCTTGCAGCGTTTTGGCTTGGAGGATCCAGTTCCTCTCGAGTAAATCCGACGTGAACCGACCATAAAAGACCTCGTCGCGGAGGACTAAGCTTTCAATTCGCAAAGCCGCGTCATTCAATTTCGTGGCAATCTCTCTCAAATGCTGCACCGTCTACTTTAGCCTCACGGAAGGATACCCGTATCTGACAACCTGTGGGGTACCTGAAGTTTTGCGGCCACCACGAGCTCCATCTGGTCGATTTGCTGCTTTGCGGAAGGCCGCGGCTTGTTGGGCGCAGAAATGAGACGCAAATGGGTCGTATCCGGCTCCAATCTTGACGTCCTCTTTTCTGCTCCCAACAGACGATTGACGATGTCCAGCAGCAGCGAGCTTTCCTGCCAGGCTCTGCTGCAAATCGACACTAATAAGACACAATCGATGTGACTGGCGGAATAACGTAAGTACACCATACTAGATAATATCTTTAGCAAGACGGATAGACGGCAGGTGCGGCTGGTCATCTGGTGCATCGTCCTCCACCGCCGCAGCCAGGGGTTTCGACTTGATTTTGGTCCAGTTCAGTTGTTGGGCTCGGTTGGTCAGTCGTTCGAGTCTCGAAGGCACTCTGCGGTGATTGGGATGAGATTCGGATCTCGAAAACAGGCCGCCGCTCTCCACTTACGTTTCGAGGACTTCCTCCCCTGTTGTAGTGATGTCCCATAACCGCTGACCTACGTCAAGCTCGACGGCGACTTCCAAGGGAGAAGTCGACTCTTGGTCCATAGCTAGGAACGATCCCGGAGAAAAACGCGCCAATCAAAGTGTGCCGGACTACCCCATTTGGGGACAAGGTGAGAGGGCGGACAGGGACAACCTGTCTCTTCCAGGTCGTAAGGTCCTTTCGACGCTTCTGCTTTCTCCGCTGAAGGATGTTGCAGAGCATCGGCGGCGAAAGCCCAACTGACAAGGGCTAATATGTGGCACGTGACGTCGAATAAAACTGAGTTCGAACGCGTTGAATGGCTAGCTTTTTTTTTTCGGCCTGCTCCAGTTTGTTCCTTGGTCTAGTAAAGACAGCAAGCGGGACTAGGGCATCGCACATGGGCAGCGACAACGCATGCCATCTTGCAAGTTGCACTGTAGTTTTGCGTGCAATCCAATTCCGAAGTCGGCCCCAAGTCCTGGAGAACAGAATGGCAAGGGAGCGGACAGTCACCTCGCAAAAAGCTGTGCCTCTCTATATAATGCGTGAATTTGGCTTTGCGGCAGTCGCTGATGTACTTCAAGGGGGGCACGGCTTTTTGCCGGAACTGCGGGAACCAGCATGCAGTGACGGCTAGCTGCCATCCACATGTCACACGGCACTGCAACCATTATCTAACATAAGCTTGCCGATGCCCAGCTGCTACTAGCCACGTCTCAAATTGGGTGTTGATCTTCCTATAAGGCACGGAATGTCAGCACCGGTGATGAGTCGTCTTCCACATCATACACCAGAATCAACCAGGAGCAGGCATTGATAGAACACTGGGGAAGCTGGTCGAAGCCGTGGCCGTCGATACTGATCTACGCCGTCGCCATACAGTCCAATCCGCGTAGGGTAGCATGGCGTGGTAGCTGAATATGGAGGTAACCGCAGGTCATAAAGCACAATGGAATCGAGGTGACCGCCATGTTGAGAGCGGCATGAATGATGGCCTGCTCCTTTCGTGTTTACCTGTTGGCCCCTCGAATACTTAAGGTCGAACAGATTCACCGGATTAAAGACCGACAGTTAGACAGCACGGCTCGGTTCCAGTGCCTGAAGAGTAATGAGCAAGTATGTACACATGTGCTAAAACGCACGCCGAATCAAAGAAATTCTGGGCAGACAGGCAATGATAGTGGGTGGCAGGTCAAGAATCAAGTTCTGTAGGATGAAGTCCCGGAAGGCAGAGCAACACGACGAGGTGATGTTGCGGCGTGGCAGTAAGCTCATGATTCTACTGCAGGAGAAGGACCGGAGCCATCCGTCTCCTGCTGGAGAACGACAGGAGATCTTTCCTTTCCGGCAGGAGAAGCATACGAGTAACTCTTTCCTGTAGGAGAGGCACAGCGAGGCGTGTGGCCTCCTTGGATCCCCCACATGTCCATTGGCAAGCGGAAGCTGCAAAACGCGTTGGAGCGATGCTTATGTCAGTGACTGACGGCGGCACGTCATTGTCCGCCGTCCGATCGCACGAGATCCGAAGCCCCGCCTCAGGCTCCGTGTCCCCTCCGCTACGTACAGTGCTTCCGCTTCCGAAGCCACCTTGCGAGTGATATTCCATCAGATCCCTGTGGCGAAAGCATACATAAGAAACGGGCGCCCTCTCACCCTCCACCAGCAGCTGCTCTCACGTCAACACTGGAATCTCGTCTCGAAGTACCAGTAAAACCATCACCGCCATGTCGACCCCGTCCAACATCACGCTCCACTACCTGAACAACAGCAGGGCCCAGAGAATTATTTGGCTCTTGGACGAACTTGACATCAAGTTTGACTTGAAGCGCTATGAACGCGGCCCCGACATGCGGGCTCCTAAGGAGTTGAAGCTTGTTCACCCGTTGGGCAAGTCTCCCGTCATCACGGACGGCGACAAGACCATCGCGGAGTCTGGAGCTATCGTCGATTACATTGTTGACACCTACGGAGCCGGGAGGCTGAAGCCAGCTGCTGGAACAAACGAGGCGATTCAATACTCTCACTGGCTGCATTTCGCTGAGGGTACTTTCGCAAAAATCCGCAGAATTTGCACTTGGTGCGTGTAAGCTGACGTCCGACTTTTTAGGTTCTCTCATGTTCCCTCTCTTGATGACTTTGGTCTTTGGAAGTACCGTGAAGCAAAGCCCTTTCTTTGTTCGCCCACTCGTGAGCGGCATCTCGAGCGCGGTGCACTCGAAGTTTATCGACCCGGAGCTGAAGACTTTGTTTGACTACATCGAGAAGCACTTGGAAGTGAATGAGTACTTCACCGGCTCCGAGTTCACCGCTGCTGATATCCAAATGACTTTCCCGCTCGAGGTATGCATCTGTGCATGCGCGCTGTGCTTTATGGCTTACTATTGGATTCGTACATAAATTTCTGATTGTATTTCTGTTTCCAATTTCAGGCCGCTTTGGGACGTGCAAAGGAATTCATGGGTCCAAAGACTATTGCTTTCATTGAGAAGATGCATGCAAGGCCCGCTTACCAGCAGGCTCTGAAAGACACTCCTGACTATGCGTATGCGAAAGTGAAGCCCGAGGCATCGACCTCCAACTTGTAGTCTCGCGCATCCGATTACGCTACGATGGTGAGGGCTGGTTTGATAGTGAGGCCTTAAAGCTGCCGGCCGCTGTATGCTCTGGTCGCATCGTGCTGTAGTTACACAACCCTCCACAGGCCCTAGATTGAACTCGCTCTGGCTCTGCTGGTGAAGATGCACGCCGCTCTTGCACTTTGTAAGATATATTACTGTACCTTAATTTGCACATACACTATTGATCCTCTGCGTGATCTCGGACCCCTAGCGGACTGAAGAACTTGGGAAGTCGGGATGTCACAAAACGCGCCACAAAACGGTGCGTTCTACGCGCCGCCGACGACACGATGGTCTCCGTGGGAAAGCAGGTGGGAAAGCAACCGCTGAGCTGAAGCACCCTCAAACAACCAAAGCACCCCAGAAGCACCCTCCTTTCATCTTCCGGCATTATTCGTTCACAGGAAGCAAAGGGTCGTTTTTCGCCGGAACGACAACAAGAGGACCCGCTCCAAAAGCATGACTTTCAAAGAGCGCATCCGCGTGCTGTGGGACAATGCCGCCCACTCACAGTCACCGAACAAGAGTCCGGAGTCGCCTGGTCCCAGCGGCCATGTCCCGCCAGAAGCAGAGCCTTCATGCTGTGGTTTCGGAGGACGTAAAGCATTGAAACTAGCATTTCCTCTGGAGGCAGAGCTGATGGTGACGGACACTGGAGTGACGCTCAAGTATGACTTTGGCTTAGGTGGGTAAAAGGAGGAGGCTAAATAGAGTCTGGGGAGTGGGAAGATTATGCAATGGAGCAAGGGGCGGCTAGCGACGAATGTCTCTGAGGACAAACGAGTGTGGCGACCGTACATGTATGGACAAGTAGGCTGTTACCGATTGGCGGGCGAATGGTATGAAAGCCGGCTCAGGGGACCGGTTGAGGGAGCTTATAGAGAAGCTGACCTATCCCCGGTGGCTTTGAAACTTATCCAATCCATTGGGGATCTCACATCAGCGGAGTCTCATAACTGAATATGTCTTCGCATCACAGTCACAACCATTTCGAGCGCATTGATCTTTGGAGCTGCAAGAGTGGCGCGACCATCGCCTCCTCTGAAAACAACGAAAAGCGGAGATGTGCTGGCCAGTGAAGCCAGCCGGTTACATAGGGACTCCAACGCCGCGGGACAGTCGTCGTACTGGGCTTTGACAGCCGTGGAACTGACGAATGGCAGCTTTTCAAAACGACCTGGGATCCGTCGCATTTTGTTTGAGAGCTTGACGCAGGCGAAGGGCGGCGTGGAGTCTGCCATTCAAGCTGTCCAGGCGACGGCTGGTTTGAAGAGAAGTACGTCATGTGCCCATTTTGGCCAGAGTCAACCTTCCATGTGACATTGGTTATTCACCGTGCGATTCGCTATGCAGGCACGAAACCGGTACTCCTTCTGGTGAATCCTTTCGGCGGGACAAAGCGAGGAGTGAAGAATTACGAGCAATATGTTAGACCTATGCTGCACTTGTCCGAAACGCCCTTCGAATTGAGGAGTGCGTATATTCTGCATGCTACCGAACGACATCTACGTTCGATCTAGGACCTAATCATGAAGTTCTCTCCGGATAGAAACGACACATCAGCAGCATGCGACGCAGATTGCCCAGGAGATTGATATTGACGCGTACTCTGCTATCGTGACGATCAGCGGCGACGGGGTGTTTCACGAAGTGGTTCATGGCCTGCTATCCCGACGTGATTGGGAACAGGCGTCGAAGCTTCCCATCGGGCTAATCGGAAGTGGTGAGTAAACACACCTTGAACTTATTTTCTGCTACAACCTTTCACGGGTCACTGACTTTCATGTTTGTTAGGCACCGCCAACGCCCTGGGGAAGAACTTGATGTGCGGATCTATAGAGTTGGCCACCTTGGCCGTTATCAAACTGCGAACGCGACCCATGGACGCCTTCTCCATCACACAAAACGACACCGTGACGTACTCCCATTTACAGCTCATGTGGACTCTGCTGGCAGATGTCGACTTCGAGTCGGAAGCATACAGATGGCTTGGCGCCGAACGCATGACGGTCGCGGCCGTCATCCGTCTCATCCGCATGCGAACATACCATGGCAAGCTCTACCTGCTTCCAAGCGACAAAGCGCATGGCGCAGGCCCGTCCAGATCAAGTTCCCCGACACCCAAGGGAAACTCACCATCATCACCCGCAACATACGGCCCACAACGCATCTATACCGCCGACCCCAAGGCCCACCTTTCATGGCCCACCATCATCGACTCCTCCTTCAACTACTTCGTCGCCACCAACCTCCCTTGGATTTCAGATGACTTCATCGTGACCCCACACGCCCGCATCGCCGACGGCGACATCCACGTCGTATGGTCGGAAAAGATGTCCTTCCGCGATGCCCTGCGGCCGCTTCTCGATCAGGGCACCGGTGCCTACATTGCTCAGCCTTCAGTGAAAGCCGAACGGGTGAAAGCTCTAGTATTGGAGCCGCAGGGATGGACGTGGGATAAGGAGAGGAAAGCAGGATCGAAAATGCACGAGGGGGAGTTCATGGATGTCAGTGGGGAGAGGGTACCTTATGTGACCACCAAGATGGAGATACATCCTGGCGTATTGAACGTCCTGTGTCCGGACTGGTTGGATGAGAGCGCGTGGACCCGCGCGTATGAGAAGGCTACCAGGGGTTCATAAGCGGATACGGAAGTACGCTGAAGCTGGAATGGCTGAAACCATGGAACTTGTGCACTTTTATTCCTGTAAACCTACTCTGTATAATTGGACTCTCAGCCCTATGCTACATTATGTAACTAGTCTATGTAGCGTACAAACACGTGCTTCGCTGCACACGGCAGGATGGTGAAGTGAGTTCCCATAAATATCTTCGAGTAGTGTTTTTGCGTCGGTGGCCTCGCAGGAAGGTACGCTGTCTCCAAGTCGGCATGGTCGCCACCCACGTTCCCTCTAAAACGCCTGTCGCAAATTCATCACCAAGCTGACTGGACTGAAATGCTCAGTGTCATATCGTCAAGCTTCTGGCAGCCTTCCATAACCGATAATGCAGCTTCCAACTCTTTTTCCCCAATTTCGCGTCAAACAAGTTGAAGTTGTTTTTCTCTAGGGCTTGTAGAAACAAATCGACCGGGACCTAGAGACGCGAAAAGTGATGTTACATGGGAACACCGAAGTTCTTCACGACGGCAAGATTGCTCACTGCAGGTAGCAAAGCCGGAATTGCCGCCGGAGGCATATCTGTCATAAACGACCGCGCAGTGATGAGCTGGTCGTTGGCGGCCGTCGCGACTTCGAAAACGACTTCTTCCAGCGCTTGGCTTGGACCCGTGCGGAAGACTGTTTCCGTGGATAGCCCATGCTACAGGTTCGCAGGTGAATGAGTCATTGCGTGCGCACCATTCGCGCGAGAGCGAGTCCGACCACACCAACCTTCGCCATAATCTCGGAAGGGAGATAAAACCTCCGTTCCTCCACATGAAACGGTGTAGCCCTCAACAAGGTGGCTATTCCAATAGCCTTCCCCACGTGCCCCGCCGCATGTTCTGCATCGTGATTGCGTATCCCGAGCGCTTCCAGCTGCAGATACAGCAGACTGGACGCTGTATTCTCCGCGTACTTCTCCAAGTCCGCTATCTTTGCGTATTGCGGATCTTGTAAGTTAGATTCCTGAATATCGCGGAACGGATGTTGGAACTGCAATCAGGGCCGGTATGCTAGAATTTCCGCCATAGTGGTTTGCGCGGCAACTAACCCTCTCAGTCAGCATCCTCTTGAACCACGACTTTGACAAGGGCGCGGTCTCCAGCGCTTGTGCAAGCATCAGCGTCACGGGATGGTTCGGCGGTCTGCCCTACGACGGAAAAGATTAGGCTCCGCATATGATATTGGCTCCAGCAGGCCGCGGGGCTCTTTTCTCAGCTGCTTTCGTTCTCACTAACCGCAAATACATCGTCCACAGCATCCCTCCACCACTGTATCCGCGCTTTCCCCAGCAACGAGTCCTTCACGCTCTCCCTGATCAGCGCCGTCTCCACATTGAACGCGCGAACAGCCCAAACGGCATCCCGCGATCTGGCGGGAACAAACAGGGACGCTAGATAATTATCGTAATCGTGCTTTTGAAGGAGGGTGGTAACATAATTCTGAGCGTTCTGAAGCGGTGCGGGGGTTGTTGCTGGTCGGGAGGTGGGTGCGGCGAAGTGTCTCCGGCGGGGTTTGTGGGCTTGGTGCAACTTAGAGGAGAATACACCGACGCGGGGTACGGACTTGGCGGGGAACGACATTGTGCCTTGCTACTTGTTCAAACGACTCAACGCTATTGAACGGGCTACGGCTGAAAGCTTCGACGCTCCAGTGGAAGCTGCTGATGAACCTTTGGATTTGTTTGTTGGATTTTCCCAAGTTCCCAAATATCGCGTCGGGAGCCTGTCGGCAAGTGTCGGGACTCGGGAGCAGAGAATTCAAGCGCATCCTCTGCGCGTCCTCCACACGCCTTCTGCAGCCGTTCTGCAGTTCAGTTGCAGGTTGGATTGGAGGCGGTAGTGCAGTTGACAAACAGCAAAGAAGACGATTAGTACTGGTTTGAAGATGGGCAAAAAGAATGCGCCTAAGAGCGGGGGTGGTTCCGGCGATGCCTCAGAAGGTAAGGACGAATTCCCGCCGTTCCCGCAAGTTCCCACTCGCCTATAGGAAATCGCGTGGGATATGGATGTCTTCGAGACGAGGCGGCGGGGAGTGTTCAAGGTGTCCGGACTTCGGCGACGACCCCAAAATGACCGCCGAGTGTATTCCTCAGGATGAGACTGAATTCCCATGCTTCCTGTAGGGAAAGGTAAGCTGAAACCTGCGAATGCCATCAAAGTGCGGCACATACTATGCGAAAAGCACTCCAAGGTGAGTTTGCTCCGACCAAGTTAGACACTTTATGGCGACGTTGGAACCAGCACAGCCGGTCGAGGCCGGAACGCTAACTGACATATCTGGATGACAGAGCATGGAGGCGATGGCCAAGCTGAAGGAGCGGGTATCGTTCGACAAGGTACGGCCCCCGGAAAACTTCAAGCACGGTGTGCACCCTACGTCTAACATTCAAGATTTCCCAGGTCGCCGAACAGTTTTCCGAAGACAAGGCAAAGGCAGGGGGTTCCCTGGTGAGTCCACTTCTCACTTTCAGGAGAGCGATGGAGACGGCATCTCAACAACTTGCCTCCTCCTAGGGGTGGATGACGCGAGGTTCAATGGTCGGTGCGTTCCAGGACGCGGCATTCGCGTTGCAGCCCTCGACGGTTGGGAATCCAAGCTATACAGACCCTCCGGTGAAAACGAATTTTGGATATCATATCATCATGGTGGAGGAGCGGAAGTAGAGAGGCGCATGTGTATATAGAAGATTGATGCCAGCATGCGAGATGCCAGTGGCGTATCTTGTAGCATAACATCTATCCGTGAGGTCAGCATCACCCTAGTAAGTTATGGCGTTGACAGAGCATTCGGGTCGTTCTATTTGTAAGCCGAGAATCGACCAGGGATATGTGCTCCATGGAAACGCTTCACCGTCCTGCGTCCGGCCGTCTAGTTTATCTCCAGGTCATATGCCCTTGCTCATGTGCCAGCAATCTTCCAAATTGCCAGCGTTCTAAATATGAATCCATATATCCATGAGACGGGCTCAAACGTCTCATGTCTGCATAGCATCTGGATCCTCTTCCCAATTGTCTCCTTCTCCTTCCTCCGCCTCTGCAGGTAACTCAGGTAGTGGGGCAGGTGCCAGCCCAGCAGCGTCTATCAATCCCGTATGTAATGGGTCCGCGATGAGTGATCCAACCAGTGTAAGCATGTCGTTTGCCTTCACCAATCTAGTGGGAGAAATGAGTCATGCAAAGCCCGTGAATCACAGATTTCGAAATTCGCAAACGTACTCTGCCACAGTAAACCTCACGACCGATCCAACACCGATACTGATTGCTGGATCTCCATCAGCAGACGCCCGGCGCCACACCCCGCCTCCATGCCCCTCTTCTGTGGTCCCGTCTCCCGCTTCCTCGAAATATTTGAATTCGTCAAGTCGGATTTTCCCAGATGGTATCGAAGCGTTGAAAACACCGTGCACCAGGAGACCAATGTGATCTGATGATACTTTGTTCACCACCCCAACTGTTGTTTGAAAAAGTACGCCTCAGTTACGCAGGACCCGAGACTAACAGCAAACCTCTTCCGCACGTACCAACGAGCTCCCCGACGATGGGCTTGAACAGCGTGAACCTCACCCGGACCTTGAAATGCAGGTATGGGCTCTCATACATCAACCGCGCCGAATCCTCTACCGCCTTTACACCAGAGCAAGCCAACACCACCCCATCCAGTTCTTCCACGTAACGCATGAGAAACCTATCGAGATATTCGTTGACTCCTTTATTCACATTGCCGATGAAGCATGGCGGGAGGCTCAATTGGATCTGAGCAACAACGGAAGAGAAGGGGGTTGTGGGCTTCCGATGGGATTTGGCGGAGTGTGGTTTCGCGTGTGTCGATGATGGCGTAGGGGTGGACTTTGTGGTTGCGCTCTTTTTCGATGCGCTTGTGGAACCATCAGATGGCTTTTTTGTCGAAGAGGTCGCTTTCTTTTTGTCGCTAGCACTTTTGGGCGTCTTTGGCGCCACATCTTCTGCTTTATCTGCCTTTTTCTGCTTTGGCTTTTTCGCTATTGCCGGTGTCCCCTCTAGCTTCTGCTTCTTCTCTGGCACTGCACTATCCGGAATCTCAGCGGCAGCGGACTTCCGCTTTCCCTTTTTCGACGTCTTGTCCGACGGTGTGGACATTGTTTCGCACGTTTTTGTGCTGGAAGGTTTCGTTAAGGGGTCTACAGGCCACAATTCGGGGCTTCTTCTTTCCGAGGGCGCACGATTTATGCAGCTAGGTCCGGCGTTATCCTGAACGGGCCTATGTGATTCTGTGGTGCCTTTGAAATACCGGGTTGAGGTGTTCTGGCTATATGTTTTCGGTTATACCACCAGCGAGCAAGTCAAAAAAGCAACTGGGCGAACTGAGCGATTTCACCAGCCCAAGAGATCACGTGATTTACGGATTCAGGCCTTGCGCGCGTCGAGTTGTGGAAGTTCCTGTCACCTTTGCCCACCACGGTTGTTGCCTGGGTTGTGTAGGAGCCAGCGTAGGAGCAGCCAACGAACTTCTTCTTCATGGCGTCGAAGGTATAAAACGAGGCTGGCCGCCGGCTCGGCGCTGTCGTTTGTCCTGCGTCTTCTCATCTGAGATCGGTGCGTCTTCTCCGAAATTGACTGCGATGCGATCATCCATCGTCGTCTCATATATCGCCTGCCTCGCGTCACTGGCAGCTGCAGAAACAGTCCAGCCAGGCGCTGTCATCTCGACCCACGATACCTCTCCCAGCGATTCCATTCTCCGCTACTCGCTTCCGTCCTTGCACGCAAGACAAGACCCGGCTACATGTCCTCAAGGCGAAAAGAGATGTCCGCGAGGATGCTATCCTCTTTCTAATATCTGTTGTCCTGCTGGCCACGTAAGTCAGAGCACTCCTTCCGTTCGAGAACTGGTTCGAGAGGTACCAGATCCTCGTTGAAACACACTTTCCAGGGCTGCAACCCAGATGAAACCTGCATAGACGGTGGCTGCTTGAGACCACTCGGTAAACCCACGAAAAACACCACCTGTACCAACACTGCCAACAACTACCTGGACAGTTTCTGCGGTGATAAGTGCATGCCTTTAGCGGCGTCATGCTGTCGCGGTTAGTTTTCAGCTGCGGTTGAAAGGTGCAGATTGGGGAATTTGTTGATATACGTCTCAACAGGCGATTCATTCTGTCAAAATGGATATTGCGCGACGAATGAAACGTGCACGCCATGGAGTTCTAATTCGAGAGAGGGGGCAGTCTTCAGTGAGGATGCGCTGTGTGGTTCCTTCTCCATGGCTCCAGGTCACCAATGCTGTCTCGGTGAGGCTCCGCGAAATTCCTCGACCTTGACCCGTAAGGAATTGCCGCTAACCGTCTCCCCATGATTATCAGCGATTGACGACGAATTCAACCGAAAATACGACGGGCCTGCCGCCAGCTGTCCGAGGTACACCACGATGCTCCCGCCCGGCGCAATAAGCTACCGATGCGGCGATAGCACCACTCATTCGCCTGGCAGAGGTAGGTGACAGCCGACGCAGTTTTATGAATTGACCTGGGACTGCATGGGGCGCCTTTCTGAAGTTTGACACCATTCCTGCACTCCTTCTCGAATGTGACTCCCAGCACCACCGACTTGTACTGGCCCGGGGAGCACGGCATCCACCTGTGCCGAACTAGGTCTAGACGACTGCGGATCCGGCTGCATGGCGCGAGGCGGTACGTGTTGCACCGGCACAACCGGCGGTGCCGGCAATTCGACGTCCTGGACCTACTGCCCCCGAAACGGCGTATGCGCTCCAGATGGACGCACGTGCGAAAGCGTGCTTGATAGCGATGGCTGTGGCGTCCTGCAGGAGAAGTGTGGGTCAGGGTGTATGCGTGTTGGAAGTGTTTGTTGTGGTATGTATGCCTTTCCGCAATGCATACGGAGTACACGAGATGTGTGCGAAATGCTTGAGCATTCTTGCATTTCCCCATTGTGATTGCTCATCCTTCTTTCTTGCTTCAGGCGCCTCGTCGTGTCCCGCAGGCACAACCTGCGGCCCCAACAACCAATGCTTGAAAGACGGTGCAATCCCCTCCGGCCAGTGGGTCCCAGAAGTCGGCAACGTCGGCATCCTTTTCCGTTCTCGAGTAGTCGTTGGGAGGCCTGGTGCTACTCCTGCTGGCAACAGCACCGGGGCTGGTGGCTCTGGTAATGGCCCTGTCGGCAATACCGGTAAAAGCGGATCAAAGGATAACGGCAGCGCCGCGGTAGCAGCAACGGTTTCCGGCTTTCAAATCGCCGCCGCCATCGCGGGCCTTATCGTCAGCTTCCAACGGTAGAAGGTACAGACATTGCTCCCAAACGCTCGTCTGGAGAAGGACCGCGGCTAGCCTAGAGGTGTGTAGTATAGCACTGTAGCATTTTAGACGAAACAGGTACCGTTAGAACCACCCTATACGCTTGCAATCTGACCGCGTCTTCGGTGGAATACATGAGAACCTTGAGAACACCACGCATGTTCGTTCTCTTGTGAATCCTGGGCAGATACCTGCAGACTCGAGACGCTATTGTGAAGGGTTCAACGCTATGATAGCCCACCCACCCAAGACCGCTGAACCATCCTCTTACAGGCCGGCCCCTGCATTCGCCTGAGAGTGAAGCAATGGCCATGGGCCACCACCCGCAGACCCCGTCGCAGAAAAGCCCACACGCCCGTCCCCACAAATGGAAGCTCGAAATCAATCATACCGCGTTCTCGGTCTTGGATCCACACGAGAATCCACGGCGAGAATTCTCTGGTCTGTCGGCGGCGTCAAAAGACGTTACGTCCCCACACTGTGATCGCTCTCGGTCGTCGACTCGTCCCTCTACAGTACAGCACGTTTTGTACCCACAGTACCGCAGGCGATGATTAGCGATAATTTTAGCGAGCGAGTTAAGCGATGATTAGCGAAGCGAGCGGAGCGCTAATTAGATCCTAGTTGGAGCTGCATGCTTTTTTCTTACTACTTTGGACTCGGAAGCGGAAGAGAGGCTGTCAGCATGCATGTGCAGCCTCTCTGGATACACCTGGCGGTCGTTGCAGAAGCCAGAGCGAAAATGTTATAAAGACCCTGCGGTGAGCGTCAAGCTTCCTCGCTTCCTAGTGTGAGAAATCTCCAACGTCCACCCACAATGCCTTCCGCCCTCCTCTCGACCGCTGTCCTCGCGCTGGTCGCGCAGACAGCCCTCGCCCTGCCCGGCTGCGATGGCAACTCCCACGGCAAAGACCCCCGACCACTCATCCCCCGAGACTGCCCAAAGACCGCCATCGGCTGCACCAACAGCACCTCGACCGGCCTCCCATACTCGGGATGCTGCGTCCCCGACCAGGGTCTCCTGGTCTTTGCCCAGAACTGGACCATGGGTTACTGCCAAAGCGGCGCCACCTGTGCGAACGAGACGCTGAACTCGTTGCCAAAGAACGAGTTCACCATCCACGGACTGTGGCCTGACTACTGCGACGGTACATACAACACATCCCCTCTTGGATGTGACCCGGCCCGTGCGTACCACGATGTGTCGGAGCGTATTGCGGCCAACACGGTCGAGAAGGGTTTCGTTGAGAAGCTGAAGAAGGTGTGGAAGGGTGCGGATGGAAGCTACGAGTGGATGTGGTCCCACGAATGGACAAAGGTATGGACATCTCATGAGCCAGACGTTGAGCAAATTGTACACGATCGCGAAACTGATGTCACATCTCTTGTCACAGCACGGAACCTGCATGTCCACCATCAACCCCACCTGCTTCAGCAAGGAAGTGCAGGCCGCCAACTCCTCCGCCGACGTCCTCACCTACTTCCACACCACCTACAAGCTCCGCGAGCGTTACGAGATGGGCAAAATCCTCCGCAAGAAGAACATCGTCCCTTCCGCCACCAAGCCATACAAATTCGCCGATTTTCAGGCCGCTATCGAAGCTGATACCGGTTACCCCGGCACACTTCAGTGCGTGAAGGTCAACGGAACTGCTTACCTGTCTGAGGTCTGGCTGTTCTTGAACGCTCGCCCCAACCTCAAGTTTGTGAGCCAGATCCCCGTTAAGCTTTACAACTCTTGCCCCAACAATACCGACATCTGGTTCCTTCCCCAGCCCAAGAAGCACTAGAGGGTATTGATACACACTTCCTCACTAGATTTTAGATTGTAGTAGATAGAACCACCCCGTACATATCGCCAACATTGAAAATCGATTGAGTACTGGCCAACACACAATCAGCCAGTTATCGGTATGCGAAGACTTGAAACTGTTCTGGGAACTTGAAGTTATCTTTCCACTATGTTAATCATGCGGATTGCATTGCGACAACGTCGTAAGGGGTAGAGAAAAAATCGTTGTTTATCTAATGTGACAGTCCGTATAAAGAATGGATAAGGGATCCTATATATCGTGTGCTAAAGTATGGGTAAACGTCTGTTCGGAAGTACGCCGTGTTCAGTCCGGTTGTTCGTGGTGATTATACGCCAACTCGGAAACACAGCAGTATCAGCATGCGGTCTTAAAGAAATGCGAGTGAGAGTGATGCTGGGGGGTCTAAGCCATGAAGAGACCGACGACACCGCCAAACACGGCGCCACTGAGGCCAGCAAGCCTCGATCCAGCGTCGTTCTTAGCCGCAGCGGTAGCAGTTGCAGTGGCGCTAGCAGTGTTGGAGATAGCGTCGGGAGCGGCGGTGGAGGAAGCGGTGGGAAAGGTCGAGTAAGTTCCGGAGAGAGTGGGAAACGGGAGGAGACTGGTGCTGCGGGTGACGGTGTTGGCGGGGACGCAGGCGTCACAGTACTGCGAGGTTTGCTGGCGGATGGTTGAGATGGAGGGAGAAGTCGTGCAGAGCTGGTTGTAACTAGCGGCCACGGGTGAGAGCGGGAAACGTCAGAAGGAGAACCAAGGCATTTCTTCTTCGTACGAACAACCCTCTCCCCTCCATCTCTATTTCCCACTTACCAGCTCTGGACGGCGGTGTAGTCATTGCACAGACAGCAATAGTATAAGGCCTGGTTCTCACGGACGTTGTTGCAAGCGTTCTCGATTGTGGTGCCAGGGGTGGTGGCTAGTTTGTTTCCGTCCAAGATACCTGATATACCGGAGCAATGGTGAGCTTCTTTTCTGCTCTTCAAATATCATTCATGCCCGAAACGTACCGTTGCTGACACACAGGTTGAAGGTAGCCTGGTTAACGAAAGGTGAGCAGGGAGTAAATGTGAGAGCGGACCGAGAGCATTTCGACAGAAGTTCCACATACCTGGGTAGCATTTCCACAGTCCGTAGCGAACTGGGCGGCTGCAAGGGCCGGCAGGGCGACGACGAAGAGGGCGACGAAGTTACGCATTGTAGCTGTAGTTCCTGTCCAGTGTTTCCGTGGGAATGATGCTGTTCGCTGCGAGTTGTGCGGCACGGGAGAGAAGGGCAAAAAGGGCAAACGCCTCCCGACGAGCCTTGCGGTCACTGCAGCCGCCCGTCGGGAGCGTTTGTCCAAATTCGCAGTTCCCACTCCACTACCAACCACCGTCCCAATATATACGAACTATACATATACACATACATACGCTCCTGTGGGACGCTGTGGGGCAATAGACCTCCTTCCAGGTTCAGAACAATTGTGGGTCAACATGTGCCAAGTCTCGTTCGCCTCGTCCAACTGGCCGTCTCACCTGTCTCACTTCCATGGCCGCGTAGATCTCAACACATCACACATTTCTATACTACTTGAATCGTTTGCGGTTCACTCAAAAGGCAGAAGAAGGGGCTTAAGGAACTGCTGGAATACAAAACTTGGAATACGCTCTCTTTCTACTTTGACGAGGCGTGGCTGGAAGCTCCGCAATGGCAGACCCCAACCGACCTGCTCCCGGTCGGGTCTTTATCCCACCTCGGCGCAACGTTCCAGCTCGTGCGTCAACGTCCAGCTCCCGAGAAAACAGCTATTCCGGAGATTATGGAAGCGGGACCCCCGTCAGTGCTCCATTGATGAATACTAGCGGCGGTGCACCGCCATTGCCAGGCCGCGCCGCTACATACAATCCTTCCGGACCTCACATACCACAAAGAGCTCCATCCGGCTCAGGGCCTAGCATCCCATCTCGCTCTGCGTCCGCCCAAGGGCTGCCAGAGCGGACAGCCAGCATCGCCAACAGGAACTCTTTCATGCCGCCACCTCGCAGAGTAACGGCAAATTCTCAAACGCAGGATGCCCAGCGATACGCCGCACAACAGACAACATCGCCACAGCTCTCATATGAGCAACAACCGCCCCTACAATTGATGCCTGGACTGTCAATGGGATATCCCGGCGGGCCGGAACCACAGCCCGGCTATCCGCAACCTCTAGCGTTTCCATCTCCCGATGGCATGGGGCAGCGACCGGTAGCCGGATTCAGTCAAGCACCCGTACCGCAGCAATATGCAATGGCATATGCCCCACCTTACTCTGCTCCCAATACGAACCCCTATGGTCAACCTTCCGAGCTATTTCCCGAACCAGCACCAATCTTGGAAAACTTCATAACAACGGAGAGTCGGCGACCACAGTCACTCTATTCTGAATCGAATCGACTAAACACTGTGCAACAACATAGGCTCTCCCTCTCTGAGATTAGTCCCGTCTCGTTTGGTGAGGGATCGCAGCCTGATTTGCAACGCACTTCTACCGAGAACTCTTTGAACATCCCTCCACGGTCGGGGGGCTTCACCATACCATTGCGGAATGCGTCCGTCAACCGTCCCAACATTGATACCCTGCTGGACGAAGGAGCGACCGCATTTGCGCTGCCGAGGCACAACGTTGATGAGGCGCTTGGAAAGTGGCGCCAGGCGAGAGAGCTCGCTTTGAGGGAAAACGATATGCTCAGAGAAGCAAAGGCGTTGTCGAACATTGGGTGTGCGTTGAGGAATCTTGGGCGATTGAGGGAGAGTCTGGACGAGTTGCGGCAAGCGTGGGATATATCCACGCGTTATGTCGAAGAACATGCCCGCACAACAAACTCCTTGTGGCTGCAGCTGGTCATGCGGCATGCGGACATCGACTCCGATGTGGAGGAGGATGACCCAATTCCGGTGCTAACGTCTGACAACGCCGCGAACGGAGAAAGCCATGATCCATCACAGGGCCCGCCAATCGTGGTGTGGTTCCTTCAGTTGACTACCAACCTGGGCAATGCCCACTACTGTCTGGGACAGTACCAGGAGGCGATCCAATATCACGACATGTGCAAGAGATTAGCAGAGGCGGTGCTGGAGGAATACCCGCTTCCTCCGCAGTTCACTCTGGGGACTTTGCAGCGAACGAACATCTCTACGGCTTCCTTGAAGTCAGCGGCTGGTAGAGAGGAGGGAGATTCCGAGAGTAATCGTGGAAGTACTGGGGAATTAGGCCCCTCCACCAAAACCAAGATCAAGCTGTCGTACCTGCACCGTCAAACACTCATCGCCGAGACACGTTCGCTCACGCATTTGGGTCTTTGTTATCAACAGCTCGGTCTGGATGACGAAGCTCTGTCGACGCACAAGCAAGCGGAGACGATCGTATCGTTCTACTCTGCCCGTCTTCTTCTGAACACCACATCGACCCGCCGAGCCTCCCTGTCCAATCCGAACGATATCTTCACAGCTGTATCTTCCGCGGAAGCTGGAATTGTCGCCAACTTGGGAACGGCCCATCATGCGAAAGGCCACATCCACACAGCGACGGATTACCACAGCCGGGCGGCCAAGCTGTTCTCCAACATCGGCGATCAACTCGGAAAGGCGAAGCAAGATGCCAACCTTGGGTGTCTGTCCATCGAGGTGGGCAAGCTGGTGAACAACCTCCAGTGGGCTCATGAGGTGAACCTGGCGCACCAGAGAAATCCCGCAAATCTAGTAGCAAAGTTGAACACATGTCGTCAGTTCTGGGGCCCCCCAAGACTGGAGACGATCAATTGGGGAGTTGGAGCGCCGGACGAGGATGCACCTGAGATCTTGGGACAACCCCTGTTCGATGAAGGGATCTTGGCTCTTTATGAGATTGAGAAAGTGTTTCGACGGAAGCAAGACTGGCTTGGTCGGGACTTCGTTTGGGCGAATCTAGGTAAGAGCTTTTTTGTTTTTCTGTGTCATGAAGTGCAAGACTCCTGAGTACCTTCTTTTCCTATAGCTGTGGGTTATGTTCTCCTGCACCAGCCATACTTGGCATTGTACTACTTATCGCGGTTGGCGCCGGAGGTGCCCGCTGATGGCACAAACCCAACAACGGGGCTCTTCAGTCCCGATGCCAGCAATGCGTACGGCACGAAAGCGATATCCCCATTCCTGTACCCCCATGTCTATTTCACCTTGACCCAAGCCCTCTTCCTCCTCACACGGCTAATGCAAGCCACTCCCGGACGGCCGCTGTTCCCTCAACCAGGCGACGGCTATCTCGACCACGGAACGGGATTGCCAGTCATGGATCCCGAGCCGGTCTCGCGATTCTTGAAGGCGATGCATCTGGAGAAACTCACCCCCGACACGATAAATGACGAGAAAGTCATGGAGCTTTTGGTAAACTGCCGAGAGGTCCTTGATGGGATTGTCGGTGCGCGCACGCAGGCTACAGCCACGATGATGTTTGCCCTCTCGGGCAGCGGCAGCACGGTCGGATTGGACGCAATTAGGCAGAAGAGTGTTTTGACGACCGCGACGTGTGCCAAAATGGGGTATTTGTTGGCGGATGGGCCGGTCGATGTGCCAGAGGTGTTCAAGAGGCTGTACGTAGACGACGGGAATCGCGCCTTGAGCAGATGCGCGAAGGAAATACTGGGCAAGGCAGGGCTGTCTCCGAGCTTTGGCGAACCGATTGCCACGCAAGCGTGGGACGGCAGCTCACCGTCTGGGCCTCCCATTGACGGACCCGTCACACCTTTCTTGGCCATCAGCGACAGAATCTTATCGGCGCCTCGGAATGCAATCGAGACCGACTCGGTGAAATCGCAGTCTACGTCATCTCGATCATCGCTTTATGTTGGAGGAGGGGCTATCGCAGCCGACTCCTTGGAGGGGCAACCGGCAGTTCTCGGCACTCTCCTCGGGATCACGGCCGACCTGATATCATTCGCCGTGTCCAATCGGTCAAAAACTCAAGGCACAAGCCTGGATCTCCCCTCCCTTCTGGGCTGCCCACCTGAAATCGACATCTTCGAGACACGCAAACGGCTCCTCCACGCCGCAATGCATGTCTACGGCTCCGCCATCGGTTTATGTCCCGCCTGCGCCGAGAAATTGATACCCGCGGTGGAGCAAGCCCGAGCGCCCATTGAGGGCGAAACCCCGCAAGACGAGTTTCACGAAGGCGCTGATATCGTCTTTGTCAAAATGTCGGAGCGTGATAAGCGCGACCCCAACTTTGCGCCGACGGGGCATAGCAGTCCGGCGATCGTTTACCCGTGTCGCCATTATAGTTGGCCCAAGTAAAGACACGCTCTGTCGATTCCCTCTCGCTTCACTGGGTTTTGTCGTTTATATCGTAGCTTTGTAATTTACACACACGGTGTTTTGGGCCTTGCCCGTCACGCGTCGCAGTGTTCTTCCAATCGTAGTTTCCTCCCTCATCCCCCTTTTTTTGGATTGTAAATGTGTTGTTCCACCCAATTCGTATCTCCACTCTTCCCTCAATCATTCCGTATACTTCACGTCGCCCCCCTGCTCTTATTCATACAATTGTACATTTCGTTAAGCTATAACATGCGCGCCCATGGCATTACGGCCTATGTACTTCAAATCAGGAGAGCATAGAATCCCAAAGCGAGTGCCCATACTCAAGTTTGACAGCATTTCAACAGAATTAATGTTATCCGGAGGCGGCCACACTCACCGACCTCCTCCAGCTTTCAGCGTGGCCCATCGACATTGCGCGACAAAGTCCGGAATTACTGTACTTGGTGGATAAATACGTTCGACACTCACGAAGTCAACCTCAAAGCTTCTTGATGAGATCGGGAAGGAGAGGGATCGACGACTCATTCACAGCAAGTTATACGAACGGATTCCGGGTCGCCAGCTGGGCTGGGACAGGAGGTTGTGGCAAAGTATATGAGCAGAGGAGGCTGAGCGGTGGCCCAAATCATGAAATTACGAAATATGCATTACTGTGTGTCTATATGAGCGCCTATCACCTATATCCTCGGGGCCGTGGCATCGTACTTCACGACAGCCTCCGCCAGCTTCTCTCCGAATTCTTGGGCTGAGGTGAACCCTTGTGCGGAAACTACCTCCTTATCTATCACGACCTTGGTGCCCATGGGGATGGGATTGACTTCGACGATGGCGCCGGCCTTCTCGAGTTCGGATTGCACCTTGAACTTGAGGGCGGAGCGGAACATGACCTCGTTCATCGACTCCTCGCGGTCGCTGTAGCATGAGACTTTGTAGCCGGCGTACAGGAAGGGACCGACGGTGCGGGTGGAGAGGAGAGCGATGGGGCCGTGGCAGAGGGTACCTAGAAAGAACAGCCATGTGTGATGAATTTCAATCCTTACAAAGCTGCCCAAGCGCGGCGAGGCCGATGACTCTGTAACTCACCAGTAGGCTTCGACCTGTCGTGGAAGTGCTTCAAGATCCGTCCAAGGTCCTTGTCGTCATGCAGATCCTGCATCGGTGCATGTCCACCGGGGATCAAAATACCCTTGAACGTCTCCAGATCCGCATCCGTGATGTCCGCCAACTTGAACGGCTGGCTCAACCTAGCCTCGTTCTTCAGCTTCTCCACGAACGCCTGCTCCCGGTTGCGCTCGAGGAAGTTGAATAGGAAAACGGGGAGAGATTCGGAGAGGGGGTCGGCTGATGGTGCGTTTCCCTTGGGGTTGGCGAAGACTGGTGCGTAACCCGCGTCTAGCAATTTGATGACGGGCTTGACGAGCTCAGGAAGGAAGAAGCCGGTGGGTTGGTCTTTGTTGTTGGCGAGGGTGATGTGGTCTTCACTGGAGAGGACAACGAGGACCTTCCCCTTGATGGGCTGGGCGGAAATTGGGACGGATTGGACGGAGGACATTTTTTGCGTTTGGTGGGTTGGGATTAATTTGATTAGAGTGTGGTTTTCGGTGCAGATTGATGAGCTTGAAAAGGTACGTTGAGTTGTTGGTGAAGCAGCCGGACCGGTAGAAGCCAGTGCCCTTTTTATACCTTTTTCACGAGCGACTCGGAACGAGTCACTGTCTGGTCCGGCGGCGCTCTCGGAGCTCCCGCTGCACATGCACATGCATCATATCGCCACAAATTACAAAACGTAGAACAGCCTTCCACCTCATGCTGACACCACCAGTGTTGGGATCGTTGATCAATGCGGCTGCCGGCAATGGGCATCATCCATCGCGGGGTTCCATCAGACTCCGGCGTCCGCCCAACGTCTTTCTGTGATGATGATGAGAGACGCCGAACTGGACAGTGGTTTGAGGCTTGGAAGCGCAATGATGTAATGACGGCATAGCGGATAACGTCAAAGTCTCAATTGACGGGAGCCTGAGACGCGCCATTTGTACCCCGTCAGCAAAGCCACTTGACGCTCGACCATGCAAGCTGATGCACCCGTTAGTGAGTCTGGAAAGCGAAATCAAGTCTGTATCGTGCAGTTCGTGTATCTACCAGCCATAGTCAGCTTTCTATTCTCCGGCTGTCCGTGTGGACGTCTAATGGAGGGGTATGGAACTGGCCATCTACGACGACTACCTACTTGCATCGGCACGTCGGTAGCAGAGCACAATGTAGATCACATTGTCATCGCTACGATAATCCTCTGAGTGTGTCAAACGGAATAATGCACTATCTCCGACTGTTGAAGAGGACGATGCGACACCATGGTTGATGCGTCCGTCCGATAAGTAGCTGTCCACATCCACCCCGAACTCCTTGGGGTTGTGTCCCATCGCACTCAAAAACGCCGCCAACTCGGCATTGAATCTTTGTCTCCTAGGCACCACGCACCAGAATCTCCCATGAGGTTCGTAGCTCAGATACCGATCGACGACCGCAGGTATCAGCGTTACTGCATTGTCGTACGCCACGTCTGATGCGATAACATAATCAAACGTGGCGCGCTTCGAGTCTCCCGTCTGTATCGAGTCATCCAGATCCTCCGTATCTGGCCAAGAATGCATCGCTCCATCCCGCCAGTCCAACATGCTAACATCTACGACATCGTCCAGATTGTTTGCTCGCGCATTGTACACCAAAGTATCCAGAACCGCAGGGTTGTAGTCGGTTAGCGTCATGTGGAAGGAATGCGACGATGGTGTAGAGTCCCGCCCTATTCGAGCGCATAGTAAGCCTGCCAGCCCCGTCCCGCTTCCTAGCTCTAGAATCGTTGTCTGCGCGAAGTTCGTCTTCTCTGGTGGAACCGATAATTTGATGGTGCCCTCGTCTAACAACCTGCACTCCAGACGAATTCAATGCACTTTCAGCAGATAGAATACTCTCGGAATGTGACGTTACGTACCTCGCGAGGACTACACCGGCACCCCAAGTTTGAAAGCCAATGTCGGCAACATCAGCCGTGGGTTCTCTAATAATGAGTTCACCTCCCAGCCCTGGAAACTTGTAGTTCTTGTCCAGAGCCTTCAACGCGGCACGGCCGGCCAACATCGTTAGGGTGTCGGAAACCATGTCGACCAGCACTTCAGGGTCCTCTGCTTCTCCCTCCCCATCTCCTTGTTCTCCTGCGTCAAGAAGCCAAGTCAATGAACTGACAAGCCATTTCCCTGCAAACTTCTGCAACTGAGATATGGCGTGCTGCGCAACGTCGGGCGATACAGTTGGGTCAAGGATATATAAGCTGGCCAGCTGGTGCAACTGTCGGATCAGAAGAGGGGCATTGCCGGCGTTCCGCCTGTGCGTCGTGTGGAGGAGGGTAATAAGCGGGTCGACGGACTCATCGAGGTGCTCCTTGGTCCTTGGCGCAGATGACCCTGCAGGCTTGTCGAAAGTTGCTGTTTCGTCCGGTCCTCCCATCGCATAAGATGGCCCCACAGGTTGCGGCAATTGTGCCTCTGTCCCAGCACGTCGAGCGAGGGATGTTTTTTTTTACACGTGAAGGAAGCCCGTGGCAGATGCACAAGCCGTGCCTTCCCTCCCCCTTTCCACAGGTACTGTACCAGGTGCAGTATATATATATATATGCAATATATCAGCCGCCGCCTCCTCCGCGCGCTATGGCTCTGCACTCACCATGGTCAAGACAGGGTCAAGATCAACGTTTTTGTCCAGGTTTTTGTCGGAGCGGCAGCTGTGGCTTAGACGTGTTGAATGGTTTGTCACTTTTTCACTACTTTTTCCCATTGAAGGTGTTTTGACAATTCCGCAGGTGGCAGTCGCATCCCGTATAACGGACCAGTACATATACGACAGTAGGCCTGTCAGCACGACTATCTGTGGTACTCCCTCACTAAACTAGGACTGAATAGTGACCATGTGTAGCGTAGAGGAAGATATCCAACTCGAAGCTCGTAAGTTTCGTCTGCACGACGGACATATCGACGGTTTCTTAGCTGCTCAGTTACTTATCGACCCACTTATGATTCAGAACTAAAACCGCAAAGCGGGCGAAGGCTTCTTGTGGAGGGCAAATGTCACAAGTGCAAAATAGAGCCGCCAGTGGTAGACACAAAGGGTGTTCATTACTGCAGGTCGGTCCCTTCCATTGCCGTTTGCGGCGCATGGCATAGCATCGTACTGACCGAATTGGTCTATAGGAACTGTTTTATTGAAAGCGTCCTGTATAGATTCAGGATAAATATCATGAAATCCTCCAAAGGCCCGGACGGAATGAAAGTGTTGATTGCATTTTCTGGAGGACCTTCGTCAAGGTATTTTTAACCCAACCATGCATGCGATACAAAGAGGTGTCTTCCGCCACAGTGGATTACAAGATCCTAATGGCCGCTTGTAGACTTGTGATTGAGGGATTCAAGCGATTCCATACACTGGACTCTGAAAACAGCCGAAAGAAACGGAAGTTCTCGGAAATCGTCATATGCCATGTGGATCAGTCTTCTGTATTTGGCAAAGTAGTTGATGCGAAGGAGGCGGGCATCGAGAACCTTGTCAAATCATCAGGGTTCACGTACATCCGCGTACCAATCGAAAATGTATTCGCGGGGCCGGATGGGGTTGATCCTGGCTTTTTGGCTGCTTCGGGAGCAGACGCAAATGGTGAGTCCTAGTGCATTTGGCTGTTCTTCTCGGGCCCGTCCTCAATAGTGCCTCGCTTTTGTCAGACGCGAATGCGCATCGGATGAACATGGCTTACATCGCAAACTCGAATTTGACGCCCGCCGAAAGATTACGACAATGTTTCAACAGCCTCGGAAAACTGACAGCAAAGGAGGACATGCTACAGACTTTGACGATGAAGGCGGTGCTGGACACCGCAAGGGCGCATGGTTGCTCATTGGCGGCGCTTGGGGACAATGCTACGCGGTTAGCCGTTAAAGTTGTCTCTTTGACAAGCAAAGGAAATGGCTTCAGTTTGCCCTTGGAGATGGCGGTCGCGTCGAAGTGGCATAAAGGTGACAAACACTGCTGCAATCGATTTGCATGAAAAATTCGTTGCTTAACGCTCCTATTGCCTCCCAGATATTACCGTAATCAAGCCACTACGCGACGTACTAGCTAAAGAGGTCGTTCTGTTCAACAAATACGAGAATCTGGACTACGCTGTTGTCCGAGACTTCACCACGGGGATGCCGGCGAAGGCCAGTATCGACCGCCTGACCGAAGCATTCGTCATCGGACTGCAGAACGACTTCCCAATGACGGTCCCTACGGTTGTTCGGACGGGCGAGAAAGTTTCATCCGAGTACTTGCTGGAGGACACTACGGTCTGTCCACTATGTCAAGGGTAGGTGTTGGTGCTCACTGTACCACCGTGATTGGCTGGGTCCTCATCCTATCAATAATGAACGGTAGACCTGTACAATACGCATCGAAGGACTGGCGGGCAAATCACACTGTTGCCGTTATTCCCACCTCGGAACCCTCGTCGACAGCGGAGTTACCGAACGCTTTCGCGAAAATGAATGTTGGAAGCTCTCCTCATGCGAACGACTGCACACAATCCTCGTGCTGCGCCTCGTGTCCTGAGACCTCTGGCGGATGCTGCTCGTCAAAGCAACCGAATTCATCAGTAATCGACATATCCCAGCATATCTGCTACGCCTGCCAGAATCTTTGCCAGGACGCGAAGGACGCCGCCGTCGCAGCAACGCAGAAGCGTCTACCGCGCAATGGCGCACAGCAGAACGGGGATTCACCAGCAGAGACAAAGGCAAACGCCGACCTTCGGCTCATACTGCCGCCTTATGTGGCTCACGAGGTCACGAAACGAGTCGGCAGAGATTGGATGCGAGATCAGATTGCTGATTTCTTGGTGGTTGATGACGGTGCTGACGAGACGGAGTAACTTCTGCCCCTGGCTGTTGTTTTTCTCACGGCGGAGAGCTAGTCATTTTTGGTATATCGAGTTCTAGGTCGTTCTGGGTCGTTCGGGGTCGTCGTAGATACGAGGGTAAACATGTAGGGAGTAGTTATAGACTACGATTCGGCAATTTGAGAAGATGGCGGTGCACCAGAGTAGCTCAGGAAGCTGCATAGGAAGAACTTGGCACTCAGGGACAGTTGGGAGTTGCGGGCTCGAAGTTGTTGCAGAAGTGCCGAGAGCAACAACTCGATCTCGCACCCACATGAAGATTGATATCACCTTCCTCTATTTTGCAAAAGTCTATGTACATATCCTATACACCCAATATGGAGTGGATTCTAATCTGCAAATCAATATATTACTTTGCCTTTGGCTTCGCGGACACCTTTTCCCAAAATTCGTCATTTGACGTTGATTGCCGCTTTTCCTCGTCTTCTACTTTCTTCTTGAGATACTGCGTCTGAAGGTCTTTTACGCGCAACAGACTGAAGTGCTGAACCTAGAGAAGTACAAGAAGCAGGTTGTTGTGTGAGACCAAGTCATACAATCAGAAGCATTATTGCTTTACTATTGCCTGTATTGGTTCTTACGACTCACCCAACTTGCTAAACACTCCTTGTCAAACTCGGCCTTGGCAGCCTTGCAAGCAAAGAGTTTTTGCTTTGCTTCCTTTGACAGTTTCCGATCCTTTTCGCTGGCAATAGTGAGTCGCTGCGGATCTAGTGCTATTATCTCTTCGTGTGTCTGAGGTGCCAGGCCATGCAGGTACAGATTGTGCGCGTCCAAGCAGGCGAAATATGCGTCTCGGGCCTGCCAGCAACGAGAGCGTGCGGATCGTGATGGTGGGACAGAGCCCAGTTTTGGCTGTTCAGCAGGCATTGCGGGTAAACTGCAGGGTGTGTTATGTGTCTATTGCTGCTGGAGCACGAAGTTGAACCAGAGTCTCCAGAGTTGAACCCAGAATTTCGAAGGCGAGGCGAAAAACGCAGACGGGCAGAGCTTTGTCGAGTTTCATCACTTCTCAAGAGGCCCTCTTTCACCGCTTTGGTTCAAACAATCTCCCCCCTCACGAATAACCGACAGCATCAGAACAGATATTTGTGAAGCAAGGAGACGATCGAAAAGATAGGTCCGGTAGAATGAAGCGGAAGGCGCCGACATCATCTGCAGACGACGTGGAGGCTCCGGTCAGGAGGAAGTCTGCCCGACTCACAGGCTCGACGGCACCAGTTGCATCTGCGACGCAATCTTCAACACCAAGTAAAACTGCCACTCAAACCAAGCTGTCATTTTCTCCGCCAAAGCCAACGCTAGCCTCCGTTTCCGCTGAGTCAACAATGGTGGCCGTAGCGTCGGCCGTTCGGACCATATCGGCGAGACAAGCCACGTATCTCCGGTTAGTGTCAAATCACCTTATCGAAAGCAAATTATCACCGACGGCTACTTCAGCCGTCTTCATTACGAAAAAGTTGTTTGGCGTCCAGGCGCAGGAGGCATTGTCTGGTTTCATGTCCATACATAGCCGGTTCGCGAGACGACCGACAAAAGAAAGCCCGCCCACAACGGGCTGTGTTTCGCTAGAAGTAGAAAGTGCCAGCACGCTCACAGCGCTCCAATCCCTGGTCCTCTCCGAAAAAACGCCGCTGGTCCGCATCTGGGCCCAGCGATGCACCTTACATCTCTTCGCGTACGATGATTGGCACATCGTTTCATCTGCCTTCAAGGCAAAGATCTTTGCGACCCGCACCAACTCGATTCGTTTGGGCAACGTTACGGGGAAAGATTCCTCAGCGCAATTCATCAAAGCGCAGAAAGCGGTGAAGGAGAAGCTGGAGAGGGGGGAGAACGTGACCAGGAAAACGGTGGAGGAGATGGGATTTGATGGGGCGTTGAGTTACAGCTTGTTCATGTGCGCGACGCTACTGAGGCAGGGTTCGAAAGCCGAGGTTAATGCAGGAGCGGCTGCTGAGCTCAAGCCGCGATATATACCAGAAGGCGAGGAGGAACCGCATGTGGAGATGGCCAAGGATGCTGCTTTGAAAGAGATTGCGCGACGGTATTTCGAAGCGCATGGGCCCGCTCAAGAGATCGATTTTAGGTATCATTATGACTTGCCGGCTGGGGATTCCAAACCTGCGGTCAAGCATCTAATCGACCAAGGGCTAATACAGTCAGTCGTCGTCACACCACGTACGCCGCCGCCTCCTTCCGCAGCCAAGTTGAAGGCGAAAAGTGCTGGCCAGCCCACACCGCACTACATCTCCACTACAGCGCACAATATGTACCTTGCACCCATAGCCGCACCGCCGCTCCCTGCCCATCCCCATATTCCCACATTACTCCTCTCCCGCTTCGACCCAGCATTGCTCGCCCACAAGGACAAATCCATCTGGGTCGATGACGACCGAAAGTACCTAGTATGGACCAAGAACGGGTTGATTAACGGCACGGTGTTTGTGGACGGGCGCGTGCAGGGTACGTGGAAGGTGAAATACCTCGAGGGCGAGGGTGGCGGGGTGGGCGGTGTGAGGATTGTTGTGGAGATGTTTGAGGGTGTTGAAGTTGGGGATGAGGTCAAGCGCGATATTGAGGAGGAGGCGGAGAGAGTGAGAGCGTTTTTGGACGCGCCGAAGGTTGTGGTCGGGTATGATTAGAGATTAACGCGCGTGGGAGAAAGGAGTGAGACGCTTCAAGCATTGATACTGGTCTCGACGAGCAACCTGACGGGGCGCTGGTCGCTCTCACAAATGAGAGGTGCCGCGACGGTGGGAGAAAACCGAGGGTCGCACGTTTATGGATGGAACCACTGATTGGAAGTGTGACCAGTGAAAGTACAATATCCAACCTTAGACGTTGCATTCCCGAAATGGATCTGAAGAGTGATTGTTGATATATGTACATGCTATGCAAAACTATTCTACTTGTGACCCAATTCCTGAGGTCCCAAAAATCGCCATCATTAGCCACAACGTCAATCATAAAGACGGCGATGGGTGACGCTTCACCTTCAATGCGCTCTCTATCGCGTGCAAAGTTTTGTCCAGGTGACCGTTCTCCGCCTCATTTACAGCGCTCACGTTCATCTGTGTTCGCGATGGGTTAAACGCAGTCAGCTTCGATCCGACATGCGTGTGTGTGTGAGAAGGCACAGATACGTACATGTCCAATACGGAAATACTTCGCGGCGTGTTCCGGATGCAGGCCTCCAGCGACAACGACGCCAGCGGCGCCGATCTTCTGCAGAAGCTCAGGACCTTTGATGCCGTCTGGGTAGTAAACAGCGCTCAGCGTGTTAGCGGCGATATCTCTGCTATGTGGAACCTGGAAATAACGTCTTGTTAGATACTCTGTCGTGCCTTCTGCTCTCACGTAAGAGACCCCATAAGCTCACCAACTTGAGACCCCACTTCTCCAACGCATCCTTGACCTTCTTCGACGCCTCCCTGTGCTTGGCAAATCGGGTTTCCATTCCCTGATCCACCAATTGCTTCAGACTCGTGTGAAGGGCCAGGATGAGTTGCACGCTGGGAGTGGCAAAGTAGGAGGGCTTCCGGGCCTCGTACTGCTTCATGATTGGGAGCCACTTCTTGAATGACCCAAAGTACGTTCTGGGCTCAGCTTTTCGGTTCGCCGCAACTTCCAGAGCACGCTGGCTCACAACCATGATGGCCAACCCCGGTGGGGTTCCGAGCGCTTTCTGACTGGCGGTCATGACAACATCCAAGCCCCACTCCTCTTGACGGATTTCCTCCGCTCCCACAGAGCACACTCCATCCAGAGCAATCAAGGTGTCAGGCGACTTTTCCTTAACCATCTTTGCGATGCTCTTGATGTCAACAAACACGCTGGTCGACGTGTCCACGTGCGTGACGGTGATGAGCTTGTACTTTTTGGCCGTCAGCGCCTTTTCGATCTCCTCAAGGCTGGGACGAGCGCCAAAGGGAGCACGGACGTGGGTGACGTTCGCGCCGTAGACGCCCAAGCACTCTCCAAACCAGTCTCCAAAAACCCCGGTGTTGACGACGAGCACATTTTCCCCAGGTTCGACGAGGTTGGCGGCGGTGATGTCCCACGTGAGGGTGCCAGAACCCGCGATGATGAACGGCTGGCCGTTAGGAGCCAAGAAAACCTTACGGCACAGCTCAATGGTGCTTCCAAACGTCTCGATAAAGTTGGGCGAGACGTGGGAGGTAGCTGGCGCAGCCATTGCCGCGAGGACTGCCTCGTCAAACTCGACGGGACCTAATATCAAAGACGGACGTCAGTTAAGAGAAGACGTTCAACGTGATGGCATTCAACGGCTGCATACCTGGGATCATGCATAGCTTATGAGAACCAGGCATCTTCGTAGTAAATGATCTGATTGAAGTTCGAGCTGAAAGAAGCGTAATTTGCGATGGAGAGCGCTGAAGGATGCTAAGATACGGTGCTGCGTTGGACAAGTTGCGGACGAGTCGGACGGCAAGCATGAATTGCGGAGGGAATGTGGAGATCCGTGAGAAAACGCAAGAAAGTTATGGGCCTTCGCCACTCCACTCACTCCACGAAAGCTGCGTGAATCATCGAATTTTGACACACACTCCGACTCTTCCCGAGACGCTGGCTTTCAGGCTGGCTTTCAGGACTGTTCAGGAGGATCTGAAAATGTCTAAATGTCGCATATCCGAGGTTTCTACCAACTAATACGTACAGTGTAAAAGCTATCGACAAGCACGAGAACCAGCTGTATGGACGAGCCCTATCTTGAGTCGTTAGCTAATTCATGTTGCCAATGACTCCAGTTTCAAAGATGACAAAGATGACGATAATGAGGACGAATAGGAGGATGAAGGCGACGATCCGCTTAGTCTTCCTGGCACTCCTGACGCTTGTGGCGTCAGGCCTCGCAATGTTATGCTGTCGTGCCAGTTGACCCTTGTACCCGTTCTTTGCTTCTTCCTGGACCGTTTGGAACTCGCGAGCATTGAAGATGAGTTTCGCAGCAAGTCCATTTTGCTGCTTTGCGTGCATATGAGCAGTTGCTTGAGAGGATGCCGGAATCGCCGACACTTTGCTGACTTGAGCACGTTTCCAGCAACGCGCGGCTGTGAAGATTCTTTATGTCTCGGGTATGCTTTTCAATGCGCGCTAGCGTTACTGATTTTCACCAGAGAGAACAACGTGGGAAAGGCGGTGGCGATGATATTTCTCTACAGGTTGCCTCCCCTACCTCTCTCGAAACCTGGTCCAGAATTGACGTCGTGAGTGTCTTGACGGAACCTAACTCGACGTCCTCGGGGTCACCGGCGTAAGAAACGTGACGTTGCGAGTTGGGGAATTCAACTAGAGTTCCGCAAAAGCCCGACCTCCATCACACACACCTCAACGGCCGTCCAGCGCCATATCGTCTGCTTACACTCTCGTGTCGCGACTCTCAAATGCGTCTTGGAGGGCGAGTGCGACGGCGTGGACCTGGACATGATGGGGAGAGAACGGAAGGTGGCCCATCGCATTCATGTCCAGAAGCAAAATCTGTACGCGCGCCCATTCCACGGAAATGCCAGTCCGCCATCTGGTCCGCCGTCGTCCGCCACCCAAGCCATTTCAATCAAACATCGCCAGGGGTAGAAAAGCGCAAAGCAGCTTCAAGGCGGTTCTCCTACAAACCTTTACATGATGGAGTCCATTCAGCATTCGGCATGGAACCCACTCAGCACTTGCTCGCCGTCCAACATCGACGGATGACCCATACGACGGTTTTCAATTGGCCAGCGGTCACGTGAAGGCACGAGTTGGTGAATAGATATGTTGGATTTCTCATGCCACACGTTTTCATGGGCTGCTGTTGGCCAAAGTCCCCGTCGGCATCGTGCATAAGTCCACACCGGCAATACCCCGCATCGCCCTCAATGCGAAAGCAATGACAATACCTGAACCTGCTTCCCACGCTCTCCAGGAGCTCGGGATAGCCACACTTTTGTCCGTTCTCCGAACATCTACAACCAAGCCGCTGCCCCTTCTTCATTACGTCCTCGCCTACCTCGACCCGCTTGACATTCTACATGTCTCGCAACTGCACCATGCCCTTCACGCAGACCGCCGTCTGGCCCCGTCGGGTGAACTATGGTGGTGGCGCACGTTTCATGTCGACGCTCCGCCCGCGCGAGGGATGCGGACTGCCGAACGAAGACGGGATTGGCGACGCGCCTGTTTCGAAAAACACGACGAGCTGGAGCGGATCGCAGCCAAAGACGATATGAAGAGCCGTGCCGCTGCATGGGCCGCTGCGCATCCGAAAGGGAAGAAGAGCGAGATTATGGAACCGTCGCCCATGGAGTATGGGATGCCCGCAGGCTCAAGGGGGAAGCTCACGACGGAAGAGAAGGTCGAGGCCAGGGCCTATTACAAGGAATTGAAGAACAAGAAGGCCAAGGGGAAGCTTGTCGAAAAAGTTTCGAGGGAGGAGAGGTTCATTTACTACTAGGGAATAAGGGAACCACTACATGTGGGAAGTGAGGGAGAGCGCGAGAGATCACTGTAGCATTAGTTTTGATATTTATTAATTTTTGGGAAACACCCGTTGGGACCATTGTAGTCCGGCTTGAGAGCAGCGAGTAAGGGGAGGCAGAGAATAGGTCGAAATGAAACAAATAGTTTTCAACTTTCAGAATTGAAATCGAGTGAAGGCGAAACGAAACCTATATGTGATAGCTGTCATACGCCTAGCGCCGCGCCGTGCACGAAAACGCATATTTACAGGGGAATGCCCGTTGAGTGCAGAGGTTCGTGATCCTTTTCCTCAGTTTCGGGTGCAGCAGAAGGCCAGAATCCATTTCAGATCGATGAGCATGTACTTCAGTGCCTTGGTCCATGTTTCATCTTGGTTGAACTGCAGCTTGATGGGGGTGTCGCCAATCTTGTCTTTCACAATTCTATAGCGGATGCGTCAATAGGTCAGGATCAGAAGGGTCGGTTGATAAACCTGTGTATGAAACACAGGTCTTCGAGGGGACGCACCTATAGGGAAGCCGAAACTTGGAATCCCGCTGTTCTGCGTAGTCCCCAATCTGCTGTAAGCAGTGCAAGAAAGCCACGAGCGCGTTGTCGAATCGCCGGTTCCAGAAGAGAACGCCTTTGAGGTCGCCAGATCCGTACCTGTACGACATCCATGGTCAGACCGAGCTCACAGCTGGCAGGACGATTCAGTTATATTGCCTTACAGTTCGAGTGTCCCCTTGTCGCCATCGATCTTTTCTATCCTTGAGAAGCTGCCCATTGGAACTAGCTTGTAGCTATAGCTCGAGCGTTAATGGATTGACATATCAGGTAACTGGCGCTCGTATGGGACCCTACACGTGTCTCAGGTACATACTTCTTGAAGGTAAAGCGAAGCTTGTTCGCCATGGTGTCAAGCAACAAAAGGGATTGACCCATAGCAGCGTTGATTTCCGACCAGTCAACCTGCACAAAACGTTAGGTTGTTGTGCTGGAAACTGTGACTAGGTAGCCAACGCACCGGTTGAGTCGGTAATCGCCCCATGCGGAAGCCTATGGTGCGACCGCATGAGCTGGAGGTTTCAAGACAACCATAGCAGAGTGCACTTTGCAACGAAAGCTCTGCTGATACACTTGCCATTGATAGTCCCGAAGGGTCCTTCATGCCAAATCTGGAACGTGTCATTGTAGACATTGGTCTTCTTCAGACTCTCCAGCTGCTTTGATACATAGGCGTGACTCAGTTGGACACTTTGCCGCTCATTCTGATACGTTTGGAGTTTGCTGTCGAAATCATTCACATCTTGCCATAGGCTGGAATACGGAGTGGATTTGAAGGTTTGATCGGAAAACTCCTTGCGCGAAGCTTCGAAATGTACCTTGATTTTGAAACTTCAAGATCCTCGAGCTCTTTATGGACTGAGGCCAACTCTGCGTTCAGATGTTCTCGTTCCGACTCTAGATTCTTCAAAGTTTGCAGTGCCTGCCGCTCTTCATCTCTCAGCTATGATGAAGCAGTCATACGGTTCGGTAAATGCTGTGACCTCCTCGGCGGTGTTCCGGGTCGACCGTCAAACCTACGCACCTTTGTGAGGTCTTCCTCAGTCACATCCGGTTGATCCCCATTGTGCTCCTCCTCCATCAGAGCCTTAAAATACGCCTCGTACGCATCCTTCTCTTTTCGTGCCTCATGCACACGCTTCTCAAGCTTGACCATCAACTCGTCAGCGCAGTCTTCACAGAGGGGATGATCTACATCGGTTGCCTGCGAGACCAGATCGAACAGCTTTGCAGCTGTCTTTAGCTTGTGACTCAAGCTCCCTCTCAGATGGGCCGAATCGTCGGTTCCTCCTCCCGCGCCTGCATCTGCTACACCGCCTCGATTTCCTGGTAGTACACTTGTCAGATGTAGCGATGCGACCTGGGATTTGGAAAGAAGGACAAAGGAGTCCTGGATCGGTATAGCGGACTTTCCATGACGCCGCCGGTCCGTTCGTGAATCTAGCCCTGTTGCCGAGGATGCATCTCGTCCATGGTCGTCGACTCCGCTTCTATGCGCCGACTTGATAGGTTCAGTCAAGGCACCTATCGTGGAGACGTTTTAGCAGGTGTGTCAAGCGAAGCGCAACAGCAAGGCCAGAAGTTTGAAGTGTAAACCAACCAACCAACAACTTCTTCGTATGGGGAACCATCCAATAGAGATGGGTCCAATCGTGTTGGCGTATAGCATTTGCAGCAGGTATAGAAGTTCGCAGTGTCGTCGGCCGAAGCAGGTGCTGACATGTTGACTTCGAAGTAACAAAAAACACGAGCGGACGTGACACTGGGAAGTGAAAGGCCGCAGCGGTTCTGGATGTAGAGGAGCTATGTGGTACGACTTCACTATATATGATATGTATGTATATGCTGTAGAAGGCAGGAGAGGACTTATGCTCAGTTGTCGGCTGTGATGGGGAAGCTGACGGAATGTGAGCCTCGTCGCCTCGTCACCACCAACTTCCTCCTCTTTCTCGCCTCTTCTCGCCTCGCCGACAGCGGAGACGCGGCCGAGGACTCCGAGGAATTGGCTTCGTCAAGAGCTTGAACGTGCGGAACCCTCCTCGCTTAGACGCCACTGAAGCAGCCACGATGGACTTGGACAGGCAAGCCGAGGAGCAGCGGAGCCAGAGAGACGCACTCGGCCAGGATGCTCCCGCAAAAAGGGCAGTTGGCGGGGCAAACTTCCACTCCTCACTGTCCATGCGTGAGAACTACGAAAAGCACGGCGTAACAGAGTACTACTCCCAAGTCGCATCGACGTATCGCAACCCGCACGCAGAAGGCGTTGACAGGGTGGTCGCAGCTTGGATGAACGTTTGGCTCCAGCATATGGACGAAGACTTTGAGCCCGGCAAGGTGGAAGTGAAGACGAATGACCTAGAGAAAGCGTCGAGGCAAGGCGCCGGAGCAAGTATCACGTCGGAACTCGTCGATACGACAGATCCATCGACTCTGGATATCAAGGCGGGGGATGCTAGCTCCCCAGTCGGTGGTAAGCTTTCGCGTCCCGTAGCCAGGAAAGTAACAATTCTGGATATGGCGGCCGGAAGCGGAGAAGTGACGGAGTCACTGTTGTCTTGGAGCACCAAAAGAAATGACTTCCTCAGGATGAAACCGGGTCGTACTGATCCAAATGCGCTGCCTGTGAGCCCACCGTTGGAAGGTGCTCAACTTCCCGCACCAATACATGCCTCACCACAGTCTCGTCCGGCAATGTCACGGCCTGTCCCTCGTCCCGTGCCTCGTCCCGTGCCTCGCCCTTTGGCACGACCTACATCGGGATCCCCGTCCGCCATCGTTACACGTGCTTCGAAGCAAACACCTCTTCCAATAGAGTTGCAAATAACGGCGACAGATCCCTTTACAGCGCCGGCGTACACGTCACGAACTGGTTTTCCCTGTCATCCTCTCAGTTTCCGAGATATCTCCGACGGTGGGCTAGCCTCCCTCGCGCCGGCTCACTTCCATCAAGTCATTTGTTCTTTCGCTTTGCACCTGCTTACCGATTCGCATGCAGTCTTTGCCTTGTTGTGGGAACTCAGCACACGGGTACAATGGATGCTCGTGATTGCTCCGGGAAAGAGACCCGAGATAAAGGATGGAGCATGGGGTTGGGTTAGATGGGATCATCAGCGATGGGCCCCTCTGGAGGACGAGTTGAGGGCAGAAGATGGCGCAGAGATCCGATTTGGGAAATGCCGAGGCCGAATTTATAGGAGTGTCAATTACGTCCCCCCATAAACCGAAGGGCATTAGCTTGGCTGGGATGATTCTGCGTAGCGATATATATACATAGAGAAATCTAGATTCCTGCAAAGTAGATAAGAAAAGGGGTTACACTCAGCCGCTCTGCGGTGTCCGGATGCGTAGTGAGATGCACGCCAGAAAAATCCGCCAGAACCTGGCGCGATTTGCTGACCTAATCGACACGCGTCACTTCCGTCGGCTCCCCACGACCCTTCAACAACGCTGCTGTCGGTCTGAAACTGAATCCTGTGCAGCTTAAACGAAAGCTGCAGGATTGCAAACAGATCGCTCATACCGTATATACCACGGCGGTAACGGTTTGGTTTTCTCTTCGACGGTGGCCTTGCCAGCGGCCAATACCTACAGGATGGCCTCTACCGCCGCTCCAACGCCGGCGGAGCTCACCGCAAATGATGGGCGAAGCCCTTTTCCCATGAAAAGGGACCAAACGCTCGGCTTCCCCAAAGAACCCGAGCTACCGAGCGTCTCACAACACGCTGGTCGCCAGTCCACCAAGCCCGAAACCTTGACGGTCCCCATCAACACTGTCACCTATGTCGGCACGATCCCATCTCCAGCAAAAGCCGCAGAGGCTGCAACTCCTGCAACAGCTGGAAGCACCACCCCACCCCGCATTACCCCGTCGCAGTACATAAAGACACGATCCCTATCCACTGCGGAGCGCCTGGCCCAGGCTTCTCATATGTCTAGCACTCCACGCATCGTCGGCCTCATCGACGACATCGAGGCGTCCTCGAAGCCATGTCACGTTCCTGTCGACCGACCGCTATTTCAACCGTTTCCATCAACCGTGGTGCTGCAATCTTTCGTGCCTTTTCAGGTATACGAAGTTGTCATCAACTTTCGGAACAATGATAAAGTAAGTGGGGTTAAGGCGTTATGGCTCATGGCCCGTGGCGGTCTTACTGCACCCAGGGTCCCTCCTAACACCGTCGTTCTCTTCGTTAAGGTTCCCCGCCGGCTCAGAATCGAGCCAATTGACAATCCATACTTCTCGATCACCAGATGGAAAAGTGCCACATTGCATTCTGCAAAAGTGGCTCCGGGAATGGACGTGGCCTATGTCCTGCGATTCACACCCGAAGATCAGATCGACTACTCGTATAATCTCGTCTGCACCACGGAGCGGGAAACATTCTTGGTGCCTATCGAGGCTGTCGGCGCACGAGCTATGCTTGACTTTCCAAATGAACTCATATTCACGGATTGTGCAGTGAACTATGACAGTGTGCGCACACTGCTCGTGCGCAACATTGGCAATCGTATTGCAAAGTTCAGAATGCAAACCGCGGCTCCATTCAAAACGGCGCCTGAAATAGGAACTCTGGAGCCAAAGCAGAGCATGCAGATTGACGTGCACTTTAATCCCGAGGTAGGCATACTTGATGGAAAGGTTCAGGATCAAGCCCCTCGCTCATTTATGATTGGTTACTGCATAGGAAAGTGGGAGCTTTCAAGAAGACCTGCAAGTGAGCTTTGATACCGGAGAAGATATCTATGTCTCTCTGATGGGAACGGGTGCGAACGCACACATTCGTCTCGAGAAGCCAACATTACGGCTGGACAGCACGTACATCAGTTTAATCAGCATGAAGAAACTAAAGATATTCAACCGAAGCGATATCATGGCGACCTTCCAATGGAAACAATTCTCCAACGTGACAGAAGAAGCCCAATATCGAGCGCGTCGGGAAGCAGAATTGGGAATCGTCACACAATCCGACTCTGACGAGCCTGACGCCAGATATCTCGAATTTGATCAGGGCGATGGGGAGAAGGACCCGAGCGAGACAGAGGAATTATTGGATCTTGCGCTGCTTTCACAGCGATACAAGAATCAGAAGCGGGAAATCGAGCTAAATCCCATGCTGTTCGACGGATCCATTTTTCGGATTTCTCCTTCGTGCGGGACTATCTGGCCGAATTCATTTGTGGAGATGAATGTTCTCTTTGCGCCGGTGGCGGCGGGTCTCCAGACGCAAACAGTCTACTGTGAGGTGTCCGGCAGAGAGACTCGCTTGCCTTTGCAACTCAAAGGAGAAGCTATTGGACCGAAAGCGCGATTTTCTTACGATATGCTCGATATTGAAGAGATATTCATCCTAACGAAGCATACATACAAAGTTGTTCTGGAGAACAAAGGCGACATTGAAGCTGTGTTCTCGCTTAACCCGTCGAGTAGCTTATTCGGACCCAAATTCTCATTCAGCCCGGATCGAGGAGCGCTGAAGGTTGGGGAGCAGCAAATGATTGAGATTGGGTTTCACCCAGATATACTCGGGGGGTTTTCGGAAGAGTTTGTTTGGGACATCGAAGGCGCCCCAGAACCTCTGGTTCTCACGCTTACCGGCAGCGTCGTCGGGCCAAGTTTTCACTTCGATGCAAACGAAGTAAATTTTGGCGTGATCGCTTACGGCTTCACGTACAATCGATCGGTGACTCTGCACAACACTTCGCTGATTGCTATGTCATATCACCTGAGCATCCCGCCGGGAGAGAACGGAAAGGTTGACGAGTTCACGGTATCGCCCATGCACGGTGTCATTGACCCTATGAGCTCTCATCAAATTACCGTATCATTCACGCCCAAATCTGTGCAAACGTACAGCACGTACGTCACGGTGAAAGTGGATAACGTTGGGGAGGATCTTCGGCGCTTGCCCCTTCATGCCGATAGCACCGTGCCTATAATCACAGTGCTTCCGCGCATCCTATCCTTTGGTGACACATTTCTGAACCATCCCTACGACAATCATGTAACACTGGAGAACAATACCGAGTATCCAGCACGTTACGGTTTGCTTGCACAGGAGGACTCCACCAAGGCATCATATCAGTATGCATCTGACAATGGAGAAGGAGTTCTCATGCCTCACTCGAGAACTGAGGTTCATATTCAGATCCAAGTGAAGCAGTTAGGCGTTGTCGACTTTCCGATTTGTATGACCATTGCTGGCAATGAGGAAGCACCCTTGCTGACGGATATCTCGGCACATGGGATAGGACCGAACGTCGTGGTATCTTGCACGGAACTCACCTGGGGAAAAATACCAGTTTTGCAGAGAGTCCCGCTGACATTGGCCCTCAAGAATGATTCGCTTATACCTGCCATATTCGAGTGCAAATCGGTCAACGACCATTCGGTATTCAAAGTCGAGCCTCGAAAAGGCCAGATTCCGCCAAACGAGGAAGCTGCCGTTACGGTCACGGCGTTCTTGGACGACTCAGTCAAGTTCACCGATATCGTCAAAGTTATCACGCAATCTGGTGGAGTGCACGAAGTGAAGTTGGTTGCCAGAGGGCAGGGGACGACAATCACTTTCGATGATTCCCTCCGGGAGGTGAACTTTGACCATGTCTTTAGCAGCAGGGAATGCCATAAGGTTTTCACAATGACGAATAAGGGCCGCCGACCCCAAACGCTGATGTGGATTGGTGAAGAGACCAAGGGAAAAGACGGAACAGTTGCTTCGGAGCCGATTTTCGAGGTTGTCCCTCCTCGGTTCACTCTGAAACCGGGCATGTCACAGGACATCACACTTCGCGGATTCAGCAACAAGGCTTTAGATGTCCGGCAAACCCTCGTCTGTCAAGGCTTCATTGACAAAGACCCACTCAGAAGACTGGTTCTGAGCACTCAGGTTTCGGCGACCTTCGTGACCCCGTTGGTGAGGCTTTCTCCACCGGATTTGAAGTTTCATGCGACACACACAAGCGAGGATCGGCAAATGGTTCTCAGCAAAGAGCTGGAGTTGACCAACACTTCGTCGTTGCCGCTTCACATCGTCTTCAAGTACCCAAAAGCATATACAGTCCATCCATCGGTCTTGAAGGACGCATTGAATCCCAACGACACCGCAAAGGTCACCGTAACGTACGACCCTTCCTCCCATAAAGACCGTATCACAAAGCAGGAGCATGCGAAGCTTGTCATTTCCTACGCTGAACATCCTCAGAAGGATATCGTGGATATTGACAGTGAAATCATGTATCCGAACTTGGACTTTGATAGCACCTCCATCAATTACGGATGCATACCGGTCAATACCGAGCAAATATCTCGCTTTACGATGTTCAACAAGAACAATCTGCCGGTGATGTACTGCTGGAACTTTCAAGCGACGAAAGACGCTATCGAAGATGAAAGTGTCGATGAGAGTTCATTGGAGCAAATCTTCGATATTCGTCCTTTACGAGGCACTTTACTCCCAGGGGAAAAAGAAATCGTTGAAACCACATTTTACGGGCATATTCCCGGCAAATTCACCGCGCAAGCAATTTGCGACGTGTCTTGTGGACCGAAGTACAAGGTCAACCTGGAAGGGGAGGTCTCATCTATCGAATTTCAGCTCGACCGCCTGACGGTGGACTTTGGCACTCAACCTTATCAGAATGTGGTAGAGCAAGAAGTATTCCTTACCAACACTGGGAAGGTGGAATTCGACTTTACCGCTGCGCTGTTACCCACTTCCCAGCTACTTCCACGGCTGACGCTTTCTCCGGCGCAAGGAACTATTCAAGCCCGAAGCAAACAACGTATCGCTGTCAAATGTTGCATAGCAGTTCCGGAGGCAATCGAAGATGCCTTCTTCATTCAAATCGCCAGATTTGAACCCGTGCGAGTGCGAGTCACAGGAAAAGGCGTTTTTCCGAGAATCGCTCTGAACATACCGCGCGTGGCGGACGCGAGGTATGAAGCTATCGTAACCGAGATAGAAGCTGCTCACCCTCGGTCAAAACTAAGTAGTGCTGCAAGCGATGGAGTGCGGATCAGGGATTCCGAAGCGGAGGAGCAAGCAGACAGCCGCCTCTTGCGGGAGTTGACGTTAAAGCTGTTGAATGAACTCAATGAGGACGCGAAATCACGCCTGCCAGCCGTTCCCCGTGGACGATTCATCGGATCCCCTCTCCTGTACCACAAAGCCCAGCAACACAAGGCAGATAAAAAGCAGGGCTTGCTTCTCTCCGAGAGCTCCCAGGTGCGGCTCGCAAACTACATGTGCGACCTGGGGAATGTCATCAAGAATACATGCAAAAGTCAAGCAGTGACTGTGAGGAACACCGGGCATCAACCTGTTTCCTTTGTCCTTGAAAAGGCCGCGCTTAGTGGGACAGGATTTTCCGTAGAACCTGACAAAATTCGCTCGCTGCCCCCAGGAGAACGAGTGGACCTGAATATCACTTTCCAGGCGCGAAGTTATAGCGGTCGCGGCGACACAACTAGCATTGGATTTCCCATCAAGGTTTCTGGAGGACCGACGATTGGTGTCCAGTTGCAGGCGACGGTGACAGTTCCTGATCTTGTTCTTTCAACGAACACTCTTGACTTTGGCGAGGTTCTATGCGGTTATCGCAAGACCGCGCACGTTCGGATGGAAAATCCATTCAGCATCCCATGCGAATGGGCGATTGTGTATCATGACGCTTCTGCTTCCGAAACTCGAGGTCAAAAGAAAACCACTCGGCGTGGAGTGAAAGAGTTCGAGATCAGTCCAACCTCCGGAGTGCTAAACCCGGCAGAAAGCTGTTTGCTAACGGCGCGATTCTCGCCTATCGAAGAAAAAGCTTACCAGGAAATCGCTTACATCAAGATAAACTTGAACAGCAAACGAATGCAATTGATTGTGCAAGGAAACGGTACTCAAGCCAACATCATTTTCGAGCCCGACCGAGTGGTTCTAGGACCGGTCCTGCCCTACTCAGAAGGTGTCGTGGCATACTTTTCCGCTTACAACCCCACATCGCACCCAATCGAATTTGCGTCGGTTGAGTTTGATAAGGATCTGCTGGAGGAAGAGAGTATGCTGAAGCACTTGGATACGTGGGTCAACGGGACAACATTCATCCCACCACGGGAGCTTGGTGGTCCCTTGCCTGAGAAAGTTGTGGAGAATGCTCATGCGAAGATGAAAGCTGCTAGAGATAGCGCGCAAAGTGAGGCTGGTCATCATCTGGGTGTCGGGGATCTCTTAGAGACGGCTGCTCCGATTCATGGACGTAGGCGGTCATACTTGAATCCATCGCCCCAGCAACCGCAAGTCTCGCAACCAATGCAGCAGATACCAGTACCTGCACTTCACCAGCCAACTTCCCCGTCTTCCGTGAGCGTCAATGCTGCTGACCCCACAACATCTCAACCCTCTCCGATCGAATCTGCTACTGCCATCATCCTTCACGGCCCGCCGTACTCAGGTCGAAGGTCTCAAGCTCGAATGATATCAAAAGTGTACGGTTACGCCTATGTTCACATCGATGAAGTGATCGATGCCCATTTGAAAGGAGCGCACCTGGAGAGCGGGCCTATCATTGTGGAACCAGGACAGACGCATAGTCTTTACGGAGGAGGAACCTCCGGAAAGCGTAATCAAACGACCACTGAAAATGACGAAGGACTGGATGGATCCGGCGGCGGAACAAATACAGAAGCCGATGCAGAACTTGCCTTCGGAGAGCTTCATAGCAACTTGGAGGCGTCGGCATCTCCGACGTCGCTTCCCGAAGAAACGATACAAGATATTGTTCGGGATAGAATTCAGATGGAGGATTGCATCAAAGGCTTCGTTATTGATGGGCTCGAGAGCAAATTTGGTCCTCCAGTCGCAATCCTGAGGGCAATTCTGCGATGCATTCCGGAAAAAGCCAAGAGGCCTCTGTTCTTCAATCTGGCAACCGACGCGTTGCACATCCGCGAAAGGGAGGCGAATGCTCAACGCCTTGGGGTGGAGAAAGACCCAGATTTGGTTCCCGTGCAGGAACTAACCGAGGACGAGTATGACGCACTTAACGAAGAGGACCGAGGGAGGTACGATCGGAAAATATCCAAATATCGAAAGCTGTTGAAGGAGCAGCAAGATCGAAAGAAGCAGGAACGCAGACTCTGGGAAGAGGAGCTAGCACTACGAGTGAACGAGCGGAAAGCGGAGGAGGAAAGGGCGAGAAATAAGAAGAAGAGACCGCCTATCACGCGAGGCGTCACTGAGAAGACTGAGCCAGGAAGGGTAGGTCCAACACCGCTTGGTCGAGCAGATGTCGGTAGGCTCCGAGGGTCCTCGGTCTCGGTTGCGCCTGTCGCTCCAGAAATACGTCCAGGAACTCTTTCACCTAAGTCGTTGGCTAAGCGACACGCACTGGATCGTTATGAGAAAGGCTCGGAGCGAGCTCGTAGTGAGGCTGGTGAACGGGAGATGGGAGATGAACTGTCCTCGCGGTTCACACTATCGGAAGGGGGAGAGCTCTTTCAAAACGAAAGCACCTATCGGCGGGTCGATAGTTATAGTTCAACCTTGGAGTCGTTAATCGCATTGCTGAAAGAAGGGGACCTCAAGCCAATAGCTGTTCGTCCGATAGTGCCTCCTGCACCGGTCGACAAGAAGGCAACGAAGTCAAAGTCGGGGGCACCAGGCAACGTTGCGACCGAGGTGACTACTGTACTGCAGAGTACCGTTCTCGAAACCGAGCAACAAGAGGATTCGTCAAGTCGATGCTTAATCGAGATCAATGCTAACGCCGACGAAGAAGCCGTCTTCAAAGCGATCGCGGAGCACATACCCTCTCCGAAAGCGGGCGACAACTCCGATGATTCTCAGATACCTGAGCCGTATCTGGAGCAGATTGTGCAGTATCCGCAGGAGCTTCCCGAAGTCAGCAAGTCCCTGAAATATTTCACCATCTCCGCCGGTAGCGCGCGTGCTCCAGAAGATGACTCTATTGTGTCTCGAGAACTCTCGATGGCGGGTCCAGTGCCAAGCATTGGTCTTACCGCCCCCCCGACGAAGGAGAATTTCCGTCGTTCCCACGTGGCGCCCAAAATTGACGAATCAAAGATTGTGATTGAGACTGAGGATGACGACAAAGATTCAGCGAAGCGCTATCGTTGGATCATTCAACCACACGAGAGAGAGACGTTCGCGGTTCAATTTGCTTCTATGGAAGTCGGAAAATTCGAGGAGACACTTCATTTCGTCGCGATTGGGGCATCGGGCAGATTCACGTTATCTTGTGCTGGTCACTGCCAGTACGCAGCGATTGTGACGGAGCCTAAGAAGGTATTCAACAAATGCAGAAAATCGAAAGACGAGAAAACCATTGTTCAAGGAGAATACATAGCATCCATCGGGACCTACGACTTCGGACCTCTGCTGAACAGCAAAGGGCGGGAGAAGTATCAGGAGAGATATCCCGAGAATCATGCGTTGCTAAACATCTGCAATCCAAGCAACGCCGAGATCAAGCTGACTGTTGCCCTTCGGAATGATATCAAGGGAGACGTGTTCTTCTTTGAACCAGCATCGATGGACCTCAGCCCGGGACAAACTGAGAAATTGTCCGTCTGGGCATATCCAAAGACAAACAGCGTTTTCGAGGACACTCTGATTATCTGCATCATGGACAATCCTGATCCAGTTTGTTACAAGCTCAGGTGCACTGGAGTAAAACCGGAGCTGGAGGTCGACAAAAAAGCAATCACTTTCGAGAAATTGCTATTGAATAAAACCGAGAAGCGAGAGTTACACTTGAAGAACAACACGTTATTGCCTGTGGCATGGAAACTTTCCGGGGCAGATGCGCTTGGAGATGAGTTTCAAGTGACACCTCTCGAGGGTATCCTGGAGCCCACGCAGGAGTGTCTAGTGGAGGCGGATTTCAAAGGAAGCAAGCCGGTAGTCGTCAAGAAGGCTTTCAAGCTTGAAGTGAGCGACTCTGAAAAGATCGGCGGGATTGTGCAGGAAGTTCCAATACTTGTGACAGCGGAAGCATATGATGTAGCTGTGGACCTGCACTTCCCTAAAGGATATGAAGGATTGGACTTCGGCGTCATCAAGGTGTTTGACGAAGGGAAGCAGACCTGTACCCTGAGAAACAAAGGACGATATGAGGTTGGGTATCGCTTCATATTTGATGCCAAGGAGGACAGTGATGTCTTCAGCGTTCTTCCGCCACAAGGTATCATACAGCCATCGGAAAAGCCCTACGGCGTTCAGGTCGTTTTCAAAAGCTCACGAGAGACGAGCATTCGGGACGTCGTGGCCTGCAAATGCCAGTTTTTTGAGCCAACAAATGGGGAGATCACTGCCGTCATCCCCGTCAAAGTGTCTGCTCGGGCAGTATTCAGCAAATTCTCCATCTTACCGGTGCGAGATCTTAATTTCGGGGCATTGGTACACGGGACGAAAGCAACTCGGCAGTTCATCATCGAGAATCTGGGCGAGTTCGATTTCCGATATTCCATCTATAAACTTGTACAAGCGTTGCTGGACACTAAGCTTGCCGGAAAGAACACACGTGCAAATTCGCGGGCGAGCAAGGCGGGAGGTCGCCAGTCCCCTCCACCCACTTCCAAACCTTTGAATCGAAAGGACCTACCCACCAAGCAAGGAGATACGCTTAGCTTCGGGGCATTTTCTGTGTCACCGACAGGGGGTGTGGTCGGTGCGGGACAGAAACAGCCCATCATGGTTGAATTTCATTCTGACGCTCCCGGAAGTTTCGAAGAGATCGCCGCCATTGACATCACGGATCGATCCATGAATGATTATCCGGATGTTTTGGAGTATCGCTTGATAGGCGAGTGCTGCGTTCCAGGAATCAACACAACGGATTTCCCCTCTATATTTGAGGAGCACTCCGTATGCAAGCGATTGGAGCTTTTTTCGCTCCGTACAAACTACTACGCGGAAGATGATCGCGTTTTCACCTTTGGGCCATGTTTAGCTGGACAGCAAGCTCACGGACGATTAAAGTTGTCCAATCCATTCAAAGTCCCTTGTGATGTTAGCGTTACGACAAAGCCCCGAAGCAAGGCACGGGGCGAAGCAGCGGACTTCGCTTTCGATTCGGATCCAAAGAGACTGACGATACCAAGCCATGAAAGCCGTTATGTCACGGTCTCATTCCATCCAATGTTGTTACAATCGTACGCAGGGATCTTTGAGGCGGTCGTTGAAAATGTCACGGAAAGCAAGCACAAAACACTTTCGTTCGAGCTGCGCGGTGAAGGAACTCTCCCGCGCGTTATTGTCGATAAGCCCGGGCTTAGATCGAACTTGGGTGTTCCTTGGCTTCAGTTCCGTCGACTAATGATAGGTGCAAGTCAGACTTTGCCATTAACTGTTCGGAACGACGGAATCATTGGAGCCAAGCTGTCCCTGGACTGGCTCACGAAAGATACTGAGGATTTTGACTGCTCCGGTGTCAATGTCACGCACATCTTGAAACCTCAGGAATCCAAAACCTTCGAGGTTCGTTGCCGAGCAAGCAGTGTTCGCAAATTGAATGCGGAACTACGGCTACGGATTCTAGACAACACATTCGAGGACACTACCATTCAGATCAGTGGGGAAGGTATTTTGGATGATCTCAGCATAGACGGCTTACCCGGGGAAAACGAAAACGAACTTCACTTTGAGGATTGTTTCATCAACGAAATAAAGCACTATCCTTTCAGCATCGCGAATCACTCCCCCGAATACCTTTCGATAGTTTTGGAAGAGCAATTGGGTTTCACCTTCGCGCCTTCAAGTCTCCATATCCGTCCGAAGGGGAGCAAAGACATCACGGCGTCTTTTGTCACACGTAGCCCTTGCGAGCACAATGGAGTAACACTACTCATCAAGGTTGCCCGTATTAGGTATACGGGTCCCATTCCCGAAAATGACTGGGACAACAACATGAAGGCCGTGAGATGGGTGGCAGGGGATCCTAACCACCTGAGCGCTGCGAAGAAGATCACCGAGCCCACTCCCGAACCCGGACATGAAGTTATCGGCCCTGGTGTCACGCAACGCAATCTGGTCGCGAAAGCCTTTGCTGACTTCTCAACCTTTGAGTGCGATGTCAAAGATATCAAGTTCAAAGAGACCATGATGTTCCAGACAAGGGCTTACAACGTAGTATTGAGGAACCCAGGGAAAGTCAGCTTGCAGTACAAGTTCCGTTTCGTGGAAGACTCTGAAGTCATGGTGCCCGATACAGCCGATTGTCCTTTCAGTATTTCACCTGCTGCAGGGAAAGTCCTGCCGGGAGAAAGTGTGTCACTAAATTTGAAGTTCTCCCCCATCGACGTGGGTCATTTTTCTGTGGAGCTTTCGGGGACATTCGCGAATCTGAACGCGAACCAAAAACCGATTCACGCTCAGGTTCAGGGCGCTTCTTCGAGACCATTTTGTCACTTTGAAATTCAGGACAGCGACTATCTAACTCGCAGGAGTCTGGAGCAAGGGCTGGTCACTGGCGTACCTGCTACTCTTGACCCCAGTACGAAGGTCATTGAGTTCCAATCCTGCGGCATCAAAATCAAGAATACGAAGCGCTTCTATCTGCTGAATCCCACAGCATTGAGCTACGGTTTCGAATGGACACACGAGAGTGGGGACTCTCGGGCGTTCAAATGCCTAACGCCGAAGGGGATTGTCGTATCAGATAAGAAGTATGAAATAGCGTTTGAATATACCCCGGACTCGGTTGACACCAAGGTATGGATCCCAGAGCGTTTGGCATCCGAAAGTTCGCGGCGAGCATCTCACATATGCTTTCTTAGGAATCTCTGTGGCGAATGGACATTGTGGGCCATCAGATTTCCGTTCATTTCCTCCTTGTGGGTCAAGCAACGGAGCCGAATGTTTTTGTGGACCGCCCTAGTCTGAATTTCAAGTCGGTACTTGTCCGACGACAAGTGAAGGAAATCATCAAGCTGGTCAACAACGAGTCAATACCTTTCGCCTTCGCATTCAGCGAGACCTCGTTTGAGATGAGCCATGAAGGCGCACCCGTGTTGCGATTCAGTCCCACAACTGGAACTGTGGGTGGAAAGTCAGAACAGCCTATTGAGGTGACTTTCGTTCCATCAGCGGAGAAAATGTTTAACTTCAACTTGGTGTGCAACGTCAAGAAAAAACCATCGCCTTTGACCATCAATGTGAAAGGGGAAGGATATGAGATTCACGACTCGCTGCATGCCGAGGTACCGGATGGTTCGCTTACAGAGTTCGGGGCAGGATACGCAGCGCAAAACGTTTTGGATTTTGGATCTGTGCAGCTGAATGAGAAAAGATTGCGGAGGGTTGTAATAGTCAACTCGGGACGTTTTAACTTGGACTATTCTTGGAAGCTTGCCGGGAAAAAGGCCGGTTTCATCACTATTCGACCCGATTCCGGCACGATACGAAAAGGAGAACGTGTCTTTTGTGAATTGTCCTTCACGCCTCGGCATCCAATAAGTCTCAAGGACATCAGAGCGACTTGTCAGATTATAAACGGAAAAGTTTACCAGTTGGCGTTGAGTGGCACTGGAGTACGTTCTCTGTTGCGTTTATCAAAGCCACTGCATGATTTTGGAACGCACTTCCTCTTCAAGCCTGGGATGGTTGCCCCCACTGCCATCGTGGATATCACGAATGATGACATTAGCGAACTAGCTTTGGAAATTCTGCCTTTGGCCTCCTCCATTTTCACACTGAGAAGGACGATCAGTACGCTCGCACCTGGCGAGACGGGCGCGATTGAGCTTGCCTTCCAGCCAAAGGAAAGTATGGCCTACAACGAAAACGTCAGAATCGAGATCAACGGCCTATCCACTATCGATTTCCCGGTAAAGGGTGAGGGAACGGAGTACAAAGTGGATGTTCTTCACGCGGAGCACCGTACCGTGCAGTTCGGAGCAATAAGCATCGGCCACACCGTTAGCAAATCCCTCAAGCTTGTTAATCGGAGCTCCATTCCAGCAACATTCTCGCTGGGTCCTCCCTCGGTTATCGAGAGTCTGCTAGCGCATGCAGTTTCTGTGGGCCCATTGCAGGTCAGTAACATTCGACCGAAGGGGACTGTAAATGTAGAGTTCGTTTTTCGGCCGCTACAACGCATCCCAGCATTTTCGGAAGAGTTGCTCTTGGAAGTTCCTGGCATTTCCAAGCCAATTGCACAAATCACAGGCGCATGCCAAGGGATTGAAGTGAGGTTGGAGAATGACACTCTCCCTTTCGGCGCGGTGGTGATCAAGAGCAGCGCAACCCGTCGCCTACAGCTTCAGAATTCCGGGGACATTGGAACGACGTTCCGTTGGGAAGTAAAACAGTTCCTTCCGGACTTCTCGATATCACCATCCGAAGGCTATATATCACCGGGCATGGAGGTATCTTTAGAGATCACCTTTCATCCTCTTGAGTTCAATGCAGACATCCGATACGAAAACTTGCTGTGTCGCGTTGACGGAATGTCATCGGCTCTCAGTCTAACTTTGAGTGGGATGTGTGTACCGCCACCGGTGCATAACGAAGTGCTGAAATTCTCAGCTCCCGTTAGACAATCTGAAAGCAAAAGTATCCCGCTTACCAATAGAAGCTCGATTCACTGGCATGTGCGACCTATCATTGAGAACGAATGTTGGAGCGGTCCCGAGATCATTGACATTGAGCCAGGGCAGACAAAGCAGTATGACATTGTTTTCACTCCGTTGGAAATGGTCGGTACTGGAGATGGAGGACGACACGAGGGATCAGTATTCTTCCCGCTGCCAGATGGGACAGGCACGCTGTACAAACTGTATGGCGCCGCAGACAAGCCTGGCCCTGCTGGAAATATCTCACGCGACGTGCCATGCAAGACGCTCTACACGGAGGTCCTACCCGTGATGAACTGGTTGAAGCGAACACAAAAGCTCAAAGTTTCCATGGAGTTGGCAAAACCGGATCCTAGTGTCGTTCTCAAGGGACACGACTTCATTGAGCTTCCGGCACTTCTCAGCAAGGATTACAAACTCTCATTCTACGCATACAAAGAGGGAGTTACTAGTGTCAAGGTTATCTTCAAGAATGAAACCTCACAAGAATACACGTATTACAACATAACATTCCGAAGTACATCCGCGGGAGTTATCGCAACGTACGAACTCTTGACGTCTGTTCGACAAAGTCTCACGAAGGAAATCACCGTCACGAATCCTCTACCGACAGCAGTCGCTTTCACGATCACCTGCAACTCCACAGACATAACAGTGCCGCACTCAATCTCAATTCTACCAAAGTATGTTATGAAGTTCATGCTTCTATGTCGCAGGAAGGAGGTTGCATAGTTTTCTGATTTTTGCTTCAAAATATAGGTCCGATGCAGTGGTTCCTCTCGAGTTCCTCCCACTTCATCCACGCGAAGCAGTGGCACGCCTGACACTGCAATCGAATGAGCTGGGGTCGTATTTATACGATCTCAAGCTTGTAGCAAGCAGTGCTGCGCCTGAGCGGAGTCTGCACTTCAAGGTTGGACTTGGTGGAAGCCAGACCCAAACTTTCAGGTTTATGAGCTTTGCGAAGGTGAAAACCGAGTACAACTGCAGATTGGAAAGTTCGGATTTCGCTTGTGAAAAAACTGTTCTCGCCACCGCTGGTACGTAACGCCGAATGCATCTTTAACATTGTGATATCCTTCTCTGATTCGCCAATGCGATTCAGCTTCAAATAGCGGCACAGAGGTCTCGTTAGACATCACTTACGAACCGTCCAGATTGGGTGACGTTCGGACTCAGCTCATTATCACTTCCACGACGGGAGGGGACTTTGTATGTCCATTATTTGGGCATTGCGTTATCCCTCGACCGCAAGGGCCGATCGTCATCAAAGCAGGAACACCAACTCTCATTCCCTTCCGGAACGTTTTCAATTCCTCGGCAACCTATACTCTCGTGGTGGTGGGTAGAGCCTTCCGTGTCTTCAAAGCCCCCGTGACAGAGTCTGACGTGCATTTTTTCAATAGGACAATGCCGCCTTCGCTGTGAAAGGGGCGGAGACGATTGGGGCCAAGAAAACCACCCAGATATCAGTCTCTTACAAACCCTTCTCTCCAGCCCCTTATGGCAGTGAGAAGGCAGACGAAAAGGAAAGCTCGACTGTTGGAGGTGGTGGAGGCTCCAGAAGGGAACGAGCTGAAAAAGGAAAGGAGAAGGACAAAGGGGCAGAACCACAATCTGTGGCGACAGTGCAGTCTGCGCGGGCTCGGGTTGGACCCGGTGCTAAGGTTGGGAAGCTGATGATCAGTCACTCGGAAAGCAACGTGGTGTGGATATATTACTTGAGGGCGACTTGAGTGAAATTAGCAGTCCCCTTGTACATATGTAACTGGCATATTGTAACCTGCAACATGTAATGTATCTACCGTTAAGATAAGAGAGCTGTATAAAAGCCGAACAATGACAGCGTTCAGGTGATGGGCAAAGGGAGCGGAGGGAGATGTCAATTTCTTACGTCATCCCCCCGATACGCTGTCAAATGCAACTACGTGCCGCGAACAGCTGTCAGATTTGGCAGCACCTTCCTTAAAACGCAGAGCGTTAGATCTAGAGGTGCTGGTTGCGATACAGTACACTGAATGATGTCGAGAGCAGACTTACAATACAGAAGTGGTGCCTCGCTTCCGCCCATAGAAGAACCGCGAACACCGCCAGCACCGCTGGAACGGAAACTTTCAGAAAAATCCGTCGCTGAGAGAGGAGGCACTTCGTTCCGCCATGAGCGAAGTAAAGCATCATCCAGGACGTACGGTTACTCACTTCCCGAACTACGACGACCAAACGAATCTCCAAAAAGCTCCTCTCAACATGCAAAATCTTTGGGGTCTCTTGTGAGAGCTCGGGACGCACCGATTCGCGAGGTAGTCGATGGAGATGGAGTGTTGACAGGGTTCAGCCGAGGATTCCTGGGTTTTTCCAAGGGCTTTCAGCCGAAGACAGTGACAATTAGCAAAAAACCGGGGACCGAAAAGCGTGAGACAATAAGCCTGGACATTCCATCGATTGATGAACTCCGATCGCACCAACACGTTGTCCCGGGAAGCTCGGCAGTGGATCCAGATGAGAGCAAAACCTTCGAGGATGCGGGCGCCAGTCATGCATCCAATAGCATGATTGTAGGAAGATGGTCGTCAAATGGGCCTCAGGATCGACGCTTTTCGTACCCTATCTACCGGTTCCACGTAGAAAGAACGGACAGCAACGCTGGAATCTTGTGGCAAGCCACCAAGCTTGTGGCCCCTGAACTGGAAGTCCCGGGCATCCTGGAAATAGATGCCAATTCTTTGAGTGTACAAAACAAGCACCTCGAGCCCGTCAAGGAACATCCGGTCCTCATTTCGAACTCCATGCACCCTTACACCGATGAGGAGCTCAAGATTCTCGCACGTATTGAATCTCGATTTGCATTCCTTCCAAATCCGAGATTCCACATAAAACGGCGTTTCATGAAACGAACTGCTTCTGAAACAAGGGAGATATCGGTATTCAAACCTCCTGGAATAGATAGAAAATGGCTCTCGAAGGAGAGAAGTCAGTGTCTGGTTGCCGCAGGTTCTAAAGCTGCCGAAGATGGGAGACACATGACGGATTCTCCCATTCTCTCCATGCCTGCTACGGTCTTCTTCACGGATTACGCACCAGGAAACGTTTATGAGAAAGAAGTGATTATCAAAAACGTATCTAGTCAATCACGCCGCTTTCGCCTGAGTGCGCCGCCACCTTATACTCGATCACCTGTGTTTGCGATCAGTCTGATTTCCGCACCTGCCGATCATGGAATCAACGGACTAGTTGCGCCCGGGATGAGCTTGCGGTATCGGGTCTCTTTTAAGCCGACTTCACTGGCTACTTGTCGGGAAAGCTTCATTGTTTCGACTGAAACAGGGAACATATTTACGATTCCTTTCATTGCGCAAAGAGAGCCCCCGTCGCTGACTTTACCGGGCATCTTGGACTTCGGCCCAAGTCGAGCGGGGTTTGCAAATCTGCGAGTTTGGGAAGTAAAAAATGAAGGAGGACCAGGCCGATTCCTTATTGTTCCGGAGCACGTAAAAGTGGACCCTTTCACCGTATTCGATGCTATGGGCGATATGGAAAAGTACGGAAGCACCACAAGTTCTCTGTTCGAAATTTTCCCCACGTTCTTGTGTCTCAAGAAGGGAGAAACATGTCAGCTCATTGTTCGCTACTCTCCTCCGGGTTTGAATCCGGAAGAGTTTCCTCAGGGTAGATCGGATGAGTCTCTGTTCAAGTTGGTGTGTGACAACTGCATCGTGACAGACATGCCCCTGAGAGGCATGGCTCAGAACCCCCGCCTGAAAGTCAAGAAGATCGAATGCGCCGACGAGGTCATTGAGGCGGAAGGCGCAACGATTGGAAATCTTCTCAACTATGACGCCTACATCCCTTTCGGAGCACAGAATCTGCAAGCGACGACGACATACTCGGTAACTATTCACAACGAGTCAATGATACGTTTGCCCTATTCCTGGGACGTATTTGATGTACCCCCCGACAAGATGAGCGCGAGCGACCTGCTCCATGGAAACTCTGAGTTCCAGGTTATCCCCTCAAGAGGGTGGCTGGCCCCTCACGAGGACACGGTTTTCAAGATTGCCTTCACGCCGGAAACGTTCAAGTGCTTTGACGTTGTTTGTGCTCTGCACCTGCTGCACAGCGATCGGCGGAAGACGGTCAGTCCCAAATCCAGTCAGGACGCCCGCAAGCGAAGTTATGGCTCAGCTCTGTGGCTGCGATGCACAAGTCAAAGCGTTCCTTTCCGCGTACACATCACCCCGGAAATACTTCAGGTGCCGGACACACTCTTCACAGGGTCGACATACACAGCGGATTTTCACATCACTAACGAAAGTGCATCTCCGATTACTTTTTCATGGGAGGTGGAAGATGTGAATGAGAATACCATGCATATCGGTGTCTCCCCGGCTTCAGGGGTCCTGAATGCAGCAGCTTGTGCGAAAGCTAAGATGCAATTCATAGGACTCTTCCCTGGCACAGTAAAGGGAACTCTGGCTTGCAAAATTGCCAATGGACCTACGGTGCGGATACCAGTGATTGCCGAAGTGGCACTGGCGCCGGGAGCCTTGAATTTTGCGCTGCCTGTCGTTGATTTTGGTCTTATGCGACTAGGATCCTCGAAGAAGATCGATGTGCCTCTGGTCAGCCGTGCACCGATACCCTTGCAATGGCGCGCGAGAGTTTATAGGCACAGTCCTGAGAAAAAGCAGAATGACTGCTATATGTCTTACGAACCATCCCAGGGGCTACTTGCACCAAACTCCACACAAATCATCAGTATGACATGTGTACCCACATGGTATCAGGACTTGCGTGCAGTGTTGGAGTGTGTCGTTGTCGACGACGGGGAGCCTATCGTGCCCTTGTCAGTAGAACGCAACTTCTCCGCGGCAACCAGCAAAACCCAGCCCGTGGCGGAGAGCTTCTCTGGGAGGAGCGTGGCAGTGGGGGCCGTTGAGATCAGAGCTCAAGCTCAGACACCCAAAGCAAAAATCCTCTGTCCTCACAATGCGCTGTCGGGATTCGTCGGCGTACCATGCGAGTATCAAGTCACTATCGAGAATGAATCCCTTCTGGCAGCCGGATTCAAATGGATCGGGTTGCAATCTTCCGAATGCAGCGTGTCCTTCGAACCGCAAACGGGCTGCATTCCGGGCGGTCAATCGGTGGACATCAAAGTGCGAGTCGTCGCACACATTGTTGGCGAACTGAATAAAACATTCGCGTGCCAGATCGATGGAATGGTCGAGTCGGATGGTGTCGTCGAAATCACTATGGACCTTGAAGTTTTTGGTATCAATCTGACTTTCCATATCCAATCTTCAGAACCTGTTTTAGCTGCTGTCTCAGAAGATGCTTTAGGTTCTCTGTCGTTCGACTTCGGCATGGACTGTCCGATATTCGCGGAGCGCCATAGCACATTGACTATACACAACCGCTCTGCGATCAGCGCCCCTTTCCAAGTGGCCGTACAGAAATACAGGGCAACCAATCCACCTGAGGGGCCTCTCGGTCAGCAGGATGGAGATGGGCGGAGCCTCAAATCGGGCGTCGGGCAAGCTACTGGTCAACTCAGTGGATCGAACCCCCTCCTGCCGCTAAGCTACGACGAGCCTCTAGGGTTCAGTTCGAAAACCGGTGTACAATACATCTCGGAAATCAAAGAAGTCAGGCGGCTGATCAAACGAATGGATGAATTGCTACGTGAGGGTCGCGGGGCGGCATTTCATTCCTCGCCGACCAACGGAACAATCGGACCATGGGGCACCGTTCAGATTCGCGTTACATCCTACAATAATCTTGTGGGCCTCTACGAAGACAATCTCATGTGCGACGTGAGAGGCTGGCCGTCCCTATCGATTCCCATTCGGCTGGGCGTTGTGGGACTTCCGGTTCGATTTTTTGGGGCTCATCTGGTCGCAAAGCCAAAGAATTCCGTTGACGTGCTCCCGCGCGTGAACTTTGGAACACGCCTGAATAGCCTTACATTCGGTAGTACGGATGGCGTTCGACTCTATCCATACCCGCGAAGCGATATGACGGACGATCAGATGCAGGAGCTGATTGACACGGAAGCCTATAGCAAAGTTATCAACATCGAGAACCAGACGCCACGGGACATGAAGTTCAGCTGGATACTGTACATCAAGCATACGCCAGGAGGAACCGGTGTATCTCCATCGATCGAAGAGATCATTAGTCCAGAGAACAGGCTGGACCCTGATCAATTGAGCACCTTCGGTGTTTATCCAGCCACTCTGGTTCTTCCCGCATTCAGATCCACGTCGATTCGAATCTTCTTCCGAAGTGCTACGGTGGGGGCTTCCGATTGTCTTTTGGTTGCAGATGTCGGATATATCCAAAAAGGCGGAGCGCCACTATACGGGCATGGTCGGAAGGAATCTACACGTTATCCCGCCACCGATTCCTCGTTCCCGGCCAGTTATTTGAAGTCCATGGCTTGTGTTCATATCCAGGGTCGTGCTATCGAGCAGTGGAGTAACTCCGGCAATGGGGGAGACCAACTCATTTCCACACATGTCGAGGATTCTTGATAACCTAAGAGCACTGTTTTCCGTGTATCTATATAATGTACATACGTCTTCTTGGGACCGTTAACAAAGCTACATACAAATGTACTATATGAGGCTGCATTTCAGAATCTACAGAAGCTCCGCAAAAGTTCCGACGAATTCGTATTTAGATGCTCTGATTGCATGATATTAGCTGTTCGTTTGAAGGACAACGACGCTTGCGAGGACAAAACGTGAACTAGGTAAGTAAACTTACGGATTTAGACATTATGCGGACCCAATCTTCAAAGTTGATTTCGCCGTCACCATCAGCATCACATTCGCTCAGCATTAGTTGTAGTTCCATGTCCGTTGGTTCCTCTCCTAATTCTTTTGCTATTCTCTGTTGTCCTCATTAACGCTTACATGAGCGAATCCTATCTGCTGATCACGATGGACATTACCTTCAAATCCTTAACCCCAAACTTCCCACGCTGCTCCCCATCAAAAATATTGAAGCTCTGTTTCATGTGTTCCCTGCTGTCCTTCTCGCTCTACTCGGCCTCTCGGAATAAGAATAGGTTGAGAGAAATCAAACGTAACGTCGCATGTACCATTTTTACTGCCATCAATCTCAAAAATTCCTCGAAATCCAGGGTTGCAGCCCCTCCAGTGTCAAAGGTCGCTGCTAACTGCTCAGCTGAAGTGCTATTTCAATATCATTGGTTATAAGGCGGACGAGACTCGAGAGCTACGCCTTACCTTCACCGGGTCGAGGATCTAGCCCAAGTGCGCGCATGAGAATTTGAAGTTCTGTGACGTCTACGTCACCAGAGCCATCCGTGTCGAACAGATTGAAAACATCTCGAATGGCTGGGGTGACGAAGAACTCCGGAGGTTAGGAATAGTTGCGTATCGTATTGGGCCAGTGATGTTGCATTTGAGTACCTTGCTTTTGCTCAAATGTTAGCTCCACCCTCTTCCTTGTTGCATTTGCTATAATTTGCTTCTTGTTCTCGGAAGGAAGCTGGACACTTCCAGCAGTACTCGCAGCGTAACTTTCTCCCAAGTGGGAGTCGATAGAATTCATCCCGCTGATGCGACTCAACTTTGTACTGCTCAAAGTGAAGGTAGATCCAGCGACTGTCTCTTGCTCATCGCAGACAGGGAGCAGTGCAGAGGATGGTGGTCGTTGTTGCCGTATTTGAGCACCTGATGTTGTACGATTGAGCTGGGATGGTATTTCGCAGATTTCCCCCAACTTCGGCCGGGACAACGCCGCAAGGATGGACCCTCTTCGAGACATGTTGTATTGTGTGAAGCTCCGTGAAGGTCGTGAAGGTGTTCCGGAAGAGAATAGCGGCAGGAACTGCGCTGCGCGTTTTCCAGAAGTTACCGTGGCCCTTGCCCTTTATGCAAAACTTGGTGGCTATCGCATTCATGCACCTTCCTGCAGGGAGACGTCCGGGCCAGCGTACAATACGTATATGATGTCGGCCCTTCGTTGCGAAAATCTGACAGCGCGTTTTTCGCGACTTTGACAGTGGGAAAATATCGGTTGAACTTGCGGGTGACCCTCGCCGTGGCCGACGTCCCAAACATCAACCTGCAAGCATGATGCGACAAGCCTCCCTCTTCAACGACAACATTAGTGTCAGTCCGGCATCAGCCCGCTCGCAGTCGAAAGGCCAGCATTCCCATCACCCGCGGCGGCGTGAGCATTCCTCCGCCTACTCAACAATAATGGCAGCAGGTGCAGCAAAGCCAAATGCACCTTTGGCAAACAATAAACTACGTCCGCTCTCCGGCGGCGCATCCACCGGTGTGCATTTGACTTCTTCTCAGATTGGCACTCTAGATCAAAAGCAGATACCGCGCCTAACATTCAAAGTTGCGCCATTCAGCAACTTTTCGCCTCTCTCCGGATATGACTCCTCCATTCCGAGTGCCATAGTACAACAACCCACTCAGAACGAGTTCATTCAGTCGATGTGGGGCGCATTCGATGCCATGCCGGACGCCCAGAGGAATAGTCTCCTCCGTGGACTCGTCGCCAGATGTGGAGAAAGTCAGGTCGACTCAATATGCACATGGCTGAACCTCAAGCTGGGGGATGCAGCTACCGGTCTTGCTCAGGTATATATCTACCAAAAGTGCATATCTCCCTCAACAGCATCCCGGTAGTCAAGAGGAGGCCCTAACCAAGTTTCAAACTCTATAACAGATGCCCACCGTACATCCCGAAATCCTTCCCAGCAAATATTCGATCGGCAGAGGCAAGAAACCGCCTGGTATTGCGCATCCCGATGTCCCAGCGAAGGATGCTGGAATGCAAAGAGGAGGAATCAACTTGAACTTGTACTCCAAGCTGCTACACACCTCAGAAGATAACATAGTGCAGGCCGCGCAGCCCTGTGGGAGACAAGGGGAGAGATCAAGGAAAGCGGTGGGATTCAAAGCGCCGGCGCATCCTCCCGAGACCAAGTCCTCGAATTCGGACGGTGCTCTTATGAGCTACTTGAGCTCCCGAGTCCGCAATCTTCATCAGATCATGGAAACACTCGCTCAAACCGTTTCGGAAGGCGCAGATGTTGAGACTGCACTGATACGCATATATGAACGGGCTCAAGCGACAGTCTGCGCAGCGCAAGCGACATTGTATGTCATAGACCAGGCCTCCAATGAAGCGAAAGTGATCGAAAGCACATGGAGAGATCAGCCTAAACGTCAACAAGCCGGCGGTGTGAGTGAATTAGTGTCAATGACACCGAGAACCCGAACACCAGCGTCAAGGCCAGGAACGACGGCGCCTCATCCAGATCGGATCCCTGTTCAGAGGCTCTATGCAGGGTCTACTCTCCTCAATTACGAGGTGGTCAATCTGTACAACGTCAAATCAACTTACGATCATACATCCGCTAACAACGCGGCGACAGGAACTACATCCGACTCCAATACCTTCTCGGAAAACGAAATACTCGATCCTGCGTACGATAAACTTGACGTACAATGTATACTGACAGTCCCGATCTTATCGACCAAGGCGCTGGCCGGAGTCCACTTTCCGGGTAGTCCCGGTGGTTTAGTCGGTATTATCGAGCTCATCAATAAGACTGGGGCAGACACGCCACCATTTTTCACAACGGAGGATGAATTTGTAGCAAAGACGCTGGCGAGTGTGGCGACGATGTTCATGGTGAACACAGGAGGCACGGAGCAACTTGTCGTTCACCAAACGGCGGACCTGAAGACTCTGCTGGATAATGCCTCAGTCATGACTTCCGATGCCGATCTCAATGGTTAGCACCACCATTTCCCCGAGCCTTTTCGGAATGGGACAAATGATTTACGATTATGCAAAACAGACTTGATGCCCGTGATTATGCACACTGTGAAGGATCTCCTGCAGGCGGAACGGTGCTCCTTATTTCTTTTGGATCGAGATAAGGAGGAGCTTTGGACATCAGTCGCGCAAGGAACGCAAGAGATCAGAATTCCGATGAATAAAGGCATCGCTGGTAAGCACGCGACCGTGGATATCCCGACGGCAGCGTTCTCCATGACACAAGGACGGTGGAGTTAAAGACAGAATTCTACCGTTGGATCTTCCGGAATGAACACTGAGACATGTCGTGTCATCTATCCTGACAGGCTATGTTGCGACGACAGGAAAGATTCTGAATATACCAAATGGTACGCATGCATAAATTCCATGCCAGCTAGACTCATGGATTACTCATTCTATTTCGATTTGTGAACATAGCGTACAAAGACGGGCGATTCAATCGAGAGATTGACCTAAAAACCGGATTTCATACGCGCAACATATTGTGCATGCCCATGCGCAGTAGCGGGAGGGGGAACCAGGTCATTGGAGTTATACAAATCATAAACAAGCTCCCTGATCCTTCCGTATTCGGAAAGGAAGATGAGCTACTGCTTGGGAGCTTCTCAGCATTAGGTATGCCCCGAGTGCATCATCTGAAGAACTGGGGAGAGGCAAGATGTTGCGTACATTGGAACTGAGATTTTCCTTTGCTTCGTCCTGATCAGCCGGTGGGATGCTCGACAAAACAATGGCCATGAAGGCGATGCAAATAAAGATCCAGATGTTGTTAGCTCAGAGAGATGCTTTGATCAAAGGTGCAGAATGCAATCCTCTGACGATCATCATGCTTGATCTCAACGGGAAATTGGTGAGAGAAGATATCACGCATCGTCTCAGACATACATGCGCCCTCTCCCGCTCGTGGCTCACCTTGTTGAATGGATTCCGTACTATATTTGGACTTGAAACTCGATTTTCGAGACTATCAGGTATCGATAAATCACCACGAAACCCTCTCACTGGCGGACATGAGCGTTCTGAATCTCTCCACATACGATACATGGCTCGGAGACAACTCAGAGCTGATCGATGACATTCGATCTGTTTACGAGACGGGGAACCCGGCATATGGGGCACGCTATCCATTCTTGCCGCCCGTTTCCTACGATGAGGACGATGATGAAAGCAACCGGACAATTTTGTTGGATTACACTATTGCTAAGGCAGAGTCGGATTCGGTCGGCGTTGTTGTCGTCATCGAACTTGTTGGCGAGGAGAGGTCATTGATTGAATCCCTTACACGGTATGTTTGCTTCGTATGGCGCACAACAGTGTCTCCCGACATACGACTGAAAGTTGACTGTCTCCCCAATCTTACATGTCACTTCGATCCCCAGATATCTTCCTTACGATGTTGCAAGGCAAACCTTGAGCGGTAATCGATCGGCTTTGAAAGGGAAGGAACAGCAAGCGTCAGTCCTGTCGATTGAAGTACAAGAAGGTATGTGATGTTCGTAGCTGTTCAAGAATAAGACGAGGGATGCGACGACACTGACCATCAAAGCCTTGCAGTTGATCGAGGCGTAGACTCGAGCGTTATTTCGACATTGAGTGCGTACACGCAACCCGTCATAGATGAGGTGGAAGATGGGAATGGTTCGTCGCCTTCTTGCCGTAAGGTGATCTGAGCAACCCTGATCTTGACGCTCATTTTCTCCTTGCAGGGCTTCTCTCATCGATTACAGCGACGAGCGCGACCGCAGTTTTCGGAGCGCCGTTTGGGGAGACGGCCTCCGTCAACGCCGTTGCATCAGTCACTTCGGCCCTGAAAATCATATCACGTGTTCAGGAAGTACATAAAGCTTCCATGCAGCCTGTGAACACGGGCGTGCTGCTGCCGCATTCGCTTTCGCAGCAGCTTCCAAGAGGCAGCATATTTGGTCAGCTCTCAGATCGACAAGGAATGGAACGAGCACCGAGCAATCTGATGACAGCCAAAGCGAGCGTTGTTGCACGCAACACCTCCGCAAAGGAGAGAAGTGCCAGAGCTATTCCGCCGTTGAAGATGGGTTTGGTGATCGCTACGGACAGTGTCGTCACGGGATGCGTAGGCAAGCCACCTAGATTGGAGTATCTATTGGTTGGCGGTATGGTGGCTTTTCATTGTTGGGCTCTGTCTCTGATTCGCTAGATTTATCGAGTTTACTTTACAGATGGTGTCAAAACCGCAAACGCATTACATGAGCTGACGAAAGTCTACATGAGTACTGTCCTGCCTCCGGCCAGTGCAATCGACAACAACGCCCCACCTCCAGTTGCTCTTGTGGCACAACAAGCACGGATGTCAGCTGCTATGCCCTTACAGCAACCATCGTCCTCCTTTGCACAGTCTGTGGGGTTCGCTTCTCAAGTCAGCGTGCCTGATCAGCCGAGCGGTTCTGCACCAACTTTGATCATATGCGACAGAACGAAGCAGTTGGTAACTGGGCATTTTCACATCAGAGAGCTGGACGCGGTGTATTTGCCAGACCGCCGTCAACCTGATGGTCCTCCTGAAAACAACGCCTTCTCGGTCAAGCTCCCATCAAGCAGTGAACTGACGGAGAAACCCAAAGCGATGCTCATTCATCAGGTCCTAGCCCCCTCTGATGCACGATTGGAGCAAAGCACTTTGACGGTAAGTCCACCCGTCTACCGATGCGATGTTCAACGTCTTGTTTCCCTTGCGACTTTTCAATTCTACTCTTCATTCTCGAATGGACTCTGGACCAAACCTTCTCTGTTTTAGGCTCTCATTTGCTATGAGCTTGGGCTATCCGAGTACAGGGCTCAAAACTTTTCTGGGGCTTTGCACCATTTTCGGAAGGCCATTGCCCTTACCGGAGACGCCCCATCTACAGTCATGGGAGAACGGTGCAGGCTGATAATTGATGGCGCCGTTGTCGTGCCCGAGAACTGGGACGGTGTGTGGGTGTGGAACTAAACCCTTCCGTAGCTGTTACAGAGGGAAGGGGAGCTGAGGGGATACTGTACTGTACCTATTGTGCATCGGTCTTATTCTTATGTGTACCAATCCCTTGGCAAAATGTTTGTCAGGCAATAGCGAGCGAGCATCGTCGGGGCAAAACAGTTCCGCGCTGTCGATGTCCGTCAGTCATGCCACCGCGTTGTTACGTAGCATGTTAGTAATGTGCTGCTCTCATAAAACCAGTGACTTACCCTCGGCCGGAACTCGAGCGAGTGCACATGCCAGCTTGAACTGCTGCAAGCAAGCCCTATGCGGATTCGCCCAACGTAAATCTTCGTGAACCTGCTGAGGCTGCCAGACGTATATACTGTATTACTTAGGACTCCCGTTGCATCACGTCGCTTCAGTTCCGAGAACAACCGTCGACGTGCTTGAGATTACACACCGCTCTCCAGCAGCTTACTGGGCATGACTGATTTCCGGGCTAGTCGAGAAGATCGCAAGCGGCCTGTGATTGCAGAGGAAGGAGAGGCTGCTTCCGAACATCCATATCCTTCTAAACGGTTAAACAATAGCAGCAACTTCCTGGACCAAGCTTTACGTGTCGATCCAGCGAGCATCGAGGCGGACAATCGTGGGCGTCGCCGCTCGGGGGATGTTGCAGCAAAGCTAGAGTCCGAAGCAGAAGTACGCCGTAGTTTCTTCGTCCGAGTCTCTGCCAGCAAGTTGCTTAATAGGATCCTTTTAGGAAGATCCGGATGGCGGGATAGCAGGTTCCAATGTCCTGAACTACCAAAAGCTAGCGATATGGCGGCAAATGCAACATTATAAGCGCGAGAGTGCGGCTGCTTCTGAGAAAATAGAGAAATTGGAAGAGCGACAGCATTTTTACGAATCGAGCCTTGCTGTAGCAAATCACTATGTACACAAGGTACGATCGTTTTTTTTCAGCGTTGCGTTCTGAGTGCAGGAGGAGGAATAATCTGCGATACGAATAGGGATGGCAATTCTGATGCGACATTGCGCTAGGTGTTTGAAGATGTGCAAGCGTTTTTACAGCGTCTGGAAGACCACGAAATCGGAAGTGTAAATGGGCTGAAAGCAGGTTCTCGCGTCGAAGCAGAAGGAGGTAAATCAATTTATGGGATACATGCAGCTGTTATAGCAGTCCACGCCCACGCCGGATGTTCAACTAAATCCCGGCGACACGTTACCATAGAATCAGCACCGTCTGCTTTACTGGAAGTCATAGCGGAGCCTCGTTTCCCAGAGGAGGATGTGGACCTTTTCCTGAAAGAAAAGTGGAGCGCGACAAACGAGGTTCTCGCAGCATTGCTCAAGCGTGTTGATGCTACCGCATCGCATGGTACGTCAACAAAAACGGACAGCAACTCAAAAAGAACCAGATTCTCAAATTTTTTCCTATTTCTAGGTTCCGTTACGCGACCATTAAGTGAGAAGGCGGACTTGGATGGGTTACAAGCAAAGCTGCATACGCTCTCCGCACAGGTGTGTAGGGTCACCTTGTCCTCATTGAGCTTGGAACTAACTCAAATGATGAACCGGCAGAATCGGACGTTGGAAAGCGAACTCCACAAACGGGAACGACTGGTGAAAGACCTCAAAATGGATCTTTCGGAAGCTTCCAATCGCGCCATGAAACTGGAACGAAAGCTGGATCGAATCAGCACCAGTTCAAATGGCGCTAAAGAGCACGTGGATTCCGTTGACGACAAGCCCCGTCCGGTTCGTTGATTATTTGAAATCCTTCATATAAAATCCGTATACTGATCGTGATTGTAACTCCAGGCAGATCCTGACGATGAATCGATGGCCGCGATTTCTGAGTTGCGGTCGGTAGAAATAGCAAAATTGAGCGCTGAAAAAAGAAAACTGATGGAGGAACTGGATCAGACTCACTTGAAGGTATTTGCAATTGAGCGCTGCATGTTTTATAGCGCAAGTACTTATGGGATTGTTCAGTATTCAAATAGATCGCTGCACGACGATCAGATCCGAGAGTCCCATATTTATCGAAACCTTGAGGAGGAATATAAGTATCATCTTAGTGAAAACGAGGTCCTCAAACAGCGGCTGGAAAGAATGACCGGGGAGATTGAGGAATATCGAGCGGAGCGGACGAAGTTTGCCGAAGAACTGGAAGCCGAGCATATCACCAGACGAAAAGTGTTGGAAACGGAGATGCGTAGACTTGAGAGTGATTTGACACGGGTTCGCGGAAACCGGGATCAGCTGCAGCACAATCTGGATTTACGGTGTGCCAAAGACAATGTCGAGATTGCTCAACTACAGGAGATCAGGGTTCTTGCCAACGCCAGAAAAGTACGGCCCATCTCTGAAGGCGGCGTTGCAAACGAGGGATCTGACAGGTTTTTGTAGGACAGGATTACATGCTTAGAGGCCGACATTCTAAGATTGAAATTACACCTGGCGGCAAATCTTGGAGACAAAGCTCTTCTCCTTTTCTTCGAAGAGAATCCGGAGGGGAATCCGTTGGCGGACTTGCGACAGCGGCTGAAGTATGTCATGTCATTGGCGAAATGAGATTCGGCGGGCGGCGATGCTGACACCCATTTTTCTGTCAACAGGGATGCCCAGTCGCGAATACGTTCACTGGAAAACGAAACTCAATCGCGAGACCGATATTCCGACACGAGAAATTCCGATAGCGATCGACGCAGTTATCGGCACGATTTAGAGAGTCTACAGTCTAATCTGGACAAATATCGACGGTGGTTTGGAGATGCGAATCCAGATTCCGACCCGACCAAAAAACTGGTTGGCCGGGTAGAGCAGTTAGAAAAGGATCTAGAGCAGAAAACGCTGGCGTTGGAGACCTTGAAGAAGGTATGTAAGGAACACGGTCTTGCTGTGGAGCTGATTCAGATCTAAATTCGAATCACAGACGGAGGCTCGGCTAGCGGAAGAGTTCGATCAATTAGGTGCAGCGTGGACAGAGCTCGAGGAACAATGTACCCGGAAGGTGCTCAACTCATCGGAGAAGGAGGATCATATTCTTCGCCTGGTTGCAGAAGTAAGATTTAGCTCAGTTAGAACTTTTCCGCATGAGCTGCTGAATTGAGACGCCTTTTGCCTTGTAGAGGACAAAATTCGACCAGAAATGCGCAATGATGTCGAAGGATCAGTTGACGAGCGGAAACCTCATCATCGCGTTGCGGAAACAGGCGGAGAAGCAGCTCGACCACATCAATGTCCTTGAGCAACGGGAGAAGAATCTGTCACAACAGCTGGTTCGTAATGGGCTCGGTAAACATATCTGGTTGACATCTTATCAAAACCTATGTACGTCCCCGCGCAGCACACTTTGGAGCGGGAAGTGGTTGCGCATAAAAGTTTCTTCGAGCAACAAACGAGAAAAGAGGCAGACTTCATGCGGCAGCTAGCGCAGTATAAGGACGTGGAGCGGCAATGGACTGCCAAATATGAGAATGTGAGTGGATGCACGGGCGACTCTGGACCGCCAAGTCCTTGGATTGATAGCGACGCTATGGTAAACATCGTTCTCCATGACAGGTGTCAACATTGCTGAAGAAACGGATAGCAGCACAAGAAACGGAGGCACAGGCTCGACGCCAAGCCGAAGAGCGGGTCATGGTGTTGCAAAAGAAGATGGAGAAGCAACGCAAAGTGGAGCCCACCACGCCTGCGGACTCGAGCACGTCGAAGGAATTGGAGCAATTGCGGGTACGTTTATCGGCGTTGGGTTGAATTATGGATGTGATCGCGCGAACAGAGCGCTAACTTGGTTTTCCATTTAGATGCTGCTTCGGTGCAGCAGCTGCGTAACGAATCTGAAATCTCATGTGCTACTGAAATGCATGCACACATTTTGGTATGGTTCAAGGCAGTTGTTGCAAAACGGACGCCACAGCAGTCAGCTCACATTATCAATTCGCAGCAAGGACTGCATCGATCACCAAGTCACGTCACGGCAACGCAAGTGTCCAACGTGCGGCCTTACGTTCGCGCATCAAGATGTGCGCCAAGTTTATCTCTGAATGAACGACATGTATTCATTCGCCACAGGAATCAGCTCAGTACAATTTTGAACACTCCCCCTCCCTCCCTCCCTCGCATGCGAAATATGTATATGTAATCGACGGCATTCTCGCCCTGGCTTCATATCATCAAAAATACATTGAAACATCAATCTCGCCATGGCATGTCAAACATTTCGTCATCCCCAACTCCGGAGCCGGATGCTGCTGGCCCTCTATCCCCGCCAGATTGAGACTTCGTCAGGAATTCCTTGCTTTTCTCTATGGAACGATCCAAGCCCGTGATCTCCTCTGACATTGCGATCGCGCGAGCAATGTTGCCCTCCAGCGTTTTCATAGTGTGCAAATCGTTGTACTTTTCGGCCCCATCTTGGAAGGAGATGATCCCCTGATCCCGTTGGCTTATGGTAGCTAACACCTGATCGTTCTCGACCATCTCCAGAATATTTCGTTCAGCCTCCGCAGGCGTCTGCAATCCGACCGACTTTGCAATATCGCTCAGTGACATTGTTAAATATGTCTGCGTCAGTTGCTGAATGCTTCGGCGTGTCAACGCTTGCACGCACTGCGCCGCCAATCCTCCATTTCCATGTGCGGTAAAGTGTTGCAAAGCCGTTTGGTATTCCGCCTGGACACGCGCAGTGTTCGAGGATTGATACGCTAGTGAAAACTCTAGATACGGTTCCGAAAGATCTTTCACCGCTTTCTCGAACGCCGAGCTCATATACTTTGGCAGAGGCATCACCTTTCCGTGCGCCAGGAGGGAAACTAGGATGTACTTTCGGTGGGCTTCGACTTGTATCGCCGAGGCGATGTGTCCAGGCGCGGTGATGCATAATGTGAAGAATTGGAGGGCGCGCTTGTATTGGTGGAGAGCAGTGTATATCATGCCACCATAATAATGGTAGAGCAGGAAGGATTGAATGGTGGTATCGAAAGCGGCCGGATCAATACTCTCGATGTCGTTATCCAGCACAATCAGAGCGAGGCGTGGTGCGTTGGCGAGGAGACAAGTTTTGCACAGCAGTTGATGGATGCTGGTCAAATAGATTTCGCCGTCGCCGTTTGGAGCTGACCACCTGAGGCAAGCGATACGGAGTGGTGAAACGGCCAGGATTTGCGATTTGGCTTTTGTCGCCAGCCCAACGACTGAGTTTCCAAACTCAGCCATAAGAGTTGGAATAAGGCGAATGTGTGCAACGTTGAATAGCTCTGCAAACGAATTGCAGCATTGTAGCAGCAAGATGATCTGGTCCACATCCAATAAGGAAACGGCGGTTGCGCGTGCGAGCAGGATTTTCAGGTAGGGTATCGTATTGTGGAAGGGACTTAACAGAGCAAGAGGGTCTTGGCCGGAGGACGTCAATTGGGCGAGGGTGGGCCCTGCGAGGGACTTGAGGTAGGGCAGTTCTTTCCGCAAGGCCTCGAGCTCCAGGTCTTGGGAGCTCTGAGCCCGTTTCACAATGTCGTCCATGGTTGATCTCCAAGATGGTGAACAGAGAAAGTCCAAAATAGCGAGCGGAGGATCGATTGCACTGTGAATCGATACAGGGAAGCGGCGGGGATGGGCGACTCCGTTTACAAGAGAGGTTGCAAATTGCGGGTTTCCCACGTCACCATGCTCGGTTCGTCGTTGTTGTTGACTGGCACCAGGAGACAGGGAGACCAGGACATTCGGACTGACGGGGAGCTTAGGGTGAACTGACTCATCCTCGCGCGTCGTTTTTCCAACTCTCACAACATCCCTCAGCTTTTTATCATCCGCTTCATGATACAGTATTAAGAATAGATACGTAGCAATTCAAATTGCTCGCAAAGCCTGTACATGCGATAATCATGTGCCGGTGAATGTGCCCCACAGAAAGCGTTGCAAGATAATCTCACTCTTCAACTGCTAAACTCATGTGAACTGAAGCTCAAAGACGAAAACGTCAGCGGTGTGCCCCCGTCGCCTCTCGACGGCTGGGAAGGGCTCGATGACAGGTCGCTAAGTTGGCCTCTACGCGGCCGACCAGCTGCATCCAGCACAATCACGCCTTCCGCGGATGATTCGTCAATCGGCACCAGAGCCCCAGATCGACGTGAGATGTCCGCCGAACTGTTGGAAAGCGAGACCTGGAGCCCCTGGACTTCGCCCGACGACAGCTGTTCGCCCGCGCTCGTATCCGATGTCGGGCGTGCGGTCTGTTGCGGTAATATCAAGGGTTCGATGAAGTACTGGTCCTGATATCTCAGGGATGGCGACACTTCCGGGATCAAACCGAATCCTGTCGAAGAGTCCCGAGATGATGAAAAGGCATATGATACCTCTTGCGACTTGGGCTGAACTGTTGCGGGTATTCGGCCGTGTGGAACTGCAGCGGCTTCGCCCTCACTGCAAAACGAGTAGAGACCATGTAAGCAGTCATGAAGAACACTGTGATGTGTCTTACCGCACCGTTACCTCAGAAATTGCGAAAGAACCTCCCCTTCCGACATCATCATGGACATGGTAGTCAGACCTAGTGAGCTAGTCTCTATGGATACCGCCGACCCTGACGGCTTAGATGAGCTTGGGTTCGTTGACGTCCCCTTAGAAGTGGGCTAAGAGATTCAAACTGTCAGCGAAGATATCCTATATAAGTCCTTAGGTCGTTCACATTAGGTACTTACCTGGCTTGAAGGTGTTTCTTCCGTTTCCGGTACCACTGCCTTGACAGGGGGCGGACGCAGCTGCCATGTCCGGGCAGGAGATTGTTGTGCGGCCGGGACCACCGGACTAGTGTGCTGCATTCGAGGAGGTTCGTCCTCCTTCACCCGCTGCACCTTTCTCAGTTTGCGAATGCGCTCTTCCTCTTCGAGCAGCTGCCTTGTAGCCTCCTCCTCCATCCGAATCAACCTCTCCGTTCCCGCCTTGTCCGCATCCTGCAGGCTTCTAGAAGCAAGCATGTTTTCATTCATTCTGATGTCGCGTGCAACCTGCTCCTTCTCCCGCAGAAGCATCCTTTCCTTGGCTTCCATCTTCTCACGTTGCCTGCGCTCTTCTTGGGCTTCTGCCGCCATCAGTGCCCTCTCCGCTTCGGCCTGCTGATAAGCTTTCTTCTCAAGATCGACCTTATCCGACTGCATTGAGCGCCTTCCGACATGGTACGTAGATTGAAGTGGATCTCGAGACTTGAGCTCTCGTAGGGTCATCAGCTCGGCCTCCATTTCCTTCAGACGACGCCAATGCTCTTCGTCCGCAATGCACTGGGCGTCATCTACAGCGAGTGTATCCTGCGCTGGCTCCGAGGGAGGAGGACGTCGTTGAAGCGATGCATGATCGGTTGTTGTCCTTCCATCCAGGGGATGCATTGTCAAGGGCTCGTTGCGCTCCCGCTCCGCCAATAGCGGTGACCTTTCTCGTCGAGTCTGCACCACTGGCTGCGGGGGCGGTGACCTTTCTCGTCGAGTCTGCATCACTGGCTGCGGGAGCGGTGACCTGTCCCGTCTATTGTCCAGCACAATGATGCGTTCGGTCTCGGGCTTGTTGCCGATCGCCTGCGATATCCTCAGTTGTGTCTCCAGTTCCCGCATATGATTCTCTTGTCGCATTCTCCATTCCCGTTCTTCGTTCTGCGACGTCCGTAATCGGTCCTCAGCCTCCTTTCGAGCGAGGTGTACTTCCGCAAGCAGTGCAGCATGTTTCGCGGCTTGCTGCTCAAGGATGCGTTCAGGATCAAAAGCAGGAAGTTGGGGTTCTGATGGTGGTGCGGCAAGAGGAGGTGCAGGAGGAGCGGGAGGTGGGGATGCAGGTGGAGGTGGAGGGGAAGGTGTGATCGAGGTGGCTGACTCAACTTTGCGCGCTCCTGACTCCATAGCCTGAGCTACAACGTTCCGGATTTCCATGCTGATACCTTCCCGCATGAACGCGTTGGCTAGCCCATCAAGGCTCACGTTTACGGCCGCAGGGGAACCTGGCGGCTGCGACCGAGGAATGTGCACAGCTTCCCGAGCGACAACCCGGCTCTCCGCATTCACCGCGCTGTTCAGTATCTCATCAGCGATTGCACCAACCATGCGATCCCGATCAGGCTTCGGTTTAGATGCAAGCGGCCTCTGCTTTTGTGGTGGAGTCATTTCAACTGGCTGCACCGTCTCCGTTGCGGCATCCATTCTCATCGGAGGAGGGCTTTTTACAGGCCGCACCGTCTCCGTCGCTACATCTGCCTTCCCAGGACTAATCTTGATGGTAGCGGTGCTTCGCTCCGTAACAAGCACCTCAGCCTGGACCCACTGAGCCAACCGTTCCTCGAAAGCGCTGACCCGGGAGTCAGCCTGCCGACTGATGCTGAGCTGCTTCAACAGCTCCCGTTTAGTTTTGCCCAGCTCAGTCCGCACGATGCGCCACATAGCGTCACGCAGTTCGGCCGGATTGGACTGGCGAAGCGGCGGTGCGCCTGGATCCGTGCCGTAGTTTTCTGCACCAGAAGGTTTCTCGGGCGACCTAAGTGGGCTCCCACATTGGACAGTAGCGTCGGCAGAAGGTCCCATCAAAACGGTTTGATTCGCCGCGTCGACCATGCTGATCGCCGAGACGTCGACAGAATCTGTCTCATCGGGAGTCACTTGTGTAGTATCTTCAACGTAAGGCGAATGCGTTTGCACGGCTTCATCGAAGGTAAGGATGGAGCGATGATGGGGCATCCCTCTGTTCTCCGGGAACATCCACTGAGCCGAAACATCGGGCATGGCATGTGTCTGAGAGGATATCGACGTTACTGGGGCACTTCTCACCGGCTTCTGTGCAGGTCTCGGGACCGGAGGGGGCTTGGTCGAAACCTTCAGGGCACTGTGTATCGGACGTTGCTGCACCCTTTCAGGTGGCTTGACAAGGTTTTGGAGATTCGGCGGTCGCAAAGACGTACGACGAAGGAAGACGGGAGCATTTGATAATCTGACGTTGTAGAAGTTCGGCGGTCGTTTTGTCGGAGAACCTGAATGGTGCTCGGACGCCTTGACAGACCTTAAATCTTGTAAACTGTGACTAAGACCGTGCTCGCTGTGATGGGTGCGTGTCAGCATGCCGGGAGGATGAATTCTGGTTTCTGGCCGACCCCTGACCCCTGCAGTAGGTGCTTTGCCAAGGGCCTTCGCTGCTGATACTGACATCGAGCTGCCGATCGGCCGAGGGCGACTAAGGTACCACACATGAATCAGTGTTCTATCAGTTGGCAACGAAGAAATGTCGCATGCTCAATACCTCTTCGTGCGATTCCCGAAATCGTTCTCCTTCCCGCCGGGGATGCGACTAAAGGAGCTGGATTGGATGTCTCCCGAACTATTTCTGGGTAGCAGAATGGCGCGAGGTTTTGCAGCTGGCTCGGCTGCTGGTATGGAAGGCGTCACGTAATGTGCAGGTTGCTCCTTAGGAGGTATTGGAGCCTTGGTCCGAGCGCTTTGATTGTAATTGTTGAACGGATGGTCTGTGGATATGTCCTGCTTTCGAGTCAGCCTCCAACCCGCGGAAGTGCATTTGCAAGATAACGCACCTTTCCCTTTGTTAGCTGCAGGATTCTCTGATGCACAGCAGCTCTGATACGCTCGTGATCGTCTGGCTCATCAAATCCATCCGGTGCCCGCTGGCTGACCTCGCCAAACGTTGGCTTTATTGGGAAGTCAGCAGGTCCAAATGATGGCTTGTGATCATCACCAAGGATTGCAAGGGTTTTCTGCCTCAGATCCCGTAGAGCACTGGCTACACGGGTGTAGCTGAAGTTGTCTTCCACGGTATTCAGACTTTGCGAAATGGGGCGCGCACCTGGCCGCGCTGCCTTCGGTGTGGCAGTATCGACCTCAAGCTCCTCAGCCCGCGCTCTTGGCCCAGCATTGGTCGATGGAAACCGTGCTGTCAAAACCTCGTCAAGGGGCGACCAACCCAGTGTAGAGTGAATACCGGCAAGATCGTCCAGCGCCGTCGCAATCCGCCCAACCAGATTCGCTTGCCGATCAAGTTCCGTCGACGTTCCTTCGTCAGCCACCGCTTTTGGCACTGGCAGTTCTGGACCGTGAATGGCTCCTGCAGTAGTGGTCGTGATGTACTTTCGCAAATCTTCGTGGATGGCTCGTAGCTGATCCTTCAAATCCTGGCTGGGCCCTGGTCCTGACTGGGTCCCCACAGTTTGCGCATTGTTTGGCCCATCATTCACACGTGGAGCATTGGAAGGCTCCGCATCTCTACGAGCAATAGACTCAGAGTCGGGTGGAAGCGGTAGTTTTCCCGCTCGTGGCTGTGTCGCTGCCGCCTGGACGTTGCCTGGAACAATCTCGACGCTCATCAAAGTCTGAAGCTTTTTCATATGCAGCATTTGCCATTCCGCCTGCTTCTCTTGCATATCATGTAGATGCGTAATTTGCTTCATGATTTGCTGCTGCACAGCATTGCTCTGATCATTGGCAACTGCAAGTTGCTGCCGTAGCAGCTTTTGATTGATTGCGTGGATTCTATCCTGCAAAGCGTCCAAAGTCTTGACTTCCTCATCTATCTTTCTCGGATCCAACGACGCGATAGTTTGCGAGGGGTCTGCATGACGTTTGTGCAGGTTCGCCTTTGTGGGATTTTGCGTTTTTGGTATCAAAGATGTGGTATCTCGGCGACTTGTGCCTGTGTTTGTGAATGGTGCCGGGTGCGTTTTCGCAGATGGAACTTTCAAGGCACTCGAAGCGGTTGTTCCTCGCGCGGGAAAGAGATCGGCCAATTTGTTGGGCACCGACACTGATGCGGCCTCCAGGATGGAAACGTCTCCGCCCAAATGCCCGCCTGACCCTGCGGCGCCTTTCACAGTGACCGTTTCCATTGTTTCTTCTGATGTCCGTGGCCTTCCCTTTCCGGCAACTTCCTGGACCGTTGAGTTTTCCCTGTCATTTATCGATGCGCTGTCTGACAGCACCGCGGGAAACGGGTTCGCAAACTTTTTTCGAAAATCCTCCAGAGAAGCCTGCAGAAGAGACGACTGGGCGCTTACTCGCTGCTCGCCTTGCAGAACCTGCGTCCCTTTTGCGGGGAGCTTCGGTCAGTCTGGGATACCGTTAGAAGGTCGTTTTACATGAGAAGGCGCTTACCGAAGCCTCTTGCGCAGCCAAAGGCCGACTTGCCGAAGGGTTCCCAGGCTCCTCAGGTCGTTTGCCTTGCCGTTGCTGTGCCTCTGGAAGCTGACGATGTCCCCTCGCTCTGTTGAGCAGAGCAGTGGCAGCATTGAAGCTGGCTTCAAGAGACGCGAGTGACACTCCGAGGCTCCCAAGTCCGCTTGGATCTTGGGTCGAGATGAGCGGATTGGCTGCCATGACGTTTGATAATCAAAGAATTGGTAGGACCAGCGGGATCAAAGGGGACGACGGTATAACAGGACGGCAGCTGAAGGTGAGCAGAACAGCGACCATGGGTCTTGCATTTTTGGCAGGCCATGCTGAATGCCAGGTCCAGCAGCACCGCAACTTCAGCATGGACAAGCTGGACATGAACGCGTCTCTCGCAAGGGGGACGATCGAGTCCGGACGAGCCGGACGACGCCGCTAAACAAATCCTCCCCGGACGTATGCATTATGCATACACTGGCTTCAAGCCTAAACCGCTCCTGCAGACTTCATCGGAGAAGGTCGGGGGGATGTGAGAAAGTCCTGGTCATATTCCAGCAAGAACGCCAATGATGGTATTGCTACTGAGCGAAGACGGGCATTGCTACATGATATTCTGCTGCCTTGATACACACTTGTGAACAAAACAAAAAACTACTCTCATTTGCGAGAAGAATGTTTGGCGGACCGGTTCTATATGGAGTTCGGAGCAACCTCTCCGTATCCCAACGTCTAACGTCCTATCCCAGCCCTTGCTTCCAGAGAAGCACACCCTCATCCACCGTTTTCCGGTGGCCGACTAATATCAAATGTCGTCGTCTTCAACTCGCTGGGAGCTAACTAACGTTGACTATACAACGCTCTATGACTTGAGCGGCGTCTAAACCCCATAGGGTGCTTGTGATGCGGTGGTGAAGAACGGAACCGCGGCATGTGTGTGTCCCCGGGTACCGATTAACATTGATGAGGCGCTCGACGTGGTGGACACCGTCCGCGATGCGGAGGATGTCAGGAAATACGCAGGCGCGAACTTCCAGACGGTACGACATCATCAGCCTGGGAGGTAGCCTTGCTAGGTATCCGCCCGCACTTCGACTCGACTGCCATTGTTCGGACACAGCTCAGGAAGCACTCAACACGTCGTGCGCACCACTGAACAGCGGAAATGTCCGAACGGGCGCTTTCCGATCGGTTACTTCATAGGGCGTGATTTCTCGTTTGGAAAAGGCTCATGCATCCCTGTTCGTCATGTTGGCTCAGGTGTATGCACTCTCGCCTTGCACCTCAACCTTCACGAGATGAGCTCCCGGAATCATCACCATTCCAACACTCCTGGTTTCCGGGCCTTTCGACTCCTCGGTGCCCCCTAGTATGACATTTCGCTGTTTGTCGACACAGAGAAAGTAGCCTGCAAAAGTGCGGCCGTCGCTTATGGTCACGCGCAGCGGTTGGTTGAGTAACTCCCGCAGTTTTGCTAGGTTTTCGGATCCGTGAGGCGGTTGTGGGGGAAAATCTGCAACAGAAGCGATGGTGGAACGGACGGCGGTGGGAGGAGAGGTGGGCCTGGCTGGGGGATGGCCGGACGTCTGCTGGAATATGAGATATTAGAAAAGCTCCAGACCATCAATATCAGGCAGCCCCGAAGACGGCTAAGAATGCACATGCAACCCTCGCCTTTCCCTCAATTACCGGCATCTTTGCGAATGGCTTTGTTGACTGCGAGACCTGTATTTTCCGAAGCCTCCAACGCCGTTGCTGAAAGTGTCTATCGTTTGCTTCGTTCGTGGCTCGAGCAAAGCAGCCATGGGCGTGGGAGTTCTGGGAGTTTCCGAATGGGACGAACACGCGTGGGGAGTCGGAGGATTCTGGTGATCGCCTGTGTTTCCCCGTTGCGAATTGCCTTGCGCTACACCCGCTGAACCCATTTCTGACCGGAAACACTCGCCATCCAGAGCCCTGAGTGGCAAGCCGAGCGGAGCAGCATATCATGTCGAAGCCAAACGAACTCCCTTCCGCGGATGAAACCAACGAGGAAACGATATCACTGAACGCTCTCCGCGAGCGTCAAAGAATCGCATCCCTTAGCTTTTGGACCGGCCTCGCGCAACAACCAAAGGCTGCTGACATTGTCATGTATGGAGGGTAAGTGAGCGGCATCACACGGCAACAGTGTATCCGGCCACTTACTTTGGAACGCGTATTGTAACTCTTTCTGCGATCGTTTTCAGCACGAAAGTAAGCGGCGTTCTGAGGGGCGGGACCGTGACCAGAGGAGAACCAGACGATGTCTTTATGGTGGACGAGCTGGCCACGCCTTTGGGAACGTACCCGGCGGCAAATATGCGGGCGTCTGATGTGCGATATGTTGTCATCAAGTAGGGGCGTCGGGGCACTTCCATCGCATATGTTCGGATGTGGTGTATATATATATACAAGTGTTCAGAACTTGGCGTATTCACAATAGATTGACCCCGCCATCCCTATTTATAACTCGACGGTGCAGCCAAGGACACCATTCATCCTATTGTTCAACTCTTCCTGCGCGTTGCGCTCCGCCTGTTCTCGTTGGAGGACCTCCTGCGCGACCCGGTTCAGTTCGTCTGCAAAGTCGCGCCAGTCAAATAGGTGTTCGAGATTCATGCGGTAAAGTTGGAGACGGAAGAGGTATTCGTCAAGCGGGCCAGGTTCGGGTATCGGTGGTTTCAAAGGGGTTGATGAAGCAGAATCGACGACTGGGGATGGTGATGGTGAGCCAGTTTCCCTTCCCGAAATTTCTGAACGATCGATGGGATCGGAGGACGTCGCTGCAGGTTCGGTAACTGCGCTCGAACTCTTTCCACCGTTCTTGGCGAGTGTCCGTGCATGACGCTCGAGTGCTGCCCCGGTTGCTGCAAGCGTCGTGGACGGGGCCGGAACCGTTCCGGATTCGCTGAAATCCGCAATGTCCTGCTGGAACTCCATAGTAGCCATCTTCGCAGCAGCGACGTCCGTCTCGTCCTCCGCCTGCATGATAGCCTGTTCCCAGACGCTTGCATCAGCCGGCGCCCCTGCTGCGGTCTCTGGGCGGATTTGCTTTGGTTGTAGCTCGGGCCCAGATTGAGTCCCATCTCCAGACTCGGTGAGATTGCCCGCATCTAGCCAATCCTGCCACTGCAACGTTGTATTGGAGTTGTTCTTGCTTATCCACTCAGTCGTGAAATCTCCGGCTCGAATAACAAGTTGGTCAAGCCGACGTTTTTGATTTGCTTTTCGGAGCATGTTCTCTTCAATTGTGTGTGCGCTCACAAAGCGGTAAATGTGGACTTCGCGGGTTTGGCCGATTCTATGCGCGCGATCTTGAGCTTGGGCTGTGGATGACAATTGCAAATGAGTAAATGGCTACTGCGCGACGAACAATCTAGTGCAGTTCGACTTACCATCCATAGCCGGGTTCCAATCACTGTCATAGAAAATGACCCGATCGGCGCCCGTCAAATTCATCCCTATCCCACCACTGCGTGTGCTTAGGATGAAGACGAGAATGCGCTTATCGTTATTGAACCGCTCCATGAGCACTTGTCGCTGCTCGACCTTTGTAGAACCATCTAGACGAAGATAGCGGTGCCCATGCAGATTCAGGAAAACTTCGAGGATATCTGTCGAATAAATAGATTTGTTAATCCAGGAAGGGACGATGAACGAGGGAGGACACCACATACCGAGCATTTTGGTCATCTGCGTGAAAATCAGCGCCCGATGACCTCCAGGCTTCATCTCCTTCAATATCTTGTCCAACATCTGCAACTTGCCGCAATCAAACTGAACAAGTCTCTTGTCCGGAAACGAGATTTCCAGTCTTGTTTTCGCGAACCCCAGCACATCTACCGGACAGACTTCACCCAGTTGCTCTGCTATGGAAGGAATGACACCGTCGTCACCCGCATCATACGAATCGGCTGACCGAGGATAGATGAGACCGGGAGTGGGTATATTCGTGCGAAAAGGGTGGACGCGAGCCCGCGGTGTTACGCATACGAAGCGATCGATGTATTCAATGACGGTTGCCAATCTCTCCTCTGGGGTTAACACCGCTTGGCGCAGATATGTGCTGTACGAACCCATTCTGCTCGGATCGTCGCTGGCGTGAACGATGACTTCGACTTCGCGTTCTCCAAGTGACCGACATAACCGAATTACATCACGTCCGTACATCGGTGCGATGCCCGCCAGAGCGTGTCTACACCGCAACCGATTTGACCGCTTCAGCGTCTGCCACCAATGTACTTTGTCCTTTGCATTGTGCCACTGCTTGACCAGCTTCCAAGCCGCCAGCGTTCGAACCTGGCCGTCCTTCGGAAGTAAAGCGCGGGTTTGTACCTCGGCATCCACGGCCTCGTCCAGACTCTGCTGAATCTCTCGCCATGCCGCCCACTTCGTCAAGCGCTGGCTCTCCAATCGCGTCCACCCGTGAGGCCCTTCCCGATCTGGGTTCACAATGTCAAGGCCAATCCGCGCCATAGAAACCACACTATCGATCTCGCGCAAAAGCTTCTTCCAGACCAAAATCTCTTCGAGCTTGAGCAAACGCCCTGGGACGCCGCCTTCCGGAAGAGCGAATCCCGTGACGACCGGTCGCTCCTCGAATAAGTTTGGGTGATTGCACACTTTTCGTAGCTGCATGAGAACGTTGACGATGCTTAGATAGTTCCCTGACGCCAAATCCGCTTTCGTCTTCGCGCGAGACATGAAGTCATCGTACAGAAACCGCTGCCGCTTACTCAGCCGACACGTGACAACATGTTCGTACTTGGCCGGCATTTGTTTCTCCACGTCCGCTTTGAGACGACGCAGAATATATGGTCTAAGCACGGCGTGGAGCCTCGCCACAGATTCGCGCGTATCGGCATCCGCGGAATCGGTAGTCAAAGCATCATTCGGCATCCCGGAGCCGTCACCGATTAGACTGGACACCGATCCTTCGAACCATTCTTTGAACTCCTGGCGTCCCGCAAATCCGCCTTCCGTTTGACCGCCGGGACCGCCTGCAGCAGGCATCAGAAAGTAGAGCAAACTCCACAGCTCCATGAGACTGTTTTGCAGCGGCGTGCCTGTGAGAAGCAATCTGCGCTCGGTGTTGAAGCCCAGCAGTGTTTGCCACCGTTGGCTGCGAAAGTTTTTGATGTTGTGTGCTTCGTCGAGAACCAGATAACACCATCGTTTTCGGCGGAAGATATGTTGATCGCGCAGGACGATTTGGTAGCTGGTGATGCAGACATGAAAGGAGTTGGGCTTCAACCAACCGACACGCTTCGCTGCGCGTTCGGCAATGTTTCCGTAGTAGGTCAGTAGCTTGAAGCCAGGCAGCCATTTCTTGAACTCGCATTCCCAATTCAGCATCACTGAGGTAGGCACGACAATCAAATGAGGGCCCCAGACTCCTCGATCGACCGCAAGATGCGCAAAGAGCGAAATGGTTTGTATCGTTTTCCCCAACCCCATTTCATCGGCGAGAATGCCATTTAGCCCTTTCTGGTAAAGCCCTGCAAGCCAGCTCAAGCCAACGTGCTGGTATTCTCTGAGAGTGTGTTTAAGCAGGAAAGGGATTGGCGTTTCGTTTTGGTTTTGCGCCTCGTTGTCCCTCTCGCTTTTGGCTGCATCATGACCCAAGTTCCCGTCAACTTCCGCACTAGTGGAGATTGACGTGAGCGAAGTGGTGCCCAGATTTGCGTTTGGCGGAGGGGACTGAAACGCGGCGTTCGTGTCGTCATCTTCAGGATGGGAGGCCCCACTGCTCAGGGAAAACGGAGAATGTGGCACTGGGTCATCTCCCATGATAGCTTTCTCCTCAGGCAAACCGCTGCTTTCGTTCTCGAGCTCGAAATGGTTCGTGTCGGGTAATGTGTGTTTCCTCGGGGATGCAAATGGTTTAGAAGTATTGGCTTCGAGGTTTTCGATAGGTTCATCAGCATCAACGTTATCATCCTCCTCAACGCCATCGTCATCCTCCGTCTGATCCTCGTCATCCGAAGCCCCATTCTGCTCCTCCATCTGCCTCATCCACGCACGAAGCGCGTCAATGTCGGTATCCATGTCGTCTCGAAGACCGTTCATCTCTTCATCACTATCAACGCCTTCTTCGGCTTCGTCGGCATCGAGTTCCGCTTCCGCAGCCTGGTCTTCTTCGTCGATATCCATGTCCGCTGCTTCTAAAACAAACTCCACATCGCCATTCTCAATCGGTATTCGTTGCTTCAGAACCGCAGGTGGGGAGCCAGATGACTGCAAGTCATTCGCAGCAACGGATCCAACAAAGGACGCTGGTGACGGTGGTATCGAGAGCGCAGGTATGTCGGACCCTGCGTCCTCGGCGTAAATACCGTCGGGCTGAGCCGCCGGCTCATCATCATCATCCAGTTCTTCCTGCAGTTCGCCAGCATCATCATCATAAACCTCCTCAATTCGGTCAGAGTCCTCGTCCTGTTCTGACTGATTCATCTGATACTCGAAGTATTCTTTTCCAAGCAAGTCTTCGACCGGAACGTCCATCTCAACCCTAAGAGCTTCCATCTCAGATTGATCGCTACTGCTTTCCGACATTATCTCATCATCAACATCGTCCGTGCTTCGGACAGAAAAATCGTCGCCGTCATGGTCAAAGGTAGCTGAAGAGCCGACGCTAAAGGATGGGGACGAGGCTCGAGATCCCGGCACATTCCGCCCTTGCAATACGGTCGATGAATGCTCGATGATGGCATCCAGCTGGCGTTTGCCTGCTTGGCGTTGTTCTTCGGCCAAGAGTTTTGAATGCTGGATTCGTATGATCTATGCAGAAGAAGATCGGTCAGACAAGAGTCCATAAGCACCGATCCAGTCATTCATGCATACCGATTCAACCAGCTTCCACCGTTTCGTCAACTCCACCCTGACGTCCTTGAAGCATCGTTTCCACTTCTTCTCTTCGGCAGAGGTCTTGCGCTCTCCTTCTGTGAGTCTGAGCTCCCAATACTTTTGCATAGCTTTGCTTGCGAGTTTTGTTCTCCGTGTGCGCTCTTTGCCGGCATGAGCAAACCCTGCACTGACAACCCGCATTTCCTCCAGTAAGCGGGTCCAATGCGTTCGCTGCGGCGGATCGGGTCTCTTTTCCAAATCCTGAGCTGTTAACCCTCTCAACAACCCGATCTGCTTCATTTTTGCTAGGCGGATGTCGACTTGGACTTCCGTATTGGCCCGGCTTTCGTAGTCATTTTTGCTGACTTCTTCATCGTCTAAATACAGGAATGTAGCCAAATACTCCCCCAAATTCCTGTACCGCGCCCCGCCAATGTGTAAAAGAGCCGAGCGAGGGACCAGCCCGTCGATCTCGACAGCAGTTTCTTCTACTAGATAGTGTAGCGAGGTAGAATCTCGGTTCGTATGCCCGCGAGTGCCATACCGATCCGGGCGTTGTGCATCTCTGATAGCTTTTGACCGAATTTCGGCCAGATCATTCGCGACGTTGGAACGGAGGTCAACGTTTTGCAAATACTATGGGAAAGCCCATTAGAGTGAGCGAAAGCTGAACGATGTCAGAACACGTGGGCACGTAAGTATCAAGCAGAAGATGCGGCATAGTGTAACAACCTTAGCAATGCGCTCTCCTTTGTCCACCTTCAGCTTCGCCGGATCATATTCCAGGAGCGGCAACTGATTTTCGAGATAGTACATTTCCCGAACGCGACTGTCGTATGAGTCCAGTATCTGCCCAAGACGCTGTTTCCGCTGATCGATGACGTGCCGTTTGTGTATCTCAAACGCAGGGAGTAAAGATGCTCGTCTGCTGGACAAGGGCTCCTCATCCGAATCTGTGCATGCGCCGTTCATTCGAGCACCTGCATCTTTCGATTTGGCCTTTCTCGCAGTCGTAGCTTTCGCGGGATATCGCCCAGCAGATTTGATGGGGTTCTTGATAGGATGCGAATCCTTCGAGCTTCGCGGTCGTCCCCTGGTGGCACCTGTAACCAGGGCATTACCATTACTGCTTCCACGACCTCTCGTTCCCCTGCTCGCTAATCCGCTCCCCCGTGGCCTTCCTGGCCGAGAAGCCGCTGCGTGTGGATGTGAGGTAGGCGGCGCGGCTTTCACTTTCGCTGGTTCATTTCGGGTCTGTCCTACTGAGCGGTTAAGCGGCGGCCTGCCAGGCCTGCGTTTGGCTGGTTGCACAGGTTCAGTTGTCATTTTTGTCGCACGCCCAAATTCTCCACACCGGGCATGGGTGGTCTCCTATCAGCTTCACTAAAGTATCGCCCCGATCCACAAGAGCTATATGTGATATATTTCCTCGCAGGTCTCAGAGGTATTCTTGTGCGGCACGGCCTGAAGAGGCGTAGACTTTCGGATGCAAGGTTTTCAAGAACCGTTGTGTGCCTGGCAGCTTAATGTACTGTACATATATGGAGGTCACGATTCCGGGGAGATCAGAGGAAGTCGCGCGGCTTGCCGACACAGGAAGCGACACTTGCGAAACTCAGAAACAGCAGCGGAGCGGGTATAAGCGCACGCGATATTAGAGGACAGATGAGTGCAAAGAACGGAACGAAAAAAAAAAGGGTGCTGTGCGGGAATGGGGTCAAGATGAGATGTGGAAGGAGCGGAAGTCTCTGGGGGGGGGCCCTTTCCGAAGCTGTTGTTAACAAACAGTGCTGCAAGAGAGACGCTGTTTTCTCACATGACGCGTGCCAAAAACGCCAACGCGTCGCGTCTCCCCTTCGTTGCCGTCTCTTCCCTCCCCTCCTGCTCACTCGGCACGCAATACAGCAGAAAGAATGACAAAAGCGCAAGGCTCAACGGAGAACGTCCTAGTGACGGTGCGCTGTCGGCCGTTCTCGCAAAAGGAGCTCGCCGCAGGCCACAAGAAGATCGTCACCATCGACTCGAAAGTTGCCTCTGTAAATATCAATGATCCAAGAGGCAGAGACGAACCTAAACAGTTCACGTTCGATGCCGCGTTCGATGAGGATTGCACTCAGCAACAAGTTTACGACTCTACGGCAAGGATTATCGTCGATGCCGTCCTCGATGGATTCAATGGGACCGTATTCTGTTATGGTAAGCCGCGAGCGATAGCGAGTGGGAGCGGAGCGAGGGGTTGTTGGCGATAGGAGCCGTGAGCGATGGCGAACGCCGACTGCGGTGGGCGGAGCGAGCCACATTGCGAGAAAGGCGCAATACTCCCCTCACCGCATTTCTGACAAGCACCGGCAAGCGTCCGATCTTTCGCGAGCGAAGCGAGCACCACATTGCGCAATAGGTGCAACACTCCTCTCACCCAAGTAGCCTAACATCCTTGTCGCGAGCGGAGCGAGCACGATGTTGCTTGTTGATGGATAGTTGATGTTTGATTGTAGATGCTCGATGGGTTGACGGTCGATTGACGATTGATGGTTGTCAGTCGATCGTCGATGGCTGATGGCTGAAACATCCGTTGTTCAACCCCGTTCCTTTGCTTGGCCCCAACAGAAAATCCACTCATTCATTTGACGCGCTCTTCTCACAAAAGGCCAAACGGGAACGGGCAAGACCTTCTCCATGCAAGGCATCAGCGACGTCCCCGAGCTCCGCGGTATCATCCCCCAGGCATTCCACCACATCTTCTCCCACATCGCGCACCGATCGGCCGAGAAAAAGTTCCTTGTCCGCGTATCCTTTCTGGAAATCTACAATGAAGACATCAAGGATCTGCTCATTAAGCAGAAAGTCCATGGCGCGACAAAGACGCCCGGGCTGGAATTGAAGGAGCATCCGGAAACGGGAGTGTATGTGAAGGATCTGGGAACCCATGTGGTCAAGAACGTTCCGGAGATGGAGGCGTTGATGGCGCTGGGAAATAAGAATCGGTCGGTGGGAGCCACCCTCATGAACGAAAACTCGTCACGTTCGCATTCCATCTTTACCGTCACGGTCGAAAGCTCTGAGCCGGGACCTGACGGGAAGGATCGTATCGTCGCGGGCAAGCTGCATTTGGTGGATCTTGCTGGAAGCGAGCGGCAGAGCAAAACGGGAGCAACCGGCGACCGACTGCATGAAGCCACGAGAATCAATCTGAGTCTGAGTGCCTTGGGAAACTGTATTGGAGCATTGGTGGATGGCAGAAGCACGCATATCCCCTACAGAGACTCCAAGTTGACCCGTGGGTGACGAACGGCAGTCTCTTGCGTGTGCATAGTTTGAAAGCTAACAGCTAACACATCTTCGACACAGGGCTACTGCAAGATTCCCTAGGAGGGAACGCAAAAACCCTGATGATCGCAACCCTTTCCCCCGCCTCCTACAACTTCGACGAAACAATCTCCACCCTCCGGTACGCGAACCGCGCCAAGAACATCAAGAACAAGCCCAAGGTCAACGAGGACCCGAAAGACGCGATGCTCAAACAATGCCAGGAAGAGATCGAGAAATTGAAAATGGCGTTGGCAGCGAGACAACGAGGTGCGGATGCTGGGGAAGGCGGGGCCCCCCAGCCCAGGATAATTACAAAGATTGTGAAAAAAAGGGTGGTGAAGAAAGTGCCGCGGATCATTCAGAGAGCTGCTTCTGTGCATCTCGAAGGGGAGGTCCCGCCTGATGAGGTGGGCGAGGAGGGGGAGGAAAGTGAAGATGAGGAAGAAGGAGTTGAGAACGACGTTGTGGTCGAAACGTCGACAGATCCAAACACGGTGGCGGATTCTGAGAACCCACTCGCCGGGCTGGATCCGGAAACGATTCGGAAATTGGAGGAGCAGGTGGAAGCAGAGAAGCGGGCCTTACTAGCATCCAAGGACATGCTGACCTCTGACAAGGAGCGGATCGCCGCCGAGCTCGAACAACGGGCCAACGAGCTCGAAGCGGAGCGAACGATGCGCGAAACGCTCGCGACCAAACTACGGGCGTTAGAAACGCAACTCATCATCGGCGGTGGCGAGGAAGGGAGCGACTCCGACCAAGTGCCCGACGTCGGCGAGTTCCTCCAACGCATCGAGCACCAAGAGCTCCAACTAGCCGAAACCCAGTCCCGCCTGCAAGCACAAGCCCTGCGCGAGCACCAGCTCCAACAGCAGCTCGAGGCGCGGCAGGACCTGCACCTCCAGATGGAAGAGCACTACGCGTCGTTGCAGGAGGAGGTGGACATCAAGACCAAGAAGCTTGGGAAGCTGTTTACCCGGTTACAGGCCGCCAAATCAGAGATCAACGACCTCGAGGACGAGTTTCGTGCCGAGCGCGAGGATTTCCTCGACACGATTCGTGAACTCACCCGGGAGCTGTCTCTCAAAACCGCGCTCATTGAGAATTTTGTCCCCGTGGATGATCGCAAGAAAGTCGAGGCGGGCGCCGTGTTTGATGATGAGACGGATGAGTGGTTTGTGAGTGGCGTCATCGATAGGCATCTGGTGAAGAGGGTGGAGCGTCCGAGAAGTTTGGGGAGTGCGGTGAAGAGGCCTATTTGCAGATATGCGAGGATGATGGTGTCGCTGGGCGACCCGAATCCCAGGTGGAGGATCGATAACGTCTTAACGTTAAAGGTATGCTGTGATCATTTTGATGGGCCAATATAGTGAACCTTCACATGAGTGACCCTTATCCTCGTATCTTCAACAGCTGGATATGCCCGCGAAAACAACCATCTCGCCCACCCCAACACGCAACACGTCGCCATTGAAAGGTGCGCTCGACTCCGCGCTCGAAGCCGAAGACGAATGGGAAGAAATCACCGTAGCGGAAACCGACTTTGCGGGATACAGGCAACGGACGGCTGCGGCGAATCAGTCGAGGCGGAGGGCCCAGAAGGCATAGCGGACTTGAGTTCCGCCTGAATCTGACACCCCACGAAATATTCTTTTTGGTTTGGGCAACGAGACTCTACTTTTTGTATATTGTTGGAAACGTAACAGAATAAGCACATATATGCAAGTGTGTGGAAAGCACATACGCTGCTAATCTACTGAACATTATCGGCCGTGATGCGTTTGACAAAGCTCGCAACGACATCAAAGAACTCGTTCTCTCTCAGCATCTCGAAATGCTTGCCAGTTACGCCGGTTTCAAGCTCTACCGTCCCTTTGCCGCCGTTCAAAGTCCTCAAATAGTCAGCAAACCGCTCGGAATGGGGTAAATCCATCAACTCGTCCTGCGGGCTGTGAACCACTAGATACGGCGGTAACGCGACACCGGATGATGGGAGAAGATGCTGTGGCGATGCCCGTCGCCACGCATCAGGGGAATCGCCAAATGCCAGCGATATAAAATCGACATAGGAAGGGTACTGGGATGCAAGGGTCGGGATGTCGTATATGCCTTCCACCCCGACACAGCCTTTAATTGATTCATGAAGTCGCTGCCCTTTCTGCGCAAGTGTTGAAGCGTTCTCAACGACTTCTTCCGAGATGGCGCCAAGATCGAGCGGGCGCGCATCCGTTGCAACCTCTGTCCACCCAAACCACTCAGGTTGGAAGAGAAGCAGCGACGCCAGGTGGGCTCCGCATGAATGTCCCACCAGCACAAACCCTGTTGGCTGGAAGCCGAAGTACGGCTCCGACTTGTCATGTAACCATTTCAGCGCATGAGTGACGTCTAGGAGGTGCGTTGGGTGTTGGTTGATATACTTTTTGGATGACGCCGTGGTTTTGGCCTCTGTTGTGGGTTCATCCGTCGCCGTAGCAGCCGGGCCCGAATGACTTGCGCCGAACGACGAAAGCCGGTATCCCACGACAACGGTATGTAGGTTATGCACCGAGGCAAAGTGCTCCCCGAGATACTCATAGTCGTTCTATTCCCGGGAGAAGGGTTCAGTATTGGCGCCTGGGGCAACGAGCGCTGGCAGAAGCACACGGACTTCCTCACCTTATCCCCAGTCCTCCACGCCCCTCCATGTATATACACCAGCACAGGTTGTGGCGGTATCGCTTTCACTGCTCCTTGACCTATCTGTGCATCGTCGTCGTCGGGTCGGGTGTCGTCCTCGAGGTCTGACACAGGCACGTATATGTCAAGATGCTGCTTGGGGTCCGCCACTGCTGACGAGCCGTAGGGGATGTTTTTGAAGCGCTTGACTGTTGTTGCGGAGTCCACTATGGCGGCCATTGTTGGGACAGAGGGGATCTTTGGAAGCGAAAGTCGAGAACTCGTCGGGAAAGCGCGTAGCCGTCACCATCGGAGTCTCCGCTGAGTCGACTGACCTCGAGGGACAGCAGATTCACCACAGACTCTACGTAGACAACGACAATGAGCGACTACGAAGACGACGATGATATCTCAGGGCCAGACTACGAGGCTCTCATCAGCGTCATGGACAAGGTCGAGGCTGCCAACAACGAGGTCGATGGGCGCGGCGGAGCTGTCAAAACCGAGCCTGGTGCCGAACCGCATGGACAAGGGCAGGAGGAAAACCGGAATGCGAGCGGAGAGGGCGTTCGGGAGACGACGTCTGGCCCTGCTTCGAGGACGCGTGGGGCTGCCGCGAGGAAGCGGGGTGGAGTTGAGAAGAGTGGGGATGGCCGTTCCAACGTTGCAAAGAGCACGGTATCAGAAACCGGCCGAGGTCGTGGGAAGAAAGCTGCGGGGCAAAAATCGAAGCGGAAGCTCGATACCGCTGAATCCCAAGAGGATACGACGGCCGATGCAAACCAGCCATCGCAATCTACTACAGACGACACGACAGGCTTCTCCATAGCCCGCCCACCCCATCCTCCCAACAAAAAGCCCCGCACATCAAAAGGGCAACGCCAAGAACCCCACCGAACCCCAAGCCCACCCCCCTCCACCGCCCGCCCACCCTTCCCAACCCCCTCGACCCCACTCTCCTCAACACCACCCGACCTCTCCCCAATCACCATCAACCGCGCCCCAGTGCTGTGCCTATGGGCCGCCGTGGTCGCGCATCGCGAGGGGTACGCGTGGAAGACGGCGCTGACGATCGGAAAGTGTGTGATGGTGAGGTGTGCGCAGGCGAAGGGGAGGAGTGTGGGTGTGATTGCGGAAAAGGATGAGACGACAGATAAACGGGTGCAGGATGAGGGAAGGGCGATGCGGACTGTGTGGGCGTTTGGGATGTGGATTACGTGTGTGGATCTTGCGGCGGATACCGGTGGTGATGGTGGTGGGAATGAAGTGAAAGCGGAGGCTGATGAAGACGCGAAGCCTGCCACGCTACGGGCAGTCATTTCCGGTAAACCGGTTGATCCGGTTGACACGGAATGGTATTGTCGGAATAAGTTTCGGGCCAGGTGGGAAGACGCTTTGAAGTGTTTTACCACATTGGCCAACAGGTGTGATCCGGAACGGATCGGCGTGGATGGCTACGGGTTCTATGAGCGCTTTCGGCCGGGTGTGGCGGCCGGCGCGCAGGGGTGGGGGAAGAGCGGAGAGTTGCAATTGAGGGCCATAGTTGGGATGGAGTTGTGAGCTGCAAGAGTTCGGATATTTGGGCACGCAGCCGAGGGGGCATATCACTGCCAACGAATAGGCGGTGAGGCAACTCTTGTTCATACGATGTAAATAACGAATGATGGCCCTAGATGTCGTTGCCACAGTCTGAGTCAGGTCTGAGTGTCCATGTGTGCATGTGCATGTCCATAACCAGCGCAAGTTAAGCTATTTGCAAAGGGAAGCTCGAAGAAGTCTTCGTATCCAACACAACATACGAGGTATAATCAAAATCGAATTCTTAAAAGACACAAGTCTCCCTGGCTTGACAGCAACAGCACTATAGAAAGACAAACACGCTCAATCCACACGAACAAAATTCAAGACATGATATCGAAGGATATCCAAAGTGAAAAGACTAAGTTATGCATGGCTTAAGCGCGGTGGCTCTTGCCCTTCCACTGCCAGAGGCAGTCAATGCAGCATTCCGTGCAAGCTGTAAGATGGAAAGGAATGCGAGAGTAAGTAAAGAAGAAGACGCGGACTGGAATGAATGAAAATGGAAACGTAACATACCAGGGTCGAACAAGCACTGAGGGAAGGGGCAGACGCCGTCACCGGGTGCGGGTTCGTTGGGGTCGCTTGGGGGCAATGGAGCGGGTTCAGCGGGCTCCTTGTCGGGGATCTTGCCATCCTTGACGTTGTTGTACAGGAAAGCGTTGGGAGTGCGTTGCAGCGTGCCTTGGATGAGGTCCTTGGTCGCAATGACCTTCAAGTAGGTCTGGACTTCGGCGGGGGTAGTGAAGTTACCCTCTGCGAGGGCAAGGGCAACGACACCAGCGACATGAGGAGTAGCCATAGAAGTACCGCTAATGGTGTTGGTACGGCCGTTGTTCCAGGTGGATGTGATATCAACACCGGGGGCGATGATGTCCACACAGGTTCCGCGTTCGGAGAATGAGGCGATGTGGTCGGTCTTGTCGGAGGCGGCAACGGTAATAGCTTCGGGGACACGGGCGGGAGACAAGAGGCAGGCATCCCGACCAGAGTTACCGGCAGCAATGGCAAAGTTCACACCCGCCTTGATGGCTCCTTGAACAGCGCGGTCCAAAGCAGTGGAGGCACCACCACCGAGAGACATGTTGGCGACGGACTTTCTTCCACGCTTGGGCGCTTCCTTGGTCACATACTCGATTCCGGCAATGACGTCCGAAGTGGTGCCGGAGCCTCGGGCGTCCAACACCTTCACGGCAATGAGGCTAACCTTCTTGGCAACACCGAAAGTCTTGGAGCCGATGGTCCCGGCGACGTGGGTGCCGTGGCCGTTTCCGTCAGCATCACCGTCGGTGGTAAAACTTTTGCCAATCTTCGCACGGCCCTCGAATTCGGGGTGGTCAACGAAGATTCCGGTGTCGATGATGTATGCGTTAACACCCTCTGTAGGAAAGCGAATTCCGTGAGAAATCCGTAATGATGATGATTGATAACATTTTAAACCTAGATACGTACCTCCAGCCGAGTCGGGGTATTCGTAGTTGCTCGAAAGGGGCAACTTTCGGGTGTGGATTCGCTGCAGGCCCCAGGATCCCGGGTTGCCCTGCTTTCCGGTGATCGAAACGATCTTGTCCTCCTCGATGTAATCCACACTGGGGTCTTGCTATAAGCGTCAATTGAAGGTTTAGTTTTTTGGATCTCCCATTTCATATTAAATTAACTCGCACGAACCCTCAGCGCCTCAGCTACGTCCTTGGGCAACTTTGCAGCATATCCCTTGAAGTCAGAAAAGTCGTAAGCATGCTTGATGCCGTAGGCGCTGACTGGCTTCTCGATATCGATAGAAACTCCGCCAGCAAGAGCTTGAACGGTCAACAAGGGGCTCGGGGCAAAAGAAGTTTGCAACCAGCTCACGTGGTTCTGGACTGCGGGAGAGATGGGATGAAATCTTTAGTATGGGAAGCACCGGAAGCGCATTCAAACCGAATAATAGAAAAAAGGGCAGCTACTCACAGGTGCTTTGCTCCACATCCTTCTTGAAAACAACAATGTACTGTTCAGGAATGGGAGTTCCGGCCACGTTCTGCTTGGGGTGGGGCTTAGCATCGGCGAACTGAAGCGCGACCACCAAGACGGTGGTGAGGCTAGCAAGGGTCAGACGCATGGTGGGCGAGAGACCGAGCTAGCGAAGCTTTGAAAGAAAGGGACGCGGCAAGTGATGTCCCGATGGACGAAGCTCAGAACGAGATGGGACGGACAAGCGATGGAAAGCGATTGCTAAGACGAGGGACTTTTGAGGTTTGAGGTTGCCAGACTGCTGCACTACTGTAATGTGTATGTATATGGATATGGGAACGGTAAGCAAGCAAACAGCCAAGAAAGCGATGAGATCGGTGTGGGAAAATTGGCTGGGAGTCAGGGAAGCTTGTCCACGTCGACGCTAAATACTGGCCAGAACGCAGGTGTCTAATCGAAAGAGGGGGGGGGGGGGGGATAAATAACACGCCAATGAGGTGATGACGCTGCGGGGATTGCTCATCAATTGTTATCATATTGCTGTGCCTCTTGTGCCCCGCTGAAGAGAATCGGAGACTGTGCCCGAATGTGCGCTGCGTTTGTGATCAGCAGCCCCTCATCATTTTATTATCTCTGGCGGGATGCTGGGCGGGATGCTCATCATAGGATTTGCCACCCTCTCTCAGCTCGGTTTCATCGCCATCCGCCCTGGTCGTCGTCCATGTCCAGCGACCCAAAGGGAAACAAACAAACGCCCACGACTCCTTTCCTTGGCGGATGGGTGTGACCTCTCGGTCCGTGACCAGTCGTTACTGACTGTTTCTAACCGGGCACATGTACATTTATAAACGCTTATCTTTCTTTGACGATCGACAGCGACGGCTCGCGGCCTCCCCTCACAAGCTCTTGCAAGTTGCATCCGAACTTGATAAATGGAGGAGGAGTGAGAGAGAGAGCAAACAGTCTTTGAATTTACGTACGCTCGGTTGAGATGGATGCGGCTGCCTTTCCGCTCCAGCAGTTTCAGTTTTTGCGAGGACTTGTCCCACATATCATCAGCCGCACATGCCCATGCAGCCATCCCACATACAGTAGCCGTCGCCTTGGTCGTTTGCATATAGTCGCGGCAAGCCGAAGGGCGTTGCTGGCAGAACAAGCCTGTGCATAGTGTGGGTGGGTGCGAGCGCGACGCGACCATCACGTCATTGATGAGGCATAGCATCATTAGCATGAGAGCCAGCCATCTCGGCCGCGACCGTTCAGAAAGCCTTCAACCGACCACCAAGCTTTGTGTAGATCTAGATACGTACAGTACATAGTTTCCCATAGTGCATCCTCGTTAGTTCGCTAGTCCAGTTATCCAAGTATCACAGCCGTCGCCCAGCCTGTTTCAACAACAAAATGTCGACTGCAGCTCCCGCCAACCCCGCAGAAATCTCAGACCCCCTGTCCGACGAGCAGAAAAGTGCCCTGTGGCATAACGCCATCCAGATTGTGGTGGAGTTGAAAGACCAACACGAGCAGGCGCTGGGCTCCGTGTCGCCACTAGAGAAGCCAAGATGCATTGAGGAGTTTCAAGCTTGGGCGGACGGGCTTTTGGAATTGGTCTGGATTGCTATCATGGGGCACGACACAAAAGGTAGGGACACTGCGTCGGTAGGCGTAGGAATGCTTGAGGATTCCGAGCGGAGCGATGAGAATGGGAGCGACAGCGAGCCCAGTCGCGCCGCAGGCCCGAGAATGCTTGAGTGCGGTGGGGCCGAGCCTACGGCCCAGGATTAGAAACGATCACACACTAGCCCAACCTCCTTGTCGCGAGCGGAGCGAGCAGGGTATTGTTTAACCATCCAACCCTCGACGTACCTTCGCTTCGCTCATCACGCTCATTACCCTCCATGTAGATCGCTCACCACTTGGCAGCCTCTTAGCCAACGCACAGAAAGATCCTCCCAAGCCCCGTATACCGATCGAGACGGCTACATCGACCCTGCGCACCATCCTGTTCCTCTCACTCACAACAACCAAAACCTACGATCCGCGCACCCGTCAGGTCCTGCGACGCCTCGCTCGCGCTCTCTCCTTATCCTTTCCGGATGAGCACGAGATTGTCGTCGCGGAGACACTCAAACATCCCAATGAGGCTATCGATTCCACCACCGCCACATCGGCCGCACAGAAACGGGCTGAGAACGGTAAACAATGGCGGTCCTGGAAAGTTGGCTTAGCGACCGTGGCTGGGGGATTGGCGATCGGCCTGTAAGTTGATGGGATGGGTGGCGAACCGCTTTCTACCTAGTGCTTACCACCCATTATTGCCTAAACGCAGAACGGGAGGCCTCGCTGCACCCCTGGTCGGGGCTGGCGTAGCGAGTGTACTTGGCGCCGTCGGCGTTGGAGGCACCGCCGCGGGGATGCTAGGCGTCGGATTGGCAAGTAGTGCCGCTGTCGTTGGCAGTTTATTTGGGGCGTACGGAGGACACATGACGGGAAAAGCCGTCTCGAACGCCACGAGAGAGGTGGAAGATTTCGAGTTCGTTGAAGTTAGCCAAAAAGGGCGGGTCAACGTTCTCATCTGCATCTCCGGCTGGCTGACCGACAAGAAAGATGTGTCGGCGCCCTGGAATATTTTCAATGAGTCCTCGGACGTGTACGCATTGAAGTGGGTTCGTAGATGCCGTATGCCGTCTATCCCCGCCCAGCTACGCAGCTGTTGACGCGACTTTCGTGCGTTATGTAGGAAGTTTCCGCGTTGCTTGCCCTCGGTAACGCACTCAGCGCCATGATCAAAAGCCAGGCTATCGCATATGTCAAAGGGGAAATTCTCAAGAGGACGGTGCTTGCTTCCCTGATGACAGCCATGTGGCCTTTGGGGTTGGTGAAGGTTGGCAAGCTCCTCGATAACCCGTACGTTGGTGTCTCCCGTTCTCTTTGTCATAGTATGGAAAAAACTGACAACTTGGCGTTTTAGGTGGAACAACGCAAAATCACTTGCCAATAAGGCAGGTCCAATTCTGGGCGACGTCCTCCAGGCGCATGCACAAGGCAACCGGCCTGTATCCATCGTAAGTGTCTCTACGTCCATCTTCACTCGCCAAATGGGTCCCCTTCCAGACGTAATACTTCCTAATCCTTTTCGTGCATCCCAGGTCGCATACTCCCTCGGATCACTCCTCGCCGTCCGAGCAGTCCTCTCCCTCCCAGCCTCATCACCACCACTAGTCGAAAACTTATACCTCCTCGGCTCCCCCCTCCCACTCACACCCACCATGTGGCAAGCCCTGCGCGCCCGCGTCCCCGGCCGCATCGTCAACTTCTATTCCACAAAAGACTGGGTCCTCGGTTTCCTCCACCGCGCGACGCAAAAACCCGAAAAAGGATGGGGTGTTGCGGGTCTACAACCCGTGAACGTGGACGGGATCGAGAACATCTGCTGTGATGAGTTTGTGGAAGGACATGTGGCGTGGAGGGCTCGCGTGGGCAGGTGTTTGGAGTTGGGCAAGGTAGAGGGCATCAAAGGGGATAAGGCTAGGGAGTGGGAGACGGAAAGTAGGATTGAAGAGGGGGTTGTGGAGGGCTTGAGTGTGGAGGAGATTGTGCAGAAGGAGGTGCCACCGCTCCCATACCGGCCGCCCGCTGATGAGAATGGAGGGGACGGGCCGGAGGTAGCTGGGAAGGCCGCCCGCTTCACCTCCCTTGAGCACCAAGTTGAAGGATTATCAGTCTCTCAATCTTGAAATCCTACCTCTTGTCACTCCGCTTACATGTATTCACCCCATTGTATAACCAATCTAATGATGCCAGTGGGCCTATCAAGAAAACATATGCAAAATTCCACGTTGATGTTGCGGCCTAGGCCCCAGCTCCACAACAGTCCTCATCTGCGATTGCCGGCGGGGTTTGGCGCTGATAGTGTGCTGTACAGACGGTCTGAGTAGTTCCGCCTTAAGAAGTGACGACTTTCGAGAAACACTGACAGCATCGACAATTGAAATACGGAGTGAAATACGACAGCGCGTGGAAAGTCCCCGCCCAGAAACTTGTTCCCCACACCTTCCGCAATCTCTCGAGCCTACAGACGAGTTCCTCTTTTGCATCAGGCTTGTGGAGGAGTTCCAGTTGCTGCGGAGACATGTTCCTTCCTCGAAACGAGTCTGACAGGAGAGACGTCAAGATCTGCTCCGAAAGAGGTCGATTTTGAGGTTGAGTGAAGGCTGAGCATCGGGAGCGCTCCGACTTGCAACTAGCGGGGGTATGTCTGACTTCGAACTTGTGGGGACGCGGCTGAGATCACTTCGCCATGTGCGCCTTGAACAACCAGGCTTGTTGATCGTCACTGTTTCCAGATAACCGCCTATATATATTGTACAATCATATATTGATCCGATAGTGCCATGAGGCGTGTGACGGGAAGCAGACGGTAAAGAGCTTGCAACGCTCTATATTCTGCGGTAAGGTTACCCTAGGGTAACCCGAACCGAAGGCCCCGCTATTGAAACATTTGCAAACGATTTTCAAAGCTACATAGCGCGTTGATCGTCCATGATGAGGGAGGATGGCGCTGCTGGCGGAGTAAAGCGCAAAGGAACCAGTAACCGTACAGCCAGGTCTGGCGCAACTGTGCTACAACGAATTCAGTCCCGCTCCCCTCTGAGAGTCTTCAAAGCCGTCCGGTCGCGCACATCGATACCCATAGTCCGCGCTTTGAGCTTCATGTTCACATCGTCCGTGACAAGCACGACCGGACTGACGTTCTTGGGCTGTCGCGCGTTCTGCATAAAGTACCAGCAGCATTGCAGGATCACATCGTCGTTATTCTTCTTCCTCTCATGCGCAGATTCCTGCGTTGTCCAGTCCTCGGTGCGGATACGTAGGTCGTGGAGGAAGTTGCCTTGGCTAGTCTGCAGTTTTAGCCAGGCTTTGCGGCGAACGGAGCGTTCCGACTCCATGCCTGTTCCGAACTCAGTGTCCAAGAACTGTACCGCTCGCTTGGCGGCTAGTCCTACGTCGTCATCGCTATTTTTCAGTCCATCGAGTTCGCTGACGACTGCAGTGGGTACAGGAAATTAGGAGATGGCAACGATTACGAGCCAGCAGTTTATATTGCTTACCAACTAGTGGCACGCTAATGACCCAATCTCCCGAATTGGCGAGGTCCACAATACCATCCAACCAATAGAGGTAAATGTTGGTGTCAAAGACAATGGTGGTCTCCCCCGGCACCATCCTCGATGAAGACTGTGTTCCTTCACTCTTGTGCGAGGACAGAAAGCGGTTTCGCGAATCGATCGCAGAATTGAGTTGGCGTTTTGCTTCCATTAGGCCCTGAACCGCCTCGTCAACGATGACGTCCACCTCGGATCCGGCGGGCGTGCTCTCTTCGCCAATATGAGGAACATACTCCAGTTCCTCCTCTTCTTCGACACCAACCAATATAGGTTCACCGAGCGTTGCTATTGGTTCGACGTGAGTAACTACGGAGAAGCGGCCGGTTTCCTCATTGTATGTCAGATGGGAAATCTTAGGGCAGAGCAATCTCGACACTTGCAAGATACGCCACAATCGTCTCCGCGTAGCATTCAAGTCGCCAGCTCGCAGTCGGGCCATGCCCCTGCTGTCAAGATGCTGATCTACGAGCGAATCAACTTCAGCCGCATCTCGGTGCAGCAGACTCTGGAACTCTTTCGATCGGAAGGCACCCGTGAAGAGCATAGAACCGTTAAGCTCCCAATCCTCAGGTAAGATCTCCACACCCACAACATCTTCAAGTGTGGTTCTTGCCGACTCCCCTTCAGCCATGACGCTTTGCAGCGCGTTGCAGAAATTTGCCAAGGAAGACCAAAAGTGAACATAACGCTGCGATTGCGAGGATTAATATCTCGCTTCACCGTCCCTTGCGCGCGATGCCATCGGAATTACCGGTTGTTGTAAGTACGTCAACCATGCTTCCTCCAGTGAAGCCATCCAGAATAACGTTATCCAAACATACAACAACCCTCCTTGGCTCAAACTGGCAAAATTTTCATCTCCACTGGATGTGCTTTTCAGCAAGTTCGACAAGCAGAAAGTCATGACATGCATAGCAAGCGACACCAGATGGTCTTTGAGCGGATCTCGGTCCTGTTCACTTGTAGCAGTGAACTTTCCGAGCTGCGACATGCTGCCATTTGCCGAAGCGAATTGCAAAAAGACCAAGGCAGCTTCGTCAGAGTCCGAGGTCACGAGGGGCTCGAAATACTTGAGTTGAGACGCGAACTCTGATAGGTATGTCGGGAAATGCTCCGTGCTACACCGAGAACAATCAGCTGGGTCCAAAGACCATGGCATACACCATGATACTTACCTGACTTTGGTGAAAAGAATCTCATGCATGCGGATGAAGTCCATTTTCATCATCTGAGCATCGACTATCCCGCGCCTGCGCGAAAGCTTAGCGGCCGTCAAGCGTTTTTCGACAGTCTTGAACAGGATCGTTAGCGCGTCCTTTGCGCTCAGAAAGGGTGATTTGACGGTCAAGCTTCGCAAGTAAGCATGGAATGACTCGAGAAAGTGCTCATCATAATTTGATACAATGGCTATCTGATTGTGATATAGACCTAGGGTTCGAAGTCAGGATGATGGTACAACCTCCGCAGCATGACATGCCACATCGACGATATTACCTGACTCGCCGCACAAGATGGCAGCTTCTCTATAATAGCGGCGCGAAATAGACCAATCCAATACGCCCGACGCGGGTGTGTCAGGAGATTTGAGATACATTTGCTCATATCGTTTCAGGTCGCCCAAGTAGTTAACGGATCGATGCCAGCAGGGTGAGACAGCTGTACGGCGGTAGCCACCGGCCCTGATTGATGGCCACTGGGCTTTGAAAGCGGCGACGAGGTCCACATACAGCGCCACGCTGGTTGAAATGAACTTCTTCCAGGCACTTCTCACTCCATCCGTGAGTTGCCCGTGTTCCATCTTCAAGTGCGCCCGAAGCTTCTCAATTGCAGCATATATGCCGTATCGCCACAACCGTGTTTCCAAATCATATTTGACTGCAAGGTCATATTTCGCCTTCATGATCGTAACGTATAGTTTGCAAGCCCTGAACAGAAATTATTAGTTGTGGTCACCATCACAGGATTCTATCACAAAAACTTGAACTCACTCAGACTGCCTCGTTGTGTAGCGCTGTATGCCTTCCATGCTATGAACGATTCGTTCTTCCTTATTCATACTTTCGAACTGGGAAATATACTTGTAGGCAGCCTTGAGATCTTGGTGTGAAGAGCCCGCATTTTCCTGATTTGCAACACGAAGTTCAGAAGAGACATCTGACACTGACAGACACAAGGCCGTGGTACGTACAGTCCGGGTCACTCTGGACGACTTCGGTGCATCTGATTCCCCTCGAGTGGCCAATGATGAAAGCCCTTCTCGACCATCCAAATGCCCGGCAAAACGACGGTTAGCCATTCCTTCGACGAGCGCCCGCGACCGAGAGCGTAATCCAGAGTTATCCGACGCAGCTTCGGTGATCAATGCTCTGTTTGACTTTGTAACTATGCGCTCACAGGCCTGTGACGTGCTTTGGTGCCCAATGTCCTCCGGGTCTACTTCGAGCTCTCGCAACCCAAGTCCGCCGCGGGGGTTCCCCTGTCTGCGATCGCGAGGGGAGCCTCGAGAGGCACTCCGGGGAGCTCGTTTGGTTCTGCCTCCCGCTGGCGGTCGACGTGCAGGCTGATGCTGTTCGTATCCACCATCAGCCTTGGTGGGTAAAAACCCCATTTGGTCGGAGTACAGTCCACGTCCGGCCGACCCTCGACCTCGAACAACCGGACGTGGGGGCGCTACATCTAGCTGAGCCTTATCTTCAGACGCAGGTACGGAAGGTACCAGAGCTGTTCTCGAGGCTACTTCTGGGCAACGCGCCGCCTCTTGGACCGCCTCCTCATCGATGCTCCTTCGATCATCTTCCGGGTCTTCGTCGGAATGGGATTCGTCCGACGTCTCAGCGGAAAAAGTGCTGTCCGTGCTCTCACTACGGATAGAACACACTAAGCACTTGAAGTTTGGCCGTGGATTGACGAGTAAGTTTACCTCTTATCTGAGTCTGAAGCTGAGGTTGAGCTCTCCGACAACCGCCCAGCCTTCCGTCTCAGGTAACCTCTGGAAATGCGTGGCTTCCTGGACGTGACTGTGGACATGAAAAGTAAGGCGGCAGGAGCCTCCGTTGGAACTTACAGTAGGCCAGTGAGGTCTTTCTTCCAGAATACTGGAAAACTATAGCTTCCTTGGGTATGCGTTCAACGGCTGCCATTGCACTCTTCCAGTGGAAGTTGAAAAGCCACGAATGAAGCGGAGGTTCTTTCGGACACGGAGGAGCGCGTTGCAACAGATTCCCACCAGCAACCCGAATTCCAATTCCAATTCCAACCTTGCCAGTGCACTTTTCCCACCTGCTGTACTGTACATACATACACAGACAGACCCACAAACAGGCTGGGTGGTGCTGGGTACACTGCTGGGCTCGCGACCACTTGGGCTGTCAGAGAGAGTTCCGCCTTCTGGTTGGCAATATGGACGATGTTCTGAAGTGGTGTGTCGAGGAAATTGCGTTGGAAGGTGCCGAAGGTAGTAGCAGTTCTGTGAACGCAAACCCGTGCAGACCCAAGATTTCCAAGCAAGCTGACCCTTTGCGCCAGGATGCTCACCCGAGCGACTATGGGAACTACTTGAAAATCGAATAGCTGAGGCCAAGAAAGACCTCAAGGCCGAACCAGCCGAAGGAATCTTGGAGATCGTGAGAACTTTACCCGGCAAGCTGGACAAGCACTTGCAGAGCTACCTATGGTCCTTGGTGATAAGATTGAATGATATACAAGCCCTCGCCGTTGACGATGAGCGCATCGGTAACCTATCGACTGACGTGAAGCGAAAGAAAGATAACCGCAAAGACCCAGCACAGGTCCGTTTCTTGAGGGGTTCCATTGTTTCTTTCGGTCCCTTCGCATGAATTAATCGGTAGTATTTCTTATGCAGGACAAGTTAAAGTCAGGTGGCAATGAAATTCCACATGAACTATCGTATACGGATGCGGTGGGCCGTTATGGGGCACGCATACGACTGGTCGCGAAGGAAACAGTTCGGCGAACAACTATACTCCTGGGAATCGATGTAAGACCACGCGTTAGGGGACTTTGCGTCAACACCAAGTAAGTTATTGACGCCGCTTGAAACCCTGTAGTCGAACACCATCAGACTGTCTCAAACAGTCTGGGACACTCTAGCGATCATTGCGCAATCTCGAGCAATAGGCAAAACCCAGGCTGAACTTGCGAAAGCACTAGATCTTGATCCTCGCTCCATGTTCTATTATGTTAAGGGTCTCCTGGCGGCCAAACTTATGTGAGAAAAGTTTCCTATCTTACATTCCATTCGATGCCTGCTAATATTCGCATAGTGTGAAATATCCTGTGGTCATCAACGGAGCCTTCACGAACAACTGCGTACTCAAACGATATGCGGTACGCAATGAGGCATACCTGGAATTCAAGAAAGATCATTTGCGAAAATCAAAAGGAACTAGCGATGAGGACTTCAGCGCTTTGACCGAATCGGACTTCACCTTCGCGTCCAGCATGGCCTTACAACCGACAGGCACTCAGGGTAAAACTTACTACACCGATCTGCTTAAGCACAGGGTGACGCAAATCCTGAAGAATGCCAGAAATCAAGTGATGGTTCAAAGTGACCTGATGGATGCCTTGGTAGGTCAATCTATCTACAACCCCTGCACAAGGGCGTGCTTTTTGATGTATCATTTGTCGCACATAGAAAATAGGCGCCAACAACGACAGATCTGCACGAAAATGGTTCAATCGGACAATAGATGCGCTAGTGAGAACAGGATTCCTTACCCGCGTGCTTGTCCCTCGCCTAAGATCCGGGGTGGATGTGGGAAACGGCGATCGATGCGTTAAACTCGTCAATATCTTTGTCCCGCGGCCAATTGAAACGGGTAGTCCCCTTACCAAGCAAGCGAAGACGTCTTATCGTGTGAAGCAGCTGGCTGGAGATGCGGATAAGGAGATGGTGTTAGGAGAGGGAGGGGTCCTTGCTGATTTGCCATTGGAATGGCAGGTATATCGTTTAATTGCTTTGTCTGGAGAACGTGGCACAACGTCAGGGGTAAGTGCAAGTGGGATTCGCAAGCGAAGAGAAATCTTAGTCTCACGCATTTTCGGCTACTGGAAGATTATTCAACGCTCTCTGAACAATCTCGGAGAACGAATTCTTGACAAAATTTTGAACAAAATCGTAAAACCTTTGACAGCTCCACCGGAGGTCATAGGCGCAATTCGGGTGGCGGAGTTCGCCGGTCGAGAGAGGCGGTATCGTTATTTCTCACCGGGTGCCTATCACCGGATGCAGCAATCGGAACACGCTGGTGAATACGGGGATTTCGAGCACATAGCTACCAGTGGACCGTCGACACCTTCGATTACTCCAGTCAAGAATCTGAAGACAGCGAAATCGTCTAGAGCTCGGACTGCGCCAAAAGAAATCAAGCCTCCACGGAAAAAGCGGAAAGTTTACCACACCTCAGAGTCGGAAGCGGAATTCTCACAAGCAGACACTTCTGAAGACGCGATGTCGATCGTTTTGCCGAATAATGACGATGATGTTGATAGCGACGAAAATATAGTTCTCAACAGTTCTCAACAGTCTCAGGTTGACGACGTGAGTACTTTCCGATGCTCAATTCATCACTCATCACCGTTCACCCATGGTGTTGCCATTTCAGGCCATTTGCAAAGTATGCAATCGTGACGAGGACGAGGACAAGCTGCTTCTTTGCGACGGGTGCGACCAAGGGGTGCATCTATATTGTTTGGACCCTCCGCTGGACGAAGTCCCCGAAGACGATTATTTTTGTTCAGAAAGATGCCGGGAAACAAAGCTTGGGAAGCCGGGAGTGCCCAAACGCATCACAAGAAGTCAGGTCGCGGCGAGACCGCAACCGGTGGTATCTGTTGAAGCACCACCTGTGGAGATGGTTCCAGAAACTACCGAATTCGCCTCCCGACCAGATCATGCGGAGTCAGAAACTCCCCTGGCCATTCCGATCCCACACGATCCCGGACCCGCTCAACGGACACCGAAACGCCGACATGTACCGACGATCACATATGTCCGACGTCAAAACCTATTATCAAAATTGCTGCAGGAAAAGAAAATTTTGGAAGTTGGGCGACTCCTCTTGGAAGCCTACCACAACTTCTCGATGAAAGACGGCCAATCTAACCTTCACAAAGTGGATTTGAAGACACTTCGACGTACCGCCGTTACAATGGAAGCGGACAACCTGCTGAAAATATGCACGGTCAGCTTTCCCCAGATCAGTGGGAAGAATGTCACGAAAACACTGCTTCTTGACAAGTCACTGAAAGTTGACGACTTTGAAGTGGAGCAGTATATCGAAATGATGCGAGATCGTCAGGCAGTCCTCCCCCCCGGCGTTCCATTGGCCAAGGGGCAAGTGGAACACCTGGAAGTGGAGCGATTGTCTGATATAAGGAAGCGCCTAGGGGCGCCTCTGACATCGACCGCAACTAACGTCGACAGCGGGTCGGAAAAAGAAGACAGCGAAGCGCCACAACGCACGGCTGGAAGCAAAGCTCTTCGAAACGCTTACGCAGAGCAACCGCCACTCTATTTTGCACAGCAGTGCGGATATGTCAATGCGTCCATATTGCGGGCACGAATACTTCACGAATGGCTTGCAGAACACATGCTAGACAAAAAGGACGCTTCGCATCGTACCCCGGTCTCCATTTCAGCAGGTCCCTTCCGCAACAGCGGAGTCTTCCCCGCCAGTATGTTCACGCGCGATCTGCCATTCGACGTATATCTGAAGATTGTGGGTCATCAGCAACCTAGTCAAGCTTTCGCTGACTTCATGCATAAAACCAATCACAGTGACATCAGGATGGCTGATCTTCCGCTTGCGCTACGGAAGGAGATCTTTGGTCCCAGTTTAGCACGTTTTCGGCGTTTGATCAATCAATCAGTCGACATTCTGCTTGCGCTACAACTTCTTTTCCCAAACTCCGGAGCTACGAACATGACGCCGAATGTAGAGGCGAATGAGGCCAAAGCACAAAATCAGCTCCGTACTGCATACTACTTGCCAAGCGTATTACCGTTGTACGACTACATGTCCGACCCGGAGCGCCTGCTTCGTACCTATACGGTGAGGAGCTTCTCAGACATTCAGATGTTTTGGTTGAACCTTGAACACGATTGCCTGCGTGGCCTGGATGACAAACGGGCCGTCCCAATGTCGGACACTGAAGGGGAGGCGAGGAGCGAAAGCAAAACGGCTCCTACGTATCTGTACGCGGGAGGTCAGCAGCTTGCCATGCTGAACATTAAATCCAACTGGACAGCAACTTTCCCGTATACGGAAGCTCAGTTGAAGGTTCTCGGTTCACACGTCGATACCAAGGCCTTCACCACGCCTCTCCGCAACGATCCGCTCTGCAAAAGACTCTCAGAAGAGACCGGATTAGCTTTGGCTCGGGTCAAATACTATTACCATCGCGCGGAAGACAAGTTCCAGAAGAAGCAGCAGGCACGGGAAAAATCAGCCTCTACGCGACGACAAAATGCTTTGCTCAAACGTCAAAAGGCGACAGAACGGCAAAGATTGGCCCCTACGCCTTCACAAAATGAGGTCACCGCCGAGGACCACATGACCAGGAGTCAGCGCGCGGGTCTGCGCGTGAAGCAAACAATCGAAAGCCAGAGGGAAGGGCGACTCGTTGGAAGGCGGACGTACAGAGCTGGGACTGGCAATGCAGCGGCTGCTGGAAAAGGGCCAGCCGCAGCGGCCGCCTCCTCTTTAGAAGATGTCAATCATGAGACGGTTCCCGTGATCGTGGATGAAGAACGCTACCAAACTCAATACAGGCAGATAGCTAAGCGAGTTCGCGCCATATGGTCGCATGAAGATGACGAATTACTGCTTCACGCGTATGCAATGTTACGCGAACATGCGGATGCAAGGTTTCATTGGGACAGACTAGCTCCTTTATTCCAAGGGTTTGGTTATGACCCGGACGACCGCAGAAAGATTCGCAATAACTGCCGTCGGCGTATTGCAGTATTGTACAGGACGGCGGAGTCACGCATCAGCAGCCTGCTCGCCCAATGGCCCAACATCCGACGGAAAGGAATTGACGAAGGCGTGTTCACTCAAGCGGAGTTCGATGAAGCGCACCCAGCATCGTTGGAGAAAATGGCGAATTACTTCATGCGCAACAACGTATCTGTTTTCGAAGAGGTGGTCGAGCCAGGAGCCCTCGTACATCTGCCAAAGACCCCGGATGCGCTCGAAGCACTATTCGAACTCAAAGATTTGTCAAATGTGAAACCTCATCCGGAGGACCTAGAAGAGGACGTCGATGAGAGACCGACACAACGGAGTAAAATGTCTGCTCTCTACGCCAGGTCGCTCACGCTGCAAGCCGAGAAAGAGTCGCATTTGACGCATCCCCGTAATGTGCCAAACATTGGTTATCTTGAGGAGAGTGTTGCTAGAGCCGTGATCAAGGTATGAGCAGTCACCTGATTTATTTGGCGGTCGCTCCTATCTTTAATACACTTGTCGCAGATGATATTGCTAACCCCTGAAGCAAGCTACCAATCTTCGCATGCCTTCTGGATACTACAAGCGTTCAATTCTGATGTCATAGAGACGGCAGTGCGCAAATTAAATGCCACGCAAACAATTGTGAAAGTCAAAGGATCGACGGATAGGAGAGTCCCGGGCCGTGGTTACGTCCTTTCCGATAAGTATGGATCATCTGTTCTCTACATGGATTTCGGGTGTGCTCACATCGTGCTAACCCGTCGTCCTTCTCAAAGGTTCCTTTCGAGTATTACAGGAGTTCTGCCGGATCGCATACTGCCACAAGCATTGGCTTTTCGATCGAGTTTACTTGAACAATTGAAAGACAGCCCATCATGCATTTTCGAGCCATTTACCAATAGTGGTTCCATGATGGTTCTGCTGGAAGCAACGAGCTGCCGAATAGTACGGCTGCAACCGAAGTTCTTGGAAAAGAATATTTCGTTCAACCGCGTGATGGATGTCCATGAAGGTATCCTTCAATCGCGATTTCGTCCTCGGGGCTTGTCCATATATGCTGACTGAGAATTACCCGTAGATCCGGCGAAAGGTCATTTCGACGTGCGTATAATAAGGACCCCGATGCTTGAAACGAGCAGTGCAGTAGCAAGCGAACGGGCAAACGGGGCTTCGGACGCCAACCAAGCCGTCATCGAGACCAAACTCCCTTATGGCCCGCACGGAACATTGAGCGATGGAGCTACACTCAACGCAATTGCCTTGGAGACGGAGGACGATCGGCCGTGGTTGGAAAAAGTCTACCAGATCGTCAAGGAGGCTGGTGACATCGCGATATCCTTAACCGACCTGGAGGTGGGCATGGTGGTCGCCGCTATTGACTTCCATCGCAACGGGATATTGAACGCTTGTTTCTCTGTTATGCTCACCAGCACAAGTTCACAAACTGGGGAGGGGCGCTACCATGCCTGCGACGATGTTTGGCGAGTTTCGAAGCCTCATCTCAGGGGACCGGCGAGCCACCGGTCATCGTCAAAGTCGGCTTCGATGACGTGCGATATGTGTTACGTGAGTACGTCAACAGATGGCAGATTCCAGTGTACCCCGAACGCACGGACACGGATACGAACGTCGACATCCAGCCAACGACGTTTGTCCCGGCGAGGATGTGGTACGACATCCACGGGAATGCCGTTAATGCTGTCAAACGTGCCTGTCTGGAAGTTGTACTTGGGATCATGGTCAAGAAGCCAGGCATTTATGAGGTACGAGCATTTCTCGAAATGAGGCATCTGGACGTGAACTTGAGAAGTGAATGCCTCTTTCCGCTTACAGTCCAAGATCTTCGAGAGAGTCGAAAGCCTGATGACCAGGATGGATCTCATGGAGGTGCTGGACATCTTGGTTCAGAGAGGGGCCTGCTCACGACAGACAATCGTGAAAGCACCTCCCATTACGAACGTGTTTGACGCGTTGTTTGGCTCTTCTGGAGTGGAGACGAGTCCATGCATCATTGAGGGTGGTAAGCACAAAGTCACGGATTCATTTACTTGCGTCGCGAATGATTCCTCACCGTTTTCCCCCTCTTAGATGACGAGTCCTTCAGCGACAGGAAAATCAATTGCTATTGGCCCTTGCCTCATTGGTACATGAAAACGTCATAGGTCAATAAGGTTGAAGGGTTCGATCGAGTTGCCTTGTCATGCAGTCTTGGAGGCCATACTTTAGTGCTCCAAGTTCGAAATCATCACTGTAAATAGCTTTGTACATAGCGCTCCACCTCTAGATATACACTAAATTTTGCTTTTCTTTCACCTTACAAATTCAAATGAGAACAGCTTTGGAACGACTGGCCCTGCACCTCAATGCTGGCATTCAGCGACGCTCTGCTCACTTTCCGACGTTCAAGCCCCTTAGAACTTTGTGGTGCACGGTCAGCTTGGGAACTCATGTGATTTGTGTATTGATGCCAAGGTACATTATGGCGAATAGCGTGAGTTCAACACCACGATCAAGCCGACTTCCATGCGGTATAAAATTGCGCTACAGCAGCAATCGTCCCGCAGATTCCCACGCCCACATCCGGGAACGAGCTGGACTCCAGCGACCAGTGGATAGTCAGCGGGAAGTACGCAGCGTTGATGAGTGCGTTGATAGCCAACATATTCTTCTCCTCATTCAGCTTCTGCACATCGGCGACCAAGCCTCCCACGTCCACCTCCTTCACATCACCGCCGACCTTAACCTTCCGTTCCCTCAACTCGCGCTCCCTCTTTCTCAAAAGCTTGCGCTCCTCCCACAGCTGGCCAAAGTACAAGACGACATACGCCGCCCAGAACCGGCACGACCAGATCCCGATCCTATCCCTCGTCTCCGGCTTCATCTTCACGACCTGGTGTAGGCCGAGCCAGTAGGCGTGTTCCAGCGGGTAATAGCAGAAATTGCACAGGTTCTGGAGTCGAGTCAGCAGCTGCAGTTTGGCGGTGGGCGCCGGATTGGCTTCGGAGTAGAGCGCCCATTGGGTGAGGGGGATGAGGCCGTAGTAGCGGAGCAGGATGCGGAAGTCGGAGATGGGCCCGACCAGGTTAAGGATTCGTTGGACGAGGGTGGAGGCCTTTTCGGGGTTGCGTCGGAGGTGCCATATCAGGATTTTGGAGGCATATTGCACCAGCTAGAAAGGGAAATCGCGTCGTGAGTCTAATGGCATGGTTGGTGCAAGCGGAGAAGAGCAGTGCCTTACCATAAGAACCTTGTCAGTACCTCTGCAACAGGGGGAATCGGACCGGTGAGCAGGGGTGATCTTGGCGAACACTCGAAGACGAAAGGACGGACGCGAACAAACCTGACAGAGTTCAGGAATCGACTTAGCTTGTCGAGCGTTGGGTTGGGCCGGAGGACCTTCATGACTGCAGCCATGTCCGATGAGAAGGGAAAGGGGATGTTACGTTGTCCAATAGCGAGGCAGCAATCTAGATGCCTGTTTTATGCGAAGTTACTTATGGATCTACGAAAGGAACAACAGGAAACACAAGGATGCCCATTGCCCACACGGGAAGGTGGCGCGGATATACTGTGCCGACACGGAAGCCGGAAAGCACGTGTGCAAATGACACATGGCCATTCTTCGACGCGCTTTTACAGTAACTACAAGTTTCCAACAGCATTCCGTTCTCTTCGAGAGGGGTTACTTTTGTATTGACAGAGATAGGAAAGCATGATGAATAGTACTAACGAGCTCCCAGATTAATACGGAAACAGGCACCGACTGATTCTGACCGTTCTCCGTCTCCAAGGACGAGGGGCCCACAGGAAATCAAACGAAAAGGCAAGAACGCACACAAGAGTTTGGCCCACAAAACAGGCCAACGGTCCTCAGAACCATTCCGAAACTGACGTGCCGGGTACACACGGTGGGCGAATGAGGAGGGTATATTCGAACCTTTTTTCTCGATTCTCAGACTTGCGAGATGGCGTGGAGGGATCCGTCCTGCGGTATTCCTGGTAGCTCCGAGATTTGCGAAATCTGAGGAATCTGAGGAATTTGAGGGATTTGTGGCATATCCGGAATCTGTACGTGAGGGTGTGGGACGAGGTCCGGTTCCTGATAGTGTTCACTATCCTGTAAAATAGGTGGAAAAGTGAATATACGCTTTTCGAGCGTGGATGAGACTTGGATGTATAACTCACAAGCCGCGGCTTCTTTCGACGCAATTCTTCCTCGTGCGACCCAACTTGCGCATGGTACGCAGCTAGTTGTTGTTTGAGCGCCTCGTTTTCTACCCGCATCTGTTCCACTTGGGATCCCAATTCAGAAATACTAGTAACACCACACGAAGTTAGTGGAACCCCGATTGAAGAGTGCAAAAACGAACACAAACGCCTACGCTTGTTCACATAAGAGCTTCTCGAGTGTCCATTTCTCCAAGTTGTTGGCTTCTGCCTCCTTCAATTGATGAATGTACTGAATGACACGCGACAAGATACGGCCCTTGTTCGTCTTTTCGCCTTCCGGCAGAAGCTTGGCCAATTCATTGATCCCCTCATTGATAGTTTCACGCCTCCTCCTTTCCACCTCCTTGTGGTTCAATCGACGTTGTTTGATCCACTCCTCGGATCCTACGGGCAGCTTGGATTCGCCCCCTGGAGTATCTTGCGATTGAGATGGTGGCGACCCAGAGGCGTTTACTTGAGCGGCAACCTGTTGCGCTGCAGCTTGAGCAGCGGCGGCAGCTGCGAAGTGGACTGCTTCCAAACCAGGTGGCGTCGCAAAGTCAGCGGGAAGGGTTCGTGGTGTGCCGGGACTTTGAGCTATGAGCGACTGGGTGTCGCCGGCAACAGATGAGGCGTCCCCGCCGAGTTGGTGGTGTTGCGCCTGTTGACCGCTTTGATGCTGAGCAACGGCCTGCTGAACGACTTGCCGAGCAGCTTCCAATGCGGCCTGTTGGACGGCGGCGTGCTGTGCAACGCTTTCAGCGTGCTGCGCGGCAATTTGTTGGACCACCTGTTGCACATGCTCATCTAGCTCTTCTGCGGTGATTTGTCCATGCTGGCCATCTTGCTGTAGCAGGAAATGATGTTCTAACGCGGCAGCGTGGTCCGCAGCAGTCTGTTGCGCTGAAGAAGTCGCTATATGCTGTGGCGGGCTGGTTGGTAGCGGGTTGGGAGTTTGGCGGTCCTATGATAAGAAACACTAGTTAGGAACGTGAAACGTCAAACAAGAACGAGCAGACCCGGTCCGTCGCGGGACCATCACACACCAGACGAACGTCACCCTGGCCGTGGACGTCATGATAGCCTTCCACCGGAGCGTCGGCCTTGGCACCCGGGATATCCACGCTACCAGGCGCTGGGAAACCTTCGACGTGTTGGTGCTGCTGCTGTTGCTCCTGTGGATGGTGCGTGTGCTGCTGCTGCTGCAGCTGCTGATGTTGAAGCTGGAGCTGCTGCTGCTGCTGCTGCTGCTGGTTGTGGTGATGCTGGTTGTGGTGATGATCGTCCGCCATGGCTGCAGTGCTGGTGGTGCTTGTCCGAAAGGTGTTGGGGAAAACGTGACTTGCGAGTGTCGGTGTGAGCTCCCGTGCTTTCGCCGGACGGCTATATTTGAATCTCGCCCGTCTTTTTCTTTGCCCACAAGTTGATTGAATTGGAACATGCGACCTGAGGAGTGAGCTCACATGACGCGCGCCACCGACAGCTCCAAATATGCCCTGACACTGTATTACAGTAGGTCGATGGAAGCATATTGGAACAAAAAAAAAGCAAATGAAGACGTGTCGACGCTACGCAGCCAGCCGGCATCCCTGCAAAGGTCAGGGAACGAACGACTCGCCACCTTTGCGAAGGGCTGACTCCGCCTGAGAATCGAGAATCGAGATGCCAGGTGCAATACAGTAGGCAAGTCCCTTGTGGACACAACTCACCGCACGGCGCAAAGGGGTGCAGCACGGTCCCCCATCCGTCTGTTTGCGTGCGCGCTTGGTGACTGACGCTCGGACGAACAACAAGGCTTGGCGCACTTCCTGTCAACCGAACATTACAGCAGCGGGCGGTCCCCGGTCATTGCTGCGTGGGCTGGCTGGTATGGCTGGCATGTAGTAGCAAACTTGCAACCAACGCCTTGCCGCTTTCATCCCTTTCGACTACTTCCGAGTCCCCAACAACAACGCAACGAGCTTATTTGCTCCGCTGCACAGGCCCTTGGCTTTCTGCGTCAGCCTCGGCCGCCGGCCCCCGTGTCGAAGAATAACTCTAAACTTCCTTCAAAAGTCGGACCTGCAATCTGAAAGCCTCCCGAAGTTCCAAACCCATCTACCCGCACCGTCTCTTAGTACCCCCCATCACCGTACCGCAAAACAAACGTGGGAACATCTCTAGCAATTTCACGAAGAAACACCGACGCTCATTTCCCACGGCCATCGACCCGTGGAAAGCCGATTAGCGGGTTCCAGAGGGTCACTTCGAGAAGAACAATGAGAAGAGGGCCTCGCTTCTCGGTCATATCGCACTTTGTAAAAAACATCCGACTTCACGCACACCCTACCACATGTCGGTCTGCTCTGTCTCTCCAAAAACTGGCCCCGGGCTTCCGTCGCCAAGCATCCTCGAGACGGACGAGTTGCCAGAACTCCCCAGTCCCGCGCCTTTACCGGACGAGCCCATAGGGTTTGAGCCTTTACGGCGGGATGGAAAGGAGGAACACAGCGACTCGCCACTTGCCCTTGGCGATAAAAGGACGAGCGAGTACGAAAACAACGTCGTTCGTCCTTGGAAAGGCGTCACCGACGGGCTGGCCCGGGTATGCTTCGATTGTACAGTCACAGTTCAAGCAGTCTATGGGAACCACGACTACGATCGAACGCCCATAGGTGTTGTGCCACTCACCAAAGCAGATATTTTTGAGCTTGTGAGGTACCGAGGAGAACTCGCACGAGCTACGCCGAAAGCAGAATGCGCAGTGACTACCGACGGGAAGGACATCAATGCTGCACCGTTACCGTCTGACTCTGCCGAGAATTGGAAGCACGAATCCGAGGTTTCAAAACAGACATCAGCATTCCCATCGCCATCACCACCATCCGTCTCGTCGCCTCCCTTTCCGGTCCCAACAGTTTCATCGATACGGAGCAACCCACCCTTGTCTTGCTCAACGCCATCCCCATTTCCCAATGGCCGGCTCTCCATACCTCTGGTGGCAGTTCCGCCTCCCACCTTATATCCCATCATACCGCTTCACAAGCGCCCGTCCTTTTCGTCGCGCCATCATCTGTCACAGGGTCAGGCAGGGGCGCAACCACCGAGCGCCGGTGCTGCTATCGCCGCCGGCTGATAGGTGCATGCTGCATTCCTTGCCACCTCGCACACTTTTGGAACTCTGAGTTGGACGCTATCGTTCACTTTGCCCTCTTGTTGGCACTGCACCGCCCCCCGGCAACGTCAGTGCAATGAACTCTGTATAGCCCGCCATCCCCACGCCATCCCATCCTATCACCATCGCCATTGTTGCTCGCCCCCAGACAATCTGCAAGATACGGATTCGCTGCCGGCACCCTTGACTCCTTCAAGATACATACCCAACATAGACGCTATTTGTTACATATATTTAGGACGGTTTTCGAGGACACGTTTTTTTTGTCATTTGGTGGTCGGTTGGACACTCACTGCGGTGTTTTGGAGTGCAAAGACATTCTCAACCCTTACTTCTGTGACGGACACTTGTCGTTCTCTTTTGTATATGCCAGACCCCGTTCGATAAATGTCGCAAAGTCGCAAAATATGCCACGCTCATATCGAAAGCTTCTTCGGCTGGATTTGCTGCTGTACTGTACAATCTGTGCATCCGCCGCTCTGGTGTTCGGAGATCTCCAAACAGCTCTTTGTGCGTCTCACATACTTTTTTCGTCCGGCTGGTTCAATTTTGAGGAGCCGCCCACGCAGCTCATTTTCGAGTTTTCGTCGCCGCGAAGGGTTGAAGAGGAATTGCACCTCAGGATCACTGCCAAACATAGGACCCTTTGTGACCTCCTCTTCCACCGCAACAAAAATGGAACCTCCTCGCCACCCCACCGTCTCCTGCCATCCCATCCACGGCACAACCCTACGAACCATCCACATAAACCGAACCTACGACCACCTCGATACTCCGCAATTCGCCCTCGACTTCCCGCAGGAACTCGCCGGCAAGCTCTCTCCATCTGTGCTGAAAACCACTGTGTCGAGGATAAACGGATTGCTGTTGGAGGCGGGTGCGGTCAGCGGCAGCAGCTTTCTGCAGAACTGTCTGGCTTGTGCGAGCTGTTTTGTGACGGATTTGTTTGTGAAGAGCAGGATGGAGAAGGTGGGTTATCACTCACATCTGGCATACAGGACCTTGGAATGGAAAGATCTAGTTTGATACTTACATAGGATCCCGTTGAGCAGACGCTGCAAGTAATTGCAGATTTTGTGGAGCAGGAAAACCACAAGCATTATCGGTCAGCTGGTCTGCAGTTTTTGGTAGGGGCCACGGCGAGGGTGTGACCATGTTGCTTTCAAAATAGTGGCTTACCTCAAAACCCGCTCTTGTTGCAGGATCCGAGGAAAACTGGGTTGATGCATGTAAGCTTGTTTTTTATATGTGGAGCCGTCTCCCTTTTGTTCCGATGGCAGCTTGGTCGATGATTTACGTTATTTCCTTTTTTTAGCTCGAAATATTGATCAAGTAGAGGACGATCGAGATCACTAAACGAGTGCGAAGCAGGTCGAGAAAAAATTCCCAAAATCGATATTGGAAACAGAAACCCTTCTGCCGGACGGAAGGATATGGCAAACCTCGTCCAGTACCCTCGAGTTCGACATAAATTTTCCTGACGCTCCCGATAAGCACTTAGTCGGGTCTGGAACGCGGATGGCGGGTCTGATAGCCGCCGATTTCCTGCCAGTCACGTTCCGAAGCGGCTGGTCCGCGAGCAATGGATGTCGGTCCGGTCGCCTTTTTGGATGTCATACATGAATCTTTTCCTCTTACGATTTTTTGGAGCAGGTCGTCGCGATGGGGATAAGGCTCCGAATGGACAGGCTGCTCAAACACATATCCTAGTGTTGTGGGGCTATTACGAACGGGGATTAGGAAGGTTCTGAAGGGGAGCTGGACGCTGGGAACGTCGTGGGATGGTACGATCTACATATCAGGACTGCGCCCCGTAGAAGAAGCGTGATGGGCTCCGCCGCCTGTTATGTATCTAAACACAAGTGCTGACTATGTAGAGCATCCGTTCGGCTTTCAGTGCCAGCTAGATTTTACAAATCGTAACTACGGACCGCTTGTACGTCTTTTCAACGAGAGATATATTGCATAGCTCGACGAGTTCGAACACTCGGCCGATGGACAGCCTCGCAAACTCCAATACAAAACGGCGATGGCCAAAACTAATTACAGAAAATGTGAAAATCATACGCCGGATGGGATGGGGGAGGACTACGCCGGCAATGCTTGTGAACGTATCAACAGTCGTTTTGTACAAAGGTTCGTAGTTTAGATCGTTCGTCCATCGATCCAGATCGACGGAACTGCTCCCGCATTCCCAGAATGCGTGGAGACATGCTGATTCTGATGGTTACGGAGGAGGTGGTGACTCGAAAGGCAGGTTGTTGGCGCGCATTTAATCCAGCTCCAACCGAGGTCGTCGGCCTTCGACTTTGGACATGCCTTCTTCCATTTCCATCGGTTTGGCTTGTGACTTGGATCTGCCGACTAAACGAGGGGAGAACCAAATTGGCACCGTATGAGCAAGAGCCATAGAGAAATAAAACGAAAAAAAAGTCCATACCCATCTCCCCTAGCCCTTGGTCGAAGCCATTCAAGCACAGAATGGCATTCCACATTGTCGCGAAGTTGAGTACTAGTTGCACTGCACCTGTGACGAGAGAGACGCGTCAATGTCATTCGTAAGTTTCAGACGAATACGCCACAGTAGCTTACCGAAACTGACGAGCCATCGGTGGGTAGCTTGGAGGTGCATTGCGAAGTCATTGCCAGAAGATGCTGCAATCAGGATGTAGATCACTCCAACAACGTTTCCGGCGATCAAACCGAAGAAGCAATACATGGCCCCACGGTTCGTATGCTGAATAGCATACCATCCACAGAGGTAGTAGGTGACTCCGACGAAAATGAGGAGGATCATGGGCGCGATCCAATGGGCGGAGATGCTGTGAGATAGGGCTATTGCAAGCGCCACTTGAAGTATGATTCCCAGAGAGAAGTATATGTTCAGTTTGAGGAACAGAACGAACAGATGGACGTGGCGAAGGAGGCGCTTCTTGACCAGACTCGCGCCTTGCTGCTGGAAGATTTCCCAACCGTAATCCCGGTAGACTTTGTACGCAAGGAAGCAACTGATCGCGGCCATGACGGCCATAAGGCCGAGGATGACAAACGCGACGTTTAGCGCGTCATGAAGATGTGCGTTGGACCTATCGGCGTGCCTTATCAATTCATTCATATCGATGATTTTGGTACCATCGCTAGGATGCGCCGGTGAATCTTTCTCTTGGATTCCCCATGGAAGAGTGGTGGCGCAGTATTTCTTACTCGAGGAGCCCATTGCAATTCGGTTTGTGTATGCGGCCATGATATCCTTTTGTCTACCCTTTGGATCATTTTGATACCCATCCGGGATAGCGGCCATCCAGCTCTGTAAACAGTAATCCAATGATTTTATTTCGTCCACCTCTGCATTGATTGGAAGTGAGCATTAGCGAGACGACCTTCGCAGACCTGACGTTTCAAATCACTTACGGATGATGGAATATACGAAACATGCCACATTGAAACACGCGACAGCGATTGCTTGCATGGTATTTTGATGCCGGGACTGCAGCAAATGAGAGCAGCCGTAAGTGATCGGGAAAGATATTTGGGTCTTTCAGCAGTTGGGAAACTTACAGCTTCGTAGGTGAGCCAGGCTTGGAATATCATTCCGATTATGAACAAGGCGAAGTACACCATGACAATCACGATATCAGCGGATTTCTCGAAGCCGTCCACGAGAAATCGGCGCACATGTACTATGATCAAAGCCTCAAGAGCAATGATAATGATGGCCGCCGTCACGGAGGAGCCGACCGCCCATTGCGGCCAGCTCACTTTGGATAAGAAGCTGGGGATCGAGGACGAAGAGTTCTGAGCCACCGGCGGGGACGGTAAAGGCTCCGAGACGGTGTTGATTCTGTATTGGTCGTGCGGGTGAACCGCTGAGCTCGTCGTCGAGTACGTTGATGTCGGCCTGTTCCAGGCGGCGCCTTTTTTCTCGACGGTCGCCATTTGGCAAAGGTTCTTTTCCTTCGCGCAGCGGCTGCCTGCTTTTTCAACTCGAAGCGGTGGTGGTGATGGCGGTGGTGGTGGTGGTTTTCCTCAAGCTGTAGCTCCTAGTCAAACTGCTTCCAACTGCGTAGGTGAGGCTCAGTATGTGGGTAGATTGCTGGAATGTCGAGTTTTTCTCCTCTTTCTACTCTTTTCCCATCCGTCTCCAGCCTGCCTGCTTGGGATGGGGGATTGGATGGGGATGGGATCTGGAGGCCGCACCGTTACTTATCCGTCTTGTCCGCCACCGCTCACGTTCTGGCTAATTGAGACAATTGGCCCCTCCGTGCTCGCCGCTAACCCAGGCTCCCGTGCCGCGGTAGGCCGCTCTGCATTCGACACAGTTATCGCGATTGGTGTGCTGAAGATAACTAACAGGGCCACAGTATGTCGTTCAGTTCGGTTTGGTCCTCTTCTTCCCACGACCTCCTCTTCTTTCTGGCCTGCGATGATCTACTGCACAAGCGGACGATCTCTCTGCCCGTAAGAAGGCGTGCAAGAAATAAGGAAGAAAGCGCGGGATATCCCATGAGTCGGCACCTTTACTTTTGCAACTCCATATGCCATACAGATCGGTTTTCTTTTCGAGTGCCACTTCACGAGGCTGGTGACGAAGCACAGGCAGAGAGTTTCTCTACGCTTGAAGGGCTTGGCACCCGCTAGATTATATCAACCCACAGAAGTCGTGAACCGGCAAGACTTTGTCACCATAAGTCGGGTTATCGCTCAGCCGTAGGACGTCGTAACGGAGATATCATGTCGCAAGGCATCAAAATAGTGCCTCTCGGCGCTGGTCAAGATGTGGGGAGAAGTTGTATTCTGGTTACGATAGGTGGAAAGAACATAATGTTTGACTGTGGGATGCGTACGTATCCAGTTGTTCAGACCTTGGGAATAGTGGAAGAATTTCATTGACAGAAGTTTTGCATCTCATAGATATGGGCTATTCTGATGAAAGACGATATCCAGAGTTCTCATACATATCCAAATCCGGAGACTATGACACAAACTTGGACTGCATCATTATATCCCACTTTCATCTGGATCACTGTGGATCCCTTCCACACTTTACCGAAAAATGCGGTTACACCGGGCCGATCTACATGACATATCCCACGAAAGCCATCTGTCCCATCTTACTGGAAGACATGCGGAAAGTGTCAGTGGAGCGCAAAGGCGAAAAGAACTTCTTCACCAGCGACGACATACGCAACTGCATGAAGAAGGTGATACCCGTGGATCTTCATCAGACAATCTTCGTAGATGGGGAGCTGGAGATCAAAGCATACTATGCTGGCCACGTTCTCGGGGCTGCTATGTTCCATGTGAAAGTGGGGAATGAGAGCATCGTTTACACTGGCGACTACAACATGACGCCAGATCGCCATTTGGGTGCTGCCTGGATTGACAAGTGCCGACCTGATTTGCTAATCACCGAATCGACGTACGCCACTACGACGCGGGAATCCAAGCGCACGCGTGAGCACGATTTCCTCCGAAAGGTGCACGATTGCGTGAGCAAAGGCGGCAAGGTCCTCATCCCCGTCTTTGCATTGGGCCGCGCGCAAGAACTATGTATCTTGATTGAGGCTTATTGGGAACGCATGGACGATCTTCGCGGGAAAGTGCCGGTGTTCTTCTCGGCGGGAATGACGGAAAGGGCAAACGAGTACTACAAACTGTTCATCAACTGGACCAACGAAAAGATCAAAACCACCTTTGTCGATCGCAACATGTTTGACTTCAAGTTCATCGACACATACCAAACGCACCTGGGAGACGAGCCCGGGCCTATGGTCGTCTTTGCATCGCCAGGCATGCTGCACGCTGGTACATCGCTGTCGGTGTTCAAGAAGTGGTGCCATGATCCCAAGAACATGGTCATTCTGCCCGGATACTGCGTTGCGGGAACTGTCGGCGCGAAAGTTCTGGCCGGGGAGAAGCAGATTCAGATTGATGCACATACCCGCGTTGACGTTAATATGCAAGTGGAGAATCTGTCATTCTCCGCACACGCAGACGCGAAAGGCATCCTGCAGCTCATCAAGATGTGCGCGCCGAGGAACGTCATGCTGGTGCATGGCGAGAAGAAAAAGATGGCGCTCCTGAAGTCCCGCATCGAAGCAGATCTGGGCATTCCGACTTTCGATCCTGCAAACTTCGAGGTCGTCCACATCGGAGGACCGGCCGATAAAACCAAAACGAGAGAAGTATATGTAAGCGCTGCCGTCGTGAAGAAAGCGTGGGCTGGCGCCGTCGAGAAAGTCTACGCCGCCGCCGCAACCTCAACTTTAGCGTCGGCCTTGCCAGCGCCCGGGACACCCATCAAACCTCGCCCACCGCCCCTCGATCAACTCGCCTCCCTCACCTCTGTACCCATCTCTGGAACACTCGTGCAAACGCCTCTTCGACCGGGCGTGAAGAACGGCAGCTCCCTCACGACCCTCCACATTCTCCCGCCTCCCAAAAGCCAGCCGCAGCGACATACTTACGCAATCACCAAGGCCCTCGATCCTTACCGACACATGATAGCGGTCAAGCCTGAGATTAAGCTCGAAACACCAGTTGCGGATGTCAAAGAACACTTGTTTGGCTTCATGCGCCTGCCGGATGCGTACCGACGGTTGCTTGCAGCGGTATCGCAAGCATTCACGCAATACGCGCCGGACGTGCGTGTGTCTCATCAGCAGTCGAAAATCGAATCCGGATTGGACGATGTTGTGGTGATCACGGCCCTTCCAGGAGTGGGAGTGAAGGAAGAGGAGATTGGGTACCCGAAAACGACCGCTTCGGATTCTAGCCTTACCATCGCCGCCGCGCGCAATCAAGAGTGTGCTGTCGTCATCGAATGGTCTGCCAACGCCGATGATTTGGCATCTAAAGTCATGGATCTGCTGAGTTCCGTGTTTTGAGAAATGGTTGGATCATACGCTACATTCCCAGCCGCATCTGGAATCAACGACGAGCAATGCACAGAGGGCGCCAAAACGGAAACAAAGACTTCAAGCTATTCCGTATATAATGCCAGTAGACGGCGAAGCGGACCCAACTACATATACGAACTCGAGGGATCCCGGGTCGGAGTAGCTACATACAGGCGATGCCCACGCCGTTTGGTCCCTAAATAGCCACGAGCAGAAACCAATCGATACCAATGATAATTTAAGTTAGGATTTGTACAATGGCGTAAAAGGAACGAAGGTGTGATTCTCATGGGATGACGATATATAGATTGTCGCTCCTACGTGATGAGAATGCGTCGTGCCGGCTTCATCGTCGTAACAAGATGTCGTCGTGACCGACATCGGCTCGCTCAGCATTGTGATGGATGGCAGAGATTAAAGACGAGGTCGTCCTTTTCGCCCTGACGCGCGGTGCCCTCACGCGGCTTCCTTTCGGTCCTTCTTCTTTGTCTTCTTCTTCTTCTTCGCTGGTCCCTTCTCGTCTCCTGCTTCACTCCTGGAATCTGGTGTGCTGGCGCCTGATGTTGGCAGTGTGGAAGGGGCGTTTGCTTTCGCTGCCGGTATCTCTGGTATTTGTAGATTCCGTAGGAAATCATCCGCGTCTTGTTCCAGTTTCCGTTTCTTCACTTCCTCTGTTGGCATTGGCGTAAGAAGTTAAGAGGTGCAAAAATATATATAGGGGTCTCAACCCGAGAGACTCCAGTGTACTCACCGTTAACTTCCGAATTTGCTATCAGTGAGTTGTTGATGAAACGCTTCGCCGCTCCTTTGTCAATTCTCATGGTAGCTACAATTGGTCGATAATCATAAGCTTCTCTGGTGCCTCGATTGGGCATTTGTCTGCAACCATAGGGCTCTTCCTTACGTTTGTTCAATCCGGCGGCATCCTTCAGCTTCTTGAAGTACTCTTTCACCCGGTCCAGCTCAATCTTTACTGGGTGCTCTTTCGTACTGTGCCCTTGTGTTCTCAGATAAACTGCAAGTGCGGGACATTACAGTGCTGCAGGGTCAATTTCCAGTCCTCTCCAGCCCTTCTACGCCCCTCCGTGAAACGCTTGCCTCCGTAGGAACGTACCGAAAGTAATGGTATTCAGCGCAAAGGCAAGCAGCACTTCGAGTTTCGCACGATCGAAGGCGTCCAGAGTGGCCAACAGCTGATCCAGCGGCGCATCCAGCACCGGATCAAGGAGGCTCGTCAAGTTGGTAACGGCCTTCTCGAAGTTCGCCATTTGCCCTGTGAGGACGGCAGAAGCGTCCTGGTCCTCCTGCTCAACAGGCATTGTCGTTTCTCTGTGCGTGAGACAAGTATTGGAGTGGCCCTGAGAGTGTGTTTTCGTCTGAGCGGCCTTCTTTCTCTGCGTAAGGCCGAGCGAGAGCGTCCGTCTTCCCTTCCAGAAGCGGATTCAGCGCGTTCTCCCAGCGGAGGGGCGCACGGCGACACGACACGAGAAAAACCCCCACAAACACCAAAGGGCCAAAAGAAACAGGCTGGACATGAGAAGCCGGTTGACTACCCCCCACGTCATTACACACAGGCCTCTGAACTAACCTCGCGGCTCTAAAGAGTCGCTCGCCCCAGCACAGCAGAGCATCGCAGCCGTACCCACCTTGATCAGCAAGCAGAAATATAGCCCGTATGCTCGCCGACAATAATATGCTTGGAGCGGAACCCTCCTACGGACACAGGCGACCGATGACAACAACACCAGAGGAACCTGCACAACCAACACCACCACCGGCGAGCAATCCAGCAAAGCCAGTTGCTGCTGCCGACGATACCCAGTGCAGTTCCCGCCCTGCCGCTGTCTCCATGTCCCGGAAAAACGCCAACTCTCGAGAGCGGTTACTGGATGAGCACAAACAAGGAACGGCTGCAATCGCTGCCGCGGCAGCTGAAAGTTCCCAGAGTCACACTGCGAATGGACTCCAAACACAAGGTCCTCAGACATCTTCGACTCACGAAAGGAATGGGGCACCCGAGGAGCGCAAACCGCCACCAGCGGCTGGGACGGGGAGGAATGTTCACGGTAGAGACGAGGCACCTCCACGTCCAACCAAACGACCACATGACTTGAAAACCTCACCAGCGCTGCTGCGAAAAGCCATCACGGCTATCAAGCCCCCGGGCTACCAGCCATCAGCATCTTCCAAGGGGTACGGTCAGCGCTCCTCTCAAGTCGCTAAGAGTCCGGAGGAGCCAGCGAAGCAGTCACCATCAGCGAGCGCACCAAAACCTGCACAAACCCCTCCTCCTTCCGTGACTCTCTCCGTGGCCCCTCCCGTCGAGGTCCCGTCGAGGCAGGACGATGTCGCCAGTGCGCGAAGGAACAGCATTTCCGACGCAAGTAGCGCAGTGTCCGATAGAAGCATTGATACATTCGACGATCGAGCGTCACCTGACGAATCATCGAAATTCCATCCGATCATCGACGGAAGGAGGCGAGACAGTATTGACTCGAACCGTGGTGATTCCTCAAAGCAACCTCATAGAAAGGGAGACACAGATACATCCAGGGACAAACGAGCGTCATTACCGCCGCGCGCTATGTTTACGCCTGCTCAGCCGAAATCTGTGACACCTGTCCCCAGCCTTGCTGGCAAGCCGATCAAGCGACCTCATCCCGCAAGTGCTGTACAGTCGCAACCTTCAATACCATCAGCACCGCGAACCGGCATGAACCCTTCTGCCGGCAATTTCACGCCGAGGAACCATACTCATCGCCAGCACCCACAGTACGATAGTCACGAGCAGGAGTCGAACCATTGGTCATCGCGATCGAATGGCTTCGATGGCTCTAACAGAAGGAAGTCCCCTGCACGGCATACAAACGGCCCTTCAGGCTTCTCTGAGAATAACAGAGAAGCACAAGAACTGAAGGAAAAGGTCGCGTTGTTAGAACGGGAGAATGCTAGACTGGCAGATGTCGAAAAGGCTCTGGCAAACGTTTTGGAAGAGAATAGACGGTTGGCGCAGACGGAGATCATGGTGGGTGTCATGATGAACGAATGCACCGATCTGCGGGAAACCATTTTGGATCTGGAACAGGAGGTCATGTCACTACAGGAGGAAAACGATAAGCTCATGGAGCTCCAGAGCGAAGTCATCATCATAGCCGAAAGCGTACCGCCCAACGCTGACGTGGCTATGCAGCTCCGGGAGCTTGAGGCGCTCAGAGAACAAAATCGACGGCTAGTGGATTGGCAGAAGGAGATGATTTATGCTGCTGAATCCATGAATGCGGAGCGTGCGTCTTTCAACCAGCAGCTGGATCAGTTGAAGCTCGAAAATGGCGCTCTTGTCCAGCAGAATTACGTGCTGAGGTCTCAAGCGAAAAAGCTGGCGAGCCGACCGGTTGTCGAGGCGGAAAGCAGCAAAAACTTGGAAACCCGGTCGGTGACTGAGGTGGAACCCAGCAACAAAATGCTCACCCCACCGACCGTAGAAGTGGAGACGTGTAACAAACCACAAATCCGGCCGACTGCTGACACGGAACGCAGCAACGGTGCAAATGTGAGCGGGGCACCCGCCCAGCCACAGCAGGACGATGTCCTGCAACGCGAGTCACCAATCCCCCTGCAAAGCGAGTCCTCGAGCGATATCACGGAGCCTCCACCATCCCACGATTCCCTGCCCGCCACACAAACCGAGATCATCGTCGATGATCTCTCACATCCAGCGCAGGATACCCCGGCTATCATATCTCGTAAAGACGAGAATCTCGATCAGTTTGCGATGCGCGTCGTGGCCGAGAGCCTAGCAGACGCGATGGAGGTCCTCGAGACGGAACGACGCGCCAGGCGCGCCAGCATCGTTTGTGAGTGAGGATTTGAGATAAAAGCACTCGCAACCCCCGTCTGTCATTTTAGCCGTTTTCACGCCAGAAAGCGAACCACAAGAAGGAAAAACTGAGCGGCTGCCATTGAAGTCGTGCTCCCTTATTCTATCCCGAATACTGTGTTATATATGGTTTCCCGTTTTTGTCGAAATATATCATTTTTAGGGTCCGATAAAATTGACACAATTGTTCGCGAGCAGAAGGGAATGGGATCTTGAATATCTTCACACGTTTTACTCTGGATAAAAAAATTTACAGCAATAGGGCGAGGACCTTCACAGAGCGGGACATGCGTAGGATCGTTAAGAGGACACGTTCGCGCGGTCAATTGCGCCTTCAACACTTTTCTAGAAAGTGAAGAGAATCGGATCAGAAAGTTTAGTTCGGATGTCAGAGATTTCAGCGTTACGAAGCCACACACCAACTCGGTACCGAAATCTCACCTGATCCGCGAACGTAACACCTTTGTCCACCGATCCGCGAGCGGCCTTCTTCCTGCCCTGCTCGCGCTGCCCATCTTTCGCCTCGTTACGCGCCGGTTGACTTTGGGGAGCGGCGGCGGTGTCGTTGGCGCCGTCACCGTAATCGATCAACATCCCAGCGCCAGCGCCGCTGAGATCGGTGAGGGACGTCGAGAAGGATCGGGTATACGCCGCAAAGGCGATGGGGTGGCCGTACTTTTGGGGGTTTCACTGTTGGTTTAGCAGTTGCTAGCGCAGTCCTGGCAGTTCTACAAGTCCTGGGCACGTACCTCGTCTCGCTCGCCAGGGTTCATGATGAGATGAGTTGTATGAAGCTTTCCTGGTTAATATGATGATATGGAGCTGTACCGTCAAGATTCCAAATGGTGAGAAAATCTGGACGGTCAAGAAAAACCCTGTGGTTCTACATACGTATAAGGAGGTTACCTCGGGGCTTCCGCCTGTCATCCACCGACGCGTAAATAAACGCTGTCGTTTCCGAGCCAGGAAACCGGGAAAGATTAAGGGCTCACCGAGTACCAGGTGAGCGGTGTGTGTGTCATTTGGCGGAGTTTCCCCTTTCCTTGCAATCGAACATTCGCCGTCGGACATCGCAGAGACCAGAAGTCGTTTGCGCTGGAATTAAAGACCGCTTGCTCTCATTCAAGATTTGAGCACCAGACAGGCCCGTTTGAAGCAGCAACTCCCATAGTGGTTCGCCTTCTAAACGGAGTGACAATGTCGCCAATCACCAAGGTCTACTTGAATGTCCGCAAAACCGGTGAAGGAGCATCACCGCTCAAATGTGGCCTTGATGCGGAGGCCCAAAGCATCCACGTGGTCCTCCCAGGATTGATGGCCTCTCAAAAATCATATCATTTCGACGGAATGTTTGATCCTCAGCAGCCACCAAAAGAAGCAGCCAGAGTTGTTGTTAAAGATCTTCTCGCGAAATGCCTCAAGGGGTATAACACTACGCTGTACCATTTTGGACGACAGGTGGATCGAGATGTTTTGACTTCCAGCACAGGTAGTTCATTCGTTACAGCACCTTTGGGTTTTTAAGAGATATTAACCCAAACGCTCACACTAGGCATAGTCCAGCTTTTCATCAAACACGTTGTCCAGTATTTGGAGGCCACATCGGATCCTTATGAGCCGTCTACTTGTCACGTCCAATAAGTATTGTCCTCACATGACGCTTCCGCTCAAAGTCGTTTGTTTTAAACCTAACACATCTACAATATCTTACGCTAGTAGAGGTGGTTGGGGAGCTTATACGAGACCTATTGAAGAACGGACACGACAGTGTGGCTGTCAAGCACGATGACCACGGATGGCTAGAGCCAGAAGATGGGACATATTTGGATGTCCGAGAAGAGTGGAGCTGCTTGGAAAGGATCTTGAAGGTGCAACAGGACAAAAATCGAGATCGGGCGAGTTAAGAATCAGGACTGAAGGCAATCATCGCAGGCGACGTCGGCAGTAGCCATATTGAATCAATCGGCCAGCGACGCCCCAGAACGACTCTCAGTTCTTGTATACACGTTCAAGTTCCGGTTGTCTCCATCTAGACGGCAAACGAGCGGCTCAGATGTACGTATTCTCCCGTACGTGTCTTTTCATTACAAAGCCAGACTCATCCCATCTCTCTAGTCGTCAGCCGAAACTCTGTACGCTAAATGTAGGATCGTAGACGTTCTATGTGAACCGGAACTCTTCGCGGATAATCCGGATCAGCTCGCGCTGCAATACGGTAGGAGTGACGATCAGGAAAATGCTAAAGCTAGCCCGAATCCTGATATCCCTGTAGGCGCATATCAATCAGGACCACTCTCTTTACTATGGAACGCCATAAAAGCCTGCTCCATGAATGAAGTAACATCGCAAGATGGTCAATTTGCGCGAGTTGCTCCTTCTAATCATCGCGATTTTTCAGCGAGAGCATCTCGATTTCGGGACCTGCGTTGCGACACAGTTTTTGAAAGACGATCTTGGAGGCAATGCCTACCCGGCGTTTATGTTCTCTGCCGATCTGTCGCAACCAGCAAAGTCTCTGATGCGGGTTCTGGAAACGAGCAAGCTTGTCAGAAAGTTCAGGGCATGCCCGGTGCAAAATACTGAACACTTTCTGGAACTTCAGCGCCGAGCAAACGTATGGGATGGTAGACCATCAATGTACTGTCGGTGTGCTGTATTGATCTCTCTCCTTCTGGACGAACCTGTGGCACAGGCATTGAGAAACAAGAGCAAGGGAGCCGACGAAGACGCCCATTCATCTGGAAACGGTAGAATGCCGTGTATGCCTGAAAAGCTATTGAAGCGTTGCTGAACTTACGGCAGCAGATTTGCTCAACATTTCGAAACTGAAATCCATGCTCGAGTACCTGCATCGCAGGTGAGAGAGGCTCCGGGTGGCCGTCTACCCCGGACCACTAACGTGATATGGACCATGTCTTGCAGGACCACTACATTAGAAACGATTAAAGCGGAGCTTCAAAGCAAGCTCAGGCAATCCGAAGAGGAAAGACTTACATTGAGAAAGGAGATCTTGGATGTCAAAATTGAGGCATCCGAGGCTTTCAGGGCCGTGGGCGAGGTTAGCCTTCGCGAATGCCCTTCAAATCGTAATTGCCCGGCTAACCTTTGGGCGTTAAAGCAAAAAGAATCTGAGGAAAGCAGAAGCGACAATCTACGAGAAGCTTCGGATGCTTTGAGGCAGGTGCGACAAGGCCGCCCGCGGCGACGGGCAGCAATAGTTTGCTCATGATACCACGCACAAAGGCTCGGGCGGAAAAGGCAGAGGTTCAGAGTGACTTACGTGAAGCGCTAGCGGCGTTGAGGCAGGTGGGAAATCGAAGTTTCCAGCAGAACATGATCAGTGGTACAATCCGCTAAATGCTTTTACCTCAGCAACAAGAAGAGTGTCAAGAGCTGGAGCGCGACTTGCGAGCAGATCGAAATGCCAGCAGGAAGGTTCGTTGAAACTTCTCAAGGACCACTCAGTGTCTTGTTCTCAAATCGGCGTTCTTCTTCATAGTTGCAGCAGGACAAAGACGAAATAGAGCGCGAGCTGCGGCATACACAGGAGAGAATGACTGCGTTGGTAGACAACGAGCATGAACTGGATAGAACACTGCAGAAGCTGCAAAATAGAGCTGCTCAGGTGAATTTGACATTTCAACCGAGGGCGGTTTTCGGAATGGCCAACAACAAACTTACGATGCAAATACGCAGGCGGACGATAATGAGAAGGCTCTCAACGAGCGGAATGAGGAGGTTCAACAGCTTAAGGCCCGAGAGGTGGGACATTGGGATTGCCGTTCAAAACGGCATGTATTGATACAGATGGGCCATTGCAGACGATCCTCTCCGCGAAAGTCAAGGACCTCACGGTGGACTTGCAACAGGCACACTCCCAGTAAGGTTGCTTCTCTCATCAGGTTTCGAAGTCACATCTCAGTTGAGCGTCCGCAGGAATGATCTGCTGCAGCGAATGCTGGACGACAAACTTGAGATTGAATCCAGAGCCGCAGTCGCAACAGGGGACCGCACGGTAGCGGATTTAACTCAGGTATATGCTCGGAACAACATTGTTTTAGGGTTCTCTTCAATACTGACGTATATCGACTCCATCAAACTGGCCAATTAGCAACTGAAAAGCCTAGAGACGGAGCGTTTACGGCTTCTGACGCGATGCGTGATTGCAGAAGAGCAGCTAACAGCGATGACACAGTTCGTCGCAGCGCGCAAAAGCGACGAGCTTGCGCAATGATCTACCCGCTCAGTCTGTAATCTTCGAAATATGTATATCTACAAAAGGGAGTTTATATATCCCTGTTCCTGCTCACGGGGTCATCCAAGAGGTTCAGCCTTCCTCACTACGAAAATTATCACGATTTTTGCTGACTCCGATCCGGGTTGAGTACATCCTCGCTCTTTGCCCGATCATCCTCGTGCTTCCACCATCCCAGCATAGCCTGCAAGCCGCCCTCACTCATCTTTCTTCGCACGCTCCCTCCCAACTCCAGCAAGCTCTGACGCCGGCCAACGGATGCTTTGCCCTGAAACTGATCGTATTCTTGACCCGGCGCATCGGTGGACGGCGAGAGTAGGTCAACGCTATGTCGTGCGTATAGAGGTGAAGTTGTGCTCGCGTACGATCTCCTTGATTCGCGCATCGCCGCGGTCGATTTTCGTGGACTTAGGAGCTCGTCAGCTGACGCGAGTTTCGCGAGCGCACCAAAAGCCGGTGCAGAGGCCGCTATGGCGACGTTCTCGAAAGGAGGTGATGGGGCGTCGGATTCCGTGTCGAGGTATCCCGCACGAGGCATCGGCGTGCACGCGAGATTCAGCGGTAGTTCTGCTGGGAAGTTGGGTTTTCTCGTAGGCAATGGTTTTCCGTTCAAGAAATCTACGAGGACATCTTCGCTGATCGTTCTCGACATCCGCCGTCGCATAGTTCCTGGTGCGCCTTTCGCTTCAGACGACTCTGGTGGTTCCAGAGCTTTGCTCAGTTGCAGCAGTTGATCCTCTTTCATACAGGGCGGATGACTGCAGTAAGTGAACAGCGTGACCGTGTCTCCTGGTCCTCGCACAATCACTTCATCGTCCGGTATAAAAGGGAACGACGCTCTTTGCCACTCTTTCAGACGCGAGAGCATAGCACATACTTCCCGCATTTTCTCGAAGTTGATGAGTCCATTCGGAAGTACTTTCTGGTTCCCGTCATTCAAGAAAGTGAGATCTTTGATGATCAGGCCGAAGAAAGGCAGCATTGGTGCTTTAGCCTGGTGCTCCAGCTCGCGATAAACCTTATAGTTGGATTTATATGAGAGTTTGGCCTCAAGGTCTTCGTAAGCAGTCGTTGCGCGCGAGGGTAGGGCAGCGAATGTCTTCTTCAATCGCGAGACCGGGGTGGTGTTCAGTCCAGACAGAATCGCCATGGCCGTGTTGAAGTTGCACATTTCCAGGCACTTGTGCGCCACTTTGATGAACAACTCGAGGGCCTCCGTCCGTTTCTGTCGATCCACGAATGAACATACAACCGTGGCCACCCAATATCCGATCCGATTAAATCGGCTAATGTACTGCTGTAATCGACGAGTGAGTGTCGATTTTAGTGGTGAATTGTCCCACAGGAAGAGCGTGAACTCCTCCGGGGCGATCGATCTGAACATCCGGGAATCGACCAGCGTGAGCTGCTGAGCAATCTTCCGCGTCGATTGTGAAAGAATGTCGAACTCTCGCAGTAGTGGTATCAGCTCGTGCGTTGGATTGGTATCTGGGGGTAGGTCCGTCGCTTTGCATGAATCCTCATGGTCATTAAGTGCATGCTGCACCAGTGACCTAATCTGCTTCGAGTACGAGGAATATTTGCTCGTTTGGACACCTTCTAGAAATTGGTGAAGGGCGGACATATTCAACGGATCGAGGAAGTCGTATGCATGCTCGCCTGCCTTTGTAATTTTGTGAGCAACAGAAGCCTAGTATCATTCGTTGCTATATGCGTGACACTGACCCATTTTTTCACCAGAGCGACGATGGTTAGCTGCTCTTCGGCGCCTCTCTTCTTCGAGTCCACGGTTCGCTCTGCACCAAATTTCCGGAAATCCCTCGTCAACTTTGTTAACAGCTGCGCCGGGGTGAGGAAATGTCTAAACGTTAAGAGGAATCCGTCGACGTAAAGCTGATCTAGAAAGCAGCATCGCCTCGTCAATGCATGCTTCCATATCAATGATTTGCTGTTCCTGCTCTTCTCTACCTGGCTCGTCCAGCAAAGCTTCTACCAGCGCGTCCACCGTGCCTGCTGTGATTTGCGATTTGCCCCCTACGGTATTTTTTATAAGAATCTCCTGACCTTCTGCGTCATATATCTTGGTAACTTTCTTGGTATCATCTACTTTCAGCGAGTCCATAAGTAATGCTATCAGTCCATAGCGCCGGAGATTCACTTCCTCACCGTTCAGCAGTTCTGCACTCCCTAGTGACAAGCTCTCCTTCAAAGGGCTAATCTTGTTCTTATGCTTTTTGCTCTTGACGGAAACTTTCGACGCTATTTTTCTGCGAGGATGAGTACATTCTCAGTTCTTTGAATGCTTCCGATGGATGGCCCATAAAGCACGCACTTTATGCCTGATAAGCTCCCAAATGTATCTTTTTCCAAGCCCGCGGCTCCGTCAAGGTCTGGGCTGACAACCTGCCAAGAGTCGGGCGATGTGCTTGACGGACTCTCCCCAGCACCTTCCGTCGCCGCCCGCGGGCGTGCTTTCGAGGAGTCTTTATTCCCAAACAGTCCAATGACGGTGAGTCGACTTTTCTTTTCGGAATCAAACAAAACAGGCTCTGATGCATTCCGCGCATGGGGAGCAGGTGGAGATGTGGCTTCCGACGAAAGCTCGGGTCGACTTTGCGATGTTGTGAAAGGCTTCTGTGGCGAGTTTACCCCGCCCTTGCCTTCTGAATCTTCGGCGTTCATCGAAGAATCGGATTTAAAGCGACTTTTGGACAACGAATGGTAATCATAGCGGGCTTGATTCTTCCACCGTCGAGTAAGCGTCGATCCACCAGCATCCTCCATTGTAGCTGCAGCTTTCGGGGAATCTGCTCCTGCCAATTTCTTCTTCGCTTTGTCATAGCGACTTTCGATGAAGTACTTTGCCAAAGTTGCTTTTTGCCCCACCTCGGAGGAGGCAATATCTTCATCAGCGCCACCGTCATATTTCAGGCTAATCAGCTCTCCCATGCTTTTGCTCTGGTGCCCAAATGGCTGCACCATTCGTGTTGACTGTTCAGAGCTGTTGCTCGTTGTTGAGACTCGGGTGGAGCCGCCCTTTGAATCTTTCGCGGTTCGCGAATTGCGCACGCGGGAAACTCGAGCATGGGCCGGGCCTTCATTCTCTTCTAACAGAGACGACAGAGACCCGCCTCGAGGAGTCGCTGTTTCTGACTTTCCTATGCCTATCGATTTCGTTTTGATTTTGATAACGATCGCAATAGCGCGGCCGAGGGCCTCGAAGATCTCGAAGTACTAAGGAAGCGCACATTTGAGTAAATCGTGATGGGTCGGATTGACAGCAACCACCACGCACCTTCTCCGAAGTGAATCTCAGCTGCCGTAGAGCCCCAGTGGATTCCAGATGCGAGAACGTGAACCTCTTCGCCCCAAGATTCTGCGAATAGTTTATGACTTCTTCGATTGGCACATCTTTGATGACAGACTCTTTATTCTCATTTTCGCATATGTGTATCCCCAGAAGGTCGATGCGCACAAAGACCTCCTCGAGTTCATGACAATACTGCAAGGTTGTTGAAGAAGGTTTGGCGAAGTAGCCGACGCCTTTTTGTAGTTCCAGGAACTCCGTCAATACATCGGCTTGTTGAGGCTGACTGGAAAACATTAACGATTTTCGGGGGGGCTGATAGATGAAGCAAGGTCAGCAAGAGTGACTGCTTCTGGAGGGTAGTTTATAAGTACTCTAGACGCTCACAGCATCATTTGTCCCTGTCGCCTGCTTGACGTTAGGTTCTGATTGCTTGGCGATCAGAGTGCTCTTGACTAAAAGCTGGGGAGTTTCCCGCACCATGTTTGCACCGTCTCGCCAGTGTGCATGCAAGGAAATGGAATGCAGGAAAGGGAGACCACGACCAGTGTGGTTGCAAGAGACAGGCACCAAGTAGTATGATAGTATGGGCCCAAATGACACCGGGGGCTGGTGAAATCCCGATTCCGACAGCGTGGATCTGTTACTTAACACGCCACGTCATCGGGCATGACACTTACACGTTCAGGCTTTTGGCGGCGTCTCCGTCCAATTCTGAGAGCAAGTCTATCAAAGTGCAGCGGAAGCACATCAACCATCTTGCCCAGGCATCCCCCTGTTTACTGTATAGGGACCCCAGTATCGGACCAAGGCATACTCTTCGAGGCCTGCCTTCAGCTCTACAGACGCGGGACCTGGGCGCAGAAAGCAAAGCGCGAGGCTTTGGTCCAGAGATCGCTCGCCATAATGGCGACTCCAATACCAACCCCGACGCCGACGTTAGAGCCATGCCCTGGTGACAGTCCGACCGGCGATGCCACTATCAACGCAACGGATGCACTGGTAAGTTCCTTCGAGTAAGCCGCGAATTTATGAAGGCTCTCTGACCAAACCTCCTTTTATCCTTGAAGTTGATATGCGTGTCGATGCTCTTTGTCATTCTCTTGACAAGTTACTATCTCCAGTCCAAGAAGATTCGGTACTTGCACGAGACTGTCGTTTCTATATTTCTTGGACTGATTATCGGCATGGTGGTACATTTTAACCCGAGTAAGTGGAAGTCACGGAAGTTGCGTCCTGGAAGACCGCCTTGTTGACATCCGTTCTTAGAGGGAACCCTAAATGATCTTGTCACCTTCGACCATACCTACTTCTTCAATCTATTACTCCCTCCCATCATTCTGAATTCGGGCTACGATATGAAGAGGGTATGCTGACTTGACATCCGCCATCCGTTCGCATTTGGCTCAACTTCTCTCGCCCCTGTGTGCATCAGAAACACTTCTTTCGAAATATTGGCTCCATTTTGACGTTTGCTCTCATTGGTACAGTCATTTCGACCATAGTCATCGGGTAAGAGACCTCCCACTCCATTAAACCTCAAAACTGTCACAGTCCTTACGTCCATTGTCGCAGGGTCCTCGTAAAATTAGCGGTCAACTTTCTAGAGATCACCCATATCCATACGGCGTTGAACCTCACAATGCTTGATTGCATTGTGTTTGGTGCAATCCTGTCCTCAACAGACCCTGTCACCATCTTGTCGATCTTCCACCAAGCTAAGGTTGACCCAAAACTGTGAGTTGTATTCCTGAGGTTATTGTCGACTCACCAAAGTGGAACCACTCATTTCGACGCCTTGCCCATCAAGTTACGCGATTATTTTCGGCGAGAGTATCTTGAATGATTCCGTCGCGATCGTGCTCTTCAAGTAGGTTGCCCGTGTTCCCAGCATGCAACGATTTCCACTGCTAACGTTGCGTTTGCTTCACAGGGTCCTTGGCAAATACCGAGCCAGTCCTGAGAGCTTCAACATTATAGGGGGCATCATGTCTTTCCTTGCGATTTTCACCGGATCCGTGATGGTTGGAGTCATCGTCGCATTGATTGGCGCACTGATGCTCAAGCACTCTCGCCTGCACGAATACCCGTCGCTTGAATCCTCGATCATTATCCTTCTTGCATATTCCTCATACCTCCTCTCGAACGCCGTGCAACTGTCAGGAATCGTGTCCCTTCTATTCTGTGGCATCTGCTTGAGGCATTACGGATACAACAACATGAGCATACGCACGCGGAGAACGACAAAGTATATGTTCCGAGTGCTATCTCAGCTCTGTGAGAACTTTGTCTTCATCTACCTGGGAGTTACTGTCTTCACAAGTCTGAAGTCAAGTCTGAAGGACGAGGGCTACAGGCCAGGGCTCATCTTCTTTACTCTGGTAAGTCAAAATTTGATTTCTTCCGCTTTCTGAATGGCGTTAATCGACTCCTCTGCAGTTCATCTGTCTATTCGCACGGTACGTTTCGGTCATCCCTCTTGCGAAAATGATCAATGCCATCAGCGCCAGACTATCGGGAACACCAGGACGTGAAGAGATTCCGCGAAATCACCAACTCATGCTGTGGTGGGCTGGACTACGGGGTGCCATCGCTTTCGCCTTGTCCTTCGAAGTGAAGGCGGAGGGATCAGAGAATACGGATAAGATCATTCAAACCACAACGTTGATCATATGCATCGTGACCGTCATTCTTCTGGGAGGCACGACCAACATGGCATTGGAAAAGTTGGAGATCAGAGTGGGAGTAGGGAAGAGTGAGGGGAACGACGGGAACGACTTCGACGATGACGAAGAAGATCCCGACACGGACTCGAGTGAGGGGGAGTCGGAGGATTGGGATGACGACCTGCCAGGTTCTCGCAGCAGTCTCTACGACGGCACCGCGGAGGACCAAAGGTCGTCAGCAGAGTCCCTATTGGAGCGGAATCGCAGTATCCGCGTCGAAGTAGACGATGAGAGCAGGCCATCGAGAAGCGCATGGGATGAGGATCTTGGACATTGGTTCATCTCCTTTGACAACAAATGGCTAAAACCTTTGTTCACCCGCACACGATGGAAGTGGGGTCGAAGCCGGGTTAGGCGGCCACAGAGTCCCGCACGAGGGGCGTGGAACGGCGACAGTGTGGGCAGGACTATGGGGAATAACAACATTCGAGGGAGAAGTACGAGGACGTTCGGTAACACCGCGGCTGGGTTCGGGAGGCAGGCACCAGCTGCCTCTTCCTCCGCGAATCGATCGCCCGACAACGAGAGCTTTCGCGATGTGAATGGGAATGTGTGGACCGCTGGCAACTGGGTCCCAAACAACGCGAGAGCTAGTCAGTATGCCAATAATGTGGAGCTCGAGGAGCCTGCAGACTATAACAGGGCTCTGAGGGCATCGCGATCGAATAGCAAACTCAACAGCTTTACAATGGAGTAACCACTTCCCAACCCCACGCCGCTTTCATCCACATTTCCCTGGCACGGAGTGGCCGACGATTTGTATGTAGATCCTCTTTACCTTTATAATAGTGCTGGCCGGATTCGTACCGAATCGCTGGCTTTTGTATGTAAACATCCGTAAATTTACTCGCGCTCGCATTGATTTGATTTCGATGCTGGACGATCAGCATTTTACTATTGTTGAAAGTGACATGGGCCAGCCCACTATGACAGACATCTATGCCGCTCCAAGGATGTCAGATGTCAGGTGTTGAACAACCGATTCCTGCTCATATGCACCTAATCTAACCCCAAGTAGTTAAGCGTATCACCAACGTGTCGCCATTTTGCGCTATCCGGGTCCAACAGATCGACCCCGCTCCGAGGTCGATAGCGAGGTCTGACGCGTGCATCCCCAACCGCTCCCAATGCCGAATCGCTTCTTCTGAACATTGCGAAGCCTTGAGCAGTTGGGGGAAAAGTCGTCAAGCCAGGCGGGGGAAAGGATTGACGCATATCCGGTACGACAAACGCAGCTTCAACACCATTGTGATGTGGCCGAGATGCCTCCCCTTCCGGACGAAGACGGTCTGGTTCGGCGACGGCTGCCGTCCATCCGTGCCTCGCAAACATGGAAAAGTCGTTGCTGTCTGCCTCAAAATCGTACTTCAAGGTCGGGGTGGACCTATGGGCGTCCACCCGCTGCTCGGGTAACGCTTGCACGCCTGTTTCTACAGCCTCCGCGGCTACAGGCACATTATGCTCCAGTTCGGCTTTCAATCGTCGACGAAATGCACGTTCGGTTTCGAGGGTTTGCGAGAGTGATGCCGCGCGATCCATCAGCGTGTGGATGATCTCTTCGTTGTCCTCCGCGGCCAGATCGACGTCTTTAAGGACGGCGTACTTTTCGGTTGCTTCACGCTGAGCGGTATCCAGGCGGCTTCTACTCTCGCCTACGCTCAGTTTCAGAGACTCCAAGGCTTCACGCGCATCCTCAATCTCTCGATCCATTTGCTCTATAGTCTCGCGCAATTCGTTTGCCTTGCGTTCCAGCTTTGCCGCGACGACTTCGTGATGTGAACGTTCTACAGGGGTGACTTGGTTGGAGACAGATTCTTCGGTCATATCGGGTGCCTTCTTCGGCACCTGCTGCGATTGCGACTTCAGAGGAGTGTCCGCCAACGCAGACTCTATTCGCTTCAGATCCGAGGTTATATTAGTGAGCTCTGCCTCGGACCGAGTGGTATCTTCAAGCATGGCCTCATAATCGGCCTGTAGGCTGTCCGACCTCGCCTGCTCTTGCTCCACAGACTGAATGATCTGCGTGAATCTGTGCGCGAACTTCGTCTCGATCGATGCTTCTTTGTTATGGACTTTCCGAGCTGTATCGAGATCCGCTTTCGCGGCCTCTTTCATTTGAAAAAGCTCCTTCCGCTCTTTCCGTATAGCAATCTCATCCTGCTTCGTTTCCGACACGGAATCCTCTATGGACCGCTTCAGTGCTGATATTCTCTCCAGCTTCAGCCGCAATCGGTGTTCATTTTCCAACTCCCTGTCGTTCGTATTGGTATCGATCGCGCCCGTAGCGGCGCGATTTGTGAGAAATGACTGGTTCGAGTCCATCACCCGTGCAGACTCTAGTGTTCGTATTCTCAACGGTGCAGATCGATAACCGCGAATGATCAACACAATCTCATATTGCCGATCTGCATCCAATCCAAAAACGGTGACGTGCCCCTGAGCCAAATCGGAAATGACCCAAGCTTTTTCCTGCCAGCTTGCGGCGTCGACCATCACATCCACATCCTTCGCCGAAAGATTGAAACTGCCGGCTTGCGGAGGTACGTTTTGCGGAAGGCGAGTATTTGCTGGCTCGACTGTCGTTCCCACCAGTGAGGCTGTGCCCCCTCCTTCCGCGGGTATTATTATCGTTTCGTTTGATGACAAAACAATGCCTTTCCTTTTCCCGTCCATCTGAGATGATATCGTGTCGTTCGGCGATGAAAGAGCACCCTTCCTCTTTCCATCCGCCGGCGATATTGCAGTGTCGTTCGAAGATGACACAGAGCCTCTTTTCCCTTCCAGCACGGATGTCATGGTCTCCAGTGAGCTCAGCGTCACTATCAAGCTCTGCGGTAATATCCAGCACAGCTTGACCGTATGGGCCGTAGTTTTCAACAGACATAAATCAAATCGATCTAATGTTTCTAGGTGGTTACTGTAGTAGAAAACCTTCTTTTCATCTAGCGTCAACATTCCAGGCGGAGGTCCAGACGTTGAAGACTTTGATAGTTTCCGTCTCCGCGATGCCGAATACGCATTCGAAAGCAGTTGATTCCTCCGCGTCATTAGAACTTTCTTCTTGATCTTTCCCCACCGCCGCAGATCCCCTCCCACTTTGTCCACGTACGTGCTTGACACGTGGCGAAACTCGGCCATGCTTTCCACAAACATGCACAAGAAGCAGTAGGCTGCCTCGGTGAGTGCGTGTACACATAGAAAGACCTCGAAAGAAGTCGTGGGCAGCTCTTTCGTATACAGATCGATAGCTATCGCCGTCATCGATGTGACCCACGCTATCGCATCGAAACCGCGTAGTCGTACGACGATGGTCGAGTAGATGACACCCGAGCTGATGGACGATAGTAGTCTTGTGTTCATGAGGGAGGGTACCGCTGCATATGTGGCCCAATCGATAGCTAGCGTGCCTATCGCTAGCGCAGCGAAGACACCCATGCCGATGTGATATGCTCGTTTGAAGGTCGCCAGAGAATACAGCGAGAAGCCAACCCATTCCGCTCGTATGGGAGCCGTCACCAAAACACTGAGGATCCACATGATCATCCAGATGATGATGAAGACCCGATTATAAATGTCGCGGTGGAAATACGCTGCTGCCGCCATCTGACCGTAGAAGGTATTTACATTCTCCCAATAAAATCTGAAATGTCCAAATGGTGTCAGAATTTGGCGGAGTTGCAAATGACAACCATGTCTACTAACGTATCAGTGATCGGGCGGTATATCAGCTCGTCAGGACCTCCGGGCTCGGAATACTTTGTAGCACCGCTTGAGCAGTCCTTTCTGAGATCGAAGGTGAAGGTGACAGTGTTTGGAGAGGAAGTTCGCTGTCCTCCGGCAGAGGCTGCTACCCCATATCTGTGCGCCGGAGTCGGGGGCCCGGTCACAAATGAAGCTTTTGCGTCGCCTCGCAGGGGGAAAGCGTCGAGAACCTTCCAGACTCGAAACATCGGTCCGGCTGCTGCTCCGTTATCGTGCGCGTAGCGATCCGCACTCGAAATTGACATATCGGTCAGGCTGAGCGAGCGAGGAAAAAAAGGGAGGTGGCCACGTCCAGGTTTTCTACAAGATCGTCGTGACGAACTGCGCCTTTCCAGCCTCCACCGCTGCTCCAAATTGAAAAGCAACTTCAGCCAGTACTATCCATCCTCTGCTATCTGCCGTGTCGTCCGTTGCGAGGCTGGCGAAAACGAGTTTGCTGGTATCAATGCCTGCTACCCAGTGCAAGAATTGGAGAACCCAGTAACTTCGGAGGACCTGCGTGACAAACCCTGCTGCCCTTCGTTTGGAAGCAGGTAAAAGTCAAGCATTGACAGCCTCGAGCGGATATCGACAGCGCGCCTCGGGCTCCTTTGACATCCAGGTTCTCATTGTCGTTCTTGAAGGCGACCGTGCTGTGTGATTCATAGTACCATCCTATGTTAGGCAGAAGATTCGAAATCCCGAGACCCCGATAATACTGTGTCACTCTGTATCCCATCGTTGCTTTAAGTCCTGATACCGATGTATATGTGATTTCCTCCCACCATCGCAAAGGAGGTGTGCAAACCCCTGAACGTAGCTTGGGTCGTCGCCACCGAGGTTCTGCTTACCATACGGTGGATCGGGGAGGATAACCCAATGGGAATGCTTTGAACCAGGATTGAACAAATTGTGGGCACGGAAAACTGGCAACTCCCGCGACGAAGATGTCAAGTGTGGATGTATTGCAACCTGCTCTGAACAAGTGTGGCGTGGGATATCTTCCTCAAATATGAAGAGTCCCTGAACGCAGTTGTTCTCTACGTTGAAGTGATGGTTTTGAACATGTACTTACATCAGCAGATACTCATGTACGCTGATTATCCCTCCTTACTTGACTATCAAGTTGACAACGCACCCATTCTTTTGCGTGCGGTTAGAGTGACACGGAATCCAGAATAACACGGAGAAAGGTTTCCCATCTCGGTTCCATACGGAGGCTCGGCTCAGATCGACTCGATAATAGGGCGTTTCACTAGCCCACATAATCGGACTTTTGCTCGGATTATCTCGCGATTATCTGCCGATTATTCTGGTCAGTGGGGTCCGCCACACACAAGGAACAACACAAGGAACGAACTGTCTGACGTACCAGACGGCAAGGACTTCAAACGCGCGATCGCCAGGTCCCGGGTCACCTTATAGTCAGTCGTCGCGGATTGTGCAATGGCTTTGAATATCTCATCCGTCGGTACCCATTCGAACATGTCCCGCAGTTCGATATATCTGCAAGCGTCATCAGAACGGCCAGCAGGACCCCGAGCAGGACCCTCACTCTTCACTTACAAGAGAGCTAGGAGGTGCGCCGTCACATGGCGCGAGCCCGGGTCTCCGTATGACAGGGGCGGCGGAGTCAAGTCTCCGCCCGTCGTGGCGAGTTGCTTGGACATAGAGGGGGCTGGGTCCGCAGGGTTGTTTGAAAACGCGCAAGCCACTGACAGCTGTGTGCGCTGAGACGAGGGGGGAGGCGTGCCCACCCCAACTTTTATGGGTGGATGTAGACCGCGGAGGAGCGAGCACCGGACGGTGTGGGGTGCACGCGCGGGCTGAAATATGTGGGGGTAGTGGGGTGTGGGGGGACCGGCGAGCCCTACCGCTGGGACGCGTGGCAGACGCCCGCCACGCAGGGGCGGGGGGAGCAGGTAAGAGGGACGGGCCGAGCTAGTCCCGGGGGGACATAGAGTCAACAGGCGTCATATTTCTGACATATGCGAGTTACCACGGAACACCTTTAAATCCATGCATGGTATAGACGGGAGTACGGAGCCCACGACGCCAGAGGTAGAGGTGCGGAGGGGGGGGGGGGGGAGGGGGGACGCGCTCGCCAAACCAGCCTACTGCGCGGTGGGTTTGGTGTCCCGCAGCCTGGCCTTCATCTCGAGGGCCTTCATCTTGAAATCCCATTTGCGCTTGCTGTCCAGCCTGCGTCTCTCGGGGTCCGCGCGCCGTTCCTCAAGCTCCAGCTGGAATCGTCGCTCCACGGACTCCCTGGCAAACCGCCGCTCCTCAAGCTCCGCCTCCCTCGCCTCTCGGCGCTCCTCAAGCTCCAACTGAGCGTTGACTGGCCTCCTCTCTGGTCAACCGCCTCTCTTCAAGTATCTGCTCATCCAGCGCAGATTCCCTTGCCATGCGGCGCTCCTCCATATCCATTTTGAGGCGAGTTCGGTCTCCCCGGCCCGCCATCACGTCACTGATGACAGTCATCATCCCGGATTTCGCCCGGGCGCTGCGACTACTACCTGCCCCGCTCTTCCCGGCCTCGTCATCCAACGTAACGGGGTCCGCAAGATCCGATACGGCGGAGCTCTTTCGCTTCCTAGTGGCTTTCGTAGCCGCCTGCGCGGGCGTGTGCGGGGCGGACGCTGCCGGGCTAGCGGCGGTAGACAGACTAGTTTGCACCTGGTACAGAGCCTTATGAGCGCTGGAGAGGGGTTGCGCGCCAGAGGCCTGCCCCTCGGATGCCGTGGCAGGCACGACGGGGGTAGCAGGGACCACCGGAACAGGAGGAGCGGGTGTATCATGACTCTGCAAACCGCTAGACGGCCCCCCATTGGTTGGGGACTCCCCATCGCCGGCCGCGGACCCCTCCAGTATGTTCTCCAGGGTCATTTGCGACTCCATACGCGCAAAATCTCCCAGTTGGGAGTGAAGCTGCGACCCCAGCTGCTCCTGCGTGTCTGGCGGCGTCTCTGGCGGCGTCTCCGACGGGTTCTGCGTCTCGGACTGCGTGTCCTGCGGCGTTTCATGGGACCCCGCGGTTTCCGAGTCCTCCGGCGTCCCGGCCTCGTCCGGCGACTCACAAAGCGAAGGTGACTGTGGCGGAGCCCCCGGGACCAGCGCGGCGGCGAGGTTCGAGGGCAAGATTGACGAGGCGGCCATTGTGTTATGATCTCGACGGCGGAGGCGGGAGCAAAGTAAAGAAGACAAGGCGAGAGCGATGGGCGACAAGAGATTGTATTGGCGAAACAAGAAACAAGGACTAGAACAGGAGATGAGAAGAACTGGTGTTGATCTGCTGGGGAGGAAGGGAATGGACGAAGAGGGGGCGGCTATTTATAGATAAACAACCCAGCAGACCAAAGACAACAACAAGAGGGGACTGAGTGAGCGCCAGCTCTGCTCCCTAGCCTAGAGCGAGCGTAGCAGGCGTAGAGCGCAAGCTACAGCTGCTGGCTGTGGAGAAGTACTGGGTGGGTTGACAAATGGCCGGAGATTGGCTCACAGATGAGCGGGGTAGAGGAGGAGCGGCAAATGGGGGATTGGCGAAATGAGAGGGGAGAGGAGGAGTGGCGATATTGCGGGAGGATTGGCAAAATGAGAGGAGAGAGGAGGAGTGGCGATATTGCGGGAGGATTGGCGAAATGAGAGGAGAGAGGGGGAGTGGCATTGACATTGGCATTGACATTGGCATTGACATTGACATTGACATTGACATTGACATTGACATTGACATTGGCGTTTGACATTGGCGTTTGACGTTGGCGTTTGACATTGGCGTCTGTCAGGAGGTAAGATTATGGTATGGGCGCGTCGTCCATAACACATTGACTCCTGAGACCCTACCGAGTGCAAGCCCGTTGTGCCAGCGCGGGACCAATAAGGCTCGAGCTCAAAGAAATACAGAAAGATCTTGACGATACAGGCCTGTATGTTGGGGGTATTCCTCTTCTCCTCCTCCGTGAGACCCTCCCCCGTCTGATTGAATCGAAACTGGGCCTCCTTGAACTTTTTATCCCACTGTGCAAGCTTGTTCTTGATGCGAGTCTCGGTCATGTCCTCTCGGTTCTCATACATGAACATTTTTATCTTCCGAATCACGTCCGTTCGCCTATCCTTCTTCGAGCGGTCGACCCCGTTGGCGTCCGGGGTGTCGCGATGCTGCAGGGCCTTGGAGTTCTCGCCTGTAGAGAGCCAATCCACCAAGAGCGACTCTTCTTCGTCGTCCCAAAAAGCGTATGCACCGTCCGCCCGCTGCTTCCCCGCAGCGGACTTCACGCTTGGCTTCTTTGCCCGGGGCTTGCGGGCCCCGGGAGCCCCGGCAGTAGATGGTCCAGCGTCAGCAGACGACATGGTGTCGGGGGCGATGGGGGGGTGTACGGTGAGGGGGGTTTGTTGTTGGTGCGGGCGGGGAGGCGGAACACCCCCAGGGTCCTGAAGACACCAGGTTTGCTGGAGGCCTTTTTGCTGCTCTCCCCCCGAGAATCCTGTTTTTCTACACCCTGGAGTAGCGAAACTGGGGAACGGGGGCCTCACTATCCCCAGAAAATCGGGAGAAGCCCGACAGATCATTGGGACATGATTGGGGGGAGCCTGCGCGCACGAACTCTGGACGCGTCGCAAAACGCGCTCGCAGTTTCGCTAATCTTGCGATTATCTGCCGTTACTGTTTTCAATTATTGGGGGCTAGTGAAACGCCCTAATGCTGGGTGAGCATGAGGAGCCGATTTCGTGATGTGATGTCTTCAGAAAGGTCAGTGCTTCTCTGGTGACACAACTGTACGGTCACCTCGCAAAACTCTGTACCCCCCCTGAAATATATCAGCGACTGCCGCGACGCCAAATTCACGTGAGTGACCAATATTGATTTCAATTAGAGGGGGGGTACAGAGTTTTGCGAGGTGACTGTACGTCTCAGGTCCACCCTGGCTGCGCCACCCAAAGCTCTACGCGTTACCTCAAGGCACAATTAGGGAAATTAAAGCAGTTTCTCTTATGGACGACGCGCCCATACCATAAGCTTACCTACTGACAGCCGCCAATGTCAACCGCCAAATGTCAAACGCCAATGTCAATGTCAATGTCAGTGTCAATGTCAGTGCCAATGTGAAAGTCAATGCCACTCCCCCTCTCTCCTCTCATTTTGCCAATCCTCTTGCAATATCGCCACTCCTCCTCTCTCCTCCCATTTCGCCAATCCCCCCTCGGCTTCTCCACACCCTTCACTGCTTCCCCACAGCCAGCAGCTGTAGCAATGCCCTCTACGCTCGCCACGCACGCTCTAGGAGCATAGCTGGCGCCCCCCAGTCCCCTCTTGTTGTTGTTGTTCTCTGATCTGCTGGGTTGCCTATCTATAAATAGCCGGCCTCTCTTCGTCCATTCCCTTCCTCCCCAGCAGATCAACACCAGTTCTTCTCATCTCCTGTTCTAGTCCTTGTTTCTTGTTTCGCCAATACAATCTCTTGTCGCCTATCACTCTCGCCCTGACTTCTCTACTTCGCTTCCGCCTCCGTCGTCGAGATCATAACACCCGTCGTCGAGATCATAACAGTTTGATCTGCTCCAACACTGCAAAGTTCAGAACCTGTCCAGCCCTGCATCCGACAAACCTTTTTCGCCATGTCCCAACCCGAATCCGTACCTTTCACCGCCAAGCAATGGAACGATATGTGCCAAGCCATCGCCGCCTTGCGAAGCCAAAACGCCAACTTGCAGGCCAACCTAGCGCAAGCCCAAGCCGACGCACAAGCTGCCCAGAGCATCGCAGCCCAGGTTCAAGCCGATACGTACACCCGTCCCCAAGTCGCCAACCCTGCTCTGGAGCCGAGAATCAGCTCGCCCGAGAAGTTTGATGGTACCCGCAGCAAATTCCGTGGGTGGTTGAACAACATCCAGTTGATGTTTGCTCTCCAGCCCGACCGCTACCCCAGCGACATCATCAAGATCCAAACTATTGGCACCTACCTCACCGGCACTGCGCAAGCCTGGATGGCGCCCCTAGTCGAACGCCAAGATCACAGCCTTCAGGACTTCGATAGTTTTATCAGTCAGATGCAATCGGTCTTCGGAGACAGCGACAGGGTCCGCACCTCTGAAAACAAGCTCCAGAACCTTCGCCAAACCCGTGCAGCAACCGAGTACGTCGCTGAGTTCCGCCAGCTACAATGCGATGTCTCCTGGAACGACCAGGCCCTGATTGCTACCTTCCGCCGTGGCCTCAAAGAAGACGTCAAAGACCTGATGCTCACAATGCCCCCTGCGGCCACCATTGATGTGGTGATGGAGCAGGCTATCCAGTGCGATAACCGGCTGTTTGAGCGCCGCCTGGAGCGAAACAGAAGCCGCCAGACCTTCCCGGTTCCCCACACCTCGTTTACTACTACCACCACTGTCGACCACAGCGAGCCTATGCAGATTGACGCCGCTCGTCCCCGCGGCCCTCTGAGCCCTCAGGAACGCCAACGCCGCATTTCCAACAACCTCTGCCTTTACTGCGGTGGCGCGGGGCACATTGCAAAAGTCTGCCCCGTCAAGAACAAGACCACCACCCGTGCCGCCAACGTCGACATCAAAGAACCCTCCACCGAACAGGGTTTTCCCAAAGTCCAGCCGCAGTAAAGCCCCAGCGACTGGACAACACACACCGCCCCGGGCCTCCTAACCTCGCAGCTCCTGCAACGGGAGAGGCCACCCCCCTGGTTCCCGACTGTGTTATAGCCGACACAACCCTCCTGGCTGCTGCCCATGTCGAAAACTCCGAAATTAACCCCCGCGCCATGCTTACGCTGGGTCCCCTCGAACCCTTCAACTACCCTGTTACCATCATGGTATCATCCAGCCGCGCCCCGATACCTACCTCAGCCATGATCAACAATGGTGCCCTGTCCTGCTTCATCGACAGAGACTTTGCCCGCAAACACCGCATCGCCCTAGTCCCGCATCAGCGTCCACTGACGATCGAACTCGTTGACGGTCAACCCAGCTCTGCTGGGCCAATCACCCATCACACCCAACCAGTAGGCATGTGGGTCGACGACCACTTCGAAGAACTCGTCTTCCATGTCACCAAATCACCCCATGCTCCAATCCTCCTTGGTCTCCCCTGGCTCCGCCTCCACGACATTAACCTTGACTTCAAGAACCTTTCGGTTGGTTTCCGTTGCGACTGTCAGTACCATGAATTCGCGAATTGGGACAACTCTCCAGCACCCCCAAGCCCAGCACCCGCCAGAACCCCCGAGCCCTTGATCCGCATCCCCCAGGATGAAGTCCCCGTCGACGAAACATGGTCGATTCCAGTACCCAAGGTATCTCGCTCCAGCACCCCAGAACCGGCTCCCACGCCGCTCCGAGTCTCGTTCATCTCCGCCCCAGCCTTCCGGGTCGCAGCAAGGCATGACCAGCTCTTTGTCGCCTACGCCAACCCTGCGAAACCCGATCTCCCGGCCTCGCCTAGCCCCAGTAAACCCCCGACACCCGAGAAAGACATCAAAGACTTCCTGCCCCCCGAGTATCGAGGACTTCGTCGACGTTTTCGAAAAGAGAAATGCTGACACTCTCCCCGAGCACCGGCCTCTACGACTGTCCAATCGATCTGGAAGAAGGCAAGCAGCCACCTTTCGGCCCAATCTACAGCCTCAGCGAACCAGAAATGAAGGCACTCTGCGAATACCTCGAAGAAAACCTCGCCAAAGGATTCATCAAACCCTCAAAGTCCCCTGCCGGTGCGCCAGTCTTATTCGTGAAGAAAAAGGACGGTTCTCTCCGCCTCTGCGTCGATTATCGAGGCCTGAACAGCATCACGGTGAAGAATCGCTACCCCCTGCCCCTGATCAACGGTATCATGGATCGTTTGCGCGGCGCCCGCCGTCTCACCAAGATCGACCTCCGCGGCGCTTATAACCTCTTACGCATGCGCCCGGGCGATGAATGGAAGACCGCCTTCCGCTGCCGCTACGGCCTATTCGAATACAATGTCATGCCCTTTGGACTCAGCAATGCTCCTGGCGTCTTCCAGTACCTGATGAACGACATCTTCCGCGACATTCTCGATGTGTTTGTTGTCGTCTACCTCGACGATATCCTGATATTCTCCAAGAACCCCGAAGATCACCCCAAACATGTCCGCGAAGTCTTGTCCCGCCTCCGACAGCATGGGTTGTACGCCAAACCAGAGAAGTGCGAATTCAACCGCGAATCCGTTGAGTTCCTAGGCTTCATCATCTCCAAGAGAGGCATCCAGATGGACCCCAAGAAGATCGCTGCCATCACGGATTGGGAACCTCCCAAGAATGTCAAAGGCGTCCAGCGCTTCCTCGGCTTTGCCAACTTCTATCGCCGATTCATCCAAGGTTATTCCAAGATCGCTACCCCGCTCACAGCCCTGACCCGGAAAGACATCCCGTACGCCTGGACACCCGCCGCAAACACCGCCTTCGAGAACCTGAAGAAAGCATTCACCACCGCCCCCATCCTTGCTCACCCTGACCCAGAGAAGCCCTTCGTCGTCGAAACTGACGCCTCCGACTTCGCTCTTGGCGCAGTTCTCCTCCAACCTGACCAGGACAATCAGCTCCACCCCGTGGCCTTCCACTCTCGCAAATTCACGGCCGAAGAGATCAACTACGAGATCTACGACAAGGAACTTCTGGCCATCCAAGACTCCTTTGCCCAGTGGCGCCACCATCTCATTGGCGCCCGTCACAAGATCACCGTTTACTCCGACCATAAAAACCTTCAGTACTTCATGACCACCCGCACCCTGAACCGCCGCCAAGCCCGCTGGTCGATATTCTTCTCGGATTTTGACTTTGTCATTACCTATCGCCCCGGTTCCCAGCAGCACCAAGCCGATGCCCTCTCCCGACGCTCCGAACATGAGCTAAAAAGGGGGAAGAAGCGTTCCGCTCCCAGGCAACCACAATTTTGACTCCCGAACGCCTTCGACTCGCGGCTGCCTACCTCACACCCATGGATACCACGCTGCTTGACAAGATTAAGGCCGCCCAGGCCTCTGATCCCCTCGCTAAGACCATTCGCAAAAGCTCAAGATACCCCTCGCCCAACGAACCTGAGGAAACCCAAGATCGTATCAAGCGGTTCTCAGATGAAGATGGGATCCTGCTGCACGATAACCTGGTCTATGTCCCCACCAACGAGCTCCGAGCTGAAGTCTGCCACGACATGCACGATACACCCCTAGCCGGCCACTTTGGGATGTCCAAGACGCTCGAACTCGCCTCCCGCAACTACTGGTGGCCCAGCCAGTGGCGCTTCGTCAAGGCCTACGTCAAGTCCTGCGATACCTGTAGCCAAGCGAAATCCAGTCGACACAAACCATATGGCCTACTCCAGCCCAACAGTATCCCTACCCGCCCTTGGGGATCTTGGTCCCTGGACTTTATCACCGGTCTGCCTCCCGTGGACGGGTACGACTCCATCCTGAACGTCAACTGTCTGCCTCACCAAGATGGCCCACTTCATCGCCTGCAGCGAGTCAGAATCCGCCGAATCCACCGCCGACCTAGTCTTCCACAACATCATCCGTCTCCACGGCCTCCCCGACGACGTCATCTCTGACCGAGGACCCCAGTTTAAGTCCCGGTTCTGGCGTCGACTTCTCGAACTCCTTGGGGCAAAAGCCAACCTCTCCTCGGCCTTCCACCCCCAGAGCGATGGCCAGACGGAACGCACCAACCAGATCCTGGAGCAGTATCTCCGATGCTTTTGCAACCACCAACAGGACAACTGGAAACAGCTTCTGTCGTCCGCCGAGTTCGCCTACAACAACACCCACCAGTCCGCCTCCCAGACCACCCCCTTCTACGCCAACAAGGGTCTCCACCCCCGCTTCAGTTTCGCGGCCTCTGCTACCTCCGAATCCGTCAACCCCGCCGCTGAAGCCCGCGCTAAACAAATCAGGGAAGTCCATGAACAGCTCGCCCTCGAGCTCAAGGAAGCCCAAGATCAAATGAAGCGCTACGCCGACGCTAAACGAATTCCTGGACCGGACTTCAAGCCTGGCGACCACGTCTGGCTCCTCCGCAAAAACCTCCAGACAACCCGGCCCTCTCAGAAACTCGACCATCGCAAGATTGGGCCATTCCCCATCGTTGAAAAAATCAATCCCGTCGCCTACCGGCTCAAGCTCCCGCCTACGTACAAAATCCACGATGTCTTCCATGTCTCGCTCCTCGAACCCCGCTTCACCATCCCCGAACGACACGAACCTGAACCCGCGCCCCCAGAGACCGTTGAGGGTCAAGAAGAGTGGGTCGTCGAAGCCATCCTTGACTCTCGCATCCATTGTTGTTGCCTTCAGTACTTGGTCAAATGGCAGGGCTGGCCTGACTCCCGAGAACACCTGGGAGCCCGTGGAACACCTCACCCATACCGACGCACTCCTCCAGGACTTCCACAGCGCGTACCCCAACAAGCCTTCCTCTGTCCCCGTAGCACCTCCTCTGCGGCCACACCAAACTCGACGCCGCCGCCGCCGCCGCTAAAGAGAGGGGTGATGTTATGGACGACGCGCCCATACCATAAGCTTACCTACTGACAGCCGCCAATGGCAACCGCCAAATGTCAAACGCCAATGTCAATGTCAATGTCAGTGTCAATGTCAGTGTCAATGTCAATGTCAATGCCACTCCCCCTCTCTCCTCACATTTCGCCAATCCTCTTGCAATATCGCCACTCCTCCTCTCTCCTCTCATTTCGCCAATCCCCCCTCCGCTGCTCCACACCCCCACTGCTTCCCCATAGCCAGCTAGCTGTAGCAATGCTCTCTACGCTCGCCACGCACGCTCTAGGAGCATAGCTGGCGCCCCCCAGTCCCCTCTTGTTGTTGTTGTTCTCTGATCTGCTGGGTTGCCTATCTATAAATAGCCGGCCTCTCTTCGTCCATTCCCTTCCTCCCCAGCAGATCAACACCAGTTCTTCTCATCTCCTGTTCTAGTCCTTGTTTCTTGTTTCGCCAATACAATCTCTTGTCGCCTATCACACCTCGCCCTGTCTTCTCTACTTCGCTTCCGCCCCCGTCGTCGAGATCATAACAATCCTGGGGAGGAAACAGAGCCCATAACTCGTCGAGGACGGTCCGCTCAAGTCGTGTGAGGCGCGCAAACTCTTCTTCGGTTGGAAACTCTTCAAACGTCGCATACTTTTTAAACTGACGGACACGCTGATAATAGTGTCGCCGCTGCGCTCGGTTGACTCCAGCTCTACGGAGATGCAGTACGACTTGCTTCAAACCAAGCCTTTCATTGACGTAGCGCAGAAAAATTTGCATGAAATGCTCTTGTACGTTAACTTTGAGGTTTGTGAAGATGCTCGTAGCCGTGTACGCTGCGGTCTGATGGCAATACTGCATGCGGATGGGGGCGAATCCGTGAACATCACAGTAGTCTTGAACCCATGGATGCAACACTTGCACGATGACCGGATTGCCGTTGTAGCCTGGATTGTTTAGCAGCTCAAATATCACACTGATGTGCTTGTCGGTGATGTCCGGGAAATCGTGTAGAGGATGATCAGCTGTGGTGGGGGGCAGACGTAGCAGTCAGGACATTGGTTTATGGGAAATATACTGTGTACCTCAAAAACTCACCAAGGTAGTACTTGAGAAAAAAGCTGGTGTGGCGCGCAAGGATGTGAACATTGCCGACGAATGTTGTCAGGCGCTCCCTTTGCTCCCTTTGAACTTGATTATGGATGATTCGGTGAAGCAAAACCTTGGTGCTGGCATGTGTTTGCGGGCGGGGTCGTTGAGCTGGTGGTGGTGGCGGGGGTTCATACACCAGGGATCCACCCGGTGTGCTGGGAAAACGGAAAGGGATGGGCGCGGGAAGGTTCAGTGGGCGCTGCAGACCCCTGTCCGCAGGTGAAAGCCCTCGCTGCGGCTGCTGCTGCTGCCTGTCTTCATCGCCGGAGCTCTCGCCAACCATGTCTGCAATTGCTTGGGGCAAGTGGCGATGGACAGAGGGCGGGAGCTCGAATCGTGGGGTTTGCAATGGTGTGGCTGGCAGACATATGGGCAATTGCTGGGTAACCAGAGCAACCTTCCTCCTCTTCTGCCGTGGTGTGGTTGCTCCAGTAAATATGCACCACCACAGGTGCCCCTGGAGCGCCTGGTGTGATGACATGTTGGCTGTGCTGTGCCGAGACAGGTGTTGCAGGTGATTGCCGTGATGGCTGTGTGTCAAAGAACTTGCGTCAGTGCTGTGGTAAAGATTGCGGAGAGCAGGAAGGATTTACAGCCTGGCGCAGTCGTGGCGCAGTTGTGGCTTGTCGCCGCATCTCCAAGACCACGCTCTCCTCCTCTCAAACGAAACGTCAAGCGCTCGCAGCTCACGCAACTCACGCAGAGCACACTCTGAGCATGGAAACGTCTCGACGACAGCCCCCTCACCCCTGGCCAGCGCCCACCTCCTTCCAGCTCAAGCCCGGCAACTCACGCAGAGCAAGCGCATTTGAGCATGGAAACGTCAAGCAAGGTGAGTGGCCGCTGGCTGTTGACCGCCTGGGCTGGCGGTCCATATGGAGCACGACCGCCGCTTGCGGGAGGTCGACCTGCATGGGCCGTGCTGTCTGGGCGTCTCCGCTGGGTGTTGGCCGCCTGGGCTCGCGGTCCATGTTGAGCACGACCGCCGCTTGCGGGAGGTCGACCTGCATGGGCCGTGCTGCCTGAGCGTGTTTGCTATACGCTGATCTCACGGGCTGAGATGCTAACACCTTCCCTTCCCCCCTTCCCCTCTACCGCGCCGCAGGCCACGCCCCCGGTCGCACCCACCGCGGTCGAGGCTCTTCTGATGGGCATGGGCGAGACCTGCGCCACAGCTATCTTCGGCGACACGGTGGCCTTTTTGTATCCGCTGCTGGTAGACGCCGGCCTTGCCGCCCGGGACGCCAGCCTAGAAGACAAGGCCAAGGCGATTGGCCTTTTTTCACAGAAGATCAAGCAAGACAACCCCACCCTTGCTTTTTATATGGCCTTGATCCGTGGAACATGAGCATGGTGGAGGCCGCTGAACAGGTGCGCGCACCAAGTGGCACGGTCCTGGTGATTGCTGGCACATCGTTGGCGGAAGGGCCCACACAGACACTAGTCAAGAAACTCGCGAACAAGGTCCGGGAGGTAATCAACATCAACAGGCGACGGTTGACTGTCGACCTCGAACGTGCCTTATATATGCTGGGGGACATCGAAGACTTCTTCGGCAACCCCGAGTGACCCCGAGTGACCCGGGGTCATCTGAAGAAATGGCTAGTGTAGCGTGGGTAGCGTGTAGCAGTAGGTAGCGTGGCGAACGTCGTGGCAGTAGCGATGAAGCCCCTTTTGTATTACCGTGGCCTGTGGCGTGGCAGTAGCGATGAAGTCCTTCTGTTGATAAAAGTTAAGCATGGATAGCGTAGCGGGCTAGCGTGGCATAGCAGTAGCAAGGAAAGAAAAGCTCTGTTGATAAATATGGTACAATCGCGC